GCCTCAGTTTCCTGTTCTTAGCTGAAAGGAGTGGCACCCGGCGTGGTCTTCTGCTGCTGTAGCCCATCTGCCTCAAAGTTCGACGTACTGTGCGTTCAGAGATGCTCTTCTGCCTACCTTGGTTGTAACGGGTGGTTATTTGAGTCACTGTTGCCTTTCTATCAGCTCGAACCAGTCTGGCCATTCTCCTCTGACCTCTGGCATCAACAAGGCATTTCCGCCCACAGAACTGCCGCTCACTGGATATTTTTTCTTTTTCGGACCATTCTCTGTAAACCCTAGAGATGGTTGTGCGTGAAAATCCCAGTAGATCAGCAGTTTCTGAAATACTCAGACCAGCCCTTCTGGCACCAACAACCATGCCACGTTCAAAGTCACTCAAATCACCTTTCTTCCCCATACTGATGCTCGGTTTGAACTGCAGGAGATTGTCTTGACCATGTCTACATGCCTAAATGCACTAAGTTGCCGCCATGTGATTGGCTGATTAGAAATTAAGTGTTAACGAGCAGTTGGACAGGTATACCTAATAAAGTGGCCGGTGAGTGTATATAGATATAGATATTTATATCTATATCTATATAGTTCTGTATAGTTCTGTATAGTTCTGTATAGTTCCAATTAAGGAAAATTTAGGTAGGGACGGAAAACTAAATTATTTAACTCTTAAATGTAAGGTTCAACTTAAGCTAATCTGGATAATTATAGTATTAACTCTGTTGGTAAACTGATGAATGATAAGTCATCTATTTTACTTGGGGTTTATAACCCATTTTATTTTGATGCCCAGTGAGAAAGGTAAATAAATAAATAAATTTAAAAAAATAAAAGATTTGAAAAAATGCTAGGGGCTTAGACCCTGATCATCCCAGAGTGATATTCAATTAACAGTCACTGGGTTCAACTTCTAGAGAGGCATTTGGCTCCAGCCACTCACCCCTCAATGTGTGGAGATGTTTACCCTCAGGTGTTTCACTCGCAGCAGTCGCTCCAAGTGGACCACGCCGAAAGCTCTGAAGTCTCTCTCTTATCCGCCCTTTGTCCACTACCTGTCTGCAGTGATCTGCACCTGCCGTCTACCACATTGCCAATCTCCGCTGCTTCAGCACTGCAGAGTCGGGCTCCTTAACGTGCTCCATAGGGAATCCTCTCTTCTTCAGGTCTTTAGCCACCTCTGCCACGCCAGTATTTCGGGAGGGTAATCTTGATCAAAATAGATCCTTTTCCCTTCGTATTGAACATCTTTTCTTTCTCCACACCGTACGCAGTACCTGTTCTTTCACTCTGAACTAGAGGAAGCAAATCACCAGTGATCTCGGCGGTGCATCTTGGGGAGGCTTCGGGGCAAGGGCCCGATGACAGCGCTGTATGCTGAGGTCCATGTCCGCGACTGGCGGGCCAACTTCTTATTTTATTAGCTTTGTTACAAACTCCAATAGATTGGACCCCTCTGATTCTTCTGGTATTCCGTATATACCAAGGCTGTTCCAGTGTGAGCTTCTAGCTCAGTTAGCTTAGTCTGCAGGGCCTCTTGGTTCTCTAGCGCCTGGGCGAGAGCCTCCTTTGCTGCCATGTCCCAGTCTATCTTGCCCCATTCTTTGTGAACCTTAATTCTCTGTAATGGAACCCTTAAATTGTACTTATTATGATCTGCATATGTTTTATCTGTTCATGTTTGGCCATGTCCCTTTGGGTGTATTTTTATGTCTCTGCATTCCTCTGAACATGAGCAGGTCTGATGAAGTGACCGCTGTTTTCCTGCCACATAACTTCAAAACTTCCTGTGCCGTCTGGGAAATCCACAGGTCATCATTAAAGGTAAGATGATGTGGGAGAAATGGTGGGATGTGCTAATGTCATGTTTTTACCAAAGCAAGTTCGACCTAGCAAGGTAGCCTTGGATTTACCTCGCTCAACTTAGCGCGGTAGCCAACGGTCTCGCTAAACAGTCTGACGACACTGGTTATCAACCTTGTAAGTGGATCCAGCTTTGCTATGAGCGCGTGCACGCATGTAAGGCGGAGCCCGCCGCATCTGACCAATCGCGAACATGGACCAGTCTGGAGCGTCACAGCAGGCCGGAGAGCGAAGGACCGCGGACTTTACAAACTAGGAGCAGGAAACGATAATGATAAAGTATGGAGAATTCAAATGTATCATAAACCTCAAAAGCAACACCGTCACCGCTGCAAAAGCACGGAAGGAATGCTGGCAGAAAATTGCCGACAGTCTCAATGCTTAAGTATAGTGCCCAAAATAGCACTGTTCAACATGCGCTTTTAACATGCACCAGACATGTCTAATTCATTTCCAAGATGAATTCGCTCATTTGTTCATTCCTATCGTGTTTACATTTTTTGTGTGATATGTGGGCCATATGAGCCTTTCATAAAGGTGGTCATCCGGAAAAGTAAGTGGGTCTGTGCAGTCCCTGAAAACTGTTGCGTGCCGGAATGCTCCTCGGACAATGTGAGCACCGAGGTCTATAGGATCCTCCAAGAATGGACAAGCCATTTTTCGAGAGAACTCATTGGTCAGTGGGCGGGGTTTTTATATTGGGTGAGTTCAATCTGGAACCTAACCTGCCCCGGAGCAGGTTAGCCGTTCAGCGTACGTTGCCATGGAGACTCGCCTCGCTAAGAAGTGAACTTGCGTCGTAGAACAGGAAACCCTGAACTTACCCTCGAAGTTATCTCGCTAAGCAGTAATCCTGCTTCGTAGAACAGGCCCCAGGTCCTGCGTTGTGGTAACTTCATCCATATTCAGATTTTCTGACACTGCTAGTATTTCCTGCATCCCTCAGCATGTGCATGTGTGTCCCTCTGCTTTTCCCTAACCATCACAGAAGTGAGCAGCTTCAGTGTTGTCTTCAGGAAGGATCTGGATCACCTCCTAAGAGCTGCTCCTCCATTCAGACGGAGTCAGGCATCCTTGTGTTGCAGATAAAGACGGGGAACACCATTGAACACTGTTCTATTGTCACCCAAAAATATGAATACCTTTTATTTATTTATTTTTATTTCATTTTGTTTCAACTTCAGGATCAGCTTTTTCTCTGGTTATTGATAGTTTTCACAAAGGTTAACGGTGACAGGTGGTTAAGGCCCACCTAAGCTTGATTTTTGCCTGTTTTTATGTCAAGTACATGTAAGGTTGGGCGAGTGTTTCCAATGTCATGACCATAACCTCTCTTTAACAGCCAAAAGCTAATGCTGCAGCTGTGTATTTTATGAGTGTTTTGTTGTTTGCATTGAAGCAGGTGTCCTCCAGGATGTGGATGCAGGAGAATAATGGCTCTTCAGTAACACTGCAGCCTTTTCTGATGTTTAACTGTACAGATATGCGTTTCTGTCCTTAACAATCAGACTCATTTTCTGTGTCTGTGAAGACCTAATTTGATATGTTATTTTTCAGGAACAAGTCTTGATCTTAACAAGGTTTACAGACAACATGGTTTAAATGGTGCTTTCAGGGACACATTGGTAATACAAGGTTTAAAGGGTGTTTTCAAATGCAACAACTCCAACAACAAGGTTTCAAAGGTTTTTTCAGTTACACAACCACAAACCAACAAGGTTCTCATAGTTCCTTCAAAGACACAATATTGATACGGACAACAAGGTTTGAATAGTGCGTTTTGACGGACGCAATGGTTATGCAAGGTTTAAATGGTGTTTTCAAAGACGCAACAACAAGGTTTAAAAAGCGTTTTCAGCTACAAACCAAGGTTCACAATGATGGGTTTAAAGACAATATGAAAAGGGACAACAAGGTTCATGAGGTGCTTTCAGGGACACAGTGGTATCACAAAAAAGGTTTAGATAGTGTTTTCAGGGACACAATGGTTTTACAAACAAGGATTAAAAGGTGTTTTCAGGGACTCGATTCAAACTCCAAATACAAGGTTTAGGGGTTCGGACAAAACTTCCCAAAAACTGGATCTTAAACAATGCAAAAATGGTTTGTTAAAGGGCTGCTCTCAAAGGTCTGTCAAGGCAACTTCAGTAAAATCACTACAGACCTAAACAAAGTTTCAAAAGTTCCAACATCTCAACAACTATCAAAGTGCTTCCAAGGGATCCATCGGGAAAAAAAACAAACAAACAACACAACAGCAACGTTTGTACAGTGTCTGTCCAAGATGTGTCAACACCAAAGTGAATGAGGACAATACACTGTGCAAGTCGTCCTCGGGTTTCTCTTTTTGTTAAAAACTAATTCTTTTATTTTATTTTTTTGAATCTCTGTAATCTCTCCCTTGAATTTTACTTGTTGTGATCTGCATGTGTTTCATTTATTTATTCATTCATTTTGCTTGAACTTTTTATTGATAGTTTTCACAAAGGTTCATGATGACAGGTGGTAAAGGCCCACCTAAGCTCGATTTTTGCCTTCTCTTTTATGTCTAACATGTAGGTTGGGTCAGTGTTTCTAATAATTTGACTATAACCTCTCCTCAAAAGCTCCTAAGTGATGCTGCAGCTGTGTATTTTGTGCAACAACAAGGTTTCAAAGGTTTTTTCAGTTACACAACCATAAACCAACAAGGTTCTCAAAGATGTTTTCAAAGACAAAATATTAATACAGACATCATGGTTTAAATGGTGCATTCAGGGACACAATAGTAACACAAGGTTTAAATGGTGTTTTCAAAGACACTACAAAAACTACAAACCAACAAGGTTCACAACAATGCCGTAAAAACAATATGTAAACAGACAACAAGGTTCATGAGTTGCTTTCATTTTCTGTGTCTGTAAAGACCATATTTGATATTTTATTTTTCAGGAACAAGTCTTGATCTTAACAAGGTTTACAGACAACATGGTTTAAATGGTGCTTTCAGGGACACATTGATAATACAAGGTTTAAAGGGTGTTTTCAAAGATGCAACAACTCAAACCAACAAGCTTCTCAAAGATGCTTTCAAAGACACAATATTAATACAGACAACAAGGTTTAAATGGTGTTTTCAAAAAAGGTCACTCAGGGTTAAAGGGTTTTATGACATTAAAGGTTATTTTTGTTTTTTTTTATGAAACTTGTGCACAAAAAAAATGCAAAAATGTCAGTTTTACCAAATCGTTCCAACAACTCACCAACGTCTCTAACTAACATGATGGGGACAATTACTGTTACTGTAAAATATATTTATGTATATATTTAAAATTTTGTTTGTTTTTTGGTCTTTCGTTTGTTTTTTTGACCCTCCAGTCTCTGTAATCACCTGAGAACTGTTTTTTTTTTTGTGTGTGTGTTTGTTTGTGGGTTTTTTTGGTTTGTTTCTTTCATTTTGACCCTCCAGTTCCTGTAATCCCCTAAGATCTGTTGGGTTTTTGTGTGTGTGTGTGTGTTTTGTTTGTTTTTGACCCTCCAGTCTCTCTGTAATATTTTTTTGCCCTGTACTCGTCATGGTTTGTGTGTCCTGTTATTCTGTACGGGGTTTTGCTGCATCCCTCTGGCTGCACATGTATGACTCTGCTGAGGTGTGGAGCTGTGGCGTTGGATGTTGCTGACCACCACCAGATTCTGGGAGGATCTGATGCTGCCCCACCTCAATGAGCTGCTCCTCCATCCAGACCGGGACATTCAGGAGTCACTGTCATGCTGAAGGTTTTTGCAAGTTCTCTTTTAATTTTTCTTATTTGTTCTTATTTTATCTGAACGTTTTTGAGAAACTTTTCAAAGTTTTTGTGGTTGTTTTCACCACGGTCCAAATACTCCAGTTTTTCTGAGGGTTTGTAGACGCCCAAGAGAGACTTGATTTTGAAACTCGTTTATTTTGGTTCTTAGAACTTAGAGTTCTTCAGAATCAGGTCCACTTAAATTTAGGTCTGTTTCCAGTGTAGTGACCCATCTTTCTGCTTCTCCAAAAACTATTGGGTGTTGTTACAGAGTGTATGTCCAAGAAGACCCTGACAGACCCCATCACCTACTGGACCGTGAGCCACTGCATACTGGGTCACAGGTGAGCATGGAGTCCAGATCTCACTGCCTACAAGAAACCTGGTTCAGCAGTTTGATCCAGATTTCCTAACCTTGCCTCATTCTGGACCCACTGATGTTTAACTGAAGCCTGCACCAGCACAGAAACTTGCCCCTCGACACCACTGGACTCTACCAGATGCTGTGGACACCATTCCTGAGAAACTGGTACCTAGAACAGAGATACTGATTCACTTATAGGTTAAAATCTGTGCCGGTGTGAAGACTACATTTGTCCTTTTTTTGTTTGTTCGTTTTAAGGACTACTTCCTGCCTCACTGTGAGCCTGTAGACCTTCAACCTTGTTCAGGCCGTGGTGAGTGTGCCTTTGTCTTTAAGGAGCACATATCAGCTGCAGCTTTCTTAAATCCTTGTAACAGACAATAAGAGTTTGATGTTTTTACCCCCACAGCTCTGTTAAATGGAGGCTGAAACTGCGACCACATGCTTTCCTAGACCACTCATAGGAAACGTAGAGCTTTTTGTCCTCTGGGTTTTTTCAGGATTTTTCCCCAGATGGTTTTTCATCTCTACCTCCACCAAACTCACTGAGTCTGAACATAAGGCTGTGTTACTTTTTAAAACTAAAAAATTAACCAGCTTGAACGTCATCTTTGTACATTTTACTGTCATCCTTTATTCCTGTTTCTACTTCATGTTTTTCTGCATTTGTATTACACATAAAACTAACATATTTATATTCCTAATGGTAACTCTGATATTTAAATACTGTGATTGTGTTTGGTAAAACTGTTAGCTTGACTCTCAGTTAAGAATGAAGTTTTGTTTAAGTTGAATGAAAAGCTTTTCTCATTTGCTTTGGTTTTTTGCCTCAAGTCAAAATGTTTAAGTTGCACAACAGGTTAAAAGGTTTTAAAGCTCCTCCGTTTAGAATATTTAAGATATTAAGATATTTCAGATTTACTTCAAACACTGATATGAAGATCCTGTGAGAGGTTTTACAGAATATTCCAAAAATTTTTTACTTAAGTATTTTTCGTAGAAAACACTGTACATTGCAAAATCTTTACAGCATTAGTTACTGAAGTTTACCTTAAAATCATTAAAATACACAGCCTATAAAACAGGCAGTCAACTCAATGTCTCCTCTGCACAATTCAGATTTTACCTGCTCAGTTTGTTTCAATTATATTTTCTTATATGAAAATAAAAGGCTTATTTAAATTGAATTGAAATGAAATTCAGTGTCCAGTTAAAATGTTCAAAAAAGGACAGAAAAAAATGAAAAAAAACAAACACTTTTTTAATCAACATTAAAATTCTTTTAAATTATAAACAGAACTTTTTTGTTTCACACAAATAATTCGATACTTCTAATATACTGGACATGCTAATTATTATTGTGTTCAGTATAAATCCTCATAACTCAAATCTACACATACTGTATTTAAATTGGCAAACTTAAGAACCCTCAAAACATTTCAAGAATAAATCTGACAACTCTTTTCTGCAAACTTAACAAGAACAAATATTTGCTTTCATTCGCAGCTTTTTCTACGCAGTGCAAGCAATTAAAGGTTTATTTTGCCTGTTTGATCACAGCTCTGCAAAGTGAATTAAAATATGAAGTTAGAATCACTCCACACATTGAGACTAATGGTCATATAAAATTCTGGGAAAAGGTTGAATAAATCCCCAGTAGGACAAAAGTTGTCTAAAGATGAAATTTCTTTTTTAAATAAAGAACTTTTTACTTGAACTTGTCTAGATTGACAGGCGTAGGTATAGTATTTATGTACTTTCTCTAAAGACAAATTTAGCCTTGGCCAAAAAACAAACCTAAGCTCTTTGGTGGAACCAAGAAGCTGACTCAATTCTCTCTTGTGTTTTCAGGTTACTACAGGAATAAATCTCACCCAGACAAATATTTTAGATATTTTATCTGTGAGTGTTGAAAATTAACAGACTGGAACAAAGTGAAACTTAAATACAGTTGATTTTTTTTACATTCATATTCCATGACTTATTAATTTAATTAAATTCAGTAAAGCACAGAAAGTCAACAAAGATGGCACACTGTGATGTGAAAGTGTTTTTAAAGCACAGAGAAGTTCACCTGTAGAGTGATTCATAAAACAATAATCGATAATTTAGTCGACACTAAAAATGAGAACTGGCCCTTTAAACAACCTGAGCACTGATATCCTCTAACAGCAGCATTAAAGTCCCACTCCGATTGTACTTTTTTATAACTTTAGGGGTTCTCAGTAGTCTTTAAATTGTGATTATGACGTTTTTAGTCAAAATCAAGTTACCTGTGTCATTTACAAGAGCTTTTCTTCTGCAGAGCTCCAGTAGCTCATTAGCAATTTGCCTCTGAGTCATGGGCGGAGACGCACAAAAATACACAGAAATGCAATTTTGCACTTAGTTTTCTCATGATATGTCCTGAAGCGTCAGAAAAATGAACATATGAACATGTAGACAACAAGAACAACATGATTTTCAACGGAGTGGGTCTTTAATCAGCGTGATGTTTTTAGATTTCTGACAACTTTATTATACCCTAAAGGGCAATTTAATCCATTTCAGTTCAACCCATCCAAGAAACATAAAAAAGACAGACAAATACAGGGGAGGACGGGAACAGGAGAACTTTCGGCGCCCTGGAAGAGGGAAAAAAAAGGCAACTACAAACGAGGCTCCTGTCGGGGGGCACAGTGTGGGATTAGGGAAAAAAAAAAGCACTAGCTTAGTTTACAGTCTCTCGATTCCCACTAAGAAACCAGATAACGGAGCGGATGAGGTAAAACCATCAGAAAGTCAAATGTAGTCCTGTTTTTCGTCTCTGAACTGAAGGTCTGACAAAGTTCTGCTGCTGCTCCAGATCACTCAGACTCCTCTTTGTCTTCACGTTTCCTACTGTTGGCTCATCTGAATCAACATCTGTGATGATTTGTCTGTATTGTACCGTAGGCACTGAAAGCAGCATGTCTATGGTTGGTACTCCTTCAGTATCTGACCAGCGATAACCAGTCTCTGGATCTCACTGGTGCCCTCATAGATCTCCGTGATGCGAGCGTCGCGGTAGTGCCTCTCAGCCGGCATGTCCGACACGTAACCCATCCCACCCAGAACCTGGATCGCCTGATTGTTAAAGTGCAAACAGAAAAAGTTTAAAAGTTGTTCCCACTGAGTTTACTGTCTTTTTGTTGCTTTTTATTTATTTGATGTGGTGCTCAAACACAAAGCTTGTTTTCATCGTAACTTTAAATTTGATGTGTTGCTTGTTTTCTTACCTGATGGGCGCAGAATGTGGCGGCTTCAGACGCCGCAAGCTTGGCCATGGCGGCTTCCTGCAGTGGGGAACAGAAAGAAGTTGATTATTTTGGTGTCTAGGAAATCTAGGAAAAAAATTCTGGAAAAAAAACTTTTATTTCTATTAATTTAAAACATATTTATTCTTACTAATTTTTATTTAGTTATTATTTTAATTATTTGTAATTTTTATTTTATTTATTTATTTTTAATCCTTTTTTTATTTAATAATTTATTAATTTATTATTTATCTTTTTTTTATTTACTTTATTTTTTATTATTCCTATTTTATTCTTTAACTCTATTGCCCTTATCTTGTTGTTTTTATGCCGCTGTTCTTTCTAGTGACCTTGAGTGTATAGAAAGGCACTTATAAATAAAAAATATTATTATTGTTGTATTATTTTTGTTATTAGTAAACCTATAATGGACTGGTTAATTCATGGTTGTTACGATGATTTCCAACTTTTACTCATCACCAGTCACCAAGAAAAGCCAAATCTTTCTAAACAGATCCTGGTGTTAGAAAGGATTGTGTACCTTAATGAAGGGTTTCTTTGAGTCTCGAAGAAGAGCAGCCTTCCAGGTGAGCAGACGAGCGCTCTCTACCGCCATGTTCATGTCAGCCAGTTTGAACTTAAAAAAGAGTAAAAGAAAATACAACAAAGTGTTAACAAGCGTAAACATAAAAACATTTTAAAAAGCCACAGCTGGCTCCCAAATTATAGCACTTGGTTGATTTTAGACCAGTAAGTTTAATTCTAACCTGTACAAGAGCTCTAAAGGCATCATAATGTCGTTGTTAAAGATTGCTTAAAACTCAAGGATTTGTCACCTACAGCTTAATTAAGTCTTTAAAATTTGGCCTTTTTTCGTGTTTTCTGACACTTCAGAAGAAAAGAAACTCATAATAACCAAAGTTTTTGTCCATCAGTCGCTGCTTTTGACACTGAAACACTGATTATAAAACTGAGTCCATGAGGGTGAAAACCAAACAATCCAATCTTCTGTATCACAGACCAGGTGTGATCTTACCTGTACGGCCTGCATCTTCCCTATGGGCGCTCCGAAGGCGGTGCGTTTGAGTGCGTAGTCTGCAGCACAGTCCAGAGAGGCCTGAGCGATACCGAGAGCCTGAGCGGCAATCCCGATCCTCCCGCTGTCCAGTGTTTGCTGAGAGAGACAGAAAAATAAAAAATGTAACCATAAAAGCAGCAGAGCAGTTCTCAGAGGTCTTATTTCTGCTGAACAGAAGTTTCGTTAGAAGAGGATTTCCGTTAAGTACCATGGCGATCTTGAATCCTGCACCTCGAGGGCCCAGCATGTTTCCCAGCGGTATCCTGCAGTCCTCCAGGATGATGTTAGCCGTGGATGTTGCTCTAATGCCCAGTTTGTCCTCCTTCTTCCCCAGAGAGAGTCCCGGGTGAGGCATGGGGACGAGGAAGGCACTGATACCCTGCAGGGACAGGATTCACTCATGTTAGCGACCTCTCTCTGAACAAACAGTAATAATAATAATAATGCATCAGATTTCATATAGACTTTATCACTCTCTGTCTCTCACCTTGTGTTTGAGCTTCTTGTCTGTGGTGGCAAACACGACGGTTGCTGAGGCGTCCCAGCTGTTGGTGATCCAGGCTTTGGTTCCGTTCAGGACCCACTCATCTCCCTCCTGACGGGCTGTTGTGGAGGCTGCGCCCGCATCGCTGCCATTACCTGGAGGTTAAATTCACTATCATTGAGCAGCAACGTCTTACCCCCAATTGTCACCACATCCAGAACAGCTCTGATCCGGAACAGCTGCGATTTTTTGCTGTGCGCCAATTCTTACCATATCCGTTGGTAAAGCGGCAGGACAGCAGGAATCGTGAGAACTCACAAACACCCGCCACATAAACATATAAGCAGTAGATTGTGTCCTTCCAGAGGAGGAAATCTACTTCTAGAATTCTAGAATCAGCATCTCCTCATCCATGGTGTCATTGGGGTGAAATGATATCTAAAACCTTTCACTTGTTCGTCTCCGTCCATTTTCATGTTGTGAAACATGATCAGCCTGAAACATGGAGTGTTTTATTTTGAAAAGAAGCCGGATGTTTTATTTTGTGTCCAGCACAGGTTAATCTGTGCTGAATTTATGGGGCATGCTGCAGTGTCCAGTAAAAAATAGAACTCTTGCGATCAGCTGCGGAGTCCGGCGATCCGCAGAGGAATGATCGGCAGATACAGCCTTTTCGTAGCCGTTCCGGATGCGATGGAAGTTAGAAGCTGAAAACAGTGGCATTCATGAGTCTTTTTTGGCGTCTGAAAGGCTTACAATTGACTAGAAGTGCACGCCGCTTTTAGGAGAAAAGGAGTGTGTGTGTGTGTGTGTGTGTGTGTGTGTGTGTGTGTGTGTGTGTGCATGTGCGTGCATGCCACGGTTTACCTGGCTCACTGAGGGCGAAGCAGCCCACCTTCTCCCCGGTTGTAAACGGAGTGATCCACTCCTTCATCTGTTCCTCTGTGCCGTTCTTCAGGATGGGGCCGATGTAGAGCGACTGAGACCAGAAAACACACACACACACACACACACACACACACACACACACACACACACACACACACTCGCATTAACACTAGCAGAATGTCACACCTGCTACGCACAAACACACACAAAAAAACATATATATGTTTCCGTCATGACTCACATTATTTACTGACACCACACATCCAGTGCTGGCACAGCCTCTGCTGATCTCCTCCATCGCCAGACTGTACGCCAGATAGTCCATCCCAGCTCCACCCAGCTCCTCTGGGACCTCCATGGCCATCACCCCCATGGCCCCTAACTCCTGAACCTGCAGGACAACAGTGACAACACAGAGCAGATTGATTTCCTCTTTGGTTCTGAATTTGGCTAGATTAATCACAACCTCTTCCTCTGCTCCTGCAGCTTTATTTTTCATGTCTTTGAGGGAGTCTGTACCTGTTTGGTGGGGAATAAATGCTCTCGGTCTAGTTTGGAAGCGATGGGGGTCAGTTCTTTGTCGGCAAAGTCTCTGCAGGTCTGTCTGAGGAGCTGATGAGTGTCCGGTAACTCTGCCAGCTGAGTGAAACTCCGACACCCGCCGAGACACAAACCCAGAGCTGAGGGAGAGAGAGAGATGTTGAAGTTTCAGAGCCGCTGATGTAAAACTGCAGAAACTCTTATCTGCACTTTCCTTCTGTTATGATGAGGTCAGGTCAGGTCAGATAATGGTGAGTGCAGCGATAATGCTGCAGCTGATACAGATATATTATCAGTGAGGTGATCGTGAAGAGGTGAGTAACTTAACCACATATTAGTGTGTCATAATGAGTCATTTCAGGCTCCAGTTTTTTTATGTTTATGTGTTTATTTATCACCAAAATAATCACATGTAACTATTTTTAAACTGTGATTTAATGCTGCAGAGGCCTCAAAATAAGAAAACAGTGAATACAATCTTTTTTCAGCTTCTCATACGTAACTTCCGACTGTTTTCCTCAGAGTTATCTCACAGGAAAGGGAACGACTCAAATTCCTGATGGTGTCGGATGAATCCGGTGGTTTTGTTGCATAAGACGCACAAAGCTGTTTGACATTATTCTGAGTGTTGGTCCCTCTGATTGAGCTTTATCTCGGGCCATTCTTATCTTTTTAACACACAGTTTTTACCATCTTGTGTGTCAGAGATCTGTAATCTTAAGTACGGTGTTTCTCAAGGAAGTATTCTCAGGCTCTTTTAATTTCACTACAGGAGTATCCACCTATAAATAATATCTTAAACATGTATTTTTGCTACATCCTTTTTTTTTTTTCTTTTCTCAGTTTTATTGCTGATTATGTTGTTTTAAATTTAAACTTTTCTGTGGACATTGTGATAATGTCATTGTCATGACATTTTTTCGTCATGTTAACCATGAGGCTTAAATCTGATATCCCAACATTTTAATGTAACATATTCAGTCTTTTCAGACTTTCACCGATTTGTTTTTTGTTTTCTACTCCTATATATTTTACTGGGTTTGTTTTATTTTACTTATTTTTGGTGCCATTTCCCCCTAATCTTCACAATCAACCATTTTTGCTTTTATTTTCTCATTGTTGTTATTTTCTGTTTCTTAGTGAAGCACTTTGGCATGGTACTATGTATGAAAGACACGATAAATAAAACTGAATTGGTTTTCTGTTCACACTTTCTATTCTTCATCTTAGTGAAAAAATGAAAATTAATAAAAGTGGTGAACCTTGTTTTTAGGATCATTACATTTAAAATTAGATATACTAGCCATGAGTAAAAAAACAGCTAAAGGGTATGACACTAATTTTTCTATATATTTTGACCATCAGTTGAGCCAATTATGTTTTCCTCTCAGGTATCGAGTGGGGGGTGTCTGCAGAGCTGGGGAGCCCAGCAGATCCACAACCCTCTTTGTGCCCCTGCTGGACAGAGTAGGTCATTGCATGACAGATCCTTCTTGCTGCTTCTTTCTCCAAAGTTATCGTCTTGAATGGAGCGATGTCATGATCGAGTATTTATTTTTAAAATAAATTTGAAAACCTTTGAAAGGAAGTGGGCCGAGTCTCAAGAACTGAACACTATATTTACAAATTTCAATGACTTTTTATTTTGATTCGATAATAATATTTGACCGTGGTCACTTATTTACTAATTAACTTGTTTATTAAATTACATTTCTGGGCACAAAATGGGATCTGTCATGCAATGACCTACTCTGTCCAACAGGGGCGCAAAGAGGGTTGTGGGCATGTAATGGTTTTGGATCTGCTGGGCTCTCCGGCTCTGCAGACATCTAATATTGGAGGTATCAGAACTTTTACTCACTCATATCCTTTATTTCTCCTGTATACTGTCACTGTACAAACAGTTCTTTTTATTCAGCGGCTGTATCTGTAGTTTACAGGAGTCCTTGAAGGCATCATTAGCTCAGTGGCTAACGCTAGATGATTTGGGTGAAAGGTTAACCTCACTATCAGTCACCTTTGTGTCACTTCCACAGCTTTAAAAAATCCTCAGATTAACAGAGATTCGTCTTAAACTTTCTACCTAAACAGTAATTCCCCTGTCTTCGTTTAAAACCGATCAGTTATATTTATATTGTTTACAGCTAACCGGCTAACTTGTAACCTTACCCTTCTAGCTAAGGAGCTAACTATCAAAAACAAGTTAACCATTAAACTCAGTTATGTATAACCTGACCTCTGCGGGTTTTTCTCGCACCCTGTAAAGCTGACAACATTTCGGCTTTAGCTGCTTTATTTACATTCGTCATATTAATCGATAAAACTACATATAGGAGGTAAGTTATGACTGGTTACGTATAGCAGGCTAAGCTAACAAGGTTTACTGTACTATACAGATGGTCCAGCTTGTGCACGTGCAACTAATCTAACTCAAACTAACCCCGAAGTCTAAAAGAAACTAATGTTCTCTATAAAAGTCAAAATAGTTTAGGTAAACCCACCTCTTCTTGCTTTAAATAGTGCAGCCATGGCTCCTCTCCTTTGACTGTAGCTCCAATCTGCTGCTGCTCTCGAGTTCACCTGAGGTGTTATGAAGCCGTCTGCTGCCTTGACGGACTGTCGGAATTATGAGTGTCAACAGTTAAGAACAGCGAGTGGCTCCTGAATTGACAAGTCATGTGTAAGTAGAGTATGTTTATAACCCCGTAATAGAGGTTCAAGGAGTCATTTTAGAGGATTAACAGTTAACCAAGTTGTGTTGGTGTTTATTATGGATGTGAAGAGAAAACTTCAGACATTCATAACCTAGTTTAGCGCTCATTGGGGGATTCGAGAGCTGTTTTTTTTAAGGGTTTTTTTTTAGCAAGTTTTACGTGTTCCTCTTTTACAGAGCTACCCCAAAGTCCCTAAAAGTGGCAAATTTTATCTTATTCCCACAAGGTAATTAACTTTATTTATCGTGAAATAAATAGGGATTACTAATACTGTTAAAAAATTAACTTGTGGGCAAAAGATATTTAATTAGTAAATACAATCAGTGGAGACAATATACACCAACCACACAAGCAGAGCCGGCCCAAACCTCAATGGGGCCCTTAGCAAAATGAGATTTTGGGGCCCTCCATTTCTGCCAATAATATTGATTGTTGATCATTCACACACCTTCACAAATCTCTTTAACATTCCCTGACATGCAAACAAGTTATACCTTTATCTCTGCATTTTTTTCCTCTTCTTCCTCTTTCTTTTCTGTGCTCCTGAGGGATATGTCCTTTTTTGCGACATTGTTTTGCCCCACAACTACCAGCGCTTTGGATGCTCAGTGCACATTGCACAGCAGGAGGCACATAGCGGTTGCAGAGCTTTGACATATCGGCAGTAAGAATCATAGGCCTACATCAGCAGCAGCACTAAAATGTTTTTACTTTATTTTATTTTTACAATAATATGTATTTGATCGTATAGAAGGCATCAATCATACATGCAAAAAGTAAAAAATATTAAACTTTTTTTTTTTATTGCCCTTGGGGGCCTCCTATTGGCCACAGGGCCTTAAGCAGGGGCTTAGTTCCCTTATACCTTGGGCCGGCTCTGGGTTCAAGGAGTCATTTTAGAGGATTTACAATTATTAAGATGTGTTAGTGTTTATTATGGATGTAAAGAAGCTATTTAAGACGTTCATAACCTATTGACCATAACCTATGTGCTCATTGGGGGATTCGAGAGCTGTTTTTTAAGGGTTTATTAGGAAGTTTTACATGTTTCTTTTTTACAGATCCCCCAAAGTCCTGAAAAATGGCAAATTTTAGTTTATTCCAATAAGATAATTAACTTTATTTATCATAAAATATATAGATATTGCCAATACACAATGTTGGCTATCAGGAACACACGCACACTTCTTATTTCTGCAGTTTTCCAAGTTGTTGAAATTCACAGACATTGTGGAATATCAAACAGCTCAAATAATGTTTAAAGCTAAAAATAATCATCTACCAATAAATATACAGAAATTATTCAGTATGCATGAAGGAAGTTATAATTTAAGGGGCAAAATTAACTTTAATCTAACTTTAATTCAGACACAGAGGAAGGGTTTGGGGAGTGGGGTGAGACTTAGGAACAGGTTTACCTTGGGGTTAAATCAATGTTCAAACATGTTTACACAGTTTATAATGAGGTATAAAGACACGATTTTGTAGAGGTACAGGGATGAGGAAGGTGTTGGGTAGCACTAAGTGTTATGAGGTTATTGTTTCTTTTGCTTTGGTTTTTGTTTTTTTGTTTCTTTCTTTTTCATTTTGTTTTGTTGTTTTTATGTGTGTGCTGTATTAAGTGGATGTAGATTTTGTTTTGTAATACAAAGTCATGAACGTACTTTATCTATAATTATCAGGTACATCTAAACAAGGTGCAAGGAAGCTTGGTGTGGTTACTTACTATTTAAAGGGAAGGGGTGGGAGTTCAGAAGTTATTCTTCCTCTCACTCCTTTTCAAATATGTATTTCTATATTTTATATTTAAATATTTTGTCTTACTTTTCTTGTTTTATTTTTTATATTTTAGGTTTTTATATTCAAATTAAACTTCAATCAATCAATCAATCAATCAATCAAATACTGTTCAAGATAATAACTTGTGTGCAAAAGATGTTTAATCAGTAAATACAACCTGTGGACACAATATACATCAACCACACAAGATTGAACAGGATAATCATATTTTGTGCACAAGATAACAGCTTGTTGCCTGAAGATCCTATAAATTAATTACAATTTGAGATTTAAAGATAAGAACTTATTCCTACAAGATGATAACTGGTGTGCACAACCAAACTAAGGAACAACCTGCGTTACAGCTGAGCCGGCTCCACCTTTGATTTAATATTAACTTAACTCTCTGATTCAAGACACAGCTGAGGGTGTTTACTTTCTGTAGATGTCCACTGAGAAGAACAGGTGTGTTAGTTTGTCAGATTTCAGCGGCTCTCAGGGGGTTCTGGTGGTTATTTAGAAGATCTTGAGGATCCTAGAGAAGACACACTTGTGGTTGAGTGGGAGATTCTCAAGATGCTTACAGATGGTTGAGCAGTCATTGACCTACACCCTGCTACCAATTTAGACTCTTTCAGCATTACATCTCGACTTAAAGGGATATTCCGGCGTACAATTAAATTAGTAGGTGAGTTGTGTTTAATCTCTTTGCTAGAGAAATTAGTCAAAGTTAAAAAGATGTTTGGTGGCTAGTACTATGGCTGGGACCCTCTATGTACTGTTGATGAAGTTAGGTGCTGTTCTGAGCATTATTTGTGGCTATAGAGTGGCGTTTTGGTTGAGCGCGTGGCTCTCTGTATTGCTATCCTGCGGTCATTACTAAAGTTGGTTTAACTAGAGAAGCAAGCAGTCGGCAACATTCATCTCTGGAGGAGGTGTCTAACTCAGTGTTACGGTGTGTTTGACTCTAAATTAATTTTGCGCCAGAATATCCCTTTAACTGCCCCCTGCTCGACTCGCTCGTTCTCACTGCAGTACACATTTTCATTCAGTGGAAGTATTACAGTAGGTTATATATTTATTACCCATTTGTAAGGTGTGGTTACATATTAATCACCTGCTGCACATCGATCATTGTGACTGTCATACTCCACTGATAGTCGTCAGCTTTCAGGGGTCACTGACTGCAGCATGTGGCCTGATGTAACTCTTGGTTAAAACCCTCTCATTAGCAGTCAGGTTAGCGGTCTTTGTTTCTACTCCACTGTCTGTTAATGAATCACTAATGTGGTCAAAACATTATGTAAAAGGAAAACAGCTGCATCATCAGATATACAGTGCAGTGAGGCTCCAAGGCCAAGGCTCGATAATAACTGACACTGTGACAAGGGTGACCGTTCATACAACAGCTGTCATCCAGCTTACAGACCAACTACGCCACCTTCTGGTCCTTTTTGAAACAACCACTATGAAACAAATGCTTTATTTTCTGGTATGATCCAGACTGAGTTATTTTATAGGCATTTTTCACACATTATTTTGTGTATATTAAGGGAATGCTTCTGTTTTCTTTTCTTTTATAGAATTTTAACCCCTTAAATTTCTTCAGTATTAAAGTATTTTGACATTTTTCTTTTTGCACTTTTACTGATTTTATCTGTCTTTTTCAAATCCCGATTGAAAACATACTTATTTATGCTGGCTTTTAATACCCAGTAGCATAGTGACACTTTATTTTATTGCATTGTATTTCATTCTTTCTTTTATTGCTTTTATCATTTTTATTTTCTATGTATTATTATTATTTCTATGTAAAGCACTTAGGTTCACTGAAAGGGTTGTTGTAAAAGGCTGTACAAATAAAGAACATTTACATTTACATTTTTTTGCAAGATGCACATTTGTGTTTTCTGTTTTTGTCACACCTCTGTTTAACTTTGTTGTGTTTGCATTAATATTGCTTCTAATCATTAATTAAAGTTCTTTTGATTTGATTTAGCTGTAAAATAAGACAAATTTATATGAAGCCTTTGAGATTTGTAGTCTTTAATCTCTTAAATTCATTCCTTTATGTTTGATTTTTCTTCTTCTAGTAGATAAATTCACTTCTACTGCACATATAGAGCCACCTTTTTCCATTTTACTCAAATTTATTTACATTTCGGCAGAGTTAGCACACAGAATACATGGTTTATTTAAAAAGTGTGACCCTGGAATATTTTTAAAGCTTTTGTATCTTAACTTACAGTGAGCTGGTAATAAACTGAATATAAACTGAGCACTTTTCCTACACAAAAATTACAGTCAAAGGAAGAGGAAAAAGAAAATATCAGGCAACTGAGCATTTATCAATTGTTAAATCAAGCATGAGAATATTTCTGTCAAACCAAAGAAATAGAAATGCTTTAGGCTGCATCATTACAACGATAGTTCTGACTTCACAGATGAAATTCCTAAAAAAAAAAACTCCTTCAATTTTATCCGTGCATGAGAGTGACTTTCCCCAGAAAAAAATAAGGTAATCCAGCCAGGTGGGTTTCAGGTTTTTCACAACATGTTTATTTTTTTAAGCACCATAAAAAGTCAGTTAATGTTGTCCCGCTGAGGTTTGGCTCTCGTTGTCGTGTCTTTCCCTTGGAATGGAGCGCCGATGGTCAAGATTTAGGAAAGTGTTGGAGAAAGGAGGGGGCCATTTGGAAAGATAAAAAGTTGACAGGGCTGCAGGGGGCGCTACAGCACCAGACGCCCGGCAGGTGTGGTTCACTTGCTGGCGGAGGTAAGGGTGAAGCATCCTCTCTGGTGGAACTGCATGTCCCTGATACGACGAATGGACTGGATCTGGGGCTGGAGGGCAGAGAAGTCGTTGTAGTGTCTGTAATCACCGCACTCAAACAGGTACTGGTAGCCTCTGTATCCAGGGTACTGGTAACCCACAAACCTGGGAACACAAGAAGAAGAAGAAGAAGAGAGAAGTTAAAAGTCTATCGGGAAGAGAGCTCACATCACGCCAATTTTAAAATCTCTGCATTGGTTACCTGTGTCTTTTAGAGTTGATTTTAAGGTTCTGTTATTTGTTTTTAAAGTTCTTGAAGGTGGGGTAGTCAGGATCTGAGGAAGTTCCAGTTTTTGGGCGAAATCTTGAATGTAAAATCTACCCCTTTGCAACCAGTTTTCCCCTCAGCTCCTCCTCTCCCCTCCCTCTCTGTTCCAGCAAGCCCCGCCCACAAACAGACGCTCCTGCTCGCTCTTATCGTTCCAATTAAACTCTGATATAATGCAGATAAATACTTCAGATAATTACAAATGGAGCCCAGTCAGTGTGAAAGTAAAAAGCATTGGTGCTACTGTAGATGCCAACAGACTACCAGCAAACACAATGTTTGCAGGACTTCTACAACTAGGATAAAGTGACATAGTCCAGGACCGGAGGTCAACAGTTAAGCGGCGCTACAACACGCTACAGCAGGTCCTGTTTGACAAGAAACACTTCTGTTACAGACACTTGGCTTACTTTGTTAAAGCGGTTTACCTGTCCAGCAGAAAGGTTACAGGGTCACCAAGATCCCGAAGCATCCCCCATCATTATTGACCCGGCTTTTTAGCTCTTGTCCGGGTGGTCTTCCTCCTTTTTAAGCGCCCGTTATTCTGCCAGAGTCTCCTGTATTTACTTTGTTTTCTTGCTTGTGTTGGCAGTCAACACAAATTCAGACAATTTTCCGAACTTTCTGGTTGGTTTCTACTGTCTGATATTGTAGCACGCTAACTTTGTTTGGGCTCCTGAACGACACGGGGAGCAGCGTCTGCCTCACAACCAATCAGGTCGGGGGAGGTGTGGAATGGCAGAGCGCTCTGAAATTTTAAAATGTTAACTACACCTGCATACCCCACCTTAAACGGTCTTGGTCCTTCTTATTTGTCTGATTTGTTTTTATCGTATGAGCCTATTAGAGCCCTCAGGTCTTCAGGTCTTTTAATTGTTCCCAAAGTAAAAACTAAAACATACGGTGGATCATCGTTTCAACATTACGGCCCCATCTGTGGAACAGCCTACCTGCAGACCTGAGAGCGACACCTACTGTTCATATATTTTTAAAAGTAAACTAAAGACCTACCTTTTTAGTCTGGCTTTTAGTTGAATTTTGTTTTAACCTTTTAATCTGTATTATGTGATTTTACCCTATTTTAGTCCTAGAGTAAGTATTTTGTGTTTTATTACCTCTTTTTAATTCACTTACTGTTATTGTTTGATTTGAAGACTGTTCTATTTTAATTAACTTTAAACACTTATTATATTTTACCATAGTTTTAATGTTTTAGGCCCAGATCCAGTGTTTCCCCATCTTTTGAGATTAGATTAGATTAGATTAGATTAGATTCAATTTAATTGTCATTGAACCCAGTACAAGTACATGAACAACGAAATGCAGTTTAGCATCTAACCAGAGGTGCAAGGCAGCAAAGTGCAAGGTATGTACATATGGGCAGTGCAGGTATGAACTGAATATACTAAATGTATATGTGCAATGAATAATATGTACATGGTGTTGGTTACTGCAGGTATGAATAGGCTACACAACAAAAAAAAACAATATCTTATTATGTATATTATCTATATACAGTAAACTGATTAGTGCGGGTGTGAAAAAGAGAGAATGCTTTTTAATTTAAGATGGCGTTTCCTCAGTCATCTGTAGAAAGTTGAAGAGTCCTCACCTGGTCTTTTGTGTGTGCATCTGTGTGTGTGTGAGTGTGTGTGAGTACTGTATGTGTTGAATGGGGGTTAGGAGGGTGGGTGGGGTTTGGTATTTGTACTTGTATTTATTTTACTTCTTTGTTTTTTTAATATCCTGCGCAAATGGACAGCACTTTCTGCTGCATTCCATGTATGAAAAGTGCTTTAAAAATAAAGTTTGATTGATTGATTGATTGATTGATTGATTGATTGATATCGGACATGGAAGAGACTCTAGGGTTCCTTTATAAAAGTCTGGGTTTAAGGAGTCTGTTGTAAAAATCTAGATTCAGAGATCATTCAACAAGTTCTTGGTTTCTTTAAAGACATTCAGGTGGTCAGTGAGGGTCTGTCAAAGTTCAGGTACGGCTTTAAGTCTGGTGAGACCTTTAAATTTCTATAATGGTGTTATTCTGGAGGCCTACATTTACGTCTACATTATAAAACCGAGGCCTTGGTCCATCTTTGTGAGTACTCACGCTCCTCCAGGCACCCTCACGCTGCCCACTCTGTCACAGAAGCCGTGCGCCCAGAGGGTGGGCACATCATCCTCCTGGATCTCCATCTTGTTGCCCTTGAAGTCAGAGAGCTCATACAGGCAGATCTTGTGCTCCAGGCTGTCCTGCAGAGAGGAAACAAAGCACAGGGAAATGAAGCATCAGTTTTTTACTCTACTCCACGTTTGTTTTTTTGCCTTTTTTTAGACTATTTTTTGTCCTCATGCTGTAACTGTAACAGCTGCAGGATGTGAGGAATATTTTGACATCTAGTGGACGGATGTCACGAAATCTTTTGCAGATCCTGATGAACGTAGAGCTCTCTACACTGTTAATCCCTCAAAATTTGTCAGACTTGAGCTCATAAAAGAAAAAAGAAACTCTTCTAGTATCAAATAAGTTTTCATTTAACCCCCTGTAGAAGATTTGTAGATTTTGTCCATTTCTCGCTCATTTCCCCCGATCCTTACATCAGTTTTTATTCCTCTGATAGTATTTCTCAGTCTCATCTGCCTGCCCCCACCCCCTTTTACATGATTATGACTGCAGTACCGTTGGACGCACCATGCGGATGGGCCTGAGAGACACGAGGCAGTCACTGCGGTAGGAGTTGCTCCAGGTATCCCAGCGAGGATACTCTCCCTTCTCCAGGATGAACATCTCCCCACGGAGGTTATTCTGCTCAAAGGCAACAAAGCTGAAGAAAGGGGGGCCGCCGGGGTCAGGGGGAGGCACGGGGGGAGGATTGGAGAGGAGAATTAGAGAAGAGAAAAGACAATGACGTACAAACTTCAGTCAGGTAAAACAGAGAGGTTGGACTAGACTCGTGTCCACTTACGGGCCGCTCTCCACGATGATACTACGCACTTTCTCCATGCCACGGTCACTAACGTTCATACACTCATTCTGGATCTCAATCATCCTGCCCTGGAAGTTCTCCTGGTCAAACAGCAGGATCTGCACATATGGGTTACACCAGAATTACAAAACCAGAACATGAACCATCAAAATGTTCCCCTCCACAAAACGTGTTTTACAGCCGTCACCAGAACAAAATCAAACACGCTGATGGTGTTTTTGTCGCACACACACACACATCAATTTTTGACATTAATCCTGATATCTGAACACCTTTTAACATTTTAGTGAACAATCAGAAGTGACCTGTGATGTTCCATGAAAACAGACAACAACACCACATTTGATGCTACAAGAAATTTATTCTTTTTCAAACAGACATGCAAAAATAAACTGTCACTGCATCCATATACCTTTAATACCTTATTTTTCTGTCTGCTGACATTTATATCAGCCAGTACATGTCATATCAGCTGTTATTATACAAACCTTTAAGTTATCACATGATAAGATCATATAAAATACAGCTGTGAAAAAAAATAAAGAGTTTACTTCTATTTTTTCCTAGTTCTACTTCAGAAAAATATTTTTAACAACATTCACTAAGTTTCCAACTCTGAAATATTATCATTAAGGTGTTTGTATTTGCAGAACCAACAAACAGTCAAAGTGAATCCAGGCGCAGCAGTGTTTTTATGACCTCAAAGTTTGGTTTGTGTTTAATGCTGAAAACATGAACATAAAAAACTATAAGACTATAAATACACATGTATAAAGAGTAGGGCCCAACCAACATGGATTTTTGGGGGCCGATGCCGATTATTAGAATGGAAAAATCGGATTACTGATTAATCGGCCGCTTTTTAATTTTTTTTTATTATTATCTGGTCTCATCTGGAGACATGCAGCTGCCTCAGTAAGAGAAGTAGCTCGATCACGTAATGTGTACTGTTGTTAATTCTACCGTTACTGGCACAAGTAACAGTGTAGCAAGGCTGATAGCAGATGGCTAACTCTAACCTTGGCTTGTATATTACATGGTGCTTCACCATTAACTCGGCGTGACCAAGACCAGCACAGCGGGGAACAACGTGAAGTGGGTTGAACTGAAACTTGTTGATTTATTGTGTATTTCACAAACTGGTTTATTTACCAGAGGTGGACCACTGTCCTTCGTGCGTCCCTGAGCTGCCTGCTTCAGATGAGGTCGCTGCGTCATCTACAGTATAAGTCGGGGGATCTTTTCAAATGGTGGAACATTTTCGAAGTGAAACCAAATCTTATTCTCCGCATTTATTTCTGAAAATATCAGCAAGTTTTGGTCGATTACCGATTAGTCTCAAACTGGCTAAAATTGGCTGATTTAATCGGCTCGCCGATAAATCGGTCAGGCCCAAATAAACAGCAGTGCTGACACTCAGTGAATTATTATTATTATTATTATTATTATTATTATTATTATTATTATTATTGCATTTTCTTTGTATCTAGTTCTCTTCGTCCTCTTGTGTTTTAGGTTCTTGTCTGTATTTTTAATTGTTTAAACTCATGTTTTAGACATTATAGAAGTAAAATAATCTTTTTTTATACTTGTTCCTTTTTAAACGGCTGAATACAAATGTTTTAACATTTTATTAAAAATCCCCAAATCTGTGTTTTCCTGTTTTTGCCTCTGCGTCGTTCGGTCACTTCGTTGTTTACTCTCAGTTTATTCCATAGTCGTCAGGTGATCAGAGCCTCATGATGATTTAAAGAAAGATCTGGATTTTTTTCAGTGGATTTATTTCCTATTTAAGTTATTTACTGTTTTTTATTGATGATCTTTTTAACAGTAGGCGTAAAACTCTATAATATTTCCAGTTTCTATTCAATCTGTTTTAATGTTTCAGATTTGAATTCTGTGGTTAAAATCGTTCCCACTCAGCCGGCTGGATTTGTGAAATCCTTTTTGCATAGTAGAATAGTGGAATTAACAATAATCGGACTGTTATATAATGTACTTTAACTGCCTTTTCTGTATCACTGGGATGTTTAAGCATTTTTTAAAATAAGAGATCATTCTGATTTACTCTTTTAGAATAAAAATAAATCTATTTTTGAACAACTTTCCAGGACCTATGAAAACCCCACTCCACTGAGTCATTATAATTAAATTAAGTGGATAAAGCGAAACCAAAACTATCTGCATGGCTTGACTGGATATATTTCCTTTCAAATTTGGGTGAACTGTCCCTTTAAATAGAAACAGAGCTGATTCAGAATAGCAGCTTTTCGCAGTGACTCACTCTGTAGGTCCCCTGGCTGGGCTCCCCGGTCTTGGTGGCCTTGCTGGAGGCAGCTGGGGCAGGGGCTCCCTTGTCCTTGGCATCGGTGCCCTGGCTGGAGGCGGACTTGGCAGTCTGAGACATGGTGAGGGGCTTCAGGAGAGTCTGGGTGAGGAGGAGAAGTAGAGGTGTAAATGGGAGTGATGGATAACAGAGGTATGGGTGTTTTTAGATGAGTGGTTTTTTGGGGGGATTTGGACTAAATCTGTTGACACAGGAGGCTTATTTGTGCTACTCCGGGGTCTTTGGTGGTGGGCACTGGCTCTGAATGTGTCCCCTCTCTACACTGTTATTAATGCTCTGGTGTGTGTGTCTGCGTCTGTGTATCCTTACCTGCGTTAGTATAGCTTGCTGTGCCGTGTGAGGGAGGCTGGCTCGTGCTGGTCGCCTCGACACTCGACCCAAGCTTTTATACTCTGGCAAAGGCCAAACGTCCAGGCTCAGCGCACAATAGAAAACCTCTCGTCATCACAGTTGGTCCGAGCCAAAGCCAGCAGGTCATCGCATAGACGAGAAACGCCGCCGGCCCCTCTGGCCTGCCTGTAAGCGTTTTACTGTCAAAGGAAAACACTGACTGATGCATTTTTCCCCGTGTGTTGGGCCTGAAGAGCTGTAAGAGAAAAAGGAATGCAAAGGTCCAGGGGGCACAAAGAGGTAATCCCTCGGCTATCACCTACACAGGCTCAAACAGAAACACAACCTATCCTCTAAAAACAAGTTCTCACTCACTGAAACATCTTTTCATCTGGTTCGAAGGAGAAAAACAAGAAAAGGGCAGAAAACAGATGAAAAGACTCAAGTTTGGCACAATCAGTCGTAGAAACACTCAACAGAAATGTCAACAATGGGGCTTGACCCTGATTGATGCTGTCAAACAGGTTTAAAAAAGAAGGAACTAGCTTTCCTCCTTCTCTCAACGATAAACAGCGAACACTAGTACTCATTATATGTCTGTGTTCTTTCCAGACACTGACATTAGCGATTACTCCTGCTAAACAGTGGGAGGTAGCTAGCATCGAGAAAAAACCAAGGCATAAGAAAAACTAAACCCAAAGTGGACGTGCAAAAATGTAAAATTGAAGCCGATAAATCCTGATTCGGCCTCTCGTTAAACTCCTCTGCAGGAAAAGGATGCTTAAATCTTATTGGTCCCTAAAGCTAGTTTCTTCGACGAGGAGTTACAGGTTAAAAGTCGGGCTCAGGTTTGCATAAAGGGGCATGGTTCACTTGATAGGCATGTGGACTCATTGTGGCCCACCTTGGCTCCACCTCTTTGCTGCTGGTCCAGACCGATTAAAGCTAAGCTGGATCAGCGTGGCCAACATAACAACCACCATCATTTGGCTTCAGTAACCAATAGGAGATGTCAACGAGACTGTGTCAATGATTTATAAAGTCTATTTCTAATATGGCCATTTTTAAAGCTCCTGTTTGTGTTGAGTTTGGCGCCCCCTGTGGACAAAGTTATTTTCTAATGGATCTTTTAAAGAAAGTTTTTTATATTATTTATATTTTATTCGGACAAGGCAAGCGCAAAAATAACTTTCGTAGATTTAGCCATCTTGTTTCAGGCCTCCGATTTTGCTTTTTTCTGACTTCGTAACTTAAACGCTGGGAACTAGGGTGTGATGTCATTTTCAGCTCTGACTTTTGACTTCCGAGATAACTCTAACGCAGCACAAGTGTCAATCATAGAAAACATGAACCACCTAATAACTTTTAAAAACGGCGCTGTACAGAAAGACGAGGACTTGAGCACAAACCAGTCTGACAGCAACTACATGTCAACATTGCAACCAGGAGAGAGAAACATTTATATTCTGTGTAATTAATTTCTAAAGTTTGTCCACAACTCCATAAGCTTTGCTGGGTGAGGTGGGATTTATGACCTATACTGCAGCCCATCACCAGAGGGTGCTGTTCTCGTAAAACAAGCAGTCTTAAGCAAACTACAGTCCGACTACGTGCTGCTCATTAAACACACAAAGCAAAGAGGTTAAATAAAGTCTGATGGTTATCTGAGGTTGTTCTCATTCCCTTTAAAGGGGTTTTCCAGCGTGAAATTAATTTGGGATCAAACACGTCGTAACAGAGTTAGACACCCCCTCAAGAGATGAATGTTTCCGACCGCTTTCTTCTCTAGTTATACCAACTTTAGTTGTACTTCAGTTTAGTGATCATGTCTTTAGTCTTTTTCCTTGAAGTAATAATCACCATATTACTCATTTTGCACTGCAGACGCAGTAGTTCTTTTGCCTTAGTGTCTCGGTCTGAGTGTATTTCCATGAAGAAATGATCATAAATGTTCTTCCTTGAGCTGCATCACTCCGCTGTAGTCCGTAATGGACTGGCCTGAGGTCTTGCTACAAACAAGCAGCTGCTGGAAGAGAGTAGGTGAGTTGTGTTTGGTCTCTTTGCTAAAGAAATTAGGCTAAATTAAAAAGATTTTTGATGGCTAGTACTGTGGCTGGGACCCTATATGTACTGTTGATGAAGTTAGGCGCTGTTCTGAGCATTATTTGTGGCTATAGAGTGGTGTTTTAGTTGAGGTTTGTTTATGGCTCCCCAGACTGCTGTGTATTGCTATCCTGCGGTCGTTACTAAAGTTGGTATAACTAGAGAAGCAAGCAGTCGGCAACATTCATCTCTGGAGGGAGGTGTTTAACTCGGTGTTAGTGTGTGTTTGACCCTTTGGCCGGAATATCCCTTTAAGAGCCAGGAACATCTGCAGGCAGGGGTGTTGTTATGTACACAGCAGGTTTCGGCCTTTTTACCTGAACAGAGCTGTCGACTTTAACTCCCCTCTAGTATCTGCTGTACCCCTAAAAACAAACAGGTGAGTTATACTGATGCACGGATTAAAGGTATATCCTCGGAGCAGCAGGAGTGATCAGTGTACGTTTCTGCACAAAAGCACGGCGGGCTGATCTTACTGATGATTTAAAACTGAAGACACACTGAGAGTATGAGACAGAATTTAACAATGACTAATGCCTTGTTATCTTTACATTGAAGACAGGCTGTTAACCTTTATGATATGATGATGAGCAGAGTCGGCGTAGTGGCTCGCTCAGGTCACTACATGGGTAATGGGCTTTGAGACTGAGAAGCTGCAGAGCCTGAATTTATAAAGCATTTAAAACCTCGGACGTGTCATAAACACCCAAAATACCACAATGTAGCACCTTTGAATCATATCCATATAAGTGTAAATGAGTAAGTGAATATATTGAACTCAGATGGAGCTCTTTAATTTGGATTAAATACAAATCCTGCTGCACTGCCTAAGGTTTCATCTGTCCTCCTTTCTTTAAATGAGCAGTCCTCCTCAGTGTTCAGAGGGGAGAGAAAGGATCTTGTTGTTGTTGTCGATGATGATGATAATTCTGGGATTACAGCGGGATTAAGTGTCAGGATTATGTCACCTCAGCCTGGATCATTTCCACCATGGAAGCAGGATTAAACAGTGTTTGATATCTGCAGATTAGGTGTGGACTAATCCTGTGCTGTAATCTGTGTGGTCCTGTTAGAGGCTGGGTTTCAGACCTCAGTGTGTTTTTGGCCGAGTCTGAAAAGTGTCTGAGCGGATAGTGTCCAAAAACTCTCATGTCAGACAGAAGCACAAAAATACACACACAAAAAAAGTTTCACCACTGAATAAAATAACTTTCGGTAACTTGGACAAAAGTTCTGGTTAAAACAAAAGTTCACTTTGATTTTGGATAAAATTGAAAATATTTGTTATGAGCAGTAAATCTAGTAAAACATTCTCATCCATGTCTCTATGAATGTCTGTCTGTGGTTCTCCACTCAAAGCCCATTGGTCTGTTTAAATTTATCAATACGAAAATTCATACAATCATCAGACCTAATCATTAAAAAAAACTTTATTTATAAAGCACTTTTCATACAAATTATGTAAAACAAAGTGCTTCACAGTTGATTAAAAACAATCCCACATGCCCTTCCTCCACAACCATACGACTGATTTAACAGTCTCACACACACACACACACACACACACACACACACACACACACACACACACACACAGAGAGAGAGAGAGAGAGAGAGAGAGAGTACGTTGAACTAGTTGAGGAAGCACCATCAGAGGATCAGAGAGCCGCCCACAGCCACAGGACACCAACAAAGGACCAAGAGGAGAGGTGTAGCAGACACCCACCTCCACCAGGAACCATGAGACAGGACCCTGCAACCACAGCCGACCATCGCTCCTGGTGCAGAGAGCTTCACCAGAGGAAACACTGGGGGTCCTAAAAATGATTTTAAAAAAAAAACTAAAATATGAATAAAACAGAGACTTTAAAATCATGTATGTAGGTAAGAATAAATACAAATATGTGTGTTAAAAAATAATTAAAATGATCCTTCTTCATCATTTTTCACAACAGTGTAAAAAATGTAAATGGGTGTTCCTCAAGGTTCTGTGTTAGGCCCCCTTTTATTCCCCCTTTACAGTAATGACCTCCAACAACAGTGTCATAGGATAGATCTTCAAATGTATGCCAAGGATATATGTAAAATAAAGTTTGTTTTTAATAGTAACTGCAGATGAAAATAACCTTTAAGCTAACACCGCTACAATGAACTAACTGGAAACATTCACATGTTAAATTATATTTAGTCCCTTAAAATTTTATTAAAGTATTTTTAAAGAAATTAAGTGCCCTCACAGATCTATACTCACTCTGTTTGGCTTCATTTTTCATTTCACCAATAAAACCACAAAACCCCAGGGAGCACGCAGATGGCAAAGCGGGTTAGCATGCCCCACTTATGGAGCCAACAGTACCCACACTGGTCGCAGGTTTGGGTCCAGCCCTGACCATGTGCTGCATGTCCTCCCCCCCTTTCTCTCTATCTCCTCATACTTCCAACCTGTCCTGTCAATAAAGGCAAAAACTCACCAAATTAAATAAACACAATATCCCTTTAACGCCATGTACACATGTAAGAATATATATGTATGCTTGTAGGCTCTTACTTCCTAACCTACTCTTACCTACTTTTAAGTGTTTTTATCATGACTGTTTGATGCCAAGGTGGTGAAGTGGTTTGTGCAGTTTCGGGTCAGCAGCCCTAAAGCTGGAGACTGTTACCACTGTTTCTCCTGCTGTTACTAACAAAACTAGGTGAGTATACAGATGGCCATCTTCAGTTACCTTCCTGTCGAACTTGTAGTCATCAGTCTAACAACACTTTTAGAGGTCCGAAACTATGGAATAATCTGGATGCATCTCTAAAATCAATAACATCCCTCAACTCCTTTAAAATAGAATTAAAATCTCATCTGATCATGTCTTAAATACATCATTATTTGTTATGATCATGTTTCTTTCCTTTCTATGAATACTTACATTGTCTTTATCACAGTTTGATGATTAGTCTGTGTTCCATTTATGGCAATTTGTATCTGTTTGACCTTTCCCTAATCATTGTATATTTGTAACCTCTATGTCTTAGTTACTTTGTTGTCTGCACCTTATGCCTTCTCTGCCCTGATGGGAGTGGAACTTTGTATAAGCCTATCGGCTTTGTTCCCTTCTTGCACTGTTGTTAATCTGTGCTAAATAAATAAATAGAAATACAAATACAAATAGTGAATGGGTGGTTATGGAAACTAGAACCCTTACAGACTCTCTGAGGATTAAAGACCCACCTTTTTCATCTGACTGTTAATTCAGTTTTATTATCTATTTCTCTAAATAAGCCCATCTATTCACTTTTTCTCGAATCTATATGATCTTTACTGATTCGAATTTTGCTTCCTATCCTGACAGGTTCAATTGGTTTTACTGAAATGACTTCATTTTTATATGCCTTAATCAGGGCTTGACACTAACTTTTTTCACAAGGGGCACATGTTCTCCTAAGTTGAAAAAGTAAGGAGCACACAAAGAACTTTAGGGGCACAATGAAATTGATCCAATAATGTTTGTCTTATCGTCTGACCTTCTTACTATTATTTGAAATCAATTTTAGGTCAATTGGTCACATGACATGGAAGCCCTTGAATTTTTTTTTCAAAATTTGCCTTTAAATTTAACACATAAATTTTTAAGAGGACATATTAGGGAAATGAAGAGGTGTGTCTTATTGTCCGACCTTAATACTATTATTTGAAATCAATTTAAGGTCAATTGGTCACGTGACATGAAAGGAAAACAGCTTTTTATGAGAACATCAACTAGAACATCATTCTAATTTATTGATGGTCCCTTATTCAACACCCAACGTTAACAGCGAGGATGTCAAGTAGATTTAACCACGCTGCTGTTGTTATTCCTGGTTATGGAGAGTGAGAAGACACTGGTAGATCTGCGGTGAATGTCCGTCGAATGTCAAACCTAAAACTAACTTCACTGCGGTATTTACATGAAAAATCATTTGTTACCTCAGCTGATTTTTTTATTGTGCACATGTGCCCCTAAATACATTTTACAATTCGCACACATCTATTTTTAGTCAAATGCAAAGGAAACGGTCGTACTGTTGAGCCCTGCCTTAATTATTGCTTTAGTTTCTTTTGTGAAGCACTTTGGGCTGTAAGCTTGTATAAATGTATGTATGGTTTTATATACAGTGCATCTGGAAAGTATTCATACCACTTCACTTTTTCCACATTTTGTTATGTTACAGCCTTATTCCAAAATGGATTAAATTCCTTTTTTCCCTCAAAAATTCTACACAAAATACCCCATAATGACAAAGCCAAAAACTTTTCTTTGAACATTTTGCAAATTTATTAAAAATAAGACACTCGAATGTTGCATATACATAAGTATTCACACCCTTTGCTATAAAACTCAAAATTGAGCTCAGGTGCATCCTGTTTCCACTGATCAGCCTTGAAATGTTCCTCCAACTTGATTGCAGTCCACCTGTGGCAAATTCAGCTGATTGGACATGATTTGGAAATCCACACCTGTCTATATAAGATCCCACAGCTGACAGAGCACGTCAGAGCACAAACCAAGCCATGAAGTTGAAAGAACTGTCTGTAGACCTCCGAAACAGGGTTGTATCAGCGCACAGATCTGGGGAAGGTTGCTGCATTGAAGATCCTAAAAAGCACAGTGGTCTCCATCATTAAGAAATGGAAGATGTTTGGAACCACCAGGACTCTTCCTAGAGCTGGCCGCCCAGCCAAAATGAGCAAGCAGGGGAGAGGGGCCTTGGTCAGGGAGGTGACCTAGAACCCGATGGTCACTCTGACAGAGCTCCAGCGTTCCTCTGAGGAGATGGGAGAACCCTATAGAAGGACCACCATCTCTGCAGCACTCCACCAGTCAGGCATTTATGGTAGAGTGGCCAGACAGAAAAAGCACATGACAGCCCGCTTGGATTTTGCTAGAAGGCACCTGAAGGACTCACAGACCAGGAGAAATGAAATTCTCTGGTCTGATGAAACAAAGATCGAACTCTTTGGCCTGAATGCCAAGCGGCACTGCGCACCACCTCGCCAATACCATCCCTACGGTGAAACATGGTGGTGGCAGCATCATGCTGTAGGGATGTTTTTCAGCGGCAGGAACTGGGAGACTTGTCAGGATCGAGGGAAAAATTAATGCAGCTAAGTACATCGAAATCCTTGATGAAAACCTGCTCCAGAGCGCTCGAGACCTTTGACTGGGGTGACACTTCATCTTCCAGCATGACAATGACCCTAAGCACACGGCCAAGAAGACAAAGAAGTGGCTTCAGGACAAGTCTCTGAATGTCCTTGAGTGACCCAGCCAGAGCCCAGACTTGAACCCAATTGAACATCTTTGGAAAGACCTGAAAGTAGCTGTGCGCCGATGCTGCCCATCCAACCTCACTGAGCTTGAGAGGATGTGCAAGTAAGAGTGGGGAAAATCCCCAAATCCAGGTGTGCCAAGCTTGTTGCATCATACACAAGAAGACTGGAGGCTGTAATCGCTGCCAAAGGTGCTTCAACCAAGTATTGAGTAAAGGGTGTGAATACTTATGTATATGCAACATTCGAGTGTCTTATTTTTAATAAACTTGCAAAATGTTTTAAAAGTTTTTCGATTTGTCATTATGGGGTATTTTGTGTAGAATTTTTGAGGGAAAAAGGGAATTTAATCCATTTTGGAATAAGGCTGTAACATAACAAAATGTGGAAAAAGTGAAGTGGTATGAATACTTTCCTGATGCACTGTAGAGTTGATTCTTCCTTTTCTGTGGCTAAGATGGTTTGTGGTGATGTTGGCGCCACATGATATTGTAAAGATGTCATACTTAAAGGTTTTAGAAATATATCCTAATCACCGTCAATATAAATTAAACTCGTGTTTATATACGATTATCATACTATAGTTCACAGCAGTATGGTTAGCAGATAAATAGTCATGTCTGTGAGCCTATGTCCTTTATTTTAAATTTCCAGGAGTGATCCCAACATTTCCGAGTGGAAGGATATCATTTTTTTTTTATAGCTGACACAGATAATGAGAAAATACACCTGTTGAGCTGTTTTGATTCACTGCTAACCCTCTGATCATTCTAAATTAATATCTGCCTCATATACAGTAAAGTTATTTTTTAAACAGTAATCAGAGTCAGTTCAATTATTTAGAAATGATCTCATGACAGTGGCTGAAATTCAGATCCTGTGCATGAATACCTTTTGGCTCAGAGGAAATAAAGCTGTTGTTTAGAAAGTCGTGATTCGCATTCAGTGCCTTTGCTCTGTTGTTGACGAGTGGTTGGTTATGTAAGCAGCCACACACACACACACACACACACACACACACACACACACACACACACACACACACACACACACACAAACACACAGGAGTGCTGGCCTACAGCAAAAGACGAGACTGTCTGTGGTTGAATTGAGGAGCGTTATCTTTTTAAATGTAAAAAACAGGAATATGTATAATTTTAATTTAAACTCTAAAGACAATAAAACACCTCTCTGTGATGATCTTTAAATCAAGCAGAAATCTTTGCTCCATCACTCCACTTTAACTCTTCTCTGTGTTACAAAACTATGTGGCAGCCAGTGTGTCACAGACTCAGTCAAGGGAGCGTCAACAAAGAGAGTTTCTCCATCAAATCTCAGATATGTTTTTAAATTGTTTCTCTCCTAGTTCATAATCTTCACAATGAAACGTTTTTCAAATATGTCAGATGCATCACTCAATCTGTTTCTTTTTCTGCTTTGAAAATGTGAATATATGGAAACGTCATACAGGTGAAAGTACTGGAAGTTCCTGTTTGTGTCTCTGTCAAGTTTAGGCTTGTTGTTGCTGAGGATCTCTACATAAATGGGCTTTTGTTATTTGAAAACTGACTATCACATTATCATGACCTTGGTGGAAAAAGGAGTTCAACTTTAGGTTTGTGTTGATGTTGGCGCCCCCTGTGGACAGACTGGCACTTCTTATATCTTTACTTACCATATGCGGCCAAAATGTTTGAACTTTCCATCCCTGCTGTTTTTGCCTTGTCCTGGGTAAGTTGTGTTTACTGATGGAACACCTTGTCCGACTATCTTTAAATGTACCAATTTAACAGTTGCTGTTTTGACCGAGTGCAGTTGATTGCCTCGTGAGCTTAAAACAGACTTTAAAACCAATAAAACAGAAATATTATATCTTTTCATGTATGGTCTCATTTCTTTTAGCAGCTTATGAGAAGAAGATTGTGTTACCGTTTATTAATATTTCCAAATTTAAACTTCCCGATTCAACAATCTAAATCATACTATAACATGAATAAAAGCAGGGGACTGGTGCAGAGGTAGACCAGCAACTCCCACATCCCGCAGAGCTCAGTTGCTCCTTTTGTCGGTGGAGTCCAGAGGCTCATCACAGGCTGATTTATGGCCCTGTTCTTCTGGTGGAGAAAATTGGTTTCACTCCTAAATAGGCCTGTCACGATAACAAATTTTGCTGGACGATAATTGTGCTACAAATAATCGCTGATTAACGATATTATTGACACCATTTTTTAAATTATAGATAATGATATTATATGGCATAATAATGCGAGTACACCATGTCAAAAGTGATAAACTTTAATTTCCACACGAGAACAACACTGGTTGTTTTCGTTGATTAAAATATTTCCCTTTTCTCCCAGAACGAATACGTAACGTTGACGAGCTAAACATAAGTCGGAGATGACTAAAATGTGACGAGACGAAAGTGCGTTTACGTTGATGGGACGAGACGAAAATGACGAACAGAGTTGCAAAACTCAGTCAGTTAAACGCTAAACATATAAGAGCAGCTTCAGTCCGCTCTGACAGCTCTCATCAGCCTGCTGTGCTCCTCCAACACACAGACGCGCACGCGCGCACACACACACGTGGAGTTTTGTGGTTGACGAAAACAAAACTGGTTTAAAGCCGAAATATTCCCACACTTGGGCTGCTGCGTTCGGTTTAGACACCAAAGCTGTCGTGTTCATTCTGTTTGCTTGCTTTTCACTCACGACGCTCACTTGCAGCACTGTATCCAAAAAGTCTGTGTCTGTGTGCCTGTGCGCGCCAGCCCCCTCGTGACAAAGACACTGAATGACTGACAGGAGGGTTCACTAACTCCGTTCATTCCGCTATAGAGCCAACGCCCCCAGGTGCCGAGAACAATGCGCAGAGTGAGACCTCTTCTCTCATCCAGCGTGTTTGGTAGCGAGAGAGGAGGAAAACAAACGCACGTCAATTATCGAGGCTGGCAAAGTTATCGACCTCGTTTTTATTTATCGAGCGATAAGGCGATTTATTGATTATCGCGACAGGCCTACTCCTAAACAAGGTCCTTGACTGTCAGGCACGTTTCTGTAACCTTGTCGGACACTCGGAGAAACAATCTGAGCTTGTCAGGCAAAGACAAGATCTTCGAGGTCAACTTGCAGCCATTACAACAAATAAAATTTATGAAGCGTTCATATTTTTTGTGCCTTCTTGCCATTTAAACTCTAAAATGTGGAAATAAATGATCTTCGGTCTGAACACTACTTCCGTTTTTTATGACAGGGACAAACTTGAGCTCAAAATTGTCCCTTTACTGACCAATTGTCCAATTAGGAATCCAGGAGTCTGATAGTCTGATTTTTTGATAGTTTAATATTCAAGTTAAATTTCCTACACTATTTGGATTCTTCATCAAACAGCTGATGATGGTAATATTATTTGACTACATCATGAGATACTTAAATGGCTCGTTTTAATAGTTTTGTACGTTTAAAAGCTCCTGTGAGAAACTTGGGGTTTATGTTGACTTCAGCGCCCCCTGTGGAAAGTGACACCTCTTTTCTTTTTGACCGTGACATTTTCTGACAAATCTCTTTATCCTGCTTTCAGTCAGACATCACTTCTTGAGGACAAAGTTAAACAGTTTGTATTTCAGAGTGTTACTCCTCCCCCCTCACAGTCAGGACCATCTAGACTGTATATAGAATGGATGTCGTCTGCCTCCTCGCTGGGTGAAGCCACTCCAAGGACAGCACCCTCTGGTGACGGGCTGCAGTTTAGGTCATAAATCCCGCCTCCTCCAGCAAAGCTTATGAAGCTGTGGACAAAATTTTTAAATTAATGACTCGGAAGATAACATTCTTTCCCCCCTGGTTGCGATGTTGACATGTCGTTACTATCAGACTGGTTTGTGCTCAAGTCCTCTTTTTTCTGTGCAGCTCCTTTTTTAAAAGTTATTAGGGGGTTCATGTTTTCTATGATTGACACCTGATACAGCCTATGGGCGTTCAGGGATTGCATAGCTCACCTGGGGGATATGCTGTTTGAGCCGAGCGTCATCACAGCGACTCTCAGCGACTCTCCTACCGAATGCGTACAATGCTACTGCACAATGTTGGTTTCAGGAAATTAAGAAAAATTGCGGAAATACCGAGAGCTTTTTGGCTTTGAATCTGTATACTGGCGGGAGGCAGAGCCAAGTTGTCCATAGTATATACAGTCTAGGGCTGGGACAGGTATTTAAAATCATCAAAGTTGTCTGATCTTGTTGGTGGTTTAGTTTGTTTTTGTGGGTTGTAAAAAGACATGTTTGTAAACTTTGGTGAGTTTCATCGCTGGTTGGAAAATCTCTCACAGTAGCTTTAAGGAAAAAGAAAACAGATTTTTTAAAAGTCTGATGTGCAGGTGACTGTAAAGACGATGTAACGATTTGTGTGTTCAGATTTAAAGCCAAGACCGTTCTCATCCTAGCCCGCTCTCACTCACGTCCTCGTCTGTACTTTCTCCTAAACTTCTGCTCTATCTTGTCTCTCTTTACTCCCCTGTGTCCATGTCCACTGCTCTGGGTGATAATGTGGCGTCTGCACTTCTGCCCCTGCACAGATTAAGCATGCTTTTGTCGGGGGGGACAAAGAGAAAAAGGCCCCTCCCTTGCTGCTGAGCCGGGGCTTTCAGCATGGCCCCCTGCCAGGGGAGGCTTTAAAAGGGTGGGGGCGCGTGGCGCCTCTCACTCTCACGGCAGGACGACCGAAGGGCATCAAAGCAAGGTGAGTCCCTGTCCCTCACCCGGCACAGCTCAGGCAGGGCAGCTATCAGAGTCAGGTACCCACACACAAAAATAACCCCCAACACAGGAGCCCAAAGGCCACCACTGAACCCGGTGGGAGAGATAAACAGAGGCGGAGAAAATGGCCAGAAATAAGATGAACAGATAGAAGGGGTGGAGGACAGAAGTCTGACGCCTCTGGCATTTCGGCCCCTCTTCTTTTTCGTGCCGTGATTATAAATAGACTCTGGTGCTTTCTGACCGGAAACCTTTCATTCAGGATCATTCTAGTCGCAGAGCTATTACGGTGCTTTTAACCCGCTACAAGAGACGCTGCTGCTGCTGCTGCTGCTGCTGCTGCACAGGCCGGTTTACATACTGATTACTTGCACTTTGTAGCACAAAAGTAGGGCGTGATTAAAGCTCTGCAGCTCCGGCGTTCTCAGAGTGAAATCAGAAAATCTCAGTCAATATTTCACTTTAGTCACCTTTCTGTGAATTCTTCAATCTAAAAATTATTGTGTATCAGACCTGAACTTTTAACCAGCTTACCTCTCAGACCATTAAGTCCCAGCCATCTTCTTGTTTTGGTAATGTCTGCTCTGAAGGTCTTATTTCAACCAATTTGCGGTCTTTTTTTTTCTCCCAGACAAGATGACTCACCATTGCACCAAGTTCTCCGGCCACTGGAAGGTGAGTCTGCAGACAGAAACACAGATACATCATCTCACTGGAAGACCTTTAAAACTAAAAGTTTATTATCTCTGAGACGTGATCAGCTGTCTCGACAGAAATGACTCTGACATTTTCATAAAACTTGAGAGGAGCACAATTTATGAGCAACTTTTTAGGGCAGAGCTGCCATCGTTGTTCAGGCAGAGATGTGAGAACTGTAAATGTAACTGTGACTTTTTCTACCACTTTGTTGCATTTAACAATCTCTGCTTTTCCGATTAAACATCTTAAATTACCCTCTGAGTTGATTTCTTTTCTTCTTTGGTACATTTTTGCCGCTTTCACATGCCGTTATTTCGTCCACAGATCATTGTCTTCGATGAGGAGTGCTTCCAGGGCCGCCGCCATGAGTTTACCTCTGAGTGCAACAACGTGATGGAGTTTGGCTTCGAGACCGTGCGCTCTCTTAAGGTGGAGAGCGGAGCGTGAGTACACAGACAAGACACGCACAAATAGTTTTTTTTCACGAGCAGAAAAATCACAAAAGCCTAAGAGAAAATGAACAGAAATGCTTATGAGTTTCTATTTTCCAAATCAGACCTGTAGAATTTCCTCTCCTGTGTTTATGACTTTCATAACAGGTGAAAAATGTTATTCTTAACCTCATTTTTCTACGTTTGTTTTTATATTTTCTCCCCTGAAAGCAGGTTTTTAAAATAGGGCTAATTTCCTCCCTGTGCTGCAGATTTGGCTGCTGTTGAGTCTGTCACAGTAAAAAGAAATACTCCTACTAATGTCAGATCAACTGCAAACCTGCAATAAGGCTCACTACCTTTAGGAGAGTGTTTAAGAATAACTCATTTAGAAGAAAACAGGACTGGTTTTCTGTTTGAAAGAGGGACTTGTTGGGAACATAAGAACAAAAATGTGTATTTTCTGGCTAAATAATGTTAAAAAAAAATAATACCTTCACTAACTACAGTGCTGAATTAGTTTTTTACTTACGAAAATAAAAGTGGTAATACAATCAATATGATACTTATGATAATGTGGTGCTAATGTGCCAAAAGATTAAGTATCTCCTTGTTTAAAAAAACTTTATTGAAGTACATTTTAGAAAAATGCTCCATGACTTTCATTTCAACAACCGTCATCTTAAACAACAGATTAGAACATAAAGACATTATTCTGACTTTACCCTCTTAATTGATTGCTTTACTAAGACTTTATTTTCATGAGTAATGATTTTACTACGGCTTTATTCTCGTTATTACTTTACTTTAACTTTACCCTTGTAAGTAATTACTTTACTTTGACTTAATTCTCGTAAGTAATGACTCTATTACGACTTTATTCTCATAATTGCTTTGATTCAACTTTATTCTCCTAAGTAATGATTTTATTATGACATTAGTCTCATAAGTAATTACTTTACTTCGGCTCAATTCTCATAAGTAATTACTTTACTATGACTTCATTCTGGTACGTGATGATTTTACTTCGACTTTACTCTCATAAGTAATTACTTCACTCTGACTTTTTTTTCGTAAGTAATGGTTTCATCACGATTTTATTCTCGTAAATTTATTACTTTAATCTCGAAGTCTTTTTTAAAATTTTTTTTTTAATTTATTTTTTCTTAATGTGGCCCTAATACTCGTAACTAAGAAAGACTAACAATGTGGAAAAATTACCACCAAAATTACACTTCCTGACAACTTTTTCAACAATATTAGCATGAAATCTGAAGGTAAGCTAACTGCTGAACAAAACAACTGCGATGGAGAAAAGTGGTTTCAGGTTTAATGATACAGCAACAAAAATAAATAAAAAAATCACAGAAAAAAATATAGATACATTAAAATTAATGGAAAACAAGGAGTTACTCACTAACCAGTTAATACTCACTTCTCCGATCCAAACTGGTCTCAAAACTAACGGTCAAAAGAGCGAAAAAACTCCTGACCAATCAGCGACCGTCTCCCGTCTCCAGAGGCAGGCCTTGAGGGGCTACATGTCTTGTCTGTCTCTTTGATTGATAGCTGTTAAACCAATCACATCCAAGAACAAAGCATATCACTGAAGTTATCGGTTTTTTCGTTTGGAATAAAAATGACGGCAATGGCAGGCTTTACCCACATCTAACACTGTGTACATTTTTTACATTTAGAAACAACCATCTAAAGGAAATTTCTGTTAAATTTAGCATCTATCTACCAGAACTCTATTTCTCAGTTTCACAGTTGAAACCAAAAACAGAAAAGGTTGTAACGATAAGGCTGACTAAACCCATTTTTCGCCTGTTCATGAGTCATAAACACAGGAAATTAGATTATTTTTATATTGGGAAAAATCTGATCACTAGATGTTTTTAAGGGCAGGAACATTCCAGAGTCTGCACATTAAATCTGTGCCACACACTCGTGATTATGTTGCAGTTTGTGTGGAGAGCAGTGACACTTTTTTCTGTTTGTCTCCCTCTTAGTTTTGTCAAAAATGTGCATTTCAAGCAAACTGTGATTTATAATGAGTTATCCTTAATTCAAGATTACCTGTGAAGTGACCTAACATGTTTGGCCGCCTCTGGTGGGTCCCATAGACTGTATATAGAATAGTATTAGTATAATATATAGTATATACAGTCTACAGTGGGTCTCTACCTTCAGGGTCTCCAAACTGAAGCAGCCAAAAACTTCCAGCTATCGAAGATTGATAAAGTCCTCCAGAGAGAGGGAACGTTTTATTTATCAATCCATAGAGACATACATATAACATAGTACAATTGACTGATTTCCATTAAGCAAAGTTTGTGTTCAGATGTTTTAATGTATTTTCTTACATTAAAGACTACAGAGTGCACCTCTGTAGTTCTACAGATCCACCACAGCAGCTTCAAATGGAGATTACAAAAATGTAAAAATCACTCAAAACTCACTGAAAACTACTCTACCTGGAAGAGAGTGACCAAATTCTGTTTATCTCAGCAGCAAACATGCACTAACACTAGATTTTCTGCAACCATGTCACTACTATCCTTAATATTTCTATTGTTTTATACTGTACCCAGATTAACGTTAATATTATTTTTCTTTTAACTGACCATTTTCATCTTTTATTCAAACAAAAACTCTTCTAGAGACATGTGTTGCAAATGAACATCCTCTAAAAAAAACTTTGATATATGCACTGGATAACTGCACCCAGTTTTTGTATGTGTATTATATCTGTCTCTAAGAAATCAACCACAAACATTTGAAACATGACCCCTGACGATTAAAAACAAGCTGTTTGGCTACAACTAGTTTCCAACTCCCGACTCAAGTTAGACTTTGAGTTACTATATATTAAAATGATGTGTGTGTATATATATATATATATATATATATATATATATATATATATATATATATATATATATATATATATATTTCTGAAAATATCTTTTCAGAAAATCTTTACCGATTAGTCTCAAACGGGCTAAAATTGGCCCTACTACTGATAATTTCACAGATAATTAATAATTTTCATTATTTATCCTGATTAGAATTCTGAAAGACTGAACAGTTGTATAGTTTTACTTGAAAGTTGAATTGAAGCTGATTACTACTGCAGCTCTTCTATTGGAGGAGACATGTAATGTGAGACCTGCAGGTTTTTCTTGGGTAATTAGTGCAGCTGTGGGTATTTGAGATTTCGTCATTATTTTTGTAAAAAGTATTGTTTTGTTATGCAAAGTAAACCCCCAATTAAATTCAAGAAAGAAAAGATGGACGACTATGATGTTTTATTATGGAAATACGCGTCAACTACATGCTCTGGTTCGTCACCTCGGAGGGTCTTCAATCATTAGCTGATTGAAGCTGCATTCATATATAGGATACACACAATAACACTGCTTTTAAACAAATGAACGAAATATGACAACAGGCTAATTATTCCATCAAACTCTGTTACATTTACATTTGGTATTTGATAATGATCATTTTTACTGCTGTATCATCCTCTTCAATCTGAGGTCAGTAAGTGTTTTAATACAAAAAGAAGATAAAGAAAGAAGAGCTATGGATATGTTAATGTCCTCTGTGGTTTGTTCACAGCTGGGTGGGTTACGAGCATGCCTCCTTCCTGGGGCAGCAGTTCGTCCTGGAGAGGGGAGAGTACCCCCAGAGCGATGCTTTTGGGGGCAGCAACTCTTATCACATTGAGAGACTGACCTCCTTCAGACCTATCGCCTGTGCTGTGAGTTGACCTCGCTTTAAGTCTTTCCTGAATCGTTTCTGTCATTGTTTCGCTCTGGATGTCTGGACAAACTGCTCAAAAACATACACGGAGTGTGTTTGTGTTTGTTTACCCCCCCCCTGCAGAACCACAGAGAGTGTCGTATGACTATCTTTGAGCGTGAGAACTTCCTGGGCCGTAAGGGTGAGCTCAGCGATGATTATCCCTCCCTCCAGGCCATGGGCTGGTGCAACAACGAAGTGGGCTCTCTCAAGATCCAGTCTGGAGCGTGAGTTTCCACATTTTCTAGTTTTCAATTTTCTCAAGCGGCTCAGAAATAAGCCTGGTTAGAGTTTCACAATCTTTTGCAACATCTAATCACTACTTCCTCGTCCCTCTCTGTGATTTCCCAACAGATTTGTGTGCTACCAGTACCCTGGTTACCGTGGATACCAGTATATCATGGAGTGTGATCGTCACTGTGGGGAGTTTAAACACTTCAAGGAGTTTGGTTCTCATTGCCAGACCCCTCAGATCCAGTCCATCCGCCGTATTCAGCAGTAACAACTCCTCCCCGAACACTCTTTTTCCCATGTGACCCTTCACCTTTGACCCCTGCTGCTTCCCAGTGCTGAATAAACTGTCTTTCTTTTAAACCTTACTGACTTCCACTAATGTATCTACTTCACTTCAAGATACACGGTACACACTTCTACTGATGTTTTTCTGAATAAAAATGACTTCTACAAAGTACACTTGATGGTACTTCACAATCTGCCTGGTGTCAATATGTGAGCAAAAAAGGTTGAACTCAAATCAAACTGAATCAGTAAGCATAGTGATAGCTGGTAGAAACAGCCGAGATGACAAGCGACTGTGGCTCTCTGAAATAATGCTTTTTTTCTCTCTCTCTCTTTTTAGTAAAGAGCTGAAACTAAATAAATCGGACTTAATTTTTATATTCTGAGATTTGTTTGTGGTCAATTATTGAGCTAAAGGCAAAAGATGTTCTGGATCAGTCGGTTTGTTTGAAAAAACTGAAATAATACAGTACAATGTATTATAGGGCTGCGGGACCCTAAGCAGGCGCTTTATTCGCTTATGCCTTGGGCCGTCTCCGCTTTCACAGTCGTTTTAATTAATAAATGATGATAAAACAAATATTAATTTACATGTAAATTGTATTTATCTTCACTTTCTTCAAATCCAAAGATGAAAAAATATTCATATTTTGGAAAAAGGAAGATAATTAAACTTTCAAGCTAAAACGATCCCTCTATTTCAATCTATTTGGAAGATTGTCAAACATATGGTGGTTCCTGTAATCTAAATATAGATACTGACCCGCAGTATAACCCTGTGTTAAAAACAATTAAACCCTTTAATGCCTGAAACCACAAATTTTAGTCAGAAAATTCAATTTTTTTGGAGCTGAACTGTTTATTTCACTTACTACTGAAATAAAATTTAAAAAAATCAAAACGTCCTTAAAATTTAACAAATATTTTTATTTTTCTTGTTTGATACATTACATGTTTTTGGAAACTGATAAACCACAAGAGAAATTTTTTATCATTTATTGGACCGTATTCAGGTGTTTTTTTTAGTAAATTGTTGATCATATTGATTTGAAAGAAGTATCATAAAAGTATGTATCAAATATGATACAAAAGGTAATAACAGGCAACGTTTTTTTAACTTTTGCATTGGTGAGAGTTTTTCGATGGTTGAAGTGTAAACCATCGAAGGTGTAAAAGTGTAAAAACTTTCCATTATTGTTTGGTTGCAAGCAATGACAGAAAATTCGACCTTTTCTGGACCACATTCAGAAACTCTCATTATTTTGAGTCAGCACTCTCCTCTTCTAGTTGTTTCCTTTTTGAAATATATATCTGTGATGTTTTATAATCATACAATTTAAATTCTTATCTCTTTTATGTTCAGTTTTCAGCGACTTGTCTACATTTGTATTTCTCTTAACGTACAGTAGTTGATTTAACTTATTCTCTTTTTACTTTTTATTCCTCAACATCTTATGTATTTCAAGATCTTCAAAACCCGAAGTCCAGCACTTACTTGTACTTTTTATTTATTATTTTTGTTATAGCTCCAGAATTTGTTATTTAAGCACAGTAATAGGAATATCCAGCAGTAGACGGGGTTTTGAGGGAAAGGGGGTGTTTGTGATGTGTTTCCTTTGTATAATCTGTATGAATCTAATAAAGGGTCATTCCATAAAATCGGGGCCTTTTTTGTCCCCAAGAAATAATCAGTCCCAAAACTATGATAACAACAAATTTAAAAATACAATTTCAAAATACAACATTACCATGTCCTCTCTCCTTAATATAACATCAAATTAAGGTCAACTAATATCATTTTAAATAATTAAAATTACTTTTATGCTGATGAGGGTGAGGTTTTTGGCCTGTCCCTCACTATTATTGTTGTATGTGTACAGGACTTTAAATTTGTAAAATGTTGGCAAAATGTTAAAATTTTTACATTTACGTATTGTTTTAAGTATGATCTTATTATTAAACAGTGTTTTTGGTAATAATAAATATTAATCATTATAGATATTTACCAATTTATCGGCATCCCCTGATTTCATGTCAACCCTGTTACCCTAACTAAAAAACCCAGCCCTGTTACCATAACGTCAATCCCGTTGTTGTCATTAATTTGATAAAAATGTAAAAAAATGACAACTCAAATGGGCGTTCAACACTTACCATTATAATTTGAATTACATTATATTTTAGATTGGGCCATTTTTCAACATTTCTCTTCTAAAAATATCTGATATGTATTGAGACATGTAATCGCCATGCAAAATTAGGGTATTTTTAATCATCTGGATGACAAATATCTAATTGGAAGAAAAAATCCACAAAATAAAATAATCTCAATGGAAAGAGAGACTAAAGCACTATTAGTATATGTACCATATGTTGCATATTTCTAATTAGAAATATTGTATTTTGTTAAGTTTATGTCAGTAGCAGAGTTGACCAGATTATGAAAACAGCCAGGAGAAAAACGGTTATGAAATATGAATTAACACAGCCTGAGATGGCACAATATTATTTCCTGTCATTTTACACATCCTATGATTCCCGGGTACTTAAAAATTAACAATTTAATATATTTTCAATTTCAAATTTTCTAAGTCGAAAAGGCACCGATTCCATGGCATGACCCACAGGCCTTTCCACTGTAGTGGATAAGGAGCATTACCACTACAGGCCAGGAAACGGCACTGTGTTTCCACTAGAACACATACAGCATACTGGTGCATCATGCAAAAACCCATTACTGTGCTGCAATTTTTACTGTTGAGGGCTGCTGCTGCTTCGTGACTCTGCACATTCAGTGGGGAAAAAAACTGTATTTATGACTGACACCGAGTGACAGTGGTGATTTAATACGTGCTAATTCTGCTGCAGGGTGGTTTTCACTCATTCAATCCAAAATAGATCTAAATATGTCCTCTCCTTTCTGTCCTCCCCGTGGGAATTTCTTGAACACAGACTGGAGGATGATATTCCCAGCTGATGTCGTAAATCACCTCCAGCTAAAGCAGGCACATCTGTAAAGAAAACCCCTATTTAAGGGACTGTGTGTGTCATTACGTGTACATGTGGTCTGAGAGAGTTTCATTGTTTCAAGAAATTACAAATTAAATTCTTATTTTTTGCGATAATACCATAAAACGAACCCTCTCCTCCAGTTCAGTCCGGCTCCGGACAGCAGAGACCCTCTCCGGGTTTTGCCAGCCTCTCCCCGCCGCAGTGGGAGGAAGTTTGTCTACAATGTAAGGGGTGCAATTGTGTTACGAAATTTCAGAAGGAGAAAAAAATGCTCAGTGTTTTCTACCGAACCTACACCACATTTAAGCAAGGGAAAATAAAATGTAAAAGAGCGAGCCGAATCAGCCGGCACTCAGACGGAAAGGGGGGAAGGCAAACCGAGCCACTCACATTCACGTACCGTCAAAATAATCGGAAAAATTATACTCTAAGTGAGCGTTAACGTTAAAGCTTCCTGAGCTCCAGAGAAATACGAGTGTGGTTTGAGAAGTTCGGACTAAATGAGGAACTTTGCATCACGTTAGATGTTTCACTGCACACCCACGCAAAAGGTTTGCTCAGAGATCAGAAAAACAAACTGTACAAATATTTTTGGCCATTCATGTGCCGCACTACAGTACAAAGCTGTAAGTTAGATACCGTCCGATTCGAGTTGCCTAAAAATATAATCGGCCCTTTGTTCACAGTGCCCACATTGTTCCAACATCAAAAGTTAAAGCGCTCGAACACACCAGAGACAGACGTACTTTTTTACAGCATGTAAACTCCGAGCATTTGATGAGCACATGAAGGCATTGTTAGCTCTTGTTAACTAGCCGAGCACGGGCTCCCCAAGCGCAGATAGCCGACCAGGCGCAAGATCTGGGAAGTTCGCGAGCGAGTCAGTTCTTTCAGACGACTCCCGAAAGCGACCAAGGGGATCTAAAAAGTCACATGGAAACCATTCCTTTTTTCAGGTATAAGGTGTAGCAGCGCCGACGTCAGCACGGGGGGCGTGGTGCGTAACGTGCTAGCGCAGCCATTTTGACAGACATAACAACACTAAGTGCGTTGGAATGAATGAGATTAGGATGACGTTCGGTTTTAAAAAACAACTATTTATTAACTGACTACACAGCAACAGAGAACGGAATAGAGCGAGCAAAACTTGGACTCAACATACCATACAGGGTCAAGCTGAACAATGAAGAAAGAGAGCGTTACCTAAGCAAAATTGCAGACATTGCTGGACTCGACCCGTATGAACTCTGTACAGTCAGAAGATGATTTTGAGTTGCTACCAGCACTTAACTGAGTCCATTTGATGCAGTACCTCATCGAAGGAACAAGCTATTATACATTTAATTCCTTTCATCATGAAAAATCTCTCTTGGCCCATGTTTTTTTCACATCAGGGTGGGTACACAAACTATAGTGTCAACAACAAAACCGTCGTTCGCACAATGGTAGGTGATCGCACACAAGCACGTCTGACTATCTCTCTCTCTCTTTCTCACACACACACACACACACACACCCTTGTGTGTGTGTGTGAGAATTTCACCATTTTTGTATAAAACCATAATCATGCAAGTTATTTGTGAATTATTTCCCAGTTGCAGTGGCCCCCTTTGAAGCATGATTGGCCAACCCAGGTACCATCCTAAGACCCTTAACAGCAATTGGCCATGTGCTTTATCAGTGACTAGACTTGCAACAAAATCACCGACTATCTTGCATCAGGCTTCTTTGCATTTCAGTGAAGCAGATTTGAATTTTTACTTTGGACATACATCCTCTTCTGGTTTCACAAAGAATCTATTTTGGAGGACTTACATGTTATCACTCTTTTGCGTTTCTTTTAAAGTAAATCCAGTATATATATTTGAACATTTTCAGACTCTGAAATCTTAGCAGTAAATGTAGAAATGATAAAAAGAGTAAATAAATGCTATTCAGTCCTGTGTTTACATATGTATACCCCCTTTAAAATTTAGTGCCCCAGTTTGGCCACCACAGCCAGAAAAGTCTGGAACAATGCACTCAGTGAGATCCAAATATCAGTGGTCTTTTGTATAATGTGCTTCTGACCACTGTGCACCTAAAGCTCACGTGTAAAATGCTGCAGACTCACCTGTTGGCTCCTGAAGTTGGGTTTTAAAGCACAACAATGCTGGTTGGCATAATAGAAGTGCTGACTCAAACTAAGTTTTGGTGGACCAAGCAAGAGGTAAAGAGGTAGAGTTCATTCCCCTTGTCAGGCAGACTCAGCCCTATGCTGATCAATCATATATATATATTTAAAGCAATCGGGGATTATTCCTACTATATGGCTCATTAAAGATTGGCTTTTTAGAGCTGGAGTGTATGTTGCTTCTAGAGCTTTTTAAATTAGCCTCAAAACTGAGGGAGCAGCAATTTTTGATTGTTTGGACTGTAAATGTAAATGTTCTTTATTTATACAGCCCTTCACAACAATCCTTTCAGTGAACCAAAGTGCTTTACAATAGAAAATGAAAATGAATAAATAAAAACAATAAAAAACAATTCAAACAATAAAAACAATTAAAACAATTAAAAACAAAAAGAATAAGATACAATGCAATAGAATAAAATGTTACCATGCTACTGGGTATTAAAAGCCAGCTTAAAAAAAATACGTTTTCAATCGAGATTTAAAAGGGCCCAGGTTGGAAATAAGTCTCATTTTGGTGGGGATCTTATTCCAGAGCCTGGGACCAACAACTGAAAAGGCTCGGTCACCTCAGTGCTTGTGTTTTGACCTGGGCACCTCCAGCAGAATTTGATTTGAAGACCTCAGAGCTCTACCTGCCTCCCAAACGGTTAAAAGGTCCATGTAATAGATGGGGGCGAGGCACTTAAGAGCTTTAAAAACAAACATTAAAAGTTTAAAATCAATCCTAAAAGAGACGGGAAGCCAATGAAGAGAGCTAAGGACAGGAGTGATGTGCTCACAACTGTTAGTGTTGGATAAAAGACAGGCAGCAACATCTTGCACAAGTTGAAAGCGACTTGGAGATGATTGGGAGATACTGACATAATGTGCATTACAATAGTCTAATCTTGATCTGATTAGAAGTAGTTGGATGAAACTAGTCCTGACATTATCAATTTGTTTGTCAAACTTCAGGTGTTTGTCAAAAACCACTCCCAAATTCCTGACAATTTGCCTGAACTTTGGAAACAAGGAGCCAAGGCCAGCTGTCACTGTGTCCCCTAACAAAATGGGGACTGTGCACTAAAGCAACGCCTTCATAATTCAATGTTGGAAATTACAACATGGTAAATGCAAGTGAAAAATGAGACAATGGCGAATATTGTGTTTGGTTTTTTTCTTCTTATTATTCAACCAATTTGCCAAACCCAGAAGAGGAACGAAATGAAGAACAGAGAATTGATCCAAATGAATCGACTCCCAAAGAAGAGCCGAACTTCCCCTCACTATCCTCCACCACCACCACCACGATCAGCGTCACCGTCAGCCCACAGTCAGTCGCTCTGTGCTGGGTCTACGGGCGAGGAGTGTCCCCCCTTACTCTCGGGGTAACTCAACAAGCGGCTATGGATTATATCGTATCGTGTTTTCTTTGTTTTTGACGCCGATTCGGACTCGTGGAGACTTCTCGGAAACGGTGCAGGACTTCCCTACTTTGACTCGCAGCCGTTAGCTTCATGTTATTAAGTGTTTGAAATCGAGCCAGTATTACTGTTGCTCTGTTTACTACTGGCAACGAGAGATTTTTATCTATTTGATTGACTTAAAGAATTCAAACTAGATTTATAGGTTGATTAATCACTCTCTACCTTACTCGATAGTTAGCCTTCCGAGGCTAGCAGGTTTCATTTTGCTAGCTAGCGTGGCGGCTAACTAGCAGATATCGATATTTACCAGCGGGGCTAAAGCCAGTTAGCTCCCGGCGGTGAGGATTCGGCTCTCACTCTCACGATCGGGCTGGATTCGGTGCTAAATATCCAAAGGTGTTTAAGGACGACATTTTTTGTGTGATTGATGAGCCGTTAGGGAACATTTCAGCCTTTCAGGAAGCCAACAGCAGCAGCAGCAGCAGCAGGAGGAGGAGGAGGAAGAGGAGGAGGAGGAGGACGGTAACATAAACAACAAGAAAAAGCGCTGTGAAGATTTCATGTGTCTGAGAGATTGGCATTTATCGCTGCGAGATTGTAAATAAGCAGAGCAAAGAGGCACCTTAAGGATACACATTTCAACCTGTCATCTCCACGAGTTTGCCCATTTTTGGCTGCAACACGTGTCCCTGTTTTTTTTTTTGATTTTCTGCTGTCACTGTGCAGCTTTTACAGCATTTTCAACATATTTTTGCACATGCAGGTCGAAGAGAAAAATCTTCCATTGCATGCAAAGACGACACAGAGAAGTATTTCTTTTCTGTGGTGTTCCCTGGGAGAAGTGTTTACATTTTAAAGAGACTGAAACACATGAAGCAGCAGCACCGGAGAAAGAGCAGAGAGAGAGACCTGTAGGATCTGACAAGCTGTCTCCACAATCCAGCATCTGGTCCATCTCTGTGGGACATATCACATTACTACAAAGCCTCAAAAACCAGATCTCATCTGCCCCTGTCCTTGCAGTATTTTCCTCTCAATACGCCCTGCATGGAGGAACCTGCATTTTTGCACTAAATGGGATTACCGCGACAGAGATCCTGCGGCCCTGCATGGTGACTGTGTGATATTTTTGCAGGAACCTGTCACCCAAATGTCTCTCCTCCTGAATCTCCTTTTTTCGGTGACAATGATGGCACTTTGAGGCGAAGAGCAGCCGGAGACAAACGACACCAACCCTTCCAGTCGATGGTCAGCCCCGCCGTCCTCTCAGCTGGCCTCCCTTCACGCACCTTCCCCCGCTTCATGTTGCTCTTATCCGGTGGAGGACACAGTTTTTTTATAAGTCCCTGAGCCAGAACCCATCCCCAAGCCCGGTTCTTTTCTTGATTTGGTCGTCCCTGGGTCGAAAGATGGCGGACCTCGAAGCAGTGCTCGCCGATGTCAGTTATTTGATGGCGATGGAGAAGAGCAAATCTACTCCAGCGGCCCGGGCGAGTAAGAAAATCATCTTGCCTGAGCCCAGGTAGGCACGGGAACACAAAGCCTTCATGTTTGTGCTCTTTTCCTGCTTAAATGCGTGAATCTTTTGTCAGTGTCATTGCAGCGATGTATAGAGATGGAGGCGTGCTGCCTCATAAACCTGTGACTTACTGTAGCTGCGCAGACAAACAGGAGTGTGAAGCTTGTGAAATAAAAAAACACGCACATTTTAGCACCCTAAAATCATCAAGTGATGCAGAAAATATAACGAGACTACAGCAGTAGGTTATGCTGCAGCTGCTCGCAGAACAGGGCCAATGATAATGTCATTTCTTCAGACAATACCAAGTGTTGATGGACTTCTCTTTCGCTCCTTGTGCCAAATTATTCTGTCAAACACTCTATTTGCTCCCAGGGCCGCCTCACTGACAGTCACATAACAAATGTGTTTCATTTTACACAAGCAGCACGTCTATTGAAGCTGTCAGTGCTGGTGTATACTGTAGAGAAATAGAACTGGAGCTTTCAGCAAACATGCAGCTGCTCAGCAGCTTGACATTATCACCCAAACCAGCGACGCAATACATGAATTTACACGCCATGTATCACCTACAGCAAGGATTCAGGATTTCTATCAGCTGAACATCCTCACAGGTTGATGGTTTATTTCTATTCTGTGCTGTTGTGTAAACCCCTCAATGCGGTACGTGCAGCTCTCCTGCTCATCCATGCTGTTTGCACGCTGTTTAGGCCCTCAGATGAGGCATCAGCTGAGATCAGATTTAAATAATACAACCCCCCCCCCCCCCCCAACCATCCACACATAATTGCACATCCTTTTGTCCCTGCTGTGCAGCTCACCAGGCCTCTGAATGTGTCTCTTCAGACCAGGTTTCAGGCGTGTAGCGTGTAACGTGCAGCTTCATAGAGGAGGATGTGGTTGGGATTTGGTTATTGAGATAGTTGCATTTCAGACCAGGTTTATAAATGTCACAGTTTGAGTTTAGTCAAATGAAAACCACTGAGTATGAGAGCTGTGGTACAGTCAGTGTAGTCAGGTCTTATTTAATTCTCATCATGTTTACAGATAGAAAGCTTGTACTTGGTGTGTATTAATCACAAACTTGTTTCTGACACACCCACTCATGTGTAGAGAGGCTCTGCGAGTGTGGATGTGGGTTAAAACAGCCGTTATATTTCAAACCGGAGTGATTTTCGGAGGAGGTTGGCTATTCATTCACTCACTGGCTTGTCTTGGCAGATCAGCAGAAATCAGTCATCCGCACAGTGTGCTGCTACACACGCAGTAATGAATTTCAAGCCTGTTGATTGTTCCACCTAAAGTGATTAAATAAAGGGACATTATATAATAGCTTGCATCGATCCCCGTTTACATCAGGCTTTAATATGAGATGAAACGGATTACGGGCTCGGGTATCTCTTGGATCCATGAGTCAGTCCTAAAAAGCAGGAAAGTCTGATTCTCTCCACGTGTTCATGATGATCATTTCACCTTCAGTGCGCAGGTGAAAAGGCCCCCAGGGTTTGTAATGAATTCTCCCTTTTGGCACTTCTTGACAACAGCTTATTATGTTGCTCTGCTGACAAACGTCAATAATAACTGACGTGGGTTAAAGGGTAATTCTGCTGTTTTTAAACCTGGGGCATGCTTTGGACATGACTGGGGGGGTGTCTAAATGACTCCTAAGACTTCACTTTACTTCTTCAGCCCACAGCCATGAAACCGGCTGTCGAGGGGAAAGGCTCCCCAAAAAAGTGATGTCATTGGCAGCATATGAAACCATCTTTGTTTGGGGTGTCCAGATCCTGTTTGGACTTTTAGATTGAAGCTGATCCTGACGTGTTTCAGCAGATGGAGGATCAACATCATCTCGCCCTGATCTTTGAGTGTAATTCGATGGTTTCATGAGGCGATAGCTGCCGAGTGTTGATGAACCATGACCCCAATTTTCCCCGCATTTTGAACGGCCCCGATCCGGAACAACAGCAGTTTTTGCCGTCCGCCATTTCCTACCGGATCCGTTTGTGAGGTGAATTTCGTGGTGGATTATGGACAGCAGGAATCGCGTAAACTCACAAGAACCCGCAGATTCACGTGCAATCGCGGGATAACAAGTTGTCTCTTAGCCACATAGGCTAAGCATATAAGCAGTAGATTGTGTCCTTCCAGAGGAGGAAATCTACTTCTAGACTTCTAGAATCAGCATCTCCTTATCCATGGTGTCATCGGTTGAAATGACGTCTAAAAAAATTTCACTTGTTCATCCCCGCCCCTTTGCATGGTGTGAAATACGATCCTCCTGAAACACGGAGTGTTTTATTTTGAAAAGAAGACGGATGTTTTCTTTTGTGTCTGTGCCCGACTTCCTTTCCAGCACGGGTTAATCAGTGCTGAATTAATCCAGCATGCTGCGGCATTTGGAAAAAATAGAACTCTTGCGATCAGCTGCGGAGTCTGGGGATCTGCAGTGGAACGGAAAAAAGCCGGTGGAATTGACACATTATTGACATATAATTGACGCATTAACTTACGGAGGGTACGGCCTTTTCGTAGCCATTCAGGAAGTGGTGGAAATTGGGGGTCACTTTGTCTTTATCATGTTGAAGTTGTCTGGGATTTAGGGAAACAACTAACACTCCTCCGTGTGATGAGAAAATAAAGTTTACCTGCTTTGAGGTGTTTTAGATAGAGATTCTACTTTAAAAGGGAAATGAATGAATTCAGTTTGAGCACATTTGACTCTGAAGATTAGCAACCAGTCCAAAAACCGGCAGGTGGCCCTGTTTGGGACCAGACATTTAGCTAAGGAAAGGCCAGTCTAATGGGATCGGGGGCCAAAAACGCTGATTTGGACATCTGAAATCTCTCTCCAGAGGAACTGAACCTCACTGACAGAAACTGGAGTTGCTGGTCTACGGCTGCCTCCATCGGTCTGTTTGTGTTACTGTGGGGCCTCTGTGAGTTTGGCAGAGCAACAACTCCAGAAACCTGCATACAACCTTTGTTTCTGTCTGTGAAGTCGGGTGGGTTAAAAATCAGAGCTCTGAACCCAGTTCAACTCAGCTGGTGGACTGGGCGCCCCATGTTCTGAGGCAGCAGTCCTGGTTGTGGGATCAGTTCTCAGTCCTGACTGGAGGTATGGCGCTCGTCATCGTCTACCCTTCACCTTTAGTCCCGTCACTCTCAAACGGTCTTATCAGACGTGGGCAGGGTTACATAGCAGCCATTACCGTAACACAAGTAATAGAAGAAGAGGACAGTTTTGTCCCCATCAGTCTTGTAGACCCAGGAGCTGAACCAGGTTTAAAAACTCCAGACTCCCCTTAAACATCACATGACCTTTTTTCGCCTCGTCTTAGAGGAAAGTTTAACAGCCAGCAGGATCTTCTCGTTACATCAGCTCGACATGTTGGTTCGTCATCTGCGTTTATCTTCACTAACACAGTTTCGCTCGCTCAGGGTTTTCTGGTTGTTTCAGGTCAGTTTTTTGTTTCTAAATCATTTCTCAGAGAGTCATTTCAGGCGGCTAATCCATCCCGGTGAACTTGTCACTCTTCATTTTTATGGCAGACTCAGACTCGTGTCAATGTGTGTAATAACGCAGTTGTGGCCCCGGCATTACAGTCCGGCATGTTCTGGAGCCGGATAGTAAGTTTGACCCTCGGTCTGCCTTCAGTTGAACGACAAAGAGAGCAGTCTGACAGTTTGGAGAAAGAGGCCAACTGAGGTCTGGTAGTCGATGTTTTTCAACCCACAAGTGACAGAGTGATTTCAGTGCAGGGCCAAGGTGGCTGCTCCGATCACTCAAACAAATGTGCAGGAAAAAAAACAAAAGAAACAGTCACTTAATGGCCTGTTTTATTCATAAAAGAGAACTGTCCGCTCTCTGCTGCTGGTTTTCATGACTGTTTTTTCAGTTACAGACGCACTAAGCTTCATATTTCTGATCTCCTGTATTCCATCATAAGGAAGGATCCATTAGTGTGCTGCTGTGTGCGCCTGAAATACAGTTTTATTTTTTAAATATGGGTCACTGTCAGCATGAATGAAACTGCTTTGACCACATCTCAACACGATTTCACTAATTGAACCTTTCAACGCCATCAGGTACCCATATATGGAATTAAACAAAGGTTTTGAAGGCAGAATCTAGAGCCAGTAATCTGCAGGGATGCTTTCATGTGTGTAGGGCTGGGCGATATAGGAAAAAGTTTATCAGGATATATTTTTTTCATATTAGTCAATATTAATATATATTACGATATAAAAAATGACATTTAACAGTGTTTATTAGTCGCATGTCTTTTACAATACAATAAGCAGCTGCATCTGTGAGGTCTTTGTGTCGCTTCGATGTTTTGTCGTAAGGCGTTGCTCAAGAGAAAGCAGACTGAATGGTTGACTGTTTCGGCTGCACAGGCACCATGGGCTCCTTGGTCCGCTCGGGGTTTGTAACCTTTTGCGTTGTGCATGCTCTGCCACGTGGCGCTGCTTCAGGTGGTGAAAAAGATATGAGGTATTCACTGACTTTGCGAGAACATGATTTACAGTTCACATTACTCTGCTTCACGTCCGACCTCAAAATATTAAAATACCTCCACACCCCCGACGTTTTCGTGCCAGTGTTGTCGACAATGTCGTCATCTGTTGAGCCTTCATGGTCATTTCTGTCGGGGGTAGCACTCATGTTCTTTTTTTCTCACCAACAGTGCTGTCGGCTTCACCTGTTAAAGTGCTATGGTTGTGTGTAGCTGCTGTCTGCTACAACACAGTTGTTTGCTACTTGGTTCTAGGGCCCAACCGATATGGATTTTTTGGGGACGATGCCATTACCAATTATTAGGGGGGGAAAAATCAGTTTACAGATTAAATGGCAGATTTTTCTAATTTTTTATGAAGTTATAAAAATATATTTATATATATATATATATATATTGATACTATTGGTTACTGCTCTTCACGCCGACAGGAAGACCAACTGATCATCTCAGTAATATTCCATATTATCATGAATCAAACTCAGACCAGAAAAGCGTTTTCAAGTGGACCCGGAGCAACTCCCCTCTTCATTGGCTCTTCGAATAGTCTACCAAAACATGGCAGAGTGACGACTATAAAAAATCATATCGACCATGTTTCATATTGATATTGAGGGAAATTGATTTTGGATATGTATCTTTATCGTTTTATCGCCCAGCCCTAATGTGTTGCTACCTTGATGAAGTATTTTCTGGGGACTACTTTCATCGGCGGATGAATCTACATTTGTGGATTCGTGGGCATGTTTTTGGACTGCAGAAGGACATTAGAGTTTGGAGGAAATTCTCTGGTACTGTATCAAAAATATTGTCAGCCTTATCTGTGAAGTCAAGACTTTATCAACACACGGGTGGAGCGGAAAGGCTCGCTGCTTCACCTTTTAACTCTCCGAGTCAACTGTTTGTGTCTGATCAAGTTATCGGCTTGAATCCAATCTATAAATGGGTTTGCATGATGGTTTTTCTTTAATAATCAAGTTGAAAGCCAGTCTTACAGTATTGATCAGCTGATCCATCTCCCTCGGTGTGTGTGTGTGTGTGTGTGAGTGTGAGTGAGTGTGTGTGTTTGTCCTCCTACAGTGTAAATTTGTTGGTATTTAGAGACTCGGTGTGTTTTTAGCCTCTGAGAACCTAATCAGGATCATCTTGTTGGGCTGTAAAGCTTTCTGCCACGTTTCTAATTGAGTTCAGCGCTCTTCATTAGATGTTCACACACAAATCCAGGTTGATGCTGGCAGTTAATCCGAGGATTGGCACCCTTGCGCCGCTGACAACATTGACTTTAATTCCACCTGAAGAAAACACAGGTTATCTGGATGACAATCTGCGGCTGGCAGATGAACAGCCCGATAGGAGGAGGTCATGTGGTGATGTCCTCTCGGCTCTGGAAACGGGTGAACAGTGAAGGTGTTTCCATCAGGATCCATGAAAACAAGCAGCAGAATGAAGTGGTCTCATGGTGGATATATAAGCTTTTTCATTTAGTGCTGCAGAGATAAAAGCTCCAGCTAATGGACGTGAAACAGCGCTAATACACTGTTGGGTAAACCAGTCAGCAGAGCGGGACTCTGACTAATGAGGAGATGATATGAATCATGCCAGTTAGCTTATTATTTTTATTATTACAATAACGCATTACCCAGGTTTGATTCTCCCATATGTTTTTCATGCTACAGAGTAAGGAGCTGCAGGGTGGTTCAGGATAACTTTGGGATATGTTTGGGTTATAGATGTGAAACTAGTCTCAGAAAAAAAAGCTGCTGAGGTTGTGTGTAAACTGGCAAACTTTAATGCATGCAGAGTTTCAGCAGCCGTGCATGTGGGAAGGTTCAAGCCGTGCATGTTCGTCGGGGGAGCAGTTAAATGTGGCACATTGGAGATAGCGTGGTGCTGCCACATTCTCGGCGGGCCAAGGCTGTGTCCTCTGGCAGAGAGGTGAGACTTTGACAGCAACACTGGAGGCTGTTGGGATGAGAGGCGTGGGGGAGGGCGAGAGGAGGACCCGCTGTTACAGAGATGTGACCAGACGGAGTTCTCCGGGAGGTGGAGATACAAGTGAACCCGGAGACTCTGTGAGTTTGAGCCCCAGATGGCTCCAGTCTTCGTGGAAGATTTGAAACTGTGTCTTTAGGAGCTGGGCTTTAAGACAAAACGTTAGTACCGTATATACCACAATACATTTATCATAAATCTATATGACCAATACTCGAGTGTCAAGTACAACATGTCCACTTTTGCATTCGTCTCTCCTTTAATCAGCGTTAGATCGCCATCTGCTGACGGTCATGTGCAGATTAGGGGTGTACCGATCACAATTTTCTGGCTAATCACTGAACTTTAATAAGCTGGACCTGCCGATACTGATTTTGGCTGATACCAATTTTTTTTTTGGTGACAACATACACCTTCGATGCTTCAATCTTGTTTTAATGGAAAACATTGAACAATACTGATGGGACAATACAAACCTTTGTGTGTTTGTTTTAACTGCACAAGAGGTAGTTCTCTCAAATATAAATGAAAAGTTTAGAAAACTACTAAATTATATCAGTTCCTTTAGTCTTTTATTTTCCACATTTTAAAAATTAACAATACTTACCCAACAGGTCAGACTGCAGGCCTTTTTTGAGCCTCTTATTAAAACAAAGTGCACAGCAATATTTTACTTTTACAAATAAAGGAAATCACAAGGTTTGAGGAAGTTGGAAAAATAATAATCTACAGGACAAACTAACAACACAACTAACAATTAACAACTAACAACAGTTAACTGTCCTGAGTTTTAGGTTTCCTTGTAGTTGGTTCAACATGCTTAGTTGATCATGCTCCGGATGACTGTTGTGTGTGCCGCTGACGCATCAAGCTTGCACATGTGACCTAGTGGGCGGACCTGTCATTCTAGCAAAGCAAAAAGCTACAACAGCTGACTTTCAGACCTTTGCTGAGGTAGATAAGATTGGTGGATAAAATGTGTTTTATGTGTAAGGATTAGCCGATCACCAAACCCCCAAAATTGAGGATATCGGCGCCGATCGATCAGTCGGCTGAGTTATTGGTGCATGTTTAGTGCAGATGGTTGCTGTCGTTGTAATCCTTCATGCTCACTTTGGACTCAGCTCTCGTTCAGATGTGCCAGTCATGTCAATGTGAAGCTGAGTGAGACATGTCGGAAACACGATTTGTGGTTGACGGCTGGATTTACTCTCACACGCTCCAGCTGATGGTAAATCTGCTGGTATGTGAGTTACCCTTTTGACCACCTTTCTGGTACTGGTACAGCTGTAATATCTGTAAAGCACACTTTTTAAAATATTAATTTATGTTTAACAAACATTACAGAACATGGGTATTCTGGCATCTATGCATGTTAATCAATACTTTTGTATATTGATCAATGTTAAATCAAACCGTGAGGGGATCGTTCAAAGATAAACCAGTTTAACAGGAGAATCACTTAGTTCATTGATAAGCAGCCCCTCAGTGTGGGGGAAGACCATGGTTCTGCAGGACTGGGTTTGAATCAGTACTGGGTCGGTGTCTCTTCTGCTGATTTCTAATATTTATTGTTTAAATTCAATATTGCCCATCCCAACATAATAGCTCTTAAATGAGGGTGTCTGGTATCAGTACAAGTCAATGCACAGACCCAATAGCAGAATACATTAGCCAGGCCAAAAATCAATAGGTTTGAAGTCCACTCTAATGTAATGATCATGAACAGCGGTGGTGCCTGCAGGCTACCAAGTGAAAATGTTACTTTCTACGATCACAGTCACATCGGCCCGGTCTCGAACTCCAACTCTGATTTCTTCATGGTGGGTGAAAACAAATGAGTCCAATATTTGATCAGCTTTTTCATTTGGGTTTGTTGCACTCACAGGATGTTCAGACGCAGCAGTGACTCACTCGTTAAAGACCACCGGGCCCCTCTGACCCCGGGATGATCATCATGCCTCAGACCGTGAAGGCGGCGCAGACAGAGTCGTGCAAACAAAAGCATCATTAGAAAGAAATCCTGGGGACTTGTCAGGTGATACCTGCGCTCTGGAGGTTCGCACAGGTTTCATCATGAGGTTCAGTCTGTGTAATCTTGCTGTAGTCACACCAGGTGCTGCTGTTTCCAGACAAAGGTGACGTAGCTTCTCCAGAGAGCTTTGTTTTAGCTTCTCAAAGGAAAACACAGGAGTGTATCGGGTTCCTGAGGTTGAGTCTTGTGTTGTCAAACAGAGAAGGTCCTTAAAAAGTTTGTGTTTTTGCCCGAAAGGCTCCAATTATTACTCTGAGTGTCTGACTACATGACAGCGTGATCGCTCTGACAGTTTCCTTCAGTGTTACATCATTCTTACTCTCGCTCCTTTTGCAAATATGAAGCAGGTCTTTAGATGGTTCTGGTTAACCTTCTCAAACAGTTTAGCAGACCAGTGACTCCGCCAGTCCTCAGAGCAGAGTCGTAGTTTTTGTCGGGGAAGTCTGGTGGTTTTGAAGCCTCTGAAGAATCCTCTTTGTAGTGCCACCTTCTGTAATGTTGAATAGGAGTCTGATTATGTCAGGGCCATGCTTTGATTATGATGCAATCATCACATCCTGCCTGCTTAAACAATACTCTGGAGCACTTCCAGACTCGGCATACGAGTGGTCCCAAACACAAACAAAAAGAGGACTCGGGTTTGAAAACACTGGAGCTCCTTTTTTTCCCCTCTTTTCCTCTTTGTAAATCATAAAGAAATGACGGCTTATTTGGAAATTTGCTCAACTCGTCTGAAGTGGCTCCATTCACACCCCCCTAATCCTCCGCCTGTTGGAGCAGCACAGTAAGCAGTAGCTGGAAAAACTGGTTCTGGAGTCTGACTTGTTTCCCAGGTAATTGCATGTCTGTAGGCTTAAATGAGCTCAAATAAATGCTCTTTCCCTCTGCTCAAAATATGTTTGTATACTTGAGCTGCAGCTCCTGGTGAGAAAGACAGAAGTTGGAAATCAATAAAGCAAGGATTTAAGAGGAGTCTCCCACAAATTTCAGGGGGTCAGGACCTTGGCTCTCGGCGCTGTGTGTTGTCTTATCAACACAGTTCAATTACATGCCCACAGACCCAGCCTCAGAAATGTCAGAGACATCCTGTTAATATGTTAAATATTGACACATCAGCATACTTCCTGCAGCGTTAAATAGTCTCCAGTACAATGTTGTTCTAGTGTCAGTGATCGGGGATCAGCAGCCCATGAAAGCTGAGTGTGTGTGTGTGTGTGTGTGTGTGTGTGTGTGTGTGTGTTCACACCTGAGGCTCCTGTTTGGAAAGTTGTAATGAATCAGGCTAAACACAGAGCTCAGACCAAAGCCTATAATTAACGATTATTGATTTATGATTGAAACCAAGAGGCAGGTGATCTGAGCAGACCTGATTCTGGAGGCTCGGACGACTGCAAACTACATTACTCAAATAAACCTTAGCTCTGGGAAAAACTGACGAATCCAGGAGATATGAAGCCCACCTGACGCTCAGTGTTCACGACTAAATCTGCTGTAACTAGAGTGAGTTTATGTTATTAGGATGGACGACCGCGACAGGTAAAAAACTGTCCCGGACACAATTTCAAAATAAAAGCAGAAACAAAGGAAGTCTCTGTCAGAGCTGAGATAAATCCAGTACAGTCAAGTGGGTTTATCAAGGCTTGGCCGGGGGAGAAGGTACGAGGTATACTTCTCCGCAAACTAAAACAATCAAGTATAAGATTTCAGCTCTAAGGTCTGAGAAAAGGTCGGGAAACTGTCGCTGTATGTGTCATGACAAACCAACAAACCGCCGCTCCCTTAAAGGCTACCTATCAGATAGGGCTGCACAATTAATTGATTTTAATTCGTAATCAGATTATTTGATTATGACGATGTTAAGAATTAAAATGGATTTTCCTCTCTATCATGTCTCACACCTCCAGGCCACTGTAGGCTCCGCCTTCCTGTGATTGCGCTCCCCAGTTCCCACACACACCAGTGTAAACAAACATGGCGTTTGCAAAAGAAGGCGATAATTTCGTGGCTAAATAGGACAAGAGCGAGTCAGTGGTGTGGAATTAGAATTCATCCAAACTAAGGCTGCACGATATTGGAAAAAAATAATATTGCGATTTTTTCAACCCTGCGATATATATTGCGATATTAAAAATACAGTATTTTCACCAGATGACCTGAATAGCACTTAATGTTATGCTGCACTGCTGAAATCTTGAGGACAGTTAATCTGTTCTGATCTTACCTCTTTTTGTGAATGTTAGTAGAACGGCTTCTGTCTGTCTCAGAGATATTTTTAGCTTTTATTGTGCTGGGACGTTATTGTGGCAACAGATGAACACAGAAGACGTGTTTTGGTCGACATCATCCTTCTTTTAACCGAAATAATTCCAGATAACTGACTTTCCTTTTCTTTTTGGCAACAAATCTTCATTTTCGGTGGTTTTCGCTTGTTCGTTGTTCATTTTGCGATCGTTGTTGTTGTTGTTAGCGGTGTTGTGCCGAGAAACGCATGTCCTCCGAGAATTGCATGCACCTCGCAAAACGCGCACTGCTTATAGTAGAGTGGTCCACGGAAATGTACAATTTAAAACCCATACAGTTCTTATTTGTTGGGCTTAATAGTCATGAGTAAAGTTCCGAAAGTACACGTACACGACACACGTCTCCCTCCATGTGCAGAACATGTGCAGGGGTGGGTTTTCTCCTCCCTGATTTTGATTGACAGCTGGCAGGGTAGTCTGATTGGCAACTGAGAAGTGAGTCTGATTGGCAACTGAGTTAAGGACGAAGGCGATTGGTGGATCGCTGCACAGCACATGCACAGCACATGCAGAGTCACATGGAGTGTATCTCAGTCGGTTACCCTTGAAATTAAATGAGTTCATTCACCTCCAATATCGCAGGCTCTGCGATGTGACTATCGCACACACGTACATCGCGATGACGATAGTCAAACGATATATCGTTCAGGCCTAATCCAAACGGAAATGGCGTTTCGGTTGACTGTAAATCCGTTAACGGCTACCATTTCATGTCTGTGTGGATGTCTATCTGCGTCTCTGGAAATGATCATGTGACACACAGCGTAATTCTTATATGGCGCCTAAACAACCTTTATACACATGGGGCCGTATGCACGTTGCTTGGCAAAACGTGTTTAGCCCGCTAAACGCGTTTAACTCCTAAGCGCCAAAAATGTCGGTATGCACGTCACTTCGTATAGCCGTTCCTATACGGATTTTCGCGTTTAAAGTTATCGCACCTCTGGGGGTCCAATAGCGGGTCTAAACGCGTTTAAATACGGCGGCACTCTCGTTGTTCCAAGGAAGACAGCGGCGACAATTGCGTCGAAACAGGATTTTTCGTGACAGAAAACACCCCTTCGACACGTATGACGACCACGAAGTGTTCCGTAAGTTTAGATTTCGACGGCACCATATTCTCGACCTCACACAGGAGATTTCCGCTGAAATTGAACTTTCGAACCGAGGATTCACCCTCACTCCACTACAACAAGTCCTCGTAACCTTACGGTACTACGCCACTTCTTCTTTCCAAGACGTGTGTGGGGAGTTGGTAGGAGTGGATCAGTCGACAGTCAGTCGAACCGTCACTCGAGCGTCACTCGACCCGTTTAAGACACAGTAAACGCGGTTAGCTATACGGTTCCGTTTACAGCATTGTGCATACCATAATCGTATAGGAACTAAATGCGTTTAAGGCCCGTATAACTAAACGCGTTTAAGCCCTAATCGCGTTTACGCTAAACGCTTTCGGTTACGGGCCATGCTCTGTACTCTTCTTCTGTCTTTTGTGCATTTCCTGTACAGCGTTACAGCGCCACTTACTGGCTTGGCATATGCACTAAATCGTTTTCAGTTGTTTGGTTTTGAGAGAGGATAGAAAAACTTTTTATTTACCATATTTTTCGCACTATAAGGCACACCTGATTATAAGTCGCACGATCAGTGAACGCGTCTTTTCGCGTCTATTTTCATACATAAGGCGTACCGGATTATAAAGCGCATTAAGCCAAACAAAGTGCTCCGAAAAGCCATCAGGCTGTGCGGCTTTCTAGCTTACCGAAGTTGTAATAAACATTTTGACAGATTTTTGAGTGCTGTGTACCACATAAAATCGGTTCAAGGTCAGTAAGCACAACCAGAATTCATACATAAGGCGCACCTGATTATAAGGCGATTTTTGAGAAAATCGAAGGATTTTAAGTGCGCCATATAGTTCGAAAAATACGGTATTAAAGTGTAGTTTGGTGAAGTTGTCGCTGAATAAAAAATCTAAATCAAAGATAGAGTTTTCAGAGAAAAAAATCGAGATTTCATTTTTGGCCAAATCATGCAGCCCTACTATCAGGCTCATTGATTAGGTAACAACCTAAGGCTTCAGCTTATTATTAATTATATACAATTACATTATTTTTGTGTGTATTTTGGTGGAGATATGTGTGACAAGTCCAGTTGTGATCCGCTCACATGCAGACTGCAGTGAAAACCAAGCCGCTCTGCAGTTCCAGTCGTGCAGCTGACACATTTCCTGTCTGAAGCACCCAAGGGTGCCTTTGGCTGTGGATACGCAAGCAAGACCAGGGTTTACTGAACCCGCCTGAACAAAACCGGACCACTTATTCTCAAAGTCAACAACAACTCCTTCAAACTGCACTGATAAAACCCAGAACACATCAGGTGCTGGTCTAGTGTGTCCTGGATGAGTTGAGGGTTCTGAGTCTGTCATGTCAATAAATCAGATGATGACAGCAGAGGTGGATCAGCATCTGTATTTCTGCGGTTGGGCTGTGTTGCAGTCAGAAAAGAATCTTCTGGAAGAATCCAGAGAGACTTTCTACCTTTTGTCCTTTTTTATTCCTAAGTGTGTAAAAAAACAGACCCCCGTGTGAGAGGCAGCAGAGTCCCCGTAGGTAACCCTGATTCAGAACTGTAAGTGGGTCAGGGTCCCCCACATCAGAGTGTTGTCCTCACAGTTTTCGCTTTGGGGGGTTTGAGAAAGGTCAATAAGATCGGGGAGGAGCAGCAAACTCACGTGGAGCGCTTTTGGCCCCGAGTTGTTTGTTTAGAGGTGAGCTCTCTCTCTCTCTCTCTCTTTCTCTCTCTTTCTCTCTCTTTCTCTCTTTCTCTCTCTCTCTCCTAACTGTGCTAACAGCTGGTCCAGGCTGAAGCAGATGTAATGGAGGCAGAATTATGTAACTGCAGCCCAAAGGAAGGCGCAGAGATGGTTTCTTCTGGACTCTGTGGGTCCGAGCTCCCAGCTGGTACCTGCTCAGGATGATGTCGTGTCTCTTTGTTCCTCACCTCAGACAGAAATCTTCAGGATTTCTGTCTTTCTTTCCTCCATCCTGCCCCCTGCAGCCCCCTAATGACCACCAGCACTCCCACCCAGCAGGCAGATTGAACAGATCACATGTGCCTGTATTTCACCATCTGTTTATGTTGACAAGTTAGAGCCTTCTTCCTCAGTTCATCCTCCGTCTTTAAAGTAGTGCAGCTGTGCGCTCTGACCGCGTTACAACAGGTTTTTTACTCTGCAGATTTCTTCTTGATAACAGTCACTGAGTTTACGTCCTGCTGGAGAAAGAAGTGCTGAAAAATGGAGAGAAGGGAGAGGAGAGCAGGGAGAGAGGAGGAAAGAGAGGAGAGCAGGTGTGAGCTCATAAATGCAGATGTTGGTTAATTTCTTTTATTTTGAAATGACTTAAATTAAACTGATTACAAAGTTGTATTTCTGGACATTTTGTCTTTATTTGACAGAAAACCTTTAGGAGCAGAGAGCGAGGAAGACGATCAGTTTAAGGTTTTGGAATCGAGTGAAAGTGTAATATGCCGGAGTGCTCAGACTACCAGTTAGGGCTGGGCGATATACTGAAAATTTACAGATACCAAAATTTATGACAATAACCGATGTCATTTTGCCCATATCAGTATATTCTGTGTCAAAAAATTCAATAAAAGTTGGTTTTGGATGTGTGTAGGTAGGCTATGGTCTCATGTTCCTTTAAGACACTGTCCTACCTCAGAGGCGTGACTCCACCCAATCCAGTCTGTAACAAAGAGGGAAAGACAGGTGAGGAGATGGAGGACGGTTCAAAAGTTGTAGCGGCTGAAGTAGCCGAAGTTAAAGGGATATTCCGGCATAAAATAAAGTTAGGGTCAAACACACCGTAACACTGAGTTAGACACCCCCTCCAGAGATGAATGTTGCCGACAGCTTGCTTCTCTAGTTATACCAACTTTAGTAATGACTGCAGATAGCAATACAGAGAGCCACATGCTCAGCCAAAATGCCACAATCATTTTTTCATGGAAATACAATCAGACTGAGACACTAAGGCAGAAGAACTACTGCGTCTGCAGTACAAAATGATTAATAAGGTGATTATTACTTAAAGGAAATAATAAAATAATGACCATAAGTGTTCTTCCTTGAACTGCGTAACCCCACTGCTGTCTGTAATGGACTGTTTCTGAGGTCTCGCTACAAACAAGAGGCTGCTGGAAAAGAGAGGGTGAGTTGTGTTTAGTCTCTTTGCAAAAGAAATTAGTCAAAGTTAAAAAGTTGTTTGGTGGCTAGTACTATGGCTAGGACCCTATACTGTTAATGAAGTTGGGTGCTGTTCTGAGCATTATTTGTGGCTATAGAGTGGCGTTTTGGTTGAGGTTTGTTTATGGCTCCTCAAACCGCTGTGTATTGCTATCCTGCGGTCGTTACTAAAGTTGGTATAACTAGAGAACGAGCTGTCTGCAACATTATCTCTTGAGGGGGTGTCTAACTCGGTGTTAGTGTGTGTTTGACCCTAAATTAATTGCAGGAATATCCCTTTAATGTCCCATTAGTTTGTGGAGTAGTTATCGTCCATTTATCGTTATGGAGGTGAACTGATCAATATATCGAGTAGGCCTGTCGCGATAATCAATAAATCGCCTTATCGCTCGGTAAATAAAAACGAGGTCGGTCATTTTGCCAGCCTCGATAATTGACGTGCGTTTGTTTTCCTCCTCTCTCGCTACCAAACACGCTGGATGAGAGAAGAGGTCTCACTCTGCGCATTTTTCTCGGCACCTGGGGGCGTTGGCTCTATAGCGGAATGAACGGAGTTAGTGAACCCTCCTGTCAGTCATTCAGTGTCTTTGTCACGAGGGGGCTGGCGCGCACAGGCACACAGACACAGACTTTTGGATACAGTGCTGCAAGTGAGCGTCGTGAGTGAAAAGCAAGCAAACAGAATGAACACGACAGCTTTGGTGTCTAAACCGAACGCAACAGCCCAAGTGTGCGAATATTTCGGCTTTAAACCAGTTTTGTTTTCGTCAACCACAAAACTCCACGTGTGTGTGCGCGTGCGCATCTGTGTGTTGGAGGAGCACAGCAGGCTGATGAGAGCTGTCAGAGCGGACTGAAGCTGCTCCTATATGTTTAGCGTTTAACTGACTGAGTTTTGCAACTCTGTTCGTCATTTTCGTCTCGTCCCATCAACGTAAACGCACTTTCGTCTCGTCACATTTTAGTCATCTCCGACTCATGTTTAGCTCATCAACGTTACGTCTTCGTCGTGGGTGAAATTAAAGTTTATCACTTTTGACACGGTGTATTCGCATTATTATGCCATTTAATATCATTATCTATAATTTAAAAAACGGTGTCAATAATATCGTTTATCGGCAATAATTTGTGGCACAATTATCGTCCAGCAAAATTTGTTATCGTTACAGGCCTAATATCGAGGTATTGATTTGAGGCTGTATCGCCCAGCCCTAGTACCAGTGCTCTTTTAGTCCTAATAGAATCTATCATAGATTCCCCTCTGAACAAAAACCTCCAATGGAGATGAGTTGACAGCAGTCCTACTGTTTAATGTTGAGTGTTTTAAATTTGTGGACAGTGTTCGTTTCTTTTATAGCGAACATTAGCAGAGACTGTTGGTCACATTAAACATGTTTGATGACATACGCCTGGACGGACTGAAGACAAACCAGCGCTGTGTGTGTGTGTGCCACCATGACTCTACCACGGTCTGAGCCCAAGTTTTTATGACGGTGAAATCGCTTCAAAGTGGTTTGGTTTAAGAGAGCAGCTCTAGCTGAGGGTGAGAGTAGCCGGCAGGCATGGGACACATGATATTGGGACACATTACAGTGGCAGCATGTGACGCGTACATCACAACAGGACAGGAATATACTGACATTTATAAACGGGCTGTTGTACATCGAGTGTGGCCACATATTTACACGCTCTTTAGCCTCTGATGTTAGGAAAAGACTGCTTGAGCTGAGGGATGGCGTGCTCTCACAGATCGAACTGGAGTGTTTTCTTGTGCACTTATTTCAGACGTATCTGGAGTGCACGTGGAGTTGAAACCCTGCTGCGATGGTGAAGCTGGTCTGTTTTTTTTGTAGATTGTGTCTTCTCTTTGAAATCCTCTCAAACTGAGGGTGGTTCACACTACAGCAATTCCAGCTCCGTTTATCCACAGCCCACCACATTCCCGGCGTCATGGCAATCCCCTGTAGATAATCTTGCCTTATTTATCACTGTGAGCCAGCAGTCATTCTGTCACTCAAAGTGCATTGTCACAGCAGGAGCCTCTTTGTTTTCTGCGGCGCTGCGGTCATCTGCTCCTATAAGCTAACGATGTGTGAAGCCACCGCCGCTGCTGCTGCTATTGGAGGTTTTCTTTTAAAGTAGTCAAAGCTGTTCCCGACAAGAGCCCTGGATTACCGAGAACAACTGAGGCTTTGTTTTTAGACAGACATGCGGCTGTCAAGGCGTTAAATATATTTCAGTTCAATTAAAAATACACTTCTGTGAAGGTGTTGATTGGCTTCACATGAACACTTACAAATACGACTTGGCTGATTGTTTACAGGTTTGTTTAATCAGAAACAGCTGTTATATAGACACCTTTAAGTCCAACCTCACAGTGGTCAGCAAGCCGTTTTCACACATGCTCTAAGCTCATGACAAACTGAAATTTTCTGCACGTTTGAACGCGAGCAGCACAACTTACACCCCGACTTTACTCAGACTTTTTCTCTCCACCTTCAGGTTATAATATCTGCAGAAGTTAGGGTAAGGAAGCAGCAGGAAGTCTGCAATAAAATTAGCTGCGAGCAGGCAGGCGGGGCTGATGAAGTTTGTGTAATGCAACGATGCGGACTGACGTGGAAGAGGAAGAATAAAATCATGTGTTGAGGAAATGTTGAGGAAAGAGGTTAAGTTTGAACCTTTAACATTGATATGTCAAAACAGTCAGACACTCTGCAGCTCTGCCACAGCAGGAGGGTTAGAGTCATACCATCACTGAGTAAGTAGACAGGTGCCCCAAAATGGAAGACCACGCCAGGGAAGTGTACCGACAGGAAGCTTTCGTCATTTTTTGAAGGAAGAGCCCCCCAGTGAATTTAAGGACATTTTCAGCAGCGCTTCCATAAAAATCAAATGTTTCTACTCGACATAAAGGTCCGCCTCTGCAGGGATCCTCTCTTGAGTTGAAAATGCTTTACTGGTCCAAGTTTGATCAGCCGGTCTTCCTGTCGGTGTGAAGAGCAATAGCCTACAGTATATCTACAGTATATAGGTATATAGTATATTGTAGATATCTACAGTATATATACACTATAGGCCAAAAGTTTGGAAGCAAGATCAGATTTGTACAAAAAAAGATCATAGTTTCATATGTATAATTTGCAACACAATAAACATTACTATTGTGTAAAGAGTAACTTATCAGAAGACATTTTGACTGTAATTATTAGGTATTTGAGTTATTATTGCTTAGACTTTGCTTTCTTTAAAGTAACCTCCTCTGGCTTTAAAAACAGCTTGGCATATAAGTTTTCTAAGGTATGTTCCAGGGATTGCATTCCAAGCTTTCTTAAGTTCATTCAAACGAGACTGCTGATTCGTGGGACGCGTTTTTCTGACCGATCGATCCAATTCATCCCGCACAAGCTTAATTGGAGAAAGGTCTGGAGACTGAGGGGGCCAAACCATCTTTTGAAGAACACCTTCCTCTTCTTTTTTGTCTAGGTAACCCTGACAGAGCTTGGCAGAGTGCTTAGGGTCATTGTCTTGCTGCAAAACAAACTTATGAGCCACAAGTCTGAGTCCAGATGGAGCAGCATAGTGCTGGAGGATGGAGTGGTACTGTTCCTTCTTCATGACACCCTTTACGTCAAACAAATCTTCTACTCCATCACCTGCAAAACATCCCCATACCATGGAACTACCACCTCCATGCTGAATTTTGGGTGTAACACATGGTACTTTCAGATGTTCACCAGTTTGTCAGCGGACATAGACTCTGCGTTTTGAACCAAACAGTTCAAACTCTTTTCTAGTCATCATTAGTCCAATTTTTGTGAGCTTTTGCCCACTCATATGTCTTTTTCTTGTTCTGTGGACGAAGCAGAGTTTTTTTGCAGCCACACAACCCTTCAGACCAGCCTTTCTCAAACATCATTTTACGGTTGTCAGAGATATGGGTTTCAACCTTGTCATGTTGATTTCCTCCCTTATTTTTGGTGCTGTCTTTCACCGATCTCTCTGACTGGTGACAATGCTCTGTTTATCCTCTGCTTTTGTAGTAACTCTCTTTGTTTCTTTACTCAGTTGCTTCTTTCTAGCCATTTTTGGGGTAGTTTGAACGCAGTTGAGATTTATTAGGATTTTGTCTGCAAACTCTCAAAAGCCAAAAAATTGAGGTGAATAATCGAACTGTGATTTGTTTTTTTTTTTGCTTTTGCACTTAAGTTGTGACTCTTGCAAATGTTTTCAACCCTAAAACTAAGCCCTTATTATCTTTTGCTGACATATACTTAGCAATGGTCTGTTAACATCGATGTATATCTAAAGGTAAATGGAGTAAAATGGTGCATTTCCATGAAAGCAACATCTGATCATGGAGTAAATACATCCCAAAATACATAAAACTCATGCTGGATTTTTAAAAAAAGCATTGTGAACAAAAACTTGAAGTTACTTCCAACTTTTTGGCCTATAATGGCCTTGCTTCCAAACTTTTGGCCTGTAGTGTATAAATTTTTATAACTTCATAAAAAAATTTAAAAAACTGGCCGATTAATAGGTAATCAGACCCCCCCCCCCCCATTAATAATCGGTATCGCCATCGGCCCCCAAAAATCCATATCGGTCGGGCCTTAATAAGAAGAACCAGTTTTATCCTGTTTGGTTCTCAGTGTTTGACAAAGCTCAACTTTGACATTTAAACTTTTGTCTTTTGTTGTTGTGTGAAGTGGTTTCATACAAATAATCTGAGTCAGCTGCTAATGATTCAGAGGGACACACACAACAGGCGTCCTCTGAAAGAGGAAGTGTTGACTTCCTAAAGCGTCTTGTTCCTGTAGCAGCAGCAGCTGAAATGTTGAAATGCTGCATCCATTGATCATTTCCACTCTCCCATAAAATCCGCCTGCACTGGCCCAGGTTACTCTCACACTAGCAGCCAGCTGGAATCCTCTGAGAGGAGTTCTGGGTGGCACGGAGCAGCGCCAGTTTTGGCCCGGGGAGCTGGAGAAGTTGGTTTTAATGCAGGTTGCTGTGTCGTGATGTTTTTATTGGCTGTTGATGGTCTATGACCCGCAGTAACAACATGAGCTCGTCTTTCAAAGAGGGAAGAAGGTTAACTTTGCTTTTATTAGTGTCAACCCTGTAGACAAACAGTCACACCCTCACTCTGTTTTTTTTCTCTCTCTCTCTTTACAACCACAAAAGTGTCCACACTGAACATACATCAGTTTATTTACACTGAGCTGCAGACATCTGAATGTAGAGCTACTTTAATTTAAAAAAACACATTTACACTTTGAGTACACGCCTCTAACTTTAATATCACAGAGACTTTAGAAATGTCAGAGCAGGTAGAAGTCTCACTGTCACATTTACCTTTCAAAATGATTCATTATTGAGTTTTAGAGACTGATTCCAGGTCAGCTACTGATTTAACTGAAACCTACAAACAGTTGCGCAGTTTGAGGACGTCTTCACGCATCGATCAGAAAAGTGTTTTCAGGTTTCCTTCCTCCTCTAAGTGACATTAAACAACATCAACAAAAAAAAACAACAGACGTTTAAGGATATAGAAAACCTTGATCAGCATCTGTAAAAAAATCGATTTTTGAACAAAAAAAATTTAAATAAAAAAAATCAGGATACTTAAGTGAATGATTTTTTCCCTGCACCCCTACTTTTTATCCCTCTGAAAGCTGCCTTGAAAACAGATCTGTACTCCTTTTGCAAGAGACACATCTGTACTGCAGTGGGTGACAGCGCTCATGGTAAATACGGTCTTCATATGAAAGATCTCCCAGTACCTTCACAGACCAGTCAAGGTGCTGGTCAGAGGAATAGTTGTATTTGTATTCACGGTTGTGGACAGAAGACATCCACAGCTGCTGGTATGAACTGAGTGTTTTCTGCAGAAAGGCCTGTGGTAGTCCTTTAAAGCTAACTGCAGTCAAAGCTGAGCACCTGTTAGCATGTAAAAGAAGTCAGTGATACTATATGATTTTTCACCGCCTGTTTGACTCTGAATTATCCCTTTTAATATTACATACAGTTTGACACATAGCTGCCACGCATTGAAGAGCTTTAAATGAGTAATGGAGAGGTATGATACTGAAGAGCGGTGATCAAAACAAGGTCAGCCAGTGTAACCCTAAATACACACTCATAAAACACACACACACACACACACACACACACACTCATATACACACACTCGGTTCAGGAAATTCTTCAGAGTTTTTTAACCTTTTCTTTGGAGCTGATCCTAGAAGCTAAAGGTTATTTATGATTGGCTTGTTTGTCTTCACTGGAACAAAAACAGCATGTGAGCAAACTCGGAACAGAAAAGAGCAAATGCTATCAAAACCTCTGAACCCCGTCAGAAGGAGCCTGTGGTTGGTCTTTGCACGCGCTCAGTGAGTGCCTCCCTGCTGAGGTGTGTGCAGGTGAAGCCTGGTCATTCCTCGGGGGGGTCTGCTGTGGTGTTAATGGGCCCGTGGGGGGAGGTGCTAATTGATTCATTCTCCCTGCTCACCTTCTCATTAACACCAGCTCCCAGGGTAGCATGTATCTCTCCAGGTTTACTCCCCTGTGTCCCTTTGCCCTGCAGCTTGACTGTCAGGAGGCAGGCTGCAGGGAGAGCCCTAAACCCAGACTGGGATCACTCAGTGCGATAACATGCACAGCTTCATTGGGCTAAGCTCGTAATTTGTTTTTTTTTTCCGAAATGGACTTCTCTCTCTGTCTGCGTATACATGCAGCTGTGAAGATTGAATTATTGACAAGAACGTCAACTAGGGGGCAATATGGGTCTTTTCAGCGGCGCTGTTTCCAACCTCATACAACCGTCAACAACAACAGCAGGTCTGTACCAGGGGCCTGTTCTACGAAGCAAGTTCAACCTAGCGAGGTAGCCTTGGAGCTACCTCGCTCAACTTAGCGCGGTAGCCAGCGTTCTCGCTAAACGGTCTTACGACACTGGGTATCAACCTCGTAAGTAGATCCAGCTTTGCTATGAGCGCGTGCATGCATATAAGTCAGAGCCCGCCGCATCTGACCAATGGTGAACCAGGGTTTTTCCTGGCTCAAATTGAGGCAGAGGTGGCACCATCCCGACCATGCACCATGACGTGCATGTATTTGTAAATTCAACTGACTCACTTTCTTTCACAGGCAACATACTTTAAGTTAAGAGTTCAAAAAAGAGTGTGACCATTATCATGTTAAAGCATTCATTTATTAAAACTATTTACATACACAAATCAGCTGGCAACTTTAAATTGAAAGTACACTTCATCCACACATCTCACAACCAGACAGAACATTTCAGCCTCCTCTTTTTCATTCTGTAGAACCTCCTCATGCACTCCTTGTAGTCCAAGGCCTCCTGGTCTGGTCCATCAACGGCCACCTTACAACAGACATCCAAGTGCCTCTCCTTCAGTCTGTTCCACAGAGGTGTCTTCACCTTAAACAAAACAATTCATCATGCATTAAGTATTTTTGTTTTTATTCTGATACAGACATAAAGAGTGATAGTGTTTTCAATCATATATTATATATATGTATACGCTGCAGTGTCCTCCCTAAAGAAAAAACGACAACCAATTATTTCTTAAACTATCTAAACTATGTTATTTTAGTTTTTGTAACTTTATTAGTTGAGTGTTTTTAGGTACTACCATCTTTAATATACTTCTCCTTCTCTTCTGCTGCTTTGTGAATGGCTGTCACCTCATGTCTTTTTAATGTGTCCAGCCTGTAGTTGGTTGATGGCTGTCTCACTAAGGAGGCACAGTGTTGGGGCACAGTGCTTTTGGCATAAATAGCAGTGCATGCCTTCCTCAGTATGCCTGAGCCAGGTAAATTGATTGAGCCACTGCTTGTCAAAGCCACTGGCTCTGTGTTTTTGAGAAGATCTGGAAAGAGGAATAAAAACTACGTACCCGTTGGCTTTGCGTTGTTATGCTCCTAATTGGAAACTAATTAATTAATTACCCTCGCCTCGCCGACTCGTCCTGTCCTGCATTCTGACCCTCGCGATCACCAGTCCCTTGTGAAGTACTTTCAGACCTGACACAAATTTCCACGTTGTCACCACCATGAATTATAGCATTTTAACTGCCTGTTACGTTTTTTCTCTGCTGTGTTTCATCTGGACTCTTGACTTTCCTCCTCGCGAGGTCGCTTTTTAAAGTACTGGCTGATTTTGCCTGTCATAACTGCAACGCTAAAAACGGAGGAAACTTTTTGTTTTAATAAACACGGCATGCTTGGATGCAAAACAGAGAAGCAGTATTTACCTGTTTGTACCATCCGCCAGGGAAAATCAGGACGCCGATAGCACCAACTAGCGGGGAAAAAAAACTTGAAAAAACATGATTCGATCCGTTTCTTCTTCGGTAGATGCTTCAGGTCTTTCCGGTGCACTGCTGTTGATATAGCGCCTCTATAGTGGCGCAACGCTGCAACTGCAGTTAGAATACGTTGCTGCTGCAGAGGGACATCAATCGCTCAATCAACACAGCTGGAGCTTTACGCTGTGTTGAGCGAAATCAATCGCTCTGGCTGGGGGCGGCACAAAATTAGGTGGAGGCGGCCGCCACGCAATTTTGAACGCAGGAAAAACCCTGTGAACATGGACCAGTCTGGAGCGTCAGAGCAGGCCGGAGACCGAAGGACTGCAGACTTTACAAACGAGGAGCAGGAAACGATCATGAGAAAGTATGGCGAATTCAAATGTATCATAAACCTCAAAAGCAATACCGTCGCCACTGCAAAAGCACGGAAGGAATGCTGGCAGAAAATTGCCGACAGTCTCAATGCGTAAATAAAGTGCGCAAAAAATCTTTGATGCCATTATTACCCTGAAATAGTGCTGTTCAACGTGCGCTTTTAACATGCACCAGACATGTCTAATTCATTTCCAAGATGAATTCATTCATTTGTTCATTCCTATCGTGTTTACATTTTTTGTGTGATATGTCGGCCATATAAGCCTTTCATAAAGGTGGTCATCTGGAAAAGTAAGTGGGTCCTTGCGGTCCCTGAAAACAGGACAATGCGAGCACCGAGGTCTATAGGATCCTACAAGAACGGACAAGCCATTTTTCGATTCCATTTTTCGCTCATTGGTCAGTGGGCGGGGTTTTTATACTCGGTGAGTTCAATCTGGAACCTAACCTGCCCCGGAGCAGGTTAGCCGTTCAGCGTATGTTGCCATGAAGACTCGCCTCGCTAAGAAGTGAACCCACATCATAGAACAGGAAACCTCGAACTTAACCTCGAAGTTACCCCGCTAAACAGTAATCCTGCTTTGTAGAATAGGCCCCAGTTGTCAGAAGTGTCTACAACTGCTGCTGGGGGGCTTTGGAGCAAGAAGATGGCGCGTCGTACAGAGTTGTTTTTCTCATATATGATATACACGCTACTTTTTTTGCAGATGAGATGCACGCTACTCTTCTTAATCATGGTTTTTGTTATGGGGTTATGGGGAGTGACGCACATGCATTGTCCAATCATACTCCGACTATGCTGGTTATATGGTAGAGAAAATTAAATTCCAATCGCATTATCTGGGTGTCTTAATCGGATTTTTCCGACTCCAATTGGAGTTCTCAAACTCCAATCATAGTTGGACAGAGGTGTTTACATGCACTTCGGTTGTCTAGTCTTAAGGTCCTTACACACCGGGACTAATGCAAATATATGACGCGAAATTCCGAAAATTTCCGGAGGCGAATTTTGACGCGCCTGACTGTACACATCAAGCCCGGTGCGATTTTGCGACTTTCAGGGGGAAAAAAGACGCATCCCGGGTGGAAGCGAGCAGTGAAAGCACTGAGTGTTTTTCAGTTCTGATTAGACACTAGTGTTGAGATGTCTGTCTGTCATGATAGCATGTACTGAGTCGGGGCCAGTACCAGATGCACATTAAATTATAATCCATAAATGTAAGGTAACAACTGAGACCTTATGGTGCTGTTACAGCAACGCTGTGATTGAGTTTGAGACAGTGAAAATACATATGGTATGTTGTATCTGAACAGGTTAGTTTACGAGCTAAAGTTACTTAACACAGAAGAAAGTTAAAACTAATACATTTAGCAAAGTGTTAAAGCACACAAACTTTCCTTCAGGTTGTTATCTTTGCAATGTTTGTGTTTTTTATCAAAAAGCACTCTGTTCTCCAACATGTAAACAATCAGCCGGTCGGCCATGTTGGATATACCGGTGAATCAGACGTCGCAACCACATGCAATCTGATTGGTCAGAAGTTGACACACAGTATGCGAAACTTTAGAAAAATCGACGTGATCCAGTTGTCCTTTCCATGCGGTGATTTTCACTCCAGAGTTACTTCAGTTACCCTTGAAGTAAGGCAATAATTCTGTTTTCTCAAGTGTCATGTAAACGTACTGACTGTGACTGTTGTTGACTTGTTAAAACGGTCTTAATGTTGTGTGTACTGATTTAGACCTTCTCCTCCGTCCACAGTATTCGCAGTGTGATGCAGAAGTATCTGGAGGAGCGAGATGAGCTGACGTTCGACAAAATATTCAACCAGAAGATCGGTAAGTCCGCCATTCATGAAAAAGGTTACAGGAAACAAGATCTGCGTTTCATGGATGTGATTACTTAGTTCAGGCTCCTCTGAAGACATGCAGGAACACTTTATATCTTCAGGTTTTTGTATTAGCGTTGACTAATAGTTAATAAGCCCACATAAGAGCTTGGAACGTAAATGATACTAATAAAAAATAATCACACATTCACTGTTTCCTTTAAGACACTTACAGGCTCAAGTTCAACAGAAACATGAACTAGACTTAATGAGGGTTGATAACGGATGACTTGTTGAACACTTGCTCCCGTCATTCATGGTCCCCTCAGGATGAATCAGACAGATCGGCTCTCAGCATGCAGATCAAACCTGTTTTGTTAGAGACCTGGTTGTTTTCACCCCAACCTTCAGCTCATTGATTCTGCTTTTTAGTCACAAGAGGTCAAAGGTGCATCGACCGACATCGACTGGGTCATCAAGTGTTTCAATAATAAGGGACTGAGAGCCAACGCAGGAATCTGGTTGTCCACTGAACCTCTAAGGAGATCTTTAATGAACCAGGTTTCTGCATACAGGTTAGAAAAATCCGCTCTGAGTAGGGCTGGGCAATGTGGGAAAAAGTTAATCACGATGTATTTTTTCCATATCAGGCGATATCGATATATATCACGATATAAAAAATGAAGTTTAACAGTGTTTATTGGTAGCATATCTTTTGCAATACAATAATCTACTGCATTTGTGAGGTCTGTATGTCACTTCGACTTTTTGTCATAAGGCGTTGCGCTAGAGAAAGCAGACTGAATGGTCGGCTGTTTCGGCCGCACAGGCGCCATGGGTTCCTTGCTCCACTCAGGGTTTGTAACCTTTTGCGTTGCGCATGCTTTGCGGCATGGCGCTGCTTCAAGTGGTATTCCCCGACTTGGTGAGAACATGTACTCGACAAATTTACTCTGCTTCAGGTCCGACCTCAAAAAACCAAAATACCTCCACACCACCGACGTTCTCCTGCCAGTGTTGTCGACAATGTTGTCATCTGTTGAGCCTTCGTCGTTATTTCTGTTGGGGATCGCACTCATTTTCTTTTTTTCTCACCAACAGTGCTGTCGGCTTCATTTGTTAAAGTGCTATAGTTGCATGTAGCTGCTGTCTGCTACTACGCAGTTGTTTGATACTTGGTTCTAATTCAGCACATGATTGGTTCAGCACAAAGTGGACCGGGAGCAACTCCCTTTTTCACTGGCTATTGGTATAGTCTACCAAAACATGGCAGAATGGCAATTATCGAGAAGCATATTGACTATGTTTTATATTGATATTGAGGGAAATTGATTTTCGATATACATGGTTATCATTTTATCACCCAGCCCTATCTCTGACTGTCCTGGATTATTCAAAGCTTCAGTTTCAGCTGAAGTCCTGATGTATTCATAGACTTGATATTAGATTTTACTCTTTTGTGTCGAGTGTGTTGGCTCGGCCCTTATTGTCCTCCATTTTGGCTCCTGGTTCTGAAACAGTGACCCTGAACCCATCAGTCTTTCTATCTGTGCACCAAACCACAAAAGCACCCCACTGACCTCCTGACGCAGCTTTTTTTTTTTTTAACCTCCGTGGCACTAAAATAGTCCTAATTAAGGAGGGAATGGATGTTATGTTATAGACAGAAATGTCCTTATTGATCCTGTTTATCGGCCCCATTCCTCATCAATACTCTTATTGATTCATCCTCAGTTTTCTGTGGGGGGGTGGTGATGGAGGTGGGCGCTCTCTGGTTTTTCAGCATCGATGAAACTGTTTTTATGGATTCATTGAGGAGAGCAGACTTCTTAACGTCTCTGAAGCACCTGCACGAGGTTAAAGGTCAGACTGTCTCTGAGAATATTGGCCATGTTGAGGATGTTTCACCGCAGAGCTTCGTCCAATCAGGCAGGGGTTTAGATTCCTGTAGATCAGAGTTCTCCTCTAAATCCAGATTTGGATTTTCTGAGTCTCTGAGCTTCTGTGATGTCTAGATCTATGTTATTTCTCGTAACCATGAGGAGGTTTTGATTTCGCTTCGTTGATGCGGCGGTTAATACCGAGCGACACGTTTCCTGCTTCCTCCTGCCCAGCTGTCTGCTGCCCCACCTGCCCGTGTGGCGCCTCCTCCTCTGAGTCCGGGTCCTCCGAGTGTTTGCGCTCCTGCAGACGAGCGGTGTGCTGCTGGTTGTGGCGTATCAGGGGACCACAGCCGCCCTGCAGGCTTCTACTTGGTTTACTTACTGTTCTAGGTCTCAGCCCCCCTGTGAGAAGAGAGCGCGTTAATTCAGCCTGCCTCCTTCTCCACATCCTCCTCGGCTCTCTCTCTCTCTCTCGCTTTTCACACCTGTGTCTTCTCTTAGATCTCTCTCTCTCTCTCTCTCTCTCTCTCTCCTCTCAGTTTCAGATCAAGTGCTGTGACTGTTTCAGTACAAAAATGTCTACAGGCTCCCGCCTGGAGACCGCTGTCGTTGAGTGTCCCCATAAACTTGAACCTCTTTGGGGTTTTGGATTGAAGCCGGGACAGAGGATAGTGATCTGATAATGTCACCTCCATCTCAGAGGAACCGTGAATGTCATTTTTCACTTTTCTCTGACATTTCACAGAACAAAGAGTTAAACTGTTAATGAGGGGAAACAGTCAATTAACAGAACGTGGGGTAGATTCAGTCTCAGGGCGGATACTGGAGTCAGAGCTCTGCTTTTGGTCCCATGAAAGAGCTTCTCCTCTGCTCTAAACAGCGGATATTTTCATGATTATCTGGTTAAATTTGTTGAAATAGTTGAAGGCTGCAGAGATGCCCACACAGAGCGATACGTTCACCTTTGTCTGACCGAGGTGATCCTATAAATAACCCTGAGGTTTTCTCATAATGACTAATATTTTATTTTGAAACACTCTGATGTGCTCGCAGACTTTCAGACATGTAGCTCTGCACACTTCCTCCTCTCTGCTGCAGCGTGTTACAGGAAAGTCTGGACAAACTTTACATTGACAGTGGCGTACGCTGAGACTCCAGGTCTTCAGTCAAACTCCTGGAATAATCCTCGAGTTTATCTCAAGGCGGACTGTCACCCTGACCTCATCAGTCCCCTCCTCTCTCCTCTCCTGACCTCCTCTCCTCCCCTCCGTCCTCTCCTGCCTCCTCACATCACAGCCAGCTGTGTCCTCTGGTTGCTGCTGGTCATTAGTCCAGCTCTCAGATCTCATTAGTCAAACTTGTAGGAAACACTCGTTAGCAGGCGGGTCGATGTTGCTCTGCCTCTGGGACTTTGACATTCCAGGTAATCAACAGGCAGCCGTCCCCGCCTCATTCCTCGGTTGCTCTGGTCTCCACTCATGCACATCTCTTACAGCGGTGAGCTGAGCACCGAACGAGGACTTCCTCATGCCTCGGTACGGTCTGAGGTGTCACTAAAACACCAGTCAGCGGGGACGGACGTGTCATTACTACCAAGATCACTTCAGTCGTGTAGGAGCTCTGTGTTTGGAAAGGTCCGCAGAAAAGGTCTTGAGTTGTGAATGAAAACAACAACATGATGGAAAAAAGTCAACATGTGCAACAAAATCGAGAAATCAGCATTGGTTCTGAGAGGGGATACTGACACCCAATTTTCACAGCTTCTGGAACGGAAGCGATTTTCACCATCCGCCAATTCCTACCAGATCCGTTGGTGAGACGAATTTTGTGGCAGATTACTGACAGCGGTAATCGCGAGAACTCAAAAGAACCTGCGGATTCATGTGCAATCGCGCGCTATTGAGTTGTCTCTATAAAGACAGCCACATAGACATATAAGCAGTAGATTGTGTCCTTCCAGAGGAGGAAATCTACTTCTAGACTTCTAGAATCATCATCTCCTCATCCATGGTGTCATCAGGGTGAAATGACGTCTGTAAACCTTTCGCTTGTTCATCTCCGCCCCTTTGCATGGTGTGAAATATGATCCACCTGAAACACGGGGTGTTTTATTTTGAAAAGAAGCCGGATGTTTTATTTTGTGTCTGTGCCCGACTTCCTTTCCAGCATGGGTTAATCTGTGCTGAATTTATGCGGCATGCTCCAGCGTCCGGAAAAAATAGAACTCTTGCGATCAGCTGTGGAGTCCAGCGATCCGCAGCAGAATGGAAAGAAGCGGTGGAAATTGACGCATTAACTTGAATGGTTACGATCAGCTATGATCGGGGGATATGGCCTTTTCGCAGCTGTTACGGATGTGGTGGAAATTGGGGGTTAGAGTCCTGTTGGGGGCGTTGGTTCAGCTTGGTGGTTAAATCTTTTTTAGAGGCCACAGTCCTAAAGTATTGACCTCGGGTTGACACGTCATCCCTCACTTCCTGTTCCCTAATCTTCAGTCTATCCACCGTCCTGTCCTTTTAATAAAGGCACGACAACCCAAAAAGTCCAGAAGACCCCCAAGAGAAACTGTGAGAACTCTGAGAAATGATACTCAAGCAGACTGGGGTAATTCAGGCAGATGAACTCGGCAAGTGGGAACATCTGAGGAACCTCTGTAAGAATTCTAGCCGGAGATCTGAGGGAGGGTTCTTGGTCCAGCCTAACAGGACTGGTGGCTCTATCAGGATTTAGTAACTGATACTGATGTTCAAAATACTCAATCAGTGTTGTTGTGCTCACACAGTGTGAGTAGAATCATTAGTGGTGCATTGATATTGATGATCATGTGAAATTTCAGTGCAACAGAAGAGGACGCAGATCCAGTCTGTGCGTTACATGTTCTCTCTGCCCGGTCTTATTAAGGGAACAACAGGCAGATCTGAAAGCAGTGAGGAGCACAGACGGCTGTGAGTCTGAGAGCAGCACAAAGTGTGTGCGGCGTCCACATTTGAATGGGAAATGTTCAACTTTGCATGTCAGAGGACATAGCGGTCTAATGTGGCAACAGGAAATGGTTACAGCAATACGAACAGTAACCACAGGCCTAAACCTGCAGACTCTCTCAGATGGATAAGTATACAAACGATCTGACTGCACTTCTGTTCATCACTCTGAATGTGAACGTACTGAGAGTTCATGTTAAAAGCACGAAGGACAGGTTTAAAGCTCACGTCCTTCATGTTTATAGTTTGATTTGTTTTCGATCTTCATGGACGACAAAAAGACAAAGGCTCATTCACACTGAAATAACTGCCCCGCCTCCATCACTGTAAAGATAAAGGAGGGAGACCTTGACCAACCTGACTTATTGGAGCCAGAATGACTATCTTTGTCAGTGAGGATCGATTTTTTTAAGTTTCTGTAAATGGAAGGAAACAATATTCTTCAAAACTGTCGCCTGGCCTCTGGGTTTATCCTACAAAACGACTTTATTTGTGTGAAATTTGTAGAAAAGTTCAGCAGTTATTCTTTCATAATTCTAGAGGGGACACACAGACCTGAATCTCAGACCTGAACTTCACTGAAGCTGTGATCAGACCAGAAGAGGAGAAACTGTAGTCCTGTTGAAGTTCAAACACAATATCATTCATGCTCAAAACGTCCATGTCAGAAATGTTAAAAACCTGATAAACCACAGACTCACTCAGCTGGGTTAGTCTCCCCTCCTCCTCTATGACCGTATTTAGATCAAATTAAAACCACAACCCAGTTTAAGGGCTTGTGATCTGGACCATGTTTCCTCTGACAGACACCTTCTACCAGGGTTCTGCTTCAGCGTCAGAGCAATTCTCAGTTAGCCTGCATGAGGTCTCAGTTTCACTGTATCTGATTCCACAGTCTCAGTTTTGCTGTATCTGAATCCATTAAGTCTCAGTTTTACTATATCTGCCTCCCCTGAGTCTCAGTTTTACTGTATCTGACTCCATTAAGTCTCAGTTGTACTGTATTTGCCTACCCTGAGTCTCAGGTTTACTGTATCTGACTCCATTAAGTCTCAGCTGTACTGTATTTGCCTACCCTGAGTCTCAGTTTTACTGTATCTGACTCCATTAGCTTCAGTTTTACTGTATCTGCCTCCTCTGTCTCAGTTTTACGGTATCTGACTTCACACAGTCTCAGTTTTACTGTATCTGACTCTTTTGAGTCATGGCTTTACTGTATCTGACTCATCTGAGACCCATTTTTACTGTATCTGATTCCACAGAGTCTCAGTTTTACTGTATCTGACTCCACACAGTTTCAGTTTTACCTTATCTGACTCTTTTGAGTCATGGTTTTACTGTATCTGACCCCACAGAGTCTCAGTGTCACAGTTTCTTCTCCACTAAAACTTGTTTTCCTATTTAATAGTCCTAGTTAGACCGTTTCAGCCAGATTATAAATGGTGTGTGTTTGATGTTATTGACACTGACTTTGTTCCAGAGCTCAAATGTTGTAGATTTTGGCCTTGATGCTTGCTCTTACTCATGGTTTAGAGTGTTTCTGTTTGCGTGTCCTGCTCACCAGTGTCCCCATAACCCTCTTTTCTGTCTGAAGAACATCTCTGTGTTCACCTGCAGCTGAATCTTCTAGTTAATGAGCAACAGGACAGAAATGCTGCAGTCTGAACCTCTGCGGTTCAATTTGAGGACAAAGCGTCAGGCGACTCTTGTGTGATGTAGAAAGATCTGCCTTTCTTGGACAGCAGATTTCAGACACTCGGAGCTGAATTTGTCCCTCTGACCTGTACAGTCATTTTATTTCATATCTTGTGTGTTTTGGCCTCATGTCTTCGGACTCTGGTAGAAAACCTGTTTTTGTGAAGCACACAAAAGTTTTTCAGAAATCTCTTTTTCTGAAGCTTCACCTGTATCAGATCTCATTTATTATTCATCTGTTTTTGGATCTTGTCATGAGTCTTTTCCTGCCAACTCGCTCTCTTTTGGAGGTTCATTCCATTCAACAGCTGCAGGAGCCGGGCTGTGAGTTTGCCTCTGATTTCAGTCATCTCTTCAGGCTCCATCCTTGAGCTCGACGAGCCTTGTTGTTGACTGTCATGACAACCAAGGACGGGACCAAGACTCTGCTGCTGGAATGTCTTTTCACCTTGAGGGGCGAGCTGCAGTGTGTGCAGGTCGGTTTTAACACGCAGAAATCACTTTTACACATTATTCATGTCTTCAGAGATGCAGCAAACATGGACCGGGTCAGGTGTGTCTGCATCGTCTCAGCTTTTTATGAATTCATTAGGAGTGTGTCCTTCGCAGTCTTTGGCTCTCTGTGAACTCCACAGTCCTGAGGGGGTGTGAGTCTGCGTCCTATTTTTATTTCTTGTTACACAGCTGAAGAAAGCTGCGCTCAGGAGACCCACCTGCCCTCTCAGCAGCCCGGCCTGAGAATGAGTCCAGTCCACAGATCCAGTAAAATCAGGGTCAGGCACAATGACCATTATTAATGGATGCTCTCTGAACACTAAATTTAGCGTTCACGCTGGACAACACTTTTTCTTGAAAAGGTTCATCAAATATGAAAATGAAGTATAAAAACTGGAGTCACAGATGAACACCGGTCTTCACGGTCTGCTGGAGTCTCTTCAGTCCAGGATGAGGTCTGACTGTGAAGGATTCTTGATCTTCAGCCCAAGGAAGATCCCAGTCAGGTCTTTCTGGGTCTTTCTTTTGGATTGGGAGTCTGCAGAGTCAGATTTCACGTGCATGATCGTGAAGAAAGGAATCTTTAAGGAAATCATTAAGATAAAATGTAAACGATGTTGATGGATTGAACCATTTCGAACCGGTTCTCAACAAGAACCGGTTCTCGATTCCCATCCCTACACACACACGCACACACAGCTGTTCTGTCCTGTTTGCTTCACCGGCTCATACCTCAGGACTGCAGCCCCTAAAGGGACCCTGTTTTGATATATCTTGGATTAAATCTGGTGTTTAAGGCTATGTTCACACTGCAGGTCAATTCCAATTTTTCAACTGATATCTGATTTTTTCATGTAAGTGTGAACAGTGCAATTCAGATTTTTTCAAATCTGACCCAGGCCTCTTTTGTATATGGATATGAATCGGATATGTATCTGATGTGACTGCAGTGTGGACGCTCAGGTCACGTTCATCCGACCTATACGTCATCAATATGCGACAAACGTCACCATTGTTCGACAACACAAACGGGCGCAGAAAGCAATTTGTGCTTTGTGCACATGCGGGTCACTTCACGGATGCATTCCGTGCACATTAGATGCCGCATTCATTGTTGTAATGTGAACAACCGCACAAAAAGATCGGATTTAACGAAAAATGCGACTTGTGCATCATAACCTGCAGTCTGAACGTAGCCTTAATTCTGACTCTTTTCTGTCACATGTTCTTTTGAAAGTCTGTGTGACCTCAGCGGGTGTGTGGGTGCAAATATTGACCATGGCATGAGTTTTTTTTCTCCTTTTCTCTGTGAGTGTTTCTGCAGCGCCTGCTTCAGAGATGTTTGATTAGTAATGCCTGCTAAGAGCCACAGTGTTATGACGCCAGTCCAGAGCGACACGTGCCCCTTAACAGGCATCACGAATCGAGCGCTGTTTTGTTCAGTCCAACTTTTACATAAATGATCAGATCTCAGCCTAATGCTCTAAACTCTCAGTGCAGATATTTTCTTCTTAGTTTGGTCCTTACTCTCTGTGACAGAGAGTCAGAGGAGAGATGAAAACACACAGAAAATGTCAAGAGTGACGACGATGATGATGTAAATGTGGATGCAGCGGCGGTGCAGACGGGCATGGCTGACAGACTTTGATTGGCTCTGCTTCAAAAAGTGACACATTGGCTGTAAGGAATCAGCGTTTACTGAGCAGCTGAGATCTGGTTCTTCTTCATTTTTGGTGGACGCTGCTGAAGTTTCGGCGGTGAAAAAACACCAAACTCTCCCTTTAACTTCTAAACTTTGGGATTTGACCTCCAACATCAGACTTGAATCATGAAATCAGGAAAGGTAAAACTCAAAAATCAGCTTCAGTGCTTTAGCAGTGAACATGTAGATCTTGAAGCTTCAGAAGTTCCTTTCAGTCACTTTCTGTAGTGATTGAACCACAGTGTGTGCAGGTCCAGCCATCTGCGAGTACGTCATTGTTTTGAGTCAGTGATGTGCAGGAGGTCAGATCTTCGGAACGTGTGGACGTCTCCATGATTCAGAAAAAACAAAATGAGTTCATGACGGAGGTGAGCGAGTGAAAGATGAGGCTGAGGACTGATGGAGACCAGGAGAAACACAGGAGAGGGGAATCGAGGTACTCAATATAGGCGCTGTGTTTAATTTGGATGGCATCTTCTCCTCCTCACTGCCACTCTGCTCCTCCTCCTCCTCCTCCTCCTCCTCCTCTCACGCTACATCCATCTCTTCTCCTTCTCTTTTTCTCTTTTATTCCTCTTTGCTTCCTCCTTCTCCCCGTTCCCCTTCTCCTTCTCACCCTCTCTTCTTATTTTTCCCCTTTCTCCCTCTTTCCTCCCTCTCCTCCTTTTTTCTTCTCTTCTCCTCTTCCTCTCTTCTTCCCTCGATTTCCCCCCCTTCCTCCCCTCTCTCTCCTTCTCCCTTGTTTCTCTCACTCTCGCCTTGGCATCCTCTGTCTCCATCTGTCAGACTTCTGGAATGGATGATGGAGAGTCGCCCGTTGCCTAGCAACTGAGGTTGCCATGGTAACGCGCTGCAGAACTGCTGCATTTGCTCGTCGACGGGGAGAAATGAAATTGATTAAAGGAGGAATAAAATAGGTGATGAGGACTGGAGAGAGAGAGATGAGGACGGTGATAAAAGGAGGGCAGTAAACGCAACCGACCCAGAGCGGTTTCTTTTCCGATTTTACCCAGAATGCAACGTTTTCCTGCAGGCCAGGATGCGTATGTCAACAGACTGTCCCCGCCTCCGGTCCTTCTCACGTCTGTCCTTTTATTCATCCATCATGATTCACACAATCTGCACTTCAGAGGAATCAGAGCTCTGCCGGTTTGACTCCTCACATGATTTCTCATAAAGAAAAGAGCGCTCTCATGTTTAATACAGTCAACAAGTGCAGCTGCTGCAGACGCCGCCGCCGCTGCAGTATGAGGGTGAGGATGCTGCTGCTGCAGAGATGGTGCGCTGACCACACCAACCCCAAATAACCTCTGTATTCACCGCCTCCTAATGTGGGGCTGGAGCAGGAAAAATGCAGTGTGCCATGACAGGGTTCAGAGTGTGATTATAATCCAACATTAAAGAGAGAATATGAGCTTGGACTGTTTCTGGATCTACCTGCTGTTTCACTCAGTACCTTCTTGGGCTGGGCGATAAACCAAAAATATACCGATACCAAAATTTACGACAATAACTAACGTCATTTTTCCCACATCAGTATATTCTGTGTCAAAAAAATAAATAAATCAAAGTTGGTTTTGGATGTGTGTAGGTAGGCTATGGTCTCATGTCCCTTTAAGACGCTATCCTACATCAGGAGATGGAGGACGGTTCAAAAGTTGTAGCGGCTGGAGCAGCGGCTGAAGTAGAAAAAGTTAATGTAGGAGGGGGTGAGCAGCTTGTAGAGTAGTTATCGTCCATTTATTGTTATCCAGGTGAACTGATCAATATATCGTGAGATTGATTTGAGGCCATATCGCTGAGCCCTAGTACCTTCCTGTGTTTGCAGCATGTCCCTCCTGAATCCAAAATAACTGCTGATGTTTGTCACTGTTAAGTTGGCATCAATTAATCTAAGAGTATTCGGGCTTCATGTGACAGAAAACATGGCTGTAATAATCCAGCCTCAGTCTGACAGGTTTAATGTTCACACTCTGAGTAAAAAAGCAGTGATTTTCTACCTCATGTAGTTCTAGTTTCATGGCTTATCAGGGCTCGACAGTGCGACTGTTTCACTCACATTTGCGACTAAAAATAGATGTGTGAATTGGGAAATGTATTTAGGGGTATGTGTTAGGGCCCGACCGATATGGATATTTTGGGGCTGATGCCGATACCAATTGTAAGGGGGGAAAAAAATCAGATTACCAATTAATCGGATGATTTTTTAAAATTTTTTATTAAGTTATACAAAATATATATTTACTGTAGAGATCTACAGTATACTTCATACTGTAGATATACTTCAGGCTAGGCCTGCACGATATATCGTTTGAGCATCGTCATCGCGATGTACGTGTGCGCAATAGTCACATCGCTGAGCCTGCGATGTTGGAGGTGAATGAACTCATCTAATTTCAAGGGTAACTGACTGAGATACACTGCATGTGACTCTGCATGTGCTTTGCAGCGATTCAACAATTACCTTCGTTCTTTACTCAGTTGCCAATCAGACTACCCTGCCAGCTGTCAATCAAAATCAGAGAGGAGGAAACCCACCCCTGCACATGGAGTGAGTCACTGGCGCTGCCGGAGTTGAGCCAAGAAACACATGTCCGCTGAGAATTACTTTCGGAACATTACTCATCACTGTTTAGCCCAACAAACAAGAACTGTATGGGTTTTAAATTGTACATTTCCATGGACCACTCTACTACAAGCAGTGCGCGTTTTGTGAGGTGCATGCAAATCTCGGAGGACATGCGTTTCTCAGCACAACCCCGTTAACAACAACAACGATTGCAAACTGAGCAACAAACAGAGAAGACCACCAAAGATGAAGACTTGGCATGGCTTTGGTCTCTCACTGTTTTCATCTGTTGCCACAATAACGCCCCAGAACAATAAAAGCTAAAATATCTCTGAGACAGAAGCCAATCTACTAACATTCACAAAAAGAGGTAAGATCAGTGCAGGTTTACTGTCCTCAAAATTTCAGCAGAAAGTGATATTCAGGTCATCTGGTGAAAATTCCTGTATTTTTTAATATCGCAATATATATGGCAGGGTTGAAAAAATTTTTTTCCAGTATCGTGCAGCCTTACTTCAGGCTACTGCTCTTCACGCCGACAGGAAGATCGACTGATGAAACTCCGACCAGAAAAGCGTTTTCAACTCGCCGATAAATCGGTCGGACCCTAGTGTGTGTGCACATAAAAAAAATCAGCCGAGGTGACAAATGTTTTTTCCTGTAAATACCGCAGTGAGGTTAGTTTTAGGAATAACAACAGCAGCGTGGTTAAATGTACTTGGCACCCTCGCTGTCAACATTGTGTGTTGAATAAGGGACCATCAATAAATTACTGGTTGATGTTCTCACAAAAGGCTGTTTTCCTTCAATAGCTTCCATGTCATGTGACCAATTGACCTAAAATTGATTAAAAAAAAACGTACTAAGGTCTGACAATAAGACACACCTCTTTATTTCCCTAATTTGTCCTCTAAAATATTTGTGTTAAATTTAAAGGAAAATTTTGCACATCTTCTTCCATAGCTTCCATGTCATGTGACCAAAAGACCTAAAATTGATTTCAAATAATAGTACTTACGTCGCCCAATTAGACACACATTATCTGATCAATTTTCATTGTGCCCCTAAAGTTCTTTGTGTGCTCCTTACTTTTTCAACTTAGAAGCAAATGGTAGTGTCAAGCTAATACAGGTAACTCAGAGTGCGTCTAAAAAGTCACAGGACAGGATGAGCGTGATGAGAGAGGCTGTGGCCATCAGGAGGGTCAACCAACAACTGCAAAGTTAACTTTGGTATCATACAAAACTCACAACTAAAGAAGAAAACATGAATCAGCGGATGATAGCAATAACCACAGTATTACTCCACCTGAGTCTCACGCTAACGCTAAAGGATGCGTACGTGAGTTTTTTGCACAGATTTTCTGCAGTAGATCCACAAAGATGCTGACGTATGACTGCAGGTTTGCTTCTCACACTGAACCGAACAACACCTGCATTTTGTTGCTTCAGTGTGTGATTTCAGACGGCACAGAGGCGCCAGGTAGCAAACAGATGACGTAGGAAACCATGTTAGCCTAATGTAAAACACACGCTTCAGGCGGGGACACTCGTTTGGTCCCACGCATCAAGGAGGTTCGTCTCATCTTCTCTTTTTCAAACTTGTTATTAAGTGTGAGTGATCGCTTTCTCTAAAACATGAACTGACACCGCTGACCAATCAGAGCGTCCGCCTGTCCCCGCCTGTTTTAAACGCTCTGAAGACAGTAGCACCTTATTCTCCTCCTCCTCCTTCTCCAGCTCCACAGAGACAGATGTCAGCTTTTCGCTTTGTTGCCCACTTTCCATTTTCCCCCTGACCCAAACTGCCCCCCCCCCCCCCCCTTCTAGATTTTGGCTGCAGGCTTGTGTGTGTGTGTGTGTGTGCGCGCGCATATGTGTGTGTGATCTCTTAGCTCACCATGTGTCCCTCAGTCTGTTTGTCTTTGTCCGTAATTGTCCGCCCTGAGCTGCCTCAGCATGGCTTTGGTCTCTCACTGTTTTAAAGATGGAAACCGGTGGCTCACATTAAAGAAATACAGAGAGTGGTTTTGACCCGGGTTTTTACACACTTTAGGGTTTGAGCAGCTAATAGGCCTAAAAGTTTAGTAATTGCACTTGCAGATCGCTTGAGCCAGCATCTGCAAGTTTGGCAGTAAGTTAATCCCCTGATCCACTTCTCTAAGTTCTTGTTTTTGTCTCTGACAGACTCAGATTGTTTTCACGTTAAAGAAAAGAGTCCTGTAGAAACGGACCTCTGCGGCCCTTAATCTGTTTGTGTTTACCTGGACTTGAGTGTTTTATCCTGGTTTGGATCAGAACAAGCTTTTACATGCACACACTTCAGATAAACTCGTTTTACTGCGTCTTATTTACTCATTTTTACGACACTAGCCACAGAAAAGGAAATTAGATCACTGAAGGTTCAGCAACTTTGAATAACAGTAATCTGTGGGACTGCAGTGATCGATTATTACAATGATCAAGTATACAATAGGGCCCGACCGATTTATTGGTGAGCCGATTAAATCGGCCAATTTTAGCCTGTTTGAGACTAATCGGTTGAGAATGCTTTTCTGGTCCGAGTTTGATCAGTCGGTCTTCCTGTCAGCGTGAGGAGCAGTAGCCTACAGTACATCTACAGTATATAGTATACTGTAGATATTTACAGTATATATATATATTTTTTATAACTTCATAAAAATGTAAAAAAATTAGCCGATTAATTGGTAATCGGATTCCCCCCCCCTAATAATCGGTATCTACATCTGCCCCAAAAACAGTAATTATTGCCATTATTCTGGCAATTGATCAAATAATCGGATCAGAAATGCTGCAAATAAAAATAAAAATAAAAATAAAATAAAATAAAACTAAGAGGTGACGAAGCAGAGCAGAAACTTGAGTCCCATAAAATCTGTGAAAAGGCGACTCTTGTACCTGCAGGATGGGGCTTACAGGAGGATTGTTGGATGAGAAGATTTCACGTGGAATTTAGGGTTAAAACAACAACAGTAATGGAAAAAAACGTCTTTTCTTTAGATATAGAGGACGACAGATGCATGTAATGAATAAAGTATACAGGAAAATGATCAGGCATGTCTGTGAGATTCTAACCACACTAACAGTGACCCCTCACACAGATTTTAAGGAAAGCTAGATTTTGTTTCATTAACAGATATTTTTCTTTCATTTTAACTTGTATTCAATTTTTAACCACAACAATACAATGTATACATCTCAATATCAATCAATACAATACATTTCTTTTCAATTTTCCAGCTGTATGTGTATTTTTACAAACATCCACAGATGATGTAGGATTAAATCATAGAAATTAATCATAGTAATCATCACTAATAAACAATGTCCACCCCCAAGTACAGATTTATAGGCACAGATTCTAGTCAGAGGCAGGATGACAGTATTTTGATATGGATAGGAAGTACTTATACCATTAACATAAACTGTCATTGCATCGTAAAGGTACCAAAAGTTCCCATCTTTCAATAAAGGAGGCCCTCCGACGCCTTAGTTAAAATGTGATCTGCTCCATTTGATAAATATCCCAGACTTTTGGAATCCAGATATTGTGTGAGGGAGGTTCTGATGGTTATAGACTTCAAGGCTGCAGTCAGTAATACGTTTAAGATGTATTTTTCTGACCTCTTGTCTAAACCTTTAGGCATTACTCCCAGTATTACAACATTAGAGTCTTGCGGGATGTCTTAAAAACCTCCTTCAGGGTGTTGAAAACCTCCATCCAAAACACACTTAATTTAGGGCATAGCCAAAATATGTGGCTGTGATTAGTTATATTAACAGAGTTATTTTCATGTTATCTGAGGTTCAGTTTGAGCCTGAGTGGTGTTACAGATAGAGTTTATCCACATGTTAATATTTTGACTCCTCTTTCCATCCTGACCTCATTTGCTTGGCTGTACGTCTTTGTAAACTGGCATCCTGTTTCCTGTTTACCACGCTCTGAAAGGTCAGCATTTGGATGCTCTCTACCCCCTAAACTTCCACTTATATTTACGTCTCAAAAACACAATTCTTTGTTGCTTCAGGAGTAGGATGCTCTCTTGGTTCAGACTTTGGTTTTCCATGGATGCCAGTGGAAGCTCTCAGGATGAAGATATACCCTTTTCATCACTCTCTGACTGTCAGACTATCATATTCGTTTTGCTAATCGCCTGCGCAGACTGTCTCTCCATCTTCTTGTCCTCTTCATTCTTGGGTCCTATTCGATCTCAGCCCAGAAGTCTAGATCCTGTTCTTGCGTCGCCTCTCCTCTGCAGCGTGGGAACTCTGCTGTCTTTAAAAACTGTAGCCTCCCAGTGTTCATAGTCTGATCGGTGTTGTTGCAGAGGACAGAGTGTTCAAATATTCAGACAAAGCTGCAGTGTTGGTGAGTATATTTTAATGCAGCCGGCACTGTAAACAGTCAGACGTGCACCAGGACGAGACATCCGCTCTGTAATTTGTTTTAAGTTTAAGAGTAAACAGTCCTGTAGTGATAAAGGGAGAAGCTGTCATAAAAACACTAGGCCTGCTCCAGCTGTAGGGCCCGCAGTTTCACGTGTCGGCCCTTTAAAATGATCTATTACCACCTGATTGATAAGAAGAGTGTTTATAAGAGGAGCAGACGGCTGACAAGTCTGTAAAGTGAAAATTAAACCCACCAACGTGCGGCACATTGCCCTGCCTTTGCCGTGTCCTATCTGGAGGTTAGCGCATATTCATTTGAGACCTCATGTTTCCTGTTGCTCTTTGGTAATAAGATAAAAATGAGGCGATAATAAAAAAACTCCAACGGCTGAAATGGGATTTGCTCGGCTGATCAAAGCTTAATGGCGTCTGATAAATATTTGATCAGAGATTGTTATATTCCGCTCCGATCTCATGTTCCCGCTGCTCTCCAAGGTTTTCATCACCATCAGCACATGGAGACTATTTTCTTTTCTGTCTTTTAACTTAAACATCAGTGCGCTCAGGAGGACTGACTGTGAGGAGTCGGAGTTGATTCATCTGAAGAACTTCAGCTGAAAGACTATATACAATTTTAAATGATCCTGTAACATTTAACCTGAGACCAACTCCCACACCCAAACCGAAAATTTACAGATACCGAAATTTACAACAATAACCAAAGTCATTTGTGTAGGTAGGCTATGGTCTCATGTCCCTTTGGAGGGATATTCCAGCGTAAAATTTATTTAGGGTCAAACACACAGTAACACAGAGTTAGACACCCCCTCCAGAGATGAATGTTGCAGACCGCTTGCTTCTCTAGTTATACCAACTTGCATTTCCATGAAGAAATGGAGACGTGACTCCACCCCATACAGTCTGTAACGAAGAGGGAAAGACAGGTGAGGAGATGGAGGACAGTTCAAAAGTTCTAGCAGTTGAAGTAGACGAAGTAAACGTAGGAGGGGGTGAGCAGCTTGTGGAGTAGTTATCGTCCATTTATGGTTATCGAGGTGAACTGATCAATATATTGTGAAATTGATCTGAGGCCATATCGCCCAGCCCTACTCTCCAGTTCAGGCTTTGAGACCCCTGAACACGACCATGTCATCATGAGGTTGTTGGTAACCAGCATGTTACTAACGAAACTGCGTGCTAGCTTGTAGTGATCCAAACCCCTCCAAAGTGCAGAACAGGAACAGCTTTATTCCAAAGATGTCAAAGGTGAACAAATGTAGAAGAAGATGATGAAGACGATGATGCAGGAAAAAAAACTCAGACATCTTAAGTAGCTGGTCCAAATCCCCACTCAGGATTCTGCTCACTTTCTTAAAGTGACAGTCGTTTCTAACATAGAAATTAAATCAATCAAACATACTAAAACCACAAAAAAGTCAAATTTATTAATAACAGCAGAAACCTCTCAGTCCATTATGGACTGATTCATGAATTGGTGCCCGTTTAGAGTCTGAACCCACGTTATGAAATTACGATTCACAGCAAACAGTCGGCCCTCAGTGATTAGCATTTCCGCGGCTAATATTAGCAGCCTTTAGCCTGCACTCATGGTCGCTAATCACCATCAGACAGCACAGAGTGGCGAGGCTGTGAGAATACTTAACATTGTTTGCTCCTTCTGATGCTGCACTTGAATGAATATCTCAAACACACTCACACACACACTGTGGTCTGTTGGTGCTGACTCTCCTCCACCAGTAAAGGTCATTGTATGTATAATTCAGCACAGTCCCCCTGTCTCAAATGAGCCCTCAATAAAACACTTTTTTTTTTCCTCTTTTTTTTTCCCATAAATTGAGTTGCAGTGAAATGGTGTTTTTTGAGCCTCTTCAGCTCCACATGAGCCGCAGCCGACTGATTTCTGTCTGTTCACTCAAACTAAACCTGCACTAAAGTCGTTTTTCTGTTTTAGCTGAATCATCCGAACCTCAGCTATTTGTTTATTCGTGAACAAGGTCTTTGACTAAACTGATCAAAGAGCTTTAAATGAGGGTAAATGAGTCGTTGTTGAAAAGCTAAAGGTGGGTTAGGCAGGAATACGTTAAAGAAGCATCTTTTTTGTGGTGTATTTACAAAAAAGCTTTTAATATCAGTCAGTAGTTATTAGTTATTGATGAGATTTGGTAATATAATGATATCTCTGTGTTCTCTTATGTCTGTGTTGTCAACATTTTAAATATTTTGAGTGGCCCGCTCTTTCTGACTGTAAACAAAGACATTCTCCACCTCTCCATCCTGATAGGCTGTGAGGCAGACGCTGCTTCCCCGTGTCATTAAGGAGCCCAAACAAAGTTAGCGTGCTACAATATCGGACAGTAGAAACCAACCAGAAAGTACAGAAAATTGTTTGAATCCTCCTTTGGCCACGACTGCCAACACAAGCAAGAAAACAAAATACTGGAGACTGTGGCGGAATAAAAAGAAGGTAAACCGGACAAGAGCTAAAAAGCCAAGTCAACATAAACGATGGGGGACGCTTCTGGATCTTGGTGACCCTGTAACCTCTCTGCTGGACAGGTGAACCACTTTAACAAAGTAAGCCAAGTGTCCGTAACAGAAGTGTTTTTTGTTAAAGAGGACCTGCTCTAGCGTGTTGTAGCGCCGCTAAACTGTTGACTTTGGGTCCTGGACTATGTCACTTTATCCTAGTTGTAGAAGTCCTGCAAACGTGTTTGCTGGTAGTCTGTTGGCATCTACAGTAGCACCAATGCTTTTTACTTTCATGTTGACTGGGCCCCATTTGCAATTATCTGAAGTATTTATCTACATTATATCCGAATTAATTGGAACGATACGAGCGAGCAGGAGCGTCTGTTTGTGGGCGGGGCTTGCTGGAGCAGAGAGGGAGGGGAGAGGAGGAGCTGAGGGGAAAACTGGTTGGGAGGGGTAGAGTTTACATTTAAGATTTCTCCTAAAAACTGGAACTTCATCAGATCCTGTCTACCCCACCTTTAAAAAGCACATCCTGACTGATAACGTCGATCAGAGAAGACAGGAAGTAACGCTGATCTGAACACTCTTAGATAAACATGATGATTCTGTTGATTTCAGACATTTTCGAGATAAACTTTGTTGTTGTTGTTTTATGTTTCCACACAATGATGAAACATTTCTGCAAAGTGATCTGGTTTTGGTAGACCCTGATCTTGATTTTGACAACCTCAAAACAGCTCTGATTTTTGGCGAGTTTGGCGACACATCAGATCGTGAGACATGCAGGTTCAGGGCTGTGTCCGCTCTGTATCAACTGAATTTACCCAGGTGCGTCCCAGACTATTTTTCCTGTGCTGATCAGGTTCCAGAAAGTATTTTGTCTTTTGCCATCTCTCTCCCCCTTTCTCTCTCTCTCTCTCTCTCTTTGCAGTCATCCCTGCACCCCTCTCTCTGCTCAGCTGCTGTCTCCTCAGATAAGAACCAAAAATGGGTTTGGGGTAAGACCAGGTCAGGACAGATCGAATCCCCCTCCTCTTTTTCTGTCACTATAGTTCACGATTGGATTGTGCTTAAAAAGAGAGGTCAGTTATTTGGGCACCTTTCCCAACTGTTGATGACAGAAACACCAATTATTGCTCAGCATACCAGACCCCAGAAGAGTTTGACACCGCAGGGAGAAAGATTTACTGGTACCAGTTTGCAAACAAGTCCGAGTTTCCCTCTTTCTGTGCAAATATAAAAAAAAGTATGTAACTCACCAACACCAGTGCTGACAGTCTGACACTTTCTGCCGAGAGACGGTGGGACTGTGTGACTGGAGTATTTATCTGAGATTTCAAGTGAAACTTTCAAGTGACCACGATAGCAATCCGACCTCTGCGTGACCTTTAAATGGTCGGACCAAGGGTCGTCACAGGATCAGATTTTCCTCCTGCAATTATGAAGGCCAAGAAAAGTCTATATCACAGTATTTATGTGAGATTTAAGGAGGACAGTGAATAAAAGGGAGGAATTCAGTCAAATAAAGGAACGACAAGTTTAAAACCTTTACTAACTTTCTTATCAGTCACCTGTTTCCAAAAACGTTTAAAGTGATATTTTAATCCATGTCACCAACCCTGAAACTTAAACAAGAAAAGCTTACCGTATTTTTAGCACTATAAGGCGCACTTAAAATCCTTTTGGCTTGTCGGAGCACTGCAGCTACCGTAGCCTTGCGGAATTATTGAATGAGTTAAACAAAGTTTGACTTCTCTGACTGTTTTGTTTGGGCTAATGCGCTTTATAATCCGGTGCGCTTTATATTTCGGTGCGCCTAATGTATGAAAATAGACGTGAATAGACGCGTTTGTTGATGGTGCGCCTTATAGTGCGAAAAATATGGTACTGTTTTCTTTTTATATCAAATCAAAACACAGTGAAAATGACGAGAAAACTTTAGTTTATTTCACGATGTCATCTCCTCTCACCTGATTGGCCCTCCACACTCTGCTGTGGTAACTTTTAGAGAAAAGATTCCCTCATATTCATCATGACGCTTTTATTGTCTAAAATAAAATCTATTGTCTTTTTATGTCTAAACATGCTTTTATTTTGAAACAGCCTTTACATTACTTCCAGGCGATTGTAATTTCAAGAGCTGAATGAAAACAGTTAAAAGACTGTAGAGTAAGGACAAAAAGTTTATATTATTTTCATCTTGTTTTAGTATTTTGCTCTAAATCGACACAGTTTTAAAAAGTGTCTGACCGTCATTTGGCGAGCTAAAACTTTTGAGTCTTTTCTCCATTTAAGAAAACCACACCTAACTGTCGAACAACCAGTAATGTGATATTTTGGTACACTTATTTTCGACACAATTTCAACATTTCATTGTTATCGTCAATAACATCAATCTGTGTTAACGGGACTATAAAGTGAGCGTCTCTACAGTGGTTAGGGTTAACTCAGTCTGCACATTTATGAATAAGGAAGAAACTTGGACATGACACATCTCTGATGAACCAGTTCACTCAAACTGGGAACTTTGGTCAACTCTCCATCCAGCCCATCATGATTATGTCAGGAGGAGAGTGCACAGCGCACCTCAGTGCAGCATAGAGAGGAGATGCTGACAGCTCAACAAGAGCAAACTGCAGAGCTTTGTGGGTGTGTTTACACGTGTGCGTGTGTGCATACATGCATGCGTGTGTGTGTGTGCTTTGTGTTTTTTTGTATCTTGAGACCTCGAGCATGACTCTCTGTGTGTCGAGGTTTGAGGTATTCGCTGTGCTCTCCATGAGCTTATAGTGGAGATGTAGATGGATATTCAGGAGGTTTGGACTTCTCTCTTAAACATTTAACTTAATTTATAACGCCATGTCCGAGGTTCTGGTTCTGGTCCTTGTTTAGAACCTCTTCTGGATCCTGGGCTCCACACGCTGAAGCCAACTGTTGCCCGAGCGCCTGCTGATGATGAAAGACGCGGCTGCTCTGTATTTTTAGAAAGTTCAGGTGATCTCGCTAATGAGACGAAGCTCAGAGGAACTCGTGTCTGATTTGAGCCGTGTGTATGTGTGTGTACAAGTGTGTGTGTGTGTGAGCGCGCGTGTCTGTCTGCTGTGGAAGAGGCCATTTGTTGAATTAGCTGGGCAGTGTTGAAGTGTTTGGCGATTAAGGTTAATCCTTGAGTCTTGGTGATGTAAGAACAGTCGTTTTTCCTCCTCTAAAACCTCGCTGGCACGTTCAGTCCTCACTGTTGAAAGCCTGTGTGTGTGTATTTGTGTGTGTGTGTGTATGTGTGTGTGTGGTCTTTGTGGTTGTCAGTAGCACCCATTCTGCAAACAAGGATGCTGTGTGGATGCATGTGAGCGGCTTTTATTTGTGTGAGCCGGAGTGTCAGCGTGGCAGTGGAGGGGAAATGATGCATCACATCTGCAGCGGAGATAAAGCAGAGAGGAAGACGTGAGGATGGATGATAGGCAGCACCAGGCCCAAAAAATGGCAGCTGCTGCTGTGAGCGAGTGGCAAAGCGGTGTCTGAGTTTAGCTGGTTTAGTGGTGGATTTCTGATCAGAAAAATGGACTCAGACAGACGCTCTGAGTTTGATCTGAAAATTTCCCTCTTCATCTCTGATAACCTCACTCCTCCTTCATGTTAAACACTGGAATAATAATAATAATGATCCATCTCTCTATCAGAACATATCCGAGCCATGATTAAGAGTCAGGACGTTTTTTTATTTCTATAGCTGCAAATGTTAAAAACTACAAATCAATATTTTTTAATGGCATAACTATGAGTTTGTATCATTCAAGTAGGACTGGGTGATTTGGCCAAAAAAACCACCACGATATACTTTGTCATATTGTTTGATCTCGATTATTATCACAATTTCTACCAGATCTACCAGAGATTATTATAACATTTTATTAACATAAAAAGTAAATAACAAAGCAAATTGAATAAGATAAACTTAGAAAAATATAAAAAACATTTGAACTCAACAAAACAACAAATGTAGATAAATACGTAATAATACAGTAAACTAGTTTACAGTCCTGAGTGTTTCTAGAGGTATGCAAGACCCAAAATAAACAAACCGCCCCCTCAGAGATAATAAGACGTCCTGAAATGTAAAATGTAAACATTAGATGATGTAAACGAAGATGATATGGTTGATTGTTGCTTTAGTCTGGTGGCTGCACAGCTAGTTTTGGCTAAACTGCCAATGCTAATTCTGCCATCAGCAGTGACAGGCTGTACAGACTCCGCCCACATTTTCATGTTTTCCTCATAATCACTTGGGAAGAACTTCTTCAAATGATTAAACAGATGTGTTGCGTTGCCAGTTTTTGAGGCACCGACTGCTGACATATTTTACACATCGACGTCACTTTAGAGATACCCGAACCACCACCACACATCCGATGCTGAATAAGTTATTGACAATATCATCTTCGAAGAATGACTCAAAGTCACAGCTGACATCTATTGTGCTGCCCTCAGCTCCGCGTTTAGCTCCTCATTCGGTCATCCTGTTTACTCCCTGTTTACTTCTCTGGCAACTTGCAGAAGTGAGCAGGAAAAGCTCAACTCTGATTGGCTGTTGTCATGCACATTTCCGCCATGTTTGATGAAGTAAATATGCTCACAGCTGATCACCGTGATCAAACTGAAAACTTCACGATCATATAAATGCCCAGTACAACATTCAAGATGTTTTTACTCTAAAATTTGAGGAAAACGATGAAAACTGTCCTTTTATCCACAAGTAAATCCACGTGTTTTTGGTTGAATGTGTTTTAAACTGAGGAAAAGGAAGAAACTTGAAAATTTTTTAGGTTAAAAACGAAGTCAGATCTGTTTTTGTTTTTTTCTAAAATGTTCAGACACTGAACAAAAAAAAACTTCAGGCCACAATTTGAATTTTTCTCCAAACTAGTTTCGTTTTTTTGTTTCATAAAGGGCTGAGAGTCCTGATTGGAGAAATGCAGAGCCCACCTGTTGTCAGTAATTCATGAATGAGCCTCCGTCACTTTATCGCCTTTGTGCTTTTACATCTGAACACCTGGAAACAACACTGTGTTTGTTTGTGTCCCGGTGTGTTATTGGACTCCACATTATGGCGCCGCAGACGCTCAAGAGGCTCCGCTTGTTAACACACAGCTGGAGCTCCACTCTCACACACTCATGCATGTCCACAGAGCTGCAGGGGCCTGAAGGCTGAAGGTGAGCGCCCGTGTCCACCAACTGCAGATGGGCCAAGCTCTGCAGACGTCTTCATGGTCTCTGTATCGGTCACTTCCTGTTAGCTCTGTTGTCCCTTCGTGTCTGAAGATCCTCCACACCCTGATCTCCTCCAGGTCAGAGGAAGGTTAGAGCGACCGACCCGCCTCATGGTCTTTGACAGGAATCTTGTTAGCCGGCTATTTTTGCTAATACCCGAGGCTAATAAGGTGAAGTCTCAGAGGGGAGTCCACGCCAACGGCCCGTGTCACTGGGTTCCTGCGCTTGTCTCTCCTCAGGTGTCTCTGCTGTCGGACTCGTTCTGATAGTTTGATCCTTAACTGTACACCTCAGCACCATCACACAAACACACACACACAGCCTGTAGCCCAAGAGGTAATTACCATGGCAACAGTGGGTCTCATCCATGCAGGCCCTTCCTCCCCTTCAGATAATGTTTCCGTGAGTGTGGATTTGACTGAACGTGACGAGATGATTATCCCCGTCAGTGCGTTTGAGAGTGACACAGAGTGTGTCATTTTCCTCCAATGATGCCCACTGCCTTCTTCTATAATTATGAGCGCTCTTTGTGTGTGTGTGTGTGTGTGTGTGTGTGTGTGTGTGTGTGTGTGTGTGTGTGTGTGTGTGTGTGTGTGTGTGTGTTTGTGTTTGTGTATGTATGTGTGTGTGTGGGTGTGTGTGGGTGTGGGTGTGTATGCGTGAGTGTGAGGGTACATTAGCAGGAAGCAGCAGAGGCTCTGAATCGTCCGCTGAAGCCGCGTCAGTTAGAACAAGACAACCTCGATCCATTATTGAGGCCAATACCGTAAATGGAGCAGCCGCTCGTTAGCTTAAGATGTCTTTGAGTGTGTGTGTGTTAGTGTGTGTGTAGATGGACACACTGACCAGCATTGATGTTAGCTCAGTTGAAGTTTCTCATAGTTCTGTGTTAATAAAGCTTCTCTGTGGAGTTGGTTGGTGGATGTAAACGCACTGACGCTAACGAACAGATCGTTTTCGGCGTTGATTTTAGGGCTGCACGACAATGGAAAAAACTAAGATTGCAATTTTTTTCAAGCCTGCAATATTATATTATTATATATATTGCAATGCTAAAACATACAGGAATTTTCAGCAGATGACCTGAATATCACTTTATGCTGAAATCTTGAGGACAGTTAACCTGCACCGATCTTACCTCTTTCAGTGGATGTTAGTAGAATGGCTTCTGTCTGTCTTAAGGTCCTTACACACCGGAACCAATGCAAATAAAACCAATGCCGCGAATTTACGAAATATTCTGAGGCGAATTTTGACACGCCTGACTACACACATCAAGCCCGATGCGATTTTGCAACTTTCCGGGGGGGGAAATTATGCATCCTGGGTGGAAGCGAGAGGACTGACACAACAGCAGACTGACTGTTTTTCAGTTCTGATTAGACACTAGTGTTGAGATGACTGTCTGTCATGAGAGCATGTACCACCAGTACCACATTAAACTATAATCCATAAACATAAGGTAACAACTGAGACCTAATGGTGCTGTGACAGCAACACTGTGATTGAGTTTGAGACAGTGAAAATTAAGGCTGCAACAACAAATCGATTAAGTAGATTCGTCGTGACGAAAAAATTCGTTGCCAACTAATTCTGTAATCGATTCGTCGGGTCTTTAGATATGTCCATGGACACCGGCGTGTAAACATCAGCAGGACGCACAGAAAAGAAACAGCTATGGCCGAGGCAGCGGCTGAGAAAAATATGGATACAACCCAACCCAAATCCCGACCTAAAACATCAGTGGTGTGGGAAAACTTTACCAAGACTGAAAAGGAAGGCGTTCAGTGCAACATTTGCAAAGCCCGTTTTGCATGGCACGGGAGTACATCGATGATGCGCGAGCACAGGGCTCTCAAGTCTCACGCATTCAGCGTATGACACACGCATTCCCACTCGTTCACACGCTCACACACCACACATTGTATTTCTCACGCATTTAAATGAACACGGTGATGTCCATCAAGTTGCACTTCTTTAACTATGGAACAGGGGGAAATCAACTGAGTTCCTCTGAGAGTTCAGAAGCTGCGTGCCACACGCAAGCCAATCAAATAAAGTATATCTACTGAACAGCCAATCAAAAAGCAGCATTGCTGTATCCGGGTGGATTTTGATATCTTGCGGTTTGACTACAGAAGAAGACAGACACTCGCCGAAATAGAGCAGGTTTTTATAAGGACGAGATAGACCCGATGATTACAGTAAGTCAGTAACCTACACATGCAGAGACCTCAACACCTCATGGCAGATAAACTCATATGATAAACTAAAGCCCTATGCTATTGCTATTAACAGCTGCATTGATGAATTTAGCCTGTTTATCCGATTAATCGATTAGTTATTAAAATAGTTGACAGATTAATCGATTATCAAAATAATCGTTAGTTGCAGCCCTAGTGAAAATACATATGGTATGTTGTATCTGAACAGGTTAGCTTACGAGCTAAAGTTAATTATCACAGATGAAAGTTAAAACAAAGACGTTAAGCAAACTGTTAAAGCACACAAACCATCGTCATATGAGTAATCCGACGCTATGAATCTCCACAAGTTGTCCTTCAGGTCGTTATCTTTGTAATGTTTGTGTTTTTTTTATCAAAAAACACTCTGTTCTCTGACATGTAAACAATCAGCCAGTCAACCATGTTGGATATACCAGTGAATCAGACGTCGCAACAACACGGAATCTGATTGGTCAGAAGTGGACACACAGTATGCGAAACTTTAGAAAATTCTACTGTGATCTGAAAAAATAAATGCCGCAATATCACAGTACGGGAAACCGTTGCTGATGTGAATGCTTGTATTGACAGGATATGGGTTCGAAAAAAAATATTGACGTCCAAAATAATGGCACGATAAAAATGGTCCGATGGACAGATGAACACAGAACACGTGTTTTGGTCAACATCATCCTTCTTGTAACCGAAATAATTCCAGATAACTAGAGTTGCGTATCATTTGATTCTGAACGATTACAATTCCTCGTTTCAATTCTGGTTCCTATTGATTCTCTATTCCAATTCTTTGTAAAGGCAGGATTCTAAAAAAAAAAATGCATGGTTTAAATGAGGGTGCTAACTGGAGTTCTTCTTTTTGGATGAAATTTCTGAACTTCTCCATGAATTGTTGAATTATATTAACTTTTTTAGAACTTAACTTTGAATTTCTCACAGGGTTGTTTTCAATCAGTATATCAATATCAATTTTTGTTGTCAGGTCGTTTGTCTATGAAAAAGTACAAGGGCTAACGTTTGTTGAATATTTAAGTTGACCCACCGCACACAGTACAATTTGTTTGCCATTTCAATGTTAGCAGAAGACAGAAGTAATTTATTGTTTCACTTATCTGATTATGGCTGGTTAGCAGAAGACCGGCGAAGCACGTCAAAGACGGGCACTCAGGTATTTCTCCTCCATGAATCCTGAGGTGTTTAATCATGTTGGTCGTTCACCCTCCTTTGCATGACATAACTGTGTAGCTATTGTTGTGCTGAAATAAGAGTTCATTCTTCCTGCTAAAGTTAGCTAAACTTTTGACCGCCGCCGCTGTGGGTTGCAATGCAATCTCTCTCTCTGTCTGTCTTTTCTCTCTGTGTGGCTTCGTCTTATCAATTTGAAGGCGTCTTCCTCATTGTTGTTCGGAGGCTATTTCTTCCGGTCGGTGGACTCCGGCATCGAAAGTTGGAATCAAAATTTTGCAATTTGAACAGTTCGGGGAGAATCGGAAGGTTAGTCCTGGTCCCCATCGATGTTCGAGACTTGATGCCCAACCCTACTGATAACTGATGTGGCTTTTCTTTTTGGCAGCAAATCTTCATTTTCGGTGGTTTTCTCTTGTTCATTTCCCATTTTGCAATCATTGTTGTTACCGGTGTTGTGCTGAGAATGCATGTCAGCCGAAAACTGCATCCACCTCGCAGAAACACGCACCACTTATAGTAGAGTGGTCTGCGGACATGTACCATTAAAAACCCATACAGTTCTTATTTGTGGGGCTAAACAGTGATGAGTAATGTTCCCAAAGTAATTCTCATCAGACACGCTTTTCTCGGCACAACACCGGCAGCAACAGTGACTCGCTCCATGTGCAGGGGCGTGGTTTCCTCCTCTCTGATTTTGATTGATGGCTGGCAGGGTAGTCTGATTGGCAATTGAGTAAAGAACGATTGTTCTTGCAGAGTCACATGCAGTGTATCTCAGTCAGCTACCCTTGAAATTAGATGAGTTCATTCACCTCCGACATTGCAGGCTCTGTTATGTGACTATCGCGCACATGTACATTGCGATGACGATGCTCAAACAATATATTGTCCATTTCTAGTTGATTTGACCTTCAGATGATTCAACAGATGATTGTTGTCCATATCACTTCTCACTTTGAGGTTTTAATCCTTTAAGTCGGACCGCAGTGAGCACACATGTCTCCAGTTTGTTGAAGTCAGAAGGATTCATCCTCAGGGGACCTTGAATCTGATCCAGACTTCATCCCGATGCAGCTGCAGGTTTCTGTCGGATCGTTTTTGTGTGTTTTTGTGTGTGTTTGTGTGTATTTGTGACTCAGTGTGTGTGTTTGTCTCCTGCAGGATTCCTCCTCTTCAAAGACTTCTGTATGAATGAAATCGACGAGGCCGTGCCACAGCTCAAGTTCTACGAAGAGGTAAGTCCCAGGTGTCCCTTGTGTGTGTGTTTGGGATTAGACGGTGTCATGGGTTCTGGGTGAGAGATTAGGATCATGTAATCCTGCTTGTTCAGACTCAGGCTTCCTGCTGTGGTGTTAATCTGACCTGGTGTTGTCCCCCTCTCAGATTAAGGACTACGAGAAGCTGGACTCTGAGGAGGAGAGGCTGAGCCGCAGCCGGCAGATCTACGATGGATACATCATGAAGGAGCTGCTGTCCTCTTCACACGTGAGGGCGCTGAGACACACACACACACACACACACACACACACACACACACACACACGCATGTAGGGACACACACTACGTCACTGATAGACCTCAGGTCAGGCGTGCACCTGTTAGACCTGATCCCAGTTTGAACCAGAAGGTTGTCCAAATTTTTTTTTTTGTTCACCTTTGACCTTTTTTCTCTGAACTTAAAGTCGGGATTAAATAAGGCGGACTTTGTTGATCCTGCAGAGAAAATTCAGCTCTTTAGTTTCACAGGAGGTGTGAGGATAGGAGTGGGATTACTGATGAGATTACTGATAAGGGGCATCAGATTCCTGTTTGTCTTGATTATAACATGATCGTTTTGTGATCACAACCCTCGGACGTCTCATAGGATATCAGGAGGTGGCGCAGCAGTACGGTTCCTCAACCTCAACCAAAACACCACCAAACATATTTTTAACTTTGACTAATTTCTTTAGCAAAGAGACTAAACACAATTCACCTACTCTCTTCCAGCAGCCGCTTGTTTGTAGTGAGACCTCAGGCCAGTCCATTATGGACTACAGCGGGGTGACGCAGCTCAAGGAAGAACATTTATGATCATTTCTTTACCATTTCCTTGAAGTAATAATCACCATATTAATCGTTTTGCACTGCAGACGCAATAGTTCTTCTGCCTTAGTGTCTCGGTCTGATTGTATTTCCATGAAGAATGATCATAACGTAACGGTCAGCAACATTTATCTCTGGAGGGGGTGTCTAAACGAGGTGTTACGGTGTGTTTGACCCTAAATTGATTTTACGCCGGAATATCCCTTTAAAGATGCATCTACAGAAATGTGTTCATTATGAGCTATATAAGGTGGGTTTGTAAGAAGAAAATGTTAAAGTGCACAAGGAGGAATTCAGGTGGTCAGTTTGTTTCTAGGGTGGATGAAGGTGTAAGGAGGTCTAGTTAAAGGCTGAACTCAGTCCTCCTCCTTTACTTAGAGCAGTATTAGTAATCACACTTTAAACCAGTTCCTAAATAAACAATTATAAACCAGTGCAGTATGGAAAAAAAATTAGCAGGACAAAGACGAGCTGGTTAACCAAGGGAGACTCTGAGACCGTGATGTGTTCAAATGCAAGGTCAAGAAAATGAAAACTCATGTTTTGGTGCAAAACTAGAATAAAACTCAATTTCAGAGTAGTGATAATAAACAGATGTTTTATTCAGAAGTGTAATCAGATCAATTTATGATCATAAGTTTAAAGCCGATTTTTCAAAGTGAGCTGTAGATAAAAACATGTAAAAATGTGTCGTCAGTGTGGGGTTAGTCCTGACTTTAAAAATAATCGTTGACTAAAGAGAAACGTCTGAACTGACTGAGTTCACCTAGAAAAAAAAGTCTGAATAAAGTTTGATAAAGTCTGATTGAAAAAGTGTGTATGTTCGTATCAGTGAGGAGTAACTGCACATTTACACAGCAGACAGTATTTATGAGTTATTGTCCGACTCTGCTGCTAGTTAATGAAAAGTCTCTGAAACAGGTAACAGTCCTCTTCAGACATTTCCCTGATCCCTCACTGATTCACATTAAACCCTGAAAACTGTGTTTAAAAAGTCAAAATATGGAGAGTTTATGTAGTTTAATTTAATAACAGGAGCAGACACAGATCATCCAGGACAGAACACATTCATGTCGATAAACTTGAGTCCAGGTCTGTGAGTACCTGAGGACTGAACCCGCTCCCCGACATTCAGCTGCTGAGGAAACTTTTCCTCTGCTTGACTTTTGCAGAAAAGTCACCACAGCTGCGTCACCATGACAACATCAGAAAATGAAGACAAAGCTTCCTCTGGGTTTCACTCCTGTCCAGTATGGGGCGATGTGGTGCAGAGAAACTGTTTTTAAGACGCCCTAAAGATAAAAATACTTGTGTGAGAACAATGTATGAATCTTTAACCCTGAGTGTGACGTCACAGGAAGATGGTGGCTGTGGGAGCTGCTCTGTTTTGATTTCTTCTTCATTTATCACAGTCCTTCATGATCAGGCTGCTCCAGAAGAAGAAATTAACTTGATGTTCTTTCTCTAAATAAGTTTTGTGTCATCCGTCATATTTGATCCGTTTAGCTTCAGTCTGGGCCAAATATTTTGGTCCTTTTTAGTGGTTTCATCATTTATGAATTATAGAGTAAAGAAAGCTGAACTAACAGGCATCTCCTCTGTCTCTGAAAGAACCACTGAGCTGCAGAATATCACAGATTTTAAGTCCTGTGTGGTCGAGTTTGTCCTTTTTAAAAAAAAACAGCATCTACACAGAGCCATGATGTAAAATCTTGAGGGAGTCAGAGCGAACAGCTCACCACAGCACAGCTTTGTTTTCCTGCAAGACAAAACTTTGGGACTGGGAGAAAAGTCTGAGCCCTTCGTCTCGTCTGAAGGGAAGAAGATATTAAACACACCGCCTACACACTGACGCACTCACGCAGATATTAGTCTGTTATTGGTGGCGGCCTCTCAGCAGCATAACGTCCTGGTCATTGCACACTTGGGGATGAACATCCTCCACACACACACACACACACACACACACACACACACACACACACACACACACACAAACACAAACACACACACACACACACACACACACACACACACACACACACACACACACACACTCAGAAGGAAAGAAAGAAAGAGAAGTGAAACTTCTGGTAAAGCTGCATTTCTTCTGAGCTGCTCTTGATTTCCCCCTCTTTGTCTCTGCAGCCTTTTTCTAAGAAAGCCGTGGACCATGTGCAGAGTCACCTCAAGAAGAAACAGGTTCCCCCAACCCTCTTCCAGGTAACCATGAAAAAAAAAACACAAAATCACCTCTGACACTCTTCTCACTGCTGAGAGAACAAAAACTGAAAGTCTGTGTGTCGTTTCCTCATACCTTTATGTTCTAAGTAACTGAATCTAAGTATCTGTACATCTATCTCTTCATTTCGCGGCTCGAGCCGAACACTGACCGGTTTAGAGAAACGTTACAGTTGAAATGGAAATATTCTTTTACACATAAATACATGTATACACACACATAAATTGTAGCCAAATGTCACAGTATTCAAGGTGCATACGCAGTCCATTTTTCCCAGTATTCCAAACATTTTTCCAACTGAAGTCTTAAAACAAAAGTAAGTCTCTCCATACAGTGACTTTCTTGAATAATCCCGTGCCGCTGGTTCAATGTTGGAGAATCTGGTTGCAACCACCTTCTTGTTATGACTTTCCTACCACTTGCCAAAAGAATCTTCAACAGGTACCTGTCCTTATGTAGGACTGTTTCTGGGATTTTACCGAGATATAAAACAACAAAAGAAAATTCTAAATCCCCATTATTTTATTTATCTCAGTTGACACCTCCCTCCAAAATGTTCTGACAGGTCCAGAAAACATGAAAGTGCTTCGCCATATGGGTTCCACATTGTCTCCAGCAGTAGCCTCGGTTCGGTGTGCCTGTTTGCAGTGCTGTTAATTTAGGGATTATGAAAAATCTCACCACATTCTTCCAGCCGAACTCTCTTAAAGATCTTGAGTTTGCAGTGGTCGCTTGTGTCTCACATATTTCTATCCAGGTCTCTTCTGATATTTGTACTCCTGAATCCTTCTCCCATTTTTGTTTAATGGATAACGTAGAATTATGCTTGTATACTTTTGTATATTCTTGAGACCAACTTTTTATCTTCTTTCTTTTTATATGCCTCATGAAATATGGACATTAAATTGTATTCCTTTTCCTCCTTGAATTGTAATTTTTTATTATAATAGTCTCTGACTTGCAGGTATCTATGGAAGTCCTGCTTCTCCAGTACAAATGTGGCTGAAATTGACTCATAACTCTGAAATCCACAGTCTGAGATGAGGGTACAAAAGGACATGGTACCTCTCCTAACCCACTGTTTAAAGCCCCCGTCCAATCTAGCAGGTTCAAATTCTGGATCATATGCTATTCAATTCAAGACTCTAACTTGTTTCTCTATTTGTAACTTCCTCAAAACCTTAAACCATAGCTGAAGAGTGAATATAGTCCATTAACTTTTCTGAGTTTGAAAAAAGTTTGACTTTTTTAACCCCGCCCCCTTTTTCCATAAATTACCAGAGTTACTTAGTTTTGTTTTTCTTTTAGTTTACGTAAAGAATACAATTAAATTAGCAGAAAAGTCTCAGATTAGCTTTACTGCATTAATTCATCTTATTTCACACAAACCCTTAAAGCTGCTGTATTTTCAACAAGCCTCAACCTCTAGAGAAAAAAAAAAACAGCAGTACCTCATGTGTCCACTATAGGCTGGCCTGGAAACACCTGAAACCACACACACACTCATTGAAAAAAAGCTCTTCTTTAAAAACAGGTTTGTTGTGGACAGCTAATGGAAATGTTAGCGCCGTAGTAAAACTCTTGCTGATTTTTCGGAGCTTTCACGTGACAAATAATCTGTTTTGACGATAAATGTTAGACTCTGTTATTATTCCCTCTCTGAAGTAGAAAAGTTCGAACACTGACTCTCTTTTTAAGTTAATAAACCGTTTACTAATAAACATGTGCTGGTAAACCCTCTGTTGTGAAGGACTTAAAGAGACCGCAGCCTCTCTCAGTTTCTTGTTTTGGTTGTTTTCTAATCTAATCCACTATATTTAGAGATCACATTCAAAACAAAGTTCACCACAGTGGGTGAAAAAAGCAGCAAATAAATCAACAGTCATCCTCTCTACCAGACCAGCCGAGGTATAAAGAGATTTTTGTCTTCAAACCGTCTCAGTCTTACTCCTCCACCACCAGAACCACTTATTTTCCACCTCTGGGGGTTTTAAGGTTTATTATCCCTATTTTTAACCAACACATGTATAAATAAACAGGCAGAATGACCCTTTAACTCTCATGAAAAGAAGTGTTTGTGTGGAAAAATCTCCATATGTGACATTATAGAGGGATCCTTCGCATCGTTCACGTCACCCTGTCTAAAACCTTGTAGTATTTTTCAACGCTGCGGATCACGCCGTTGGTAATTAAACTTTTATTGAAGAGCGTCGACCACCAAAGGGCCACCCAGGAAAACCCGATCCTGAGAAAAAATGAGGGAACAGTTGTTTCCTTTCAGCTCCGTAAATCTAATCAAGCATCTCTGTGTTTAGACTGCAGCACGCCTCTGATTCTGGGTCTGAGAGCGTCCCCGCAAAGATATGACATCAACCTGTCAGGATTTTCTGGAGGTTTGAACGCTCCTCAGACTCGGACTCTCAGCTGGAGCTTTAAACAGAAAAGCTCAATGTCGGTCCGGCTCAGTGGTCATAACAATAGACAGAGGAGATATTCACGTACAATTGTAAAGAATTTTTATTACATAGTTACTGAGAGGATCCCTGCCTGAGCTGCTGTTTCTCTGTCTGTCCCCCCGCAGCCCTACATAGTGGAGATCTGTGACAGCTTGAGAGGGAAGATCTTCCAGAAGTTCATCGAGAGGTGAGCGAGCGAGCAAGTGGAGGACTTTCCTGTTTTTTTTTACATCACGTCCAGTAAATTCACAAACTCCTCTGTTCTGTCTTTCTGCAGTGACAAATTTACTCGTTTCTGCCAGTGGAAGAACGTGGAGCTCAACATCCATGTGAGTACGAGCTCAAAGTTTTCAGCCGCATGAACCCGGCTGCCTGTTAACCCAGCTAGATCACCATGGTAACAGACTCTGAGGCGTGTCTTGAGGATGCAAAACCAAACCTGAAAGATTGTTGTTGTTAAATCAGGACAGGTGTGGATCCAGGTTTGTATCAGAAACTGCAGTCCTATAATCACAGCTCTGTTGAATGAATTTAAAGTTCTCTCAGACGCCGTCGACCTGATGACATTGGCACAGGAAGAGAAAAAATGTTTAAAAGTTCAAGAATCATCTCACAGACTTGAGCACAAAGTTCCTGAACTGATCCTGTTAGTGATCTGAACGTATGAACGGGTATGTCAAGTTTTTCATCCTGAATCTTGATACTCAAGTATAAAACGATCGCAGGAGGTGTGTGCCTTAGAGCGTCGGTATCCTCTATGGCCCCATACAAGGTCGATAAGCTAAAAGGTTTAAGAAGAATCATCTTCAGCCTGAGTCCTTCATGACCTGGGGTCAGGACTAGGTAACAACCAGAGAACTGTCCTTCAATCAGCCGTCATCATCAATCATCAATTTTATGTCAGTGAAAAAACAAAAAAAAAAGAACAATCCCAGCAGCAGCGAAGGATTCTGGGTAATGTTTTAGACTCGATCAAAGTCAGATGAAACTGAGTTTTTAGCAGATCCGACCCATCCTGTCCAACATGAGTGAACTTCCCTTTGACAGGCTAGACCAGGGGTCGGCAACCTTAAACACTCAAAGAGCCACTTGGACCAGTTTCCCACAGAAAAGAAAACACAGGGAGCCACAAAACCTCTTTGACATCTAAAATGAAGATAACATTGCATATATCTTTTTTTTTACCTTTATACAAAATATATAAAAAACTGTAGCGAGTTGCATTTATGAAATAAATGAACTATTTCGGCGAGTGTCTGTCTTCTTCTGTAGTTAAACCGCAAGATATCAAAATCTACCCGGATACAGCAATGCTGCTTTTTGATTGGCTGTTCAGTAGATATACTTTATTTGATTGGCTTGTGCGTGGCACGCAGCTTCTGAACTCTCGAAGAAACTCAGTTGATTTCCCCCAGTTCCAAAGTTGAAGAAGTGCAACCTGGTGGACATCACCGTGTTCATTTAAATGCGTGAGAAATACAATGTGTGGTGAGTGAGCGTGTGAACGAGTGGGAATGCGTTTGTCATACGCTGAATGCGTGAGACTTGAGAGCCCTGTGCTCACGCATCATCGATGTACTCCCGAGCCATGCAGAACGGGCTTTGCAAATGTTGCAATGAACGCCTTCCTTTTCAGTCTTGGTGAAGTTTTCCCACACTTCTGATGTTTTAGGTCGGGATTTGGGTTGGGTTGTGTCCATGTTTTTCTCAGCCGCTGCCTCGGCCATGGCTGTTTCTTTTCTGTGCGTCCTGCTGATGTTTACACGCCGGTGTCCATGGACATATATAAAGACCCGACGAATCGATTACAGAATTTGTTGGCAACGGATTTTTTCGTCACGACAAATCTACTTAATCGATTCGTTGTTGCAGCCTTAATAGTTTATTTAATGTTACAAGAGCATTATAATCTTTGAATTTAGAATTACAAAAATAAAATAAAATAATAAAATAAAATAAAATGCAATTAAGTATTTATTATTTATTTTCCAAATCCATTGGGAGCCGCAGCTTAGGGAAGAAAGAGCCGCATGCGGCTCCAGAGCCGCGGGTTGCCGACCCCTGGGCTAGATTTATGTTAGACAGCACCTGAGTTACCCCCAATTTTAGCCGGATTGGCTACAAAAAGGGCGTATCCGACGATCGTAGCTGATCATAACCATTCAAGTTAATGTGTCGATTTCCACTGGCTTCTTTCTGTTCCGCTGCGGATTGCAGGACTACGCACCGGATCGCGAGAGTTTTATTTTTTCTGGACGCCTGGGCATGCCAGATAAATTCAGCACAGATTAACCCGTGCTGGATAGGAAGTTGGGCACAGACACAAAACAAAACATCCGGCTTCTTTTCAAAATAAAACACTCCGTGTTTTAGGCGGATCGTATTTCACACCATGGGAACGGTCGGAGACGAACAAATGAAAGGTTTTTAGACATCATTTCTCCCTGATGACACCATGGATAAGGAGATGCTGCTTCTAGAAGTCTAGAAGTAGATTTCCTCCTCTGGAAAGACACAATCTACAGCTTAGGAACTGGCGGACGGTGAAAATGGCAGCCGTTCTGGATGTGGTGGAAATTTGGGGTAAGAGTTAATTTCACTTCTTTGGTGACTGAAGTGTTAAAGCGTCGTCGTCCTGATAACAGCTACAGTCATCTCTGCTGAAATCTTGTGTCTCTGTTGAAGTTCGATCGTGTGTCGCTGCCACATAAGAAGGAAGCGATGAGAGTTTATCAGGTGTTAAAACCAACAAACTCAGATAGGAAACAAAACAGGCGTCCTCTTCCTTTTTTAGCTGGAGACTTAAAACATCAGAGATATCTTTACGAAGCCATCACACAGACACTGAAGACGAATAACAACATATTAAACTGATGATAATGAGAATAAATCAGATGAGCTGTTTAGTAGAAAGAGTTTTCCAGTCAGGGGAGGACGGATCTGATAGAAGCAGCATGGACTCTGGGAACAGCGGGGGTTCAGATCTTGTTATTGGAGTCTTAAAAAGGTCACCTGCTGTCTTTAGATCCTGGACCCTGTGGGGCAGCAGTGGTCCTGTTAGATCCTGAATGCAGAGGGTCCACCGTGAGCCTCATCTCTTCCTGTTGTTTCCAGAACACCTGCGTGCACCTGTCCCTTTCACCGCCGCGTCTTTGTCCCCCCGTCCTCCCCGTTGTGTTTGTGTGTGCGCGCTCACATCAAAAGAGGAAACACTGAAAGCTGCTCTTTAGTTCCGGTCCATTTCATGTTCACAGCCGCGTTTTAAAAATTAACAAAAAGTCGTGAAAACATGACATCACACGCTCTGGAGCTGTCACTCATTCACGGAATGGCGTTACCCACTCGCTCTGCGTCACCTGCATCACCAGCTGTATCCTGTATGTGAGTAAACCAGGATCCAGGTGAGCGTGTAAAAACCCCTTATCACCAAAACGCCTCCTGTCAGTCTGCTTTTAAAGTTTTTAACGAGTGTGTGCTCAGATTAACGAGGAAAACGCCTTTATTTATTGAATCAATATTTGCTCCAAACTGAACTTTTTCTGTAGATCTGGATTCACATCTTTCACATCAGCCTGATTAAAGGACACTTCCCCTCTTTTTCTTCTTCTGTGTCTCCTCAGCTGACTATGAACGACTTTAGCGTGCATCGGATCATCGGCAGGGGCGGCTTCGGAGAGGTGTACGGCTGCAGGAAGGCCGACACGGGGAAGATGTAAGAAAGGCCTGATTAAGAGTGAAGTGAGGCTTTGACGGACATGTCTTTTAATCTGTGCTGTCTTCTGTTTGGACGTCAGGTATGCGATGAAGTGTTTGGACAAGAAGAGGATCAAGATGAAGCAGGGGGAGACTCTAGCACTCAACGAGAGAATCATGCTGTCGTTAGTCAGCACAGGGGTGAGTTAAACACACTCCAACTAAGACTCATGAAAGTGTCGACACAGACGACATTTAAGCGTCATTAAACCTGCTTTTGAACCTACACATTTCTGAGTAACAGTGCATATGATTCGTCAGACTCCTCCAACAGTTTAAAAAAGGTTTGAAACGATTAACTGAGTAATTTTCTTATGATTGTTCACATTTATGCAGCAGGAACCAACCGTCGGGTTTCTCCTGTATGTAAAGGAGCTGTGCACAAACATTTCTAAAGAGGTCAGGATGTAAACACATGACGTGAACACATGAAGGAAGCAGATTTTAATGTCTGCCCCTTAGCTGTCATTTCAGTTTTGTACTGATGCTGAACAAAACAAACTGTTGATTAAAACAACCGTTTCAATTTATTCAATTCACACTAACACCAAAAATTTACCGTTAGACTCTTGGAATAATGCCCTGATATCACTAAAATAAAAAAATAAACAATTAAACATACTGTGCTTTTGTTTTATCAAGTCGTGCCTGGCTATGGGTCTGTCTTTTGAACTCCAACCCCTGCTGCCGTTTGGGTGGAGTGGGTGTGTACTCGCTGCTTTAACTCTCGGTCTCAGATGCTGTGTTACCTTAGCTGCTAACTTTGTTGAAATCTGCCGCTCCTCTAGGTGCTTCAGTAGATTGCTGTTGCTGTTATTCACAGTAGAAAGGATTTTTGACCCGGGACACAGTTTACATGTCATCAAAATGTTGTTTTTCCCTTTGCTCTCGAGTTGAAAATAATGTGAGTTTATCCATGAGGAGAAACTGATCTCCCCCTTCTCGCCATACCCTGACCTGTCCGGTCCTCTTCAAGGCATGTTTTTGATTACGTGTGATGCTGGAGAGTGACAAGTACTTTGTAATTTCAATTCAATTAAACTTTATTGATCGCTAAAATGTTATGGAAACTGTATGCTGTAAAACCTCACCAAAAGGAACAGAGTAATGCAGCATTTGGTGATTGAAACTGAATTTAAAAAAAACAACGCCTTACATTATTAGTGACTGAATAAAGGAACAGTGTTACGTAACGGCAACACTGCTTATCAGTTATTAAAATTTACTACAGTGTCAGAAACATGTTTCTAAAAAGTTTTTATAGATAAGTCGACCAAACATGTAAAAAAAAAAAAAAAAACAGCTGGAGGAACAGTTCCCTCCCCAGAGTCCAGAACCTGGTCTCCTGGGTTCACCAAGATTTTCCACAAAGTTCCTCTTGTGTCTGTGATCCTTCATTTAGACGGACTCTAAATGAAGGATCATGGTACCTAATGTTTTGGTTTGTGGAGAAGAAGCCCAAGTCTTAAAGGTTAATTTCGTAATTTTTTGTTTCTGACTCCCTCTCTGTAGGATTGCCCGTTCATCGTGTGTATGACGTACGCCTTCCACACCCCCGACAAGCTCTGCTTCATCCTGGACCTCATGAACGGTACGCTGACCTCCCTCCCTCTCGCCCAGATTCAATTCAAGACCCCCCTGTCAGTCCATCCTGAGCCTCAGATTGGATTACTGACCCATCTGCAGCCTGTTAGGTCTCTGTCCTGATGGGTTTCTGACCCACGTGTTTGCTGCAGGCTCTGGTGTTTCCTTTCTGATTTCGGAGCCGCTGCTCCTCAAATCAAAGCCTGAGTCAGAGTCACCTCCTAAAGTCAACACAGTCATCATCATCATCAGCACACTGTTCCAGCTCCAGGACTTCTATAAATACAACTCGTCAATACATCTAAAGACAGAGACAGGCGGGAGGAGCAGAGAGTCACAAAAGGCCTTCTATTGATTCTCATTTTCTCCCCTGAGAAGATTACCACAACATATCGACGCCTATCGATCCAGGCATGAGGTGTTATGAGGTCATGCTTACCAGCTCTTATTATCTGTGTGCGTGTGTGTGTGTGTGTGTGTGTCTAGGGGGTGACCTGCACTACCACCTGTCTCAGCACGGCGTGTTCAGCGAGAAGGAGATGCGTTTCTATGCGGCTGAAATCATCCTGGGCCTTGAGCACATGCACAACCGCTTCGTCGTCTACAGAGACCTCAAGGTAAGACCCCGAAGACACCATGAGTGAAAACTTCCGTGTTAAAGGTGGGGTAGGCAGGAATCCGTTAAAGAAGCATCTTTTGTTCTGGTGTTTATACAAAAAGCTTTTGATATCAGTCAATAGATAGCAGTTATTGATGACCTTTGGTAAAATAATGATATCACTGTGTTGCCTGTGTAGTCAACATTTTACATTTTTGAGTGGTCCGCTCTTTCTGACGGTAAACAAAGCCGTTCTCCACCTCCCCCGACCTGATTGGTTGTGAGGCAGACGCTGCTCTCTTGTGTTGTTCAGAAGCCCAAACAAAGTTAGCGTGCTACAATATCAGACAGTAGAAACCAACCAGAAAGTACGGAAAATTGTCTGAATCCTCCTTTGGCCACGACTGCCAACACAAGCAAGAAAACAAAGTAACTCCCGGAGACTCGGGAGTTACTTCGGCGGAATAACGGGCGCTTAAAAAGGAGGAAGACTGGACAAGAGCTAAAAAGCCGGGTCAACATAAATGATGGGGGACGCTTCAGGATCTTGTGGACACTGTAACCTTTCTGCTTCTCCACCTCCCTGACCTGATTGGTAGTGAGGCAGACGCTGCTCCCACGTGTCGTTCACGAGCCCAAACAAAGTTAGCATGCTATAATATTGGAAAGTAGAAACCAACTAGAAAGTTCAGAAAACACAAGCAATAAAACAAAGTAACTACCGGAGACTCTGGCGGAAAAACAGGCGCTTAAAAAGGAGGTAGACTGGACAAGAGCTAAAAAGCCGGGTCAACATCAATGATGGGGGACGCTTCAGGATCTTGGTGACCCTGTAACCTTTCTGCTGGACAGGTAAACTGCTTTAACAAGGTAAGCCAAGTGTCTGTAACAGAAGTTTTTCTGGTCAAATGGGACCTGCTGTGTGTTAAACTGTTGACCTCGGGTCCTGGACTATGTTACTTTATCGTAGTTGTAGAAGTCCTGCAAACATTGTGTTTGCTGGTAGTCTGTTGGCATCTACAGTAGCACCAATGCTTTTGACTTTCACGTTGACTGGGCCCCATTTGTAATTATCTGAAGTATTTATCTGCATTATATCTGAATTTAATCGGAAAGATACGAGTGAGCAGGAGCGTCCGTTTGTGGGCGGGGCTTGCTGGAGCAGAGAGGGAGGGGAGAGGAGGAGCTGAGGGGAAAACTGGTTGGGAACTGGAACTTCCTCAGATCCTGACTACCCTACCTTTAATAAGTTCATTAGATAGATGGATCACTGCTGTAGAGCTCTGTGGTCTTTATGTTCATCACAAACACATGGAAAAGCTCCATAAATGTGGTGAACCTAAACTTCCTTAATTAGATTTCACAGAGATGGTAGTAAATTAAAAACACAGAGAAACCACGCTGCTGTACGAGACGTGTCTGTCCTCTGTGCTTCTTTACATCCAGGTAGTAGAGCGTCATCACGATTGATTATTAAAGTTAATACAGTGAGATCAACATCAGGATCTGGTTGGTCGTGTGCTGTGCTGCCACCTTTGAGGATGCTGTGGTCTTTATAATTTTCCTGTGAACAATGTCTGAGGTTTCCTGCTACAGTTAACCTGCAGTTTGAGGATGAGGAGGGTTGCCAGACAAACTCAGAATTAACACCAGAGTAATTTCCTCTACTGTTGTATAGATCCACACATCTGGTTCGAGTAAGTCGAGTAAATTTACGATTCTGCTCACGCTGCAGCGGGACGTTTCAGCAGACGCTTTTAACTACAGCGACGTACATACGAATCAAACACCAGAGGAGGACACACACTGGGAGCAAGTCGGTGAAGTGTTTTTCCCAAGGACACAAAGGACAGACTAGGGATAGGAAAAATCGAACAGCCAACCTTTCAGTTATTGGACGTCAGCTCTACCTCCTAAGCTACTACTGTCCAAAGGACTCGTCTACCTCTGACTAGAGCGTCTGCAAACATCGCACAAAAGATCCCACCAAACTCCATTGACTAGAAACAGTGTTTTTATCTCACATGACTCCACAGCTGTTTTACTCTGTGTTAGTGGATGCGTTTGTTTGTTTAAACGTGTTTATCACAAATATTGAGTTTAAACTCTTCAGAAACTAAAGTTACTCAGAATCAGCAGTAAAAGAGTCCTCAGTGAATCAGGAACTCCTCCTCGCTGCTGTGATGTAAAGCTGCTGTTTTCATACATGGAGTCTGGTGTCTCTGAGAGAGCGCTGGAACAGCTGTTTCTGTTTCTGCTGTGAAAATCCATCTTCCTCTTTTTTTTTTTAATTTCGTCCTCTCTGATTGTGACTCAGTCTGCTGATCCACTGTCACACCTTTATTTAGGAGCCGTAGATTCCTGTGTTCAGCTGTGTTTTCAGCCATCCTCTGTTTCCCCCTCTGATCCCTCCTGTTTGGAGCGGTTGTCATAATAACAGAAATATTCTGCTGAAAGTCAGGGAGCAGTTTTAGGGCTTCAATAAACAGAGCAGCACAATGCAGATAATACTCTGAGGCTGAGTTTTGGACAGGACTGAGAGAGTCGGGGGAGTTTGCCAAGAAGCGGAGGATAACCAGATCTGGGGGATTTCTTTGATTATGTCGATCCTCACAGATTTTTCCCTCGCTGGGGCGGAAATTGTAACTTAAGTCATGAATAAGTGAGGTCCCCGGCGCCTTTCCTCTCCTCCGGATCTTATCTTTTCTACTCTTCGTCACTTTCACCCTCTCTATCCTCTCTCTCTCTCTCCGTCGTCCTGCAGCCAGCCAATATCCTGTTGGATGAACATGGTCACGTTCGGATCTCTGACCTCGGCCTCGCCTGCGACTTCTCCAAGAAGAAACCCCATGCCAGCGTGTGAGTATCGGTGTTTGACCCTTACCTCACAGGAGGCGGGGCTTTAAATACAACCTCAACTCCAAAAATGATTGGACGCTGTCTAAACTAGAAATAAACTCAGAGTTGGAGGGTTCATGAATCATTTAAAATCCTGTTTTAGTGCAAAGATAACCAAGAAGAAGGTTTTTTAATATAATGTTTATGAACCCAGGAGACCAGTTTTGGAGTTTTGGAGTTTTGGAGTCATGAAATCTGTTCAACGTGGGACAAGTCATGACTGCATCAGTCCAGTTTCTGAGCAGGACTCCTCCAGAGCCATGCTGTTGTCAGGATGTGGTCTTGTGGTCTCTTGAGGAGTCCAGCACAATCATAAAGAGCTGGTGTTGGATATCGGTCTCACAGCAGTAGGCCTCGTCTTCGCCTTGAACCTTTGACTCTTTATTATCCAATCCAATCTGCTTTATTTCTATATCACATTTTAAAAAACATTCAAGTTAACCAAAGTGCTCCACAGAGAAATTTAATAGAACAGACACTGCAGAAAACATCAAGATGAAATAAATAAAAGCAGGTAAAAGACCTTTAAAATGAAATAAAATAAATGTAATAAAAAAACAAAAGCATAAAAGAAATAAAAAGTGATAAAAGGACAGAGATCACACAACTCTCATGCTGAGCTAAAAAGCAAAGGAATAAAAATGAGTTTTAAGACGTGATTTAAAAGTAGAAAGAGTGGGGGATATTTTAATCTCAAGTGGCAAATCATCCAACAATTTGGGAGTCACAGCTGAGAAAGCTCAGTTGCCACAGGTTTTTAAACGAGTTTTAGGGACGACGAGTTGGAGCTTATCAGCAGACCTTAAGGAACGTGGGAAGGTATAAACATTTAAGACGTCAGTAATGCACTGAGGTGCTGATCCGTTTAAAGATTTAAAAAAAAACAAAATTTTAAAATGAATTCTAAAATGGACAGGAAGCCAATTGGGACACCAGAATTGGGGTGATGTGGTCATGTTTTCGTTAACCTGTTAAAAGACAAGCAGCAGCATTTTGGACGAACTGTAGGTGTGTGAAACCTGACTAACATAAACGTAAAGAGCGTTACAGTAGTCCAACCATCGTGTGAAAATAAAAGCATGAATGACTCGCTCAAAACCATTAAAAGATAAAGCCTATTTAATCTTGGCTAAAAGCCTCAGATGATAAAAATTGGATTTAAGAACAGAGTTGATTTGTTGATTTAAAATCATTGTCAACTTTTACACCAATTTTTAAAACCGTGGGTATAAAATAAGGGACAAGAGAGTCCAGCTCCCTGAGAGGGGTGTCCTGGGACCCACTGGAGCCAAAGATTAATAATTCCATTTTCTTTTCATTGGAATTTAAAAAGCTCAAGGCCATCCAGTCTTTTTATGTCCTTAAGACAATCTAGTAGATGTTTTATCGCGCCAACTTCTCTGCAGCTTTCAAAGGAATCAATAATTTGACGTAAATTATTGATTCGATAACGATTTTATCACTCAGGATGAAGTAAATACAGAAACGGTGTCCATGGCAACAGCTCATCGTCGTTAGAACCCTCATCAGCGATGATAAGGGTCTCTGTTTGATTGTTCCTGGTCTCCTCTTGTATTAGTCCGGTCCTCATCCACCTCCTGAGTCATAAAAACTAACGATCGTGTTTTTGACCTGAGCTCTCTCTCTCTCTCTCTCTCTGTGCTGCTTTCAGGGGGACTCACGGCTACATGGCTCCCGAGGTCCTTCAGAAGGGGACAGCGTACGACAGCAGCGCCGACTGGTTCTCCTTAGGCTGCATGCTCTTCAAACTCCTTCGAGGGTAACCACTTCAGCTGTGCTCTCCTCCTCCTCTTATCTTCGCTCTCTCTCCTGTCTTGTCCTCACTTCCTCCTTGCTTTCAAACCTCCTCTCCCTCTTTAAACCCCCCCCACACACACACACACTCACACGCACACACCTCTCTCCTGCTTCCCGTCTCTTTGGAGTGTGTTTGATCTGTTTTGTGTGCGAGGCTGTGTGTGTGTGTTTGTTTGATCTGGAGTGTGTAAATGCCACAGGTCTGCGCCCAGTAGGTCAGAAATCAGGTAAAAGGGGGAACAGAGAGAGAGAGAGTGTGTGTGTGTGTGTGTGTGTGTGTGTGTGTGTGTGAGACATGTCTTTCCATTGAAGTCTGTGTGTTTGAACACTTTAAAGAGGAGAAGTGTGGGGGTCTTTGCTGAAAGGTGGGTGCTGAAAGGATGGAGAGCTGGACGGGTTCTCAGGCTCAGGTTTGATTCAAAGTGAAGCTCAGGAGCGTGAACTTAAAATCAGCCAATCCTGATCCAGCTCATGCTTTAAATCAACCAATCAATTTTTATTTAGATAGCGCCAAATCAGAACAGTCGTTATCCCGAGATGCTGGTCCAGACCACGCTAATTGTTTGACTCAAAATTAAGACGGGACAGATCCAACCCATCCTATCCAACATGAGCTAACTTCCCTTTAACAGGCAGAAACCTCGAGCAGGACCGGATTCATGTTAGACAGCACCTGAGTTACCTCCAATGTCCACCTCATCCGGAACGGCTACAAAAAGGATCGTAGCTGATCGTAACCATTCAAGTTAATGTCACGTGTCAATTACCACTGGCTTCTTTTTTTCTTCTTCGTTCTGCTGCGGATCGCCAGACTCCGCAGCTGATCGCAAGAGTTCTATTTTTTCCGGACGCCGGAGCATGCCGGATAAATTCAGCACAGATTATTCCGTGCTGGAAGGTAGTTGGGCACAGACACAAAATAAAACATCCGGCTTCTTTTCAAAATAAAACACTCCATGTTTTAGGCGGATCGTATTTCACATTGTGCAAATGGGCGGAGACGAACAAGTGAAAGGTTTTTAGACATCATTTCACCCCGTTGACACCATGGATGAGGAGATGCTGATTCTAGAAGTCTAGAAGTGGATTTCCTCCTCTGGAAGGACACAATCTTCTGCTTATATGGTTAGCCTTTGTGGCTAGAGCCAACTCATTATCGAACGATTGCATGTGAATCCGCAGGTTCGTGTGAGTTCTCGCGATTCCTGCTGTCTGAAATCCGCCATGAAATTTGCCTCAGAAATGGATCCGGTAGGAATTGGCGGACGGCAAAAATCGCTGTTCCGGATCTGAGCCATTCCAGACGCAGTGAAAAATCCCAGGTTAGAGACAGAGAAAGGCCTCATAAACCACAAACACTGAGTCAAAACTTTTCCTGTTTTCTGGACGATCTTTGTATCTTGGAAGAGAAAATCGATAAAATGACTTTGATCTAATCTTAAGGAGGTAATCACTTGGAAGCTACCTAACCCCTCAGCAAAAACTAACAGGATTACCTGCAGGACCGGGTCAGAGACTCCGGACTTGGCTCTCATTTGTCTGAAGGGGGTAATCAGGGCACTCAATTCAAAGCTTAGATAGGCCGGGTTGACTCTGCTCTTAATCGTAGAGGACAGTTAACCCCTCACAGAGACAGATAATGGAGCATCTGCAGGATAAATATACACTGCTTTAAATCCTCCTTCCTCCTGCGCCTTTATGTTTACGTCATTCAGGCTTTTTAATCAAACGCAGATGTGAAGAAATTTGGATCTATCCATTCACATCCATCCATCCGTCTTCAGCCGTACGTTCAGCTCTCATTTTGCTCCGACTGAACAATTAAAGTCATCGAATGAAAGCAGTGAGGAAGGTCCCCCCCCATTAAAGCTGTCAGATGTTATTTGATCACTTCCTCTGCGTGGACCGCAGTGCTCAGTGAATCATGAGAGGGGATGCTCATCTTCAGTCCGGCTAAGGCATCCTCTGCTGTAGTCAGTGTTCAGAAGAACCATCGCGTCTCGATTGATTCATTCAGCTCATCGAACCGTCCAGAATCGTCAGGACTGATCAGAGTTTATTGATACCAGTATCATCACCATTCTGCTTATCGATCCAAAACTATAGGTTTTATCAATTAGAGGTCAGCCATATTGAACTGTTTTTCTCAGGGCTGATAGCAGCACTGATAATGAGTTGTTCATTAGACTGATATGAAGACCCGATACTCCAATACCTGGATCCTTCATGTGAGGTATAAAAGACGTGACAAAGACCTACAGAGTCAGACCCTGACCAGAAACAAACTCATTTGTGTTTGTATGATATTCAAATGAAAAAGTTTTGTTTCCAGTCTCATAATCCAGGTTCATATATGAGGATATCAATGAGAAAATGAGGATATCAGTGACGATATAAGAATATCAATGAGGATATCAGTAAGGATATGAGGATATCAATGAGGATATGAAGATATTAGTGTAGGTATGAGCATATCAATGAGTATATCAATAAGGATATGAGGGTATTGGCAAGGATATGAGGATATCAGTGAGGATGTGAGGATATCGATGAGGAGATGGGGGTATCAGCAAGGATATGAGGATATCAATGAGGATATCAATAAGGATATGATGATATCAGTGAGGATGTGAGGATATCAGTCATTATATCAATGAAGATATCAGTGAGGGTATCGATCAGGATATAAGGATATTAATATGAGGAGATCGATAAGGATATCAACGAGAATATGACGATATTGATGGGGATATGAGGATATTAATATGGATATGAGGATATTAATGTGTTATCAATAAGTATATTAATGAAGATATGAGGATATCAATGAGATTATCAATGAGAAAATAAGGATATTAATGAGGATATCAATGAGGATATCAAACACTAACTGCGGTTCGAGTCCCAACCTGCTCTTAATGAAGCAGCAGCTGATAATACTGAAATAGCAGAACTGTGCAGTCATTGGTCGACTCTGTGCTCACTCACAGTTTCTGCGATTATCCTCCCATCCTGGACTCTCTTTCTGGCGCTCTTAAAGCTCCGAGTCAGCACTCGAACACGCAGCTGGTTAATTAGAAGGAGTAAGATCTGGGTCAGTTCAAATTACCATTTCTTCATTTACGGCGCTCTAATATTTATGAGCGCGCTGCTTCAGCTTGAACAAAGAGCGATGAAATATGGAGTGCTCTGGAAGGTGTGACAGTCTGATTGATTCCTTGGTTTTCCTTCACTCACCTCCTCTTCCTCCCTCCTCTTCCTCGCTGTAATGCTGTCTCTCTCTCTCTTTCTCTTTGCAGGCACAGTCCCTTCAGACAGCACAAGACCAAAGACAAACACGAGATTGACCGTATGACGCTCACCATGGTAAGACACACGTACACGCCGACAAACATGCGCTCCGCAGCGGATGAACATTTAACAAGAAGTCTTTATGTAAACAGGCTGTAACAAAGAGGCAATAAGAGTCTTTACTTAACCCTGAACACATGGGTTTGGCCGTGTTTACCTTCAAGTAAAACAAAGTGTACACAGATGTTAATATCCCTTTGCATACTGTACTTTTGTTTGTGGACAGAGTCTGCACACGGGTTCGAGGAGTGAGAGACACCTGTAGGAGATCAAACTGTCTCTGAAGGTGTTGGCTGCTCTGACACAGACTGATGTCTTTGTTTTGGACTCCTCTCTCGCGCTCCCTCTCGTTCTGCTCAGCTGTGTTTACTCTGTGGTGTCATGTGAAGACACAGCAGATGAAGCATATGACAGAAACTCGGCTTAAATAAACCGGACCGGCAGCCAAGTTGTGAAAGTTAAAGTACACCCTCCAGGTCAGGCGGGGTTTATGGTCAGGTTTACTCTGGGAAACTTGGATCAGCGGAGCAGCAGCTCTCTGACAAATAAAGACTCTTGAAGACACACGCTGCATCAAAATTTCATCTGCTCTGTTATCTCCCTTTGGAACCTCTAAAATCGAGCTTCTCTTAGATGTTTGAGCTCCGTGGAGCAGAGCGGCGCCTGTATGTGCAGAAAAGAAAGTTTCTCTGAGCTGGAATGACTTTAATGCAGTACCTGTACAAACAACATAGACTGTATATACTATGGACAACTTGGTTCCGCCTACCGCTCTTCATTTCCTGAAACCAGCGCTGGGCAGTAGCGTTGTACGCATTCAGGCGTGCAGTCGCTGAGAGTTGCTGTGATGACATTCGGCTCAAATAGTGTATCCCCTGAGAGAGCTACGCAATCCCTGAATGCTCATAGGCTGTACCAGGTGTCAATCATAGAAAACATGAACCCCCTAATAACTTTTGAAAATGGAGCTGTACAGAAAAAAGAGGACTTGAGCACAAACCAGTCTTACAATAACTACATGTCAACATCACAAGCAGGGGGGAGAAAAATTTATGTTCTGTGTAATAAATTTCTAAAGTTTGTCCACAGTCCCATAAGCTTTGCTGGCAGAGGCGGGATTTATGACCTATACTGCAGCTCATCAACAGAGGGTGCTGTTCTTGGAGTGGCTTCACCCAGCAAGGAGGCAGACTCTGTCCATTCTTTATACAGTCTAAGACAAACAAAAAAGAATCATTCCTCAGCATCAGAATGTGAACCCCAGGGCCCCAAAGAGGGTTACTTCTTCATTTCTGATCCTGATACAGGCAGATATTTGGCTGAACCTGAAACAAAGTACCTATTCTGAGTGATCCTTCATAATCCGGAGGTGTCTGTTCCTGCAGAGAGTGCGTTTCAGCCTCATTTTCCTGCTAATTTGGTCGTTTAACAGCGCCGGTCATTATGCAGACATGTGAAGGTGGTATAATGGTGTCTCTCCTCTGCTCGCAGTCTGTCTGCTGAAGACATGAAAGCAACATTTGTCCCTGTTAGAGCTGAAAGGACTTCACAAAGGGTCTTCACCCTGAGCATGAGAAGAGTTAGCGTGTGTGTAGTGTCTGTAATGGAAGGGGGAGCAAACACACACACACACACAACTGTAGTACACTGGAAAACAACAACTTTCGCTGCAAATGAACAAGATCCTGCAGGTTAATACAAGATGTGGACATGTCATTAAGTTTCTTCTCCATCTTTAGGTTTCAGGGTTCTTGAGGATCTTTGAAGGAGGTCTCTTAACTCATATTTTCACCTAAGTCCCTATAACTAGGGATGTCCAGATCCAATATTGATATCAGATATCGGTCCGATATCAGCATTCCAGACTCTGCTCCAGTATCTCTATCTAACAGCGCCCATTTCCAGCAGGCAGAGCCCACGCGATTACAACAACAGTGTGTACTTAAGTATGAACAAAGTACAGAGGAGTAGGAGTGATGTCGGCCCTGTGGAAATATTTATTGTCAAAGCACGAAATAGACATTGCAGCTTAGTGCAAAACTTGTCGTGCACAAGTTTGTCCCATTATCTGATCAGTATCGGTATTAGCCATTACTGAAGCCTACACTATCAGTATTAGCCAATATTGAAGGCTGCAATACCGGTATTAGCTAATACTGAAGGCTATAATATTGCTATTAGCCAATACTGAAAGCTACAATATCGGTATTAGCTAATACTAAGGGGTTTACTATTGGTATTAGCTAATAATTAAGGCTACAATATTGGTATTAGCCATTACTGAAGGCTACACTATCAGTACTAGCCATTACTGAAGGCTACAATATCAGTATCAGTGAATACCAAAGGCTACAATATCGGTATTAGCCACAACTGAAGGCTACAATATTATTATTAGCCAATACTGAAGGCTACACTATCGGTATTAGCTAATACTGAAGGCTATAATATTGGTATCAGTGAATACCAAAGGCTACAATATCGGTATTAGCCACAACTGAAGGCTACAATATTATTATTAGCCAATACTGAAGGCTACACTATCGGTATTAGCTAATACTGAAGGCTATAATATTGGTATCAGTGAATACCAAAGGCTACAATATCTGTATTAGCTAATACAGAAGGCTACGCTATCGGTATTAGCCAGAACGGAAGGCTACACTATCTGTATTGCTGAATACTGAAGGCTACAATATGGGTGTTAGCCAATACTGAAAGCTGCAATATCGGTATTAGCCAATACTGAAAGGCTGCAATATCCGCATCGGTGAATACTGAAGGCTACAATATCAGTATTAGCCATTACTGAAGGCTACAATGTTGGTATTGGTGAATACTGGAAGTCGGAAAATTGGTATTAGCCATTATTGAAGGTTACAATATCAGTATCTGTGAATACTGAAGGCTACAATATCTGCATCGGTGAGTACTGAAGGCCACAATATCGGTATTAGCCAATACTGAAGGCTACAATATCAGCACCAGTGAATGCTGAAGGCTACAATATCGGTATTGGCTGTTACTAAAGTCTACTATATTGGTATCAGTGAATACTGAAGGCTACGCTATCTGTATTAGCCAGAACTGAAGGCTACAATATCGGTATTAGACAGAACTGAAGGCTACACTATCAGTCTTGGTGAATACTGAAGGCTACAATATTGGCAATGGTGAATACTGAAGGATAAATGTAGGTATTGTATTGGATGAAGAAAAGTTGTATTGGGACACTCCTCCCCATAAAGCAGTTTTGTTTGATCCCTTTGATCCATACTGAGACGATAAAACTCCTCTAGCAGAAAAAGAATATTTTTTAGTGTTTTAAATCCAAAGTTTGTATTAAACATGTTCAGCACAAGTGTCTCAGAGTCCTGCTGAGTTAAAATCTGGAGATGTTCATGGATTCCAGCAACGCTGAAGAGACAGTGAAGCAGAATCTGTTTGTCATCAAATGATCATCATCTTCTTCTTGAACTGAAAACTCTGATTCTGGCGGGCTTTGACGAACAATCAGAGCCTGTTAGCGACTTTCAGAGAATATAATCAAAGCCTGCATTCATATATGAGAAAAACTCACTGTTGATAATGCTGAAACTGAAGCTGGGATCTGCTGCAGGCTGTTAAACCAAAGTAAATGTAGTAAAACTCAGGTCGTTTTTTTAACATCATGGATGTTTTTATGACCGCTGAGTTTGTAGTGTTCGCCTGTTTGTTTACAGCCTGTCTGACTTTTTTCTGCTCCTGTTTGTCGGCTCGTCGGGAGTGTTGCAACTTTTCCTCGAATGCATTACACAATAACCTGAGTTCAGAGTCAGACAAACATCATAAAACAAATGTTTGAAGAAAAAAAAATACACAGGTACTAGATTTTAGCAGAGGAGTTTGAACAATTCAGAGATTTGGACTGAGGTTCATTTTCGGTTTTATTTAGACAAATTTATTTTAAAGTAACTCGACTTAAATGTAATCTGAAAAAAATCAATGATTGACTCCAGGAAAGTAAGTTTATTTATTCAGTTACTTCAGCACAAAGAAAACTCGGAGCGCTTTACACAAGACGATTAAAATGTCATGATGTCAAACCTGAACAAAAAACTAAAAACAAACAGTTGAAAAAGTGAAAAAGATCAAAGGATGAAGTCTAACAGGGCAACCAGGGCTTGACTCTTAATTTTTTTCACAAGGAGCACATATGCCCCTAAAACGAAAAAGTAAGGAGCACACAAAGAACTTTAGGGGCACAATGAAAATTGATCAAATAATGTTTGTCTTATTGTCCGATCTTAGTACTATTATTTGAAATCAATTTTAGGTCTTTTGGTCACATGACATGTAAGCTATTGAAGAAAATGTTTGCCTTTACATTTAACACAAACATTTTTAGAGGACAAATTAGGGAAATAAAGGGGTGTGTCTTATTGGTTGACATAAGTACTATTATATGAAATTAATTTAAGGTCAATTGGTCACATGACATGGAAGCTCACACACATCTATTTTTAGTCGCAAATTCGAGTGAAACAGTCGCACTGTCGAACCCTTGCAGCTCTGAAATACGAGAGTTAAAAAACCTTTAAAAGACTTAAAGTGAGTTTAAATCAAATGTGATTATTGAGGTTTATTTTTTAATAATCCTGACATTTGTGTTTTTGTTGAACTAAAACATCTGAAAGCGCCGCTCTCACAGAGAGAGTGGATTTTGTTGAACTCTTCTACTTTTAAAGCTGAAAATACGACATTCATGACCGTGTTAGGGTGAGTATTAAGATCATGTGTTTTTTAAGAAGAAATCCCGTCTTATATGTAGGGCCCGACCGATATGGATTTTTTGGGGCTGATACCAATTATTTGGCGGGGAGAAAAATCCGATTAATCAGCCGATTTTTTGAACTTATAAAAATATATATATACTGTAAATACTTACAGTATACTGTAGATATACTTTAGGCTACTGCTCTTCGTGCCGACAGGAAGACCAACTGAATAAACTCAGACCAGAAAAGCATTTTCTGTACTGCTACCCAAGATTGTCATGAGGTTGCTGCGCCATCTACAGGATAAGTCGGGGAACTTTTCAAATGGCGGAACATTTTCGAAGTGAAACTGAATATTCTCCGCATTTTATTTCTGAAAATATCGGCTGAAATCAGCGAGTTTTGGACGATTACCAGTTAGTCTCAAACAGGCTAAAATTGGCCTTTTTAATCGTCTCGCTGATAAATCTGTCGGGCCCTATATATATGTCTGATTTTTTAGACTGCCACTCATTCAAGATTGACCTTTATTAATTAAACATGGACATGCAGGTTAGCAGGATAATCAGTAAAAGTTTAAAAAGCTTATTTAGATCCTGCATTTGTCTCCAAACTGTCCTCCTCCTTCTCTGCTCTAATTGTTTAATACCGTAGAGTCGGTTTTTATTCGCTCGTAAAAAAAAACTCTGACCCCGGTCATTATCAGGCTGCAGATTAAATCCTGCTTCTTTTGGAGGTTTTATGGGGGGATGATCCCACTTTCTCAGCAGAGCCTGGACTCAGGTCAGTGTTGCACAATAATGACTGAACTTTAGTCTGAACCAGAACTTTTGTTTATTGGACTCATGGTCAGGAATCACCTCAGTATCCTCTCGTCTCTGTGATCTGACAGAAACAGATTCAGAGTACGAAGATTTTTCGTTAATCCAGGAATCAGATTATCAAGAAGGAAGTCTAGTGTATAAGCGTGAGAGGAGCTAGCCGCCTGACCTTTGGGCATCCCGGGTCGGACTCAGCAAACACTCAGGGTGAGTAGCGTCCATCGAGCCCACCCGGTGACATATCTGCTCTCACCCACTCTTTGATTTCCTCTGCGTCCAGGCGCTCTGTGAGGGTGGCGGGTTGTGTTAGATCGCCGACCCGCTCGTGATGACAAATTGCGGAGGGATTTCATCATCACCGCGGCGGCGACAGCAGCAGCAGTTGTCAATGTGGAGCTCGTCCAGATCTGCGAGTCCGTTTATGTGTTTAGTCGGGACGTGAACACACACACACACAGGCAGGCCTCATTCAGCAGAGCAGGACCTTTAAACAGAGAAAGCATGATCTTCCATATCACAATAAATCCAGATTAGGATTATAATCTGGCCACTTAATCTGGTTTATCCTTTTAATCCCTGTCTGTGTGTGTGTGTGTGTGTGTGTGTGTGTGTGTGTGTGTGTGTGTGAGAGAAAGACACAGGCCTGAGTGGTCTAAAAATAGTCCTCTATATGTCGGAATGTTTATTAAACATGATGAACGGTCGTCTTACATAAACATCATGGAAGCAGAGCAGAGAGGAACCAGGACAGGAAGAGATGGATCGAAGAGAAGACCACGTCTGAAACCTCTCCTCGGAGGAGCAGCTGACACCAGGGGGGCAGGGCTGACTTTAAGAGGTCCTTACAGGCTGAAATGACCGATCCGCACTCGTTATAGACCCAGAAACCCGACCAAACATCCAACAGAGATGTAACTGGACTGTTCCTGCGTGGATTAAAACCAAAGTTTTTTTTGTTGTTGTTCTTAACAGGAATAACACGGTCAGCAAACCATTTGGTGGAAGTTTTGGCGCTGTGGGCAGGTGCTAAAACGAAAAAAAAAAAAGCATTTCCATGGAAGTCTCTAAAAACCTCCTGGTAGACTCAAAAACACAGGAGATGACACAAGACCTCAGGCCGTCACAGACTGTCAAAACTTAACTCTGGACTCCAAACTGTTTGGATTCTGGGCCTCTCTGGTCTTCCTCCAGACTCCAGACTCTCGGACCTTGGTTTCTGAATAGTTCTCATGTTCATGGTGAACACCAGTTTGATTGTTTGGAGTTTATTTGAACATATAAAATAAAAAAAAGATGATAATAAAAATAAAATATACAACAACAAATGACAAAAAGGCTACATTCACACTGCAGGATATGATGCACGATTCAGATTTTTTGTTAAATCCGATCTTTTTGTGTGGTCGTTCACATTACAACAACGAATGCGGCATCTAATGTGAACGGAATGCATCTGTAAAGTGACCCGCATGCGCACAAAGCACAAATTGCTTTCCCCGCCTGTTTGTGTTGTCAAACAATGGTGACGTTTGGCGCATATTGACATATCAGTCAGATGAACACGACCTGAGCATCCACACTGCAGTCACATCGGATACATATCCGATTCATATCCATATACAAAAGAGGCCTGGGTCGGATTTGAAAAAATCTGAATTGCACTGTTCACACACAAAAATCAGATATGTGTCACATATGGTTAAGAAATCGGAATTGACCTGCAGTGTGAACAGAGCCTTGGTTATTCAAGTTCAAAAAGGAGTGGGAAGAAGTCAAGACTTATCTAGTCCCACCCTTTCTCCTACACTTATGGTTTAAATATATATATATCATAATAATAGCAATAAAAATAATCACCACAGTGAAAATAACAAAACAATGATAATAATGATAATAGTTTCTATGATTGTACACCCCTGTATCCTGTGAAAACATATTCCTTATACTTTGTTTAACTTGTTTTATGTTGAGACCTTTTTTTGAACTCCTCACCTTTACTGTTCCACAGTCTCAGCCCACAAAATAAAATGCAGAATCGTTTTCTGCTTGTGCGGATTTTATTAATTTTGAAGTAATACTTCCCTCTTAATTGATAACCCCCCCTCTCGATCCCCAAACAAACTCTATATTTTGTGGTAGTAGGTTATTTTTAGCTTTGTCGTGGCAGATTCCTCCCTAAGAGTCTTTAAAGCCACTTGCATGAGATGAGCCCCACAATTGTACTGACTCCAGTTCTCACAGGTCTGGTTTTTCCGTTGATTTGGCTGATCGCGGGTTCCATACAGCTCACAACTTCAGAAATTGTACAAAAATCAAAAGTCCTATGGGGATTGCGTCTCTACCCATAACATCCTCTAGACAGGTGTATCTGAATCTACTGATCAAAGCAAACAACTTGTTTTTTCTAATTACTTTGAATTCATATATTTTTGGTCCTTACAATTAATAATATTAACTGAGACTTTGTTTGCTTAAAAATAAGATTTTGACAAAACTAAAAAACGGCTTGTACAAGCTTTATGCTGTTTGGAATTTCGCAATGTCTGTAAGTTACAATAATTTTGACTGCAAGAAGACTGGGGGAGTGTGATCCAGATAACTGACTGATAACTGACAGTTCTTACGATAAGAGAGACTTAACCGGTCGAGGTAAAACTGACGTTAACAAGCTCATGTTCGTGTGGTGTTTGTTAAAAAACTGAATCGTGTAAAATTAGGGGACATGTTTGAATCCTCCTTTACTTCAGAACCAGACTATTCTCACTTTTCCTCCCCCTCCCTCTGTTTCCCTCCCCTCCTCCCTACCTTCCCCCTTCTTCTCTTGCAGAATGTGGAGCTGCCAGACTCCTTCACTGCGGAGCTCAAAGACCTGCTGGAGGGGCTGCTGCAGAGAGATGTTTCCAAGAGGCTGGGCTGCCAGGGCCGAGGGTATGCACACACACACACATAAACACACACACATTAACCTCTGTCCCATATCAGCGTCCAGTTCATGACCACGGGCCGAGAATGAGTCGTTCATCATGATGCTGCAAATACTGGCTGGTGAAATCTGAAGTGGGACTCAGAGTGGTCCAAAAGATCAGGACTCATTTCATCATCAGTGTCCAGCTGCGGCTCACTGATGGATCTCTGTCCACTCTGGCTGTTTGCCCAAACAACAGGATTATGAGTGTTTGTCAGGGGGGAGTACGGTGGCCAATACCGCCACCTAGTGTTCAAAAGGAGACTGACAGCCAAGAGTCATAGCTGAGCTCCTCTCTGTGTTTCTCTGTCTGCAGAGCCCCGGAGGTGAAGGAGCATCAGTTCTTCAAAGGCATCGACTGGCAGCAGGTTTACCTCCAAAAGGTGAGTGAGAGCGTTGACCAATCAGAGCCGACCACCACCACCAGGATGGACGCCTCACACAAAAAAAACGTTTAAAAAGTGAAAAAAGTTCAAAGGATGAAGTCTAACAGGGCGGCTCTGAAATACGAGAGTTGATCATACATTTTAAAGACTTAAAGTGAGTTTAATAATCCTGACATTTGTGTTTTTGTTGAACTAAAACATCTTAAAGTGCTGCTCTCACAGAGAAAGTGAATTTTGTTGAATTGTCGTAACAATAATGGACATTTATGACCGCATTTGGGTGAATATTAAGATCATGTGTTTTGAAGGGAGAAATCCCATCTTATACGTCATTTTTTTAGACTGACCCTCGGTCAAGATTGACTTTTATGAATTATACAGGGACACAGATTTAGATCCTGTGTTGACGAATCAGAGCCTCCACCAAGACGGAAGTGCGTGAAGAGAAGTCGGCTTGGCGACCGAGTGTCAGCTGTGTGATGTAGAAGTTGAAAAACAGAAACCGTGAAAAATCTCTAAAACAGACTTTGAATTGATTTTTTTTAAGTGTTTCTTTATCTTAATTCTTTGTCAAAGACTTTTGTACTTTAAGCTGATGAAAAGAGTCGCTACCTCGCCATCAAACGATTTAAAAAACGCTCAAAGCTCTCGTCAATACCGGACTAAAGGATCCGGTTTGTTTCTTACATCGATCTCTTTGTGATTTTCAAAGTAAAGCTGCTAAAACTAGAAGACAGAAATGAGACGTTAGAGTTTTATTCTCTTTGAGGTTTTTTTCTTCATTTCTGAGTTTTGATTTTCTACTGTGTGGCGTAAACTTAAGATGCTCTGAAGCGGCGATGAAATTTTGGACTGCCGGCTAATCTAAGAGTAAATAAACACTTAAAAAACAACATTTATTTACTCCGGATCAGGATCTTTATTATCGATCACTGACATTTGTTTACTCAGCAGAGTAGACACAGATGCAGAGTGCAGACAAAAACACGCCGTACAGTCCAGACTGAATCTGCCTCTGAAAGCAGCATCACCAAATGTTTGAAGGATCAGGATCTGCTAAAAAAGAGAGACACCCGAGGATCTGAAGGGCTGTCCTGCTTCATAAACCACAAACCTCTCTGAGGCGTTGTCCGGTTCAAGGACATTAAGGGCCGAATAGACCAATCAGAGAGTTTTATAATCTTGAAGAAAGCGAAGAAGCAGACGCAGTAGCGGTTTTAAAACTGGGTCTGATTTAGTCAGCGCTGTGGGACCGATGTTTTTCCGTCACTCCTTCTCCTCCTCTTCTAGTACTCTCCTCCCTTAATCCCTCCCCGAGGAGAGGTGAACGCCGCAGACGCTTTCGACATCGGCTCTTTTGATGAGGAGGACACCAAGGGCATCAAGGTAAGAGGACGCTCTCTCACTTTTATCACACACTTCCTCTCTCTGTTCGTCTCTGTGAACATGTGACTGACTCAGCAGCAGAATCAGGGGAGGATGGCAGGAACAGCAGGGGGGAGAAAAGAAAGTCCTCGTCACATGGAGGTTCAAGTTTGGAGAACTGAGGAGAAGCTGGAGAGACCAGAAAACCAGAGAGTTTTCAAAACTTTATCCTTTTTACAAACCATCCACTCTCTTCTGCAGACGTTTTTTTTCAGAGCCTCAGGTCCAGCCGACAGTGAGATAAACACCAAGACTTCTTCAGTGTTTCCTGCTCCTCTTTGTAAAGCGACCTTTGAAAGATTCAGTATAGTATTTTTATGATTTGACTTCAAGTAGTAAGAACGGAGTGGAGGAAGATCTCAGAGTCGATTTTTCATGTGTCTGTCAACCTCCAATTTCCAATGCATCCGGAACAGCTACGAAATGCCGTATCCGCCACCCGTAGCTGATCGTAACCATTCAAGTTAACGTGTCAATTTCCACCGGCTTCTTTCCGTTCCACTGCAGATCGCCGGACTCCACAGCTGATCACAAGAGTTCTATTTATTCCAGACGCCGGAGCATGCTGGATAAATTCATCACAGATTAACCCGTGCTGGAAAGGAAGTCGGGCACAGACACAAAATAAAACATCCAGCTTCTTTTTTAAATTAAAATACTCTGTGTTTCAGGCAGATCGTATTTCACACCATGTAAACAGGCGGAGACAAACAAGTGAAAGGTTTTTAGACGTCATTTCACCTTGATGACACCATGGATGAGGAGATGCTGATTCTAGAAGTCTAGAAGTAGATTTCCTCCTCTGGAAGGACACAATCTATTGCTTATATGTCTATGTGGCTGTTAGAGACAACTCATTATTGCGCGATTTTACTTGAATCCGCAGGTTCCTGTGAATTCTTGCAATTCCCGCTGTCCGTAATCTGCCTCACAAAGGGATCCGGTAGGAATTGGCATCTGGTGAAAATCGCCGCTATTCCAGATTAGAGCCATTCCAGATGCGGTGGAAGTCCCGGTTAAGACCTGCTGAAACGCTAAAGTGTGCTGACAACAAACCGGGTGATCCCACTCCAGAATTTCCAAAAAGAGGGTCAGATTTGGTCTCAGGTCCAGAGAAGTCTCTGGAAGTCTCTGGTCTCCTCTTTGCATGGTTCAGTTTGAACTTCATTTTGGGAGTTATTCTGGACCCATGCAGTGATTTCCATGACAGAGCTCTTCCTTTTTTTCTAGCAGACTTCCTCTGAACCAACATGACACAGTCATCTCTGAGATGTTCCCACTCCAGAGATAATGTGTTTTTATGAATTTCCTTAAACCAGATCGATCCATGAAGTTTCTGCTTGTTTCTGTGCATGGACAAAAGTTTTTGCCTGCGGCCATGAAACCCAGAGAGCGGTTTTAATCATTCCCTCATTACTCTCTTTCTCTATAGGTCTATCTGCTGCTGCTGTGGTATTAAAGCGGTTCGTTTCCCGCCCTGCAGCAGCTGACGTTTCTTTTTTCATTAACGTTAATGTTCCTGCAGTTTCTCTGATCCATCCTCTGATGCTCCTGTAAAGAGAAATAAAGGCGCTGCTCACATTTCCCCGGACAAAGCGCTTCATTAACAGCTGTAATCATCTGCAGCAGAGTTGGAGATCCCCCAACATTAATTTAGAAGAACACAGAGATCCCCCCCGTCTAAAAAACACCACACAGATAATAATCATAAAAATAATAATGAGGATTATTACTGCGGTTATCAAACACTCGTTCTCAGAGAAACATCATTGTCTGGATGGACACAGATGTTGCTCCTAAACATGGAGATACTTAGTACATTTACATGACACTCAAGAAAACAGAATTATCGCCTTATTCCAATCAAGACTGGACAACTGAAGTGCATGTAAACACCTTAATCGGAGAACTCTGATTAAGACACCCAGATAATGCGATTGAAATTGGATTTTCTATACCATGTGTAGTGTAGTCGGAGTATGATCGAACAATGCATGTGCACGTGCGCCACGCCCCTGTAACCCCTGAACAAAAACACCATAGAAGAGGAGTATCGTGCGTCTCATCTGCAGAAAAAGTAGCGTGTCCATCATGTAGGACAAAAACAATGCTGTACGATGCTCCATCTTCTTGCTCCAAAATGCCCAGCAGCAGTTGTAGACACTTCTGATGTCTGGCATGGACCTGCTGTTGTTGTTGACAGTTGTATGGGGTCGGAAACAGCACAGCTGAAATGACCCATATTGCCCCCTAGTTTTGGGGAGGAGGACACGTTCACGTCAATAATTCAATTTGCTCAGCCGCATGTGTACGAGGACAAGGAGAGAAGTCTGATTCTGTGAAAAAAATGAATTATGAGCTTAGACTGATTAAGCTGTGCATGTGTTTAAAACTGAGGATGCAGCATCTATGATTTTCAGTACTAAGGCGAAACGTCTCAAGTAAGTCCAGTTGTCCTTTCAACGAAAAATATCAGATTTTGATCAATCAGATGACAAGACAGTTTTCCTCAGTCCACGTTAAAGGGACTCAGGTCCAGAGAAGCCTTCTGGTTTTGTCTGAACCTCATTAGTAGATGCAGTGATGAACTGTGTTCACAGTCACTGTTTTTTTAAGTGATTCTGAGTCCATGAGGTGAATTCCACTCCAGAGTCCTGTCTGTTTTTAAAAGGATATTCCAGTGTAAAATTAATTTAAGGTCAAACACACTGTAACACCGAGTTAGACACCCCCTTGAGAGATGAATGTTATCGACCGCTTGCTTCTCTAGTTATACCAACTTTAGTAACGACCACAGGATAGCAATACACAGCAGTCTGAGGAGCCATAAACAAACCTCAACCAAAACACCACTCTATAGCCACAAATAATACTCAGAACAGCACCTAACTTCATCAACAGGACATATAGGGTCCCAGCCACAGTACTAGCCACCAAACATCTTTTTAACTTTGACTAATTTCTTTAGCAAAGAGACTAAACACAACTCACCTACTCTCTTCCAGCAGCCACTTGTTTGTAGTGAGACCTCAGGCCAGTCCATTATGGACTACAGCGGGGTGACGCAGCTCAAGGAAGAACATTTATGATTATTTCCTCATGGAAATGCAATCAGACCGAGACGCTAAGGCAGAAGAACTACTGCGTCTGCAGAGCAAAATGATTAATATGGTGATGATTACTTCAAGGAAATGATTAAGTATTGATCAGAAATGTTCTTCCTTGAGCTGCGAAACTCCACTGTTTTCTGTGATCAACTCTGAAAATCCCCTCTCTCTCTCTCTCTCTCTCTCTCTCTCTCTCTCTCTCTCTCCCTCCCTCCCTCTCTCTCTCTCTCTCCCCCTCTCCCTCGCTCTCTCAGCTGCTGGACAGCGACCAGGAGCTGTATAAGAACTTCCCTCTGGTCATATCGGAGCGTTGGCAGCAGGAAGTGGCGGAGACAGTCTACGAGGCCGTCAACTCGGACACGGACAAGAACGAAGCTCGGAAGCGGGCCAAGAACAAGCAACTGGGCCATGAGGAGGGTAAGGTGGACTCAGAGTGAGGTAAAGTCCTGGTTCTGGTGCAGAGGTGTCCTGACTCTTTGTCTCTCTGGATGCAGACTACGCTTTGGGGAAGGACTGTATAATGCATGGATACATGCTGAAGCTGGGGAACCCCTTCTTGACTCAGTGGCAGCGTAGATACTTCTACCTGTTCCCCAACCGTGTGGAGTGGAGGGGGGAGGGCGACACACGGGTGAGTTAACCCCGCAGCTCTCACTTTCACCTCACTTTCATGTCCGTCTGTCACTGTATGAATGTTGTCTGTCTGTCTGTCCTGACGCCACACTGCATGAAGGAGTCGTGGTTAAAACAATTTAAAAAGAGAGACGGGGTGAGTGTCAACAGGTCCTGCTGTCCTCAGAGTCCATGTGTAGAGCTGTAGACCCCCTCCTCCTCCCCCCAGGATCTTTAGTGCTGCTGCTTTTAGACCAAGAGAGAGAGAGACAGTAAAGTCCTCGTAGTCTGGTCTGAAACAAGAAGGATGAAAAAGGACGAAACCCGGATCAGAGGAGGACCGACGTCCAGAAACCTGAGAGTGAAGCTTTAGATCTCGTCTGTCGTCTGTGCTTGTTTAGAGCTTTGTGGTGTCATGGTAGCAGCCACCATCTGAAGCTACAGCTCCAACTAGTGGTAGGAGGCCGCGTTACAGCGTCTGATCATATTTTAATGGTCATAATAGTGGTCATGAGTCATTTCTGCTGCTCAGTGACCATGTAGTCCTCATGTCCCTGTTCTTAAACCTTTAGCCCTGAAAGTGTTTCTGTGCAGACTCATGATAACCTTCAGGTCTGACAGGAAACATGTCTCCATAAACTCTGGGCCTGAACGCCTCACTTAGGGCTGGGCGATAAACTGTAAATTTACCGATACTGAAATTTATGACAGTAACCAACGTCCTTGGTTGGGCGGTATGTCGGTATAAACCGTGTGATGGTATAAAAGTGTCAGAGAGAGAGCGCAGATGTCTGCTGCATCTCTCTGAGTCAGTGTGTAGTTGCCTGCACTCGCTTACAGGAAAGCCAGAGCGCATCTGTTTGGGTGTGTTTCCGTTTATTCACCAGCGTGTCCAGCAGACTGCTTTGCATAGTTTTGACGAAGAAAAAACAGCTTCACTAGTGGTGGTCGTGGCAGACGTGGAGATTAGTGGCGGTACCGAGCAAACAGAGGCAGCCTGACCCACCCTTGGCAGAGTCTTTCGCCAAAGGTATGCCATATGACAAAAAATCGCCAGACTGGTCTGACATTTTTTTGCATATGTTTACAAATCTGAGTTTAAAAATAAAAGTAAAATGAACAAATGCGACAGTTTGAGCATTTGAGCATTGTCGTCATGATGTACGTGTGCACGATGGTGACATTGCAGAGCCTGCGATGTAGGAGGGAAATGAACTCATCTAATTTCAAGGGTAGCTGACTGAGATACACTGCATGTGACTCTGCGTGTGCTGTGCAGCGATCCACCAATCACATTCGTTCTTTACTCAGTTGCCAATCGGACAACCCTGCCAGCCGTCAATCAAAATCAGAGATGAGGAAACCACGCCCCTGCACATGGAGTGAGCCACTGGTGGTGCCGGTGTTGTGCCGAGAAACGCGTGTCCGCTGAGAATTACTTTGGGAACATTACTCATCACTGTTTGGCCGACAAATAAGAACTGTATGGGTTTTAATTTGTACATTTACATGGACCACTCTAATATGAGCGGTTTGTGTTTTGCGAGGTGGGTGCAATTCTCCGTGGGCATACGTTTCTCAGCAAAACATCGGTAACAATAACAATGATTGCAAAATGAGAAACGAACAAGAGAAAACCACAGAAGATGAAGACTTGTTGCCAAAAAGTAAAGCAAAGTCAGTTATTTGGAATTATTTCGGTTACAAGATGGATGATGTCGACCAAAACACGTGTTCTGTGTTCATCCGTTGCCACAATAACATCCCAGAACAATAAAAGCTAAAAATATCTCTGAGACAGACAGAAGCCACTCCGCTAACATTCACAAAAAAAGGTAAGATCAGTGCAGGGTAACTGTCCTCAAGATTTCAGCAGAAAGTGCTATTCAGGTTATCTGGTGAAAATTCCTGTATTTTTTAATGTCTCAGTATATTGCTGGGTTGGAAAAAAATTGCAATGTTAATTGCAACGATTTTTTCCAAAATCGTGCAGCCTTAGTAGGTAGGCTATGGTCCCCTGTCCCTTTAAGACGCTGTCCTACGTCAGAGACGTGACTCCAACCCATCCAGTCTGTAACAAAGAGGGAAAGACAGATGAGGAGATGGAGGACGGTTCAAAAGTTGTAACTGCTGAAGTAGACGAAGTTAATGTGGGAGGGGGTGAGCAGCATGTGGAGTAGTTATTGTCCATTTATTGTTATCGAAGTGAACTGATCAATACATCGTGATATTGATTTGAGGACATATCGCCCAGCCCTAGCCTCACTTTTCCTGTTCCTGGATTTATCAGAGTTTGAGTTCTGGTTTAATTCCTGCAGAGAGCAGAGTCCAGTCCGGATTATCAGCTTCAGCTTTTGCTCATTTTTTCCATTTCCTTGCAGCAAAACCTGCTGACCATGGAGCAGATCGTGACGGTGGAGGAAACGCAGATTAAAGACAAAAAGTGCATCCTGCTGCGTATCAAAGGAGGGAAGCAGTTTGTGCTGCAGTGTGAGGTAAGAGCGGCGCTCCGGGTCTGAACCCGAGTATAAATAACAAACGCAAACAGCTGATCTCTTTATTTTCCACCTGTGTGTGTGTGTGTGTGTGTGTGTGTGTGTGTGTGTGTGTGTGTGTGTGCGCAGAGTGATCCCGAGTTCGTGCAGTGGAAGAAAGAGCTGACCGAGGCATTCACAGAAGCGCAGAAGCTGCTGCGCCGCGCCCCCAAAGTCATCGGGAAGGGCCGCGCCGCAGTGGTGGAGCTCTCCAAACCGCCGCTCACACACCGCAACAGCAACGGCCTGTGAATACACACAACACACAGATAAATCTATACACATACACACAGATTAACACAAACACACACAGAAACACACACACACACTGCACCCCACCTCCTTCCTCCTGAATCAGCTGCAGGACGTTTCACACCCTCCCAAGCCCCGCCCACAAGCGACGCCTCGCAGTGTGACCACCAGCCTCTTTACACACACACACAAATCGACATGATGACCAATCATAGAGTTTTTATTCGCCATGGGACCTCGCCAGTTCACCGAGAGGAAGACGAGGAACATTCGGAGGACTTAGCATGTGAAGAAGAAGAAACCTCTGCATGAATGTGACGTCCCTGTCTCTCTCTCTCTCTCTCTCTCTCTCTCTCTCTCTCTCTCTCTCTCTCTCTCTCTCTCTCTCTCTCTCTCTCTCTTTCGCTCTTTGTCTCCCCTCCCTCCCTCCCTCTCTCTCCTCCATGTGACCCCCCCTCCTCGGACACACCTGAGACACTCATGAAGCTGAAGATCTGATCCTCGTTCTGAGGCCAGAATCAGCAGGTGTTGGCGGGGGAGGAAGAACCTGAAGAAGAGGCTGCTTGACTTGTCCCCCTCCTCACCCCTCCTCACCCCCCCTCTGTTACTGAAGTGCGTAAAGTGCCAACATGGATATTTACTTGAGCCCCCCTGGAGGCCTCCCCCCCTTCCCCAGCTGCGCTCCTGTGGGGTGGTGGGCGGGTTCTTTGACGGCAGTGGCGGCGGATGATCATTCCGACACAGACGAACCGGAAGTACAAGAAACCACAGACTTGTTTTCATTGGCTCTTGTACAGCCAGTTACCATAGAGACTGAGATTCCATTGGCTGATGAAAACAGCAGCCGGTTGCCATGAGAACTACACCTTCAGGAGGAAAAGGGGGAGGGAAGGAGGGAGTGTATATAAAAACCCTTTCTCTGTGCATCTCCAGTGTTTTAGTCCGACGTGTTTGCATTATCGGGGACTTCTCTGTCTGACTGTTGTGGATCTGTACGGGGGAGGGGGGGGAGGTGATGGTGGTGGGAATGAGGAGGAGGAGTCTGACGGCGCTGCTGCGCTACCTCAGCTGGACTCTGTCAGGTTAAATCTCTCTTAGGGGCCAAAATCTCTGAACGCTCTCTGCTCGTTCCAACGTCCATGTCGTCGCCTTGCAGCTCTCGAACCCACGGCGTCATCGTTCCACTTGCTCCCCGCCAACACACGACGACAGATTAACGACGACATCAGTCAGTCAGCTGTGACTCTGCAGGGAGGAGGAGGAGGAGGAGAGTCTCTGAGGGGTCTCTCTCTCCTCATGGAGATTTACTTTGTGCGCTCTGTAGTTTTGCGCAGGTCATGTTGGCCTGCATTTCCCAGAATGCCCCAGTAATCCTGCAATGCTCAGAGCTGAGAGAGAGCATAAAGAGGAGAGAGGACTCACACTTTGACAGGCGTAGACCCGCTGCAGTGAGGGATGATTCTCCTCAGTTATTCAGATATGAAATGGCAGACAAAGAGCCGACAATGATTCGATCCTCCAAACCCCCCCCCCCAAAAAAAACCCTGAAAGTGTCAGCTGATCATCAGCTGATAATCAGAAAGTCCTGCACCTTCTCAGCACAACAATCAGGTTTAGAAGTTCACAGAAAACACAGTCAGTCTGCTAAAAACTCTCCTGCAGCCTCAAATCAAAGTTTTCTCTCATTGATAATCGTAAAAAGAGGAAAAGTTTGTTTTGGGATCGACTTTCTGCAGACTGTAGTCTTACAAAACTCTTCTTAGGATCACTAAAATCGGCTGAGACTGGTATAATAAGCTTTTAATAATTCTAAAGAAAAGAGAAGGATTGGTGGTCAGCTCGTCTGTCTTTGGTTTCAGGTGGTTTCTTCACACCGGGTCAGGTTTATTTTCTTTGAATCAGAGGAGCGAGAGGAAGCGTTTGAGTCGTCTGATTTCAGGGTTTTTTTCTTTCTCATGCAGTAACCATGTGTCCTCCTCGCTTGTCTGTGATGTCCATGCATTTCCAGAGCTGTGATATGTGACCTGCAGTAGAACGAGGGTTTTAATTTTTTTCTTTGTAGCCTTGAAGCGGTCAGGGGCAGAAACAACGATGGTCTTATAGAGAAAAAGCGTCACCTCTCCAGGTGTCTTTTATTTTTGTAAACCAAAATGGTTTTTATTGTTTTCATTGAAACTTTGGTTGTTGCACCTTTTTAGCCCGATTGTGTTACTTAATCGTTGTTCAATGTGCCAAATAACTGTTGATGCTGATGGAGGAGGGGAAGCCGAAGCCGAGGACGCCGCCTCATTCACCGCACACTCGAGTCCAAACTTTGCGGCGGAGGTTGTGACGGCGGCGTCTTTTTTGAAGGGTACAAAACTGTGACCAAACCGAAGAAGAAGAAGAAGAAGAAGAAAGAGAGCTGTGTGTGTGCGTGCGTGTGTGTGTGTTGCCATGTGGACTCTTGACACACACCACCTGGCTCTACTCTCTCTTTCTCTCTACTCGTGGCTAAAAGTTTCCTCTCACACTGTGTGTCTGTCACGTGAGTGTGTGTGCGTGTGTGTGTGTGTGAGCTTCATCCTGTACGTGGACTTTCTTCCTTTTTTTTGTCACACACACAGATTCTCTGCTCAAAAACACGCTCAAACACAAGACAACTTCAAAAGGATGGCATATAGGAAAAACAAAAAAAAAGCTCAAAGTCTATATAAATATATGTGTATATGAAAAGAGGAAATGCTCTAGGTTTATTTAAAAGATTTAATGTAGAAATCCAACCTTTGTTTGGGGGAGGTCGGGGTCTCGATCGATGTGAGTATACTTGTTTGTGGTGAAGACTTCAGCTCTCAAATCTTGCACATAAAGACTTTAGATATTGTACCTGCGAGTTCCAGATGATTATTTTTGTTTGAATACAGGACTCTTTGCTCTTTCATATTTATTGCGCGCGAGGGGAGCGCTCTCTGGCTCCGCCACCCCTCGCCGTCTCCGAGCCCTCCGCCGAGAGCTCGCGGTAGAAACTCCTCCAGTTTACACCATCAGAAACCTTTTTTTGTTTTTGTTTTTCATACGCCACAGACAAACACAGATACTACTGGCTTTGGGTTATTATTGCCATAAAGGTTATGATAATACTGATATACAATTGATAATATTATACAATGATGATTATGATTAAATTTATTTTATTTCAATGATTTTTTTTTCTTTTGTTTGTTTGTTTTCGGACAGGTAGGAAGTTGCGTGTTGGACTGCTTGTAAAAACAGTTCATGAAATAAAAATCCTTTTTCCGTGTCACCTCCTGTCTCTGCTGCTTTTATTTGACTTCAACATGTGAGTGGGTTTTTTGAAACACACTCTCTTCATGTCTTTTCAGACCTTAGTCTACAATAACAAACAACAGAAAAAAAAAAAGTTTTCTAGATTTGTATATTTTGTATCTGGATGTTAAAGTCTCAAAATCAAGTCCCTTCAACCTTTTCACTAATAAAAGGCAAAAGATGTTTTTAGATATCAAGTATTTTGAGTACAAAGTGTGTCCAGAAAGCATTGAGAAACCACATTAAGAAAAAAAAATTAAATTTCGAGGTTAAAGTAATTACTTCTAAAAATGAAATTGTAGTAAAATAATTTCTTACAATAATAGGTTGTAATAAAGTTATTACCAGAATAAAGTCATAATAAAATAATTTATTACGAGAATAAAGTCGTCGTAAAATCATTTTTTACAGAAATAAAGTCGTAGTAAAATCATTTCTTACGAGAATAAAGATGAAATAAAGTGATTTCTTACGAGAATAAAGTCGTAGTAAAATCATTCCTTATGAAGAATAAAATCGTAATAAAGTAATTTCTTACGAGAATAAAGTCGTAATAAAATCATTTCTGACAAAGAATAAAGTCGTTATGAAGTAATTTCTTGTGAGAATAAAGTCATAATAAAATGATTACTTACAAAGAATAAAGTCGTAGTAAAATCCTTATGATACTTATGATAATGTGGTGCTGATGTGCACCACATAAAGTTATAACTAGAATGAGGTCGTAAGAAAGTAATTTCTTATGAGAATAAAGTCGTAAAATCATTTCTTATGAGGAATGAAGTAGTAAGAAAGTAATTTCTTACGAGAATAAAGTCATAGTTCAATCATTTGGTATGGGAATAAAGTTGTAGCGAAATCAGTTCTTACGGGAATAAAGTCGTCATAAAGTAATAACGAGAATTAAGTCGTAGTAAAATCATTACTTATGAGAATTTAGTCATAGTAAAATTATTTCTTATGAGAATAAAGTCGTATTAAAACCATTATGATACTCATGATAATGGTGCTGTTGTGCCAAAATATTAAGCATCTCCTTGTTTGAGAAACTTATATTCAAGTACATTTTCACGAAATGCTCCATGACTTTTATTTCAACAACTGTCATCTTAAACAACGGGTTAGAATATAAAGACTTTATTCTGACTTAACTGTTGTAAGTGATTACTTTCATTACGACTTTATTCTCGTACGTAATGATTTGATTACACCTTTATTCTTGTAAGTTAGTGGCTTTAATCTCAAAGTCTTGTTTTTATTTTCTTAATACTCCGTTGTAAGAAACAGTCACACACAGGATTAATTTCGACATCCTAATTTCTAGAAGTCCGAAACCCTTGATAAAGAGTTTTCATTCCCAGATTCTTGATCATCATGTCCAAATAAGAAGTCATGGTTTCTAGATTTGATTACTAATTTTTATTTTAATCTCAATTTGAAGTTTCTTTAATCTTTATTGGCACTGATGCTCCAAACTTTGGTCAAAATATTCAGACTTTTTTTTTTTTTCTCTGGATTACTGAAGACCAAGTTTATTCAGATACAGCAGCAGACTGACGTCCACATACCAAAACCTGATTTCTCAATTCACAAGTGTAATCCAAAAGAACTGGTCCAGACTGGACTTTGTTTACAAAGACCCAAGACTGAGCCCCGTGTCCTGTAAGATCAGACCCACTCTGATCGATCTCCAACCACAGGAGGGGAACACTTTAGAGAGTTTAGAGAGGGACATTGGAGAAGAAGAACTTCCTTTAACAGGCAGAAACCTGGAGGAGGACCAGACTGATGTTAGACCATCATCTTCTGGGACTGATCTTAGGTTTCGAGACGAGAGAGAGATGGAGAAGTGAAAATACTCAAGGGTACTGAAATAAAGACAAAGGTTAAAGTTTCTTTTCCAAAAACGGCAGGAAGACGAAGTTTCAGGAAGTTGAGTCATTACCTGTAAATTAACTCTTGTTCTGTTAGAACACTTTCTCTAATTTAATCCAAACAGAACCAGTTTTCACTCACAGTTTTGTGGGTTCACATTTTTAATTTCCTTATATTCAAAATTAAGGTTTCTAAAATGTTTAGGTTTGTAAATCTGATGTTTCTGATTCATTTTACATCCACAGCTTGTTTTTTTAGATTTTCCATATTCTGGTATAAATTTGATTTCTAGATACAAAATGTGACTTTAAGACATTTTTTCTTTAAGTTTTAACATTCAAAGTCACTTTTTTACCGACAACTTTAGTTTTATTTCCAGATTTAAATTACTGCTTTCAGGTATAAAACGTTTTGGTTTCTGGATACAAACCGACATCTAGATGCAACACTCTGGATCTGTGGTCGCGCCTGGACCGTGAATAAAGAGGTAAGAGAGTGAAAAGTGAAAATGAAGCAGCAGCTCTGAGTTTATTCTTGGTGATGGAAAATGTGAAACTACCTCAGAAGGTGAATTACTGCAGACACAGCTCTTCATTTTGATGCACCACAACGTTTGAATTGATGTTTGACATTCAGTAAAAAGAATAAAACAGATTTAGCTTCAGGTTCAGTAAAATGAGTAAATGTTGATCTTCTCAAACTCTGACGTTATAAAAACACACAAGTGTAATCTGGATTTAGAAACTTTAGGATCAAAATGTCACTGAATTTTATTTTCTTTGTACACGCTGAAATACAAGAAAACATCAGTTTCTAACTTTTAACTTAAAGGGATTTTCCGGCGTAAAATTAATTTAAGGTCAAACACACCATAACACCGAGTTAAACACCCCCTTGAGAGATGAATGTTGTCGACCGTTTGCTTCTCCAGTTATACCAACTTTAGTAACGACCGCAGGATAGCAATACACAGCGGTCTGAGGAGCCATAAACAAACCTCAACCAAAACACCACTCTATAGCCACAAATAATGCTCAGAACAGCACCTAACTTCATCAACAGGACATATAGGGTCCCAGCCATAGTACTAGCCACCAAACATCTTTTCAACTTTGACTAATTTCTTTAGCAAAGAGACTAAACACAACTCACCCACTCTCTTCCAGCAGCCGCTTGTTTGTAGTGAGACCTCGGGCCAGTCCATTACGGACTACAGCAGGGTGACGCAGCTCAAGGAAGAACATTTATAATACAATCAAACTGAGACACTAAGGCAGAAGAACTACCGCATCTGCAGCAAAATGATTAATATGGTGATAATTACTTCAAGGAAATGATAAAGAAATTATCATAAATGTTCTTGCTTGAGCTGCGTCACCCCGCTGTAGTCCGTAATGGACTGGCCTTGAAGTAATTATCATCATATTAATAATTTGCACTGCAGATGTGGTAGTTCTTCTGCCTAAGTGTCTCGGTCTGATTGTATTTCCATGAAGAAATGATCATAAATGTTCTTCCCTGAGCTGCGTCACCCCACTGTATCATTATTAAAGTTGGTATAACTAGAGAAGCAAGCGGTCGGCAACATTCATCTCTCGACGAGGGTGTCTAACTCGGTGTTACGGTGTGTTTGACCCTAACTTAATTTTACACCAGAATATCCCTTTAAACCAGGCGTTAAAAAAAAAACAAAAAAAAAACTGTTTTGTGTTTTTCCTGGATGTGGTCTCTGATACCCTCCCCCCATTCTTCCTCAAAGACACCAGCTCCTCCTCCTCCTACTCCTCACCTCTCCCCCAGTTGGAGCTGTCCATCAAACTGGACAGCTGATGCGGTGCAGATCTGCACATGTGCACATGTGTCCTCTGACAGGACAGCCGGCGTCCATTAACCCCCCAGCCCCCGCCCCACATGACCCCCCTTCAGTGACACACATTAAAACCCACGTCGTCTCAGTTTAACTCACACAAACGGATTAATTTATTGAGTTCAGGTTCTTGAAATCCTCCAAACGTCTCCCACTGCTCTTCTTCTGGTCGTCTGGTCTCGGTCTTTCTTCTCCAAACAGGGTCTTGTCCCCCGTCCCCCCTGCCCCCCTGCAGATATTTATAGAGGCCTCGTCTGTCAGCCGGCCGTGTTTCTTATCAGCGAGTGTGTGTGTGAGTGTGTGTCACTCTATTTCAGCCTGCCCTGCAGTCAGTGTGTGGGTCTGTGGTTGTGTTTGTGTGACAGCAGGACTCTCAGGATCTTTTATTCTCTCTCTGGATCTGAAGCTGCTCCACCTTTTCGCAGGTAGGCTGAAGAGTGTGTTTCCTGTGTGTGTTTGTCCTCACGTGTTTAACGGTGGTTTTATTTAAAGCAGGTCAAACTGAGGGCCTTACAGGCCTGAGTGATACGGTGACATTGGATTCAGACTGAATTTGACACGTCTACTCCTCCTAAACTCGACTTTGAAGCTCTTCTTTGTTTTAAAGCGACGCTCGTTTCAGCTCTGTTTGTCATTCAGGAGATATTTCTACTAGAACTGACACCTTCAATCTAAACCTGCTGGATTCCCATTAAAAAGACCCCCAAAGGTGGATAGGAAATGATTTTAGAGGAAGTTTTAAAGTCAGTAAACGTCTTTGTTCTGATTGGTCGAAGGCCTCGTCCTGATTAGACTCCTCGACTTGTTTACAGGGACGGAAACAACCCGTCGCCTAAAGTGGTGTTCACTGGCAGAGGCTGAGGTTTCAGACTGAGTGATCCAAACTGAAGGTGGTTTATGGTCGGAGGTTTGGAAGTCTGAACACATGACACCCAGAAATATGACCGAAAATACAACACAAGTCTTTTAATAACAGAGTAAATGATACTGTAAATTATGATACTGTGTGATACCTAACAGCACACTATGATACTGTAAAATACGATACAATTCTGTATAATACCTAACAATACAGTGCAATACTGTATTAACCTGTACAATATGATATGATACAATACTGTACGATATCTAACAATTCAGTACGGTACTGTACGACACTGTAAGATACTGTATAATACAATAAGATACTGTATTTACCAAACAATACAGTATGATACTATATGATACGATACGATATGATACGATAAGATACTGTATAAAACTATACAATACAGTATTATACTGTACTATATGATACAACACTGAGCAATGCTGTATTATACCATACAGTATTGAATTGATTGAATATGATTTGATATGACACAGTGCAATAGGATACAATAAAACAGTATACTACTGTACAATGTGACAGAAAAGAGTGTGATATGATATAGTACGATTTAATGCAGTATAATACTATAAAATACTGTATGATATCGTACAATAAGATATGATGAAATGAGCTTACACAACATGTAAGGTAAAAAAACACAGAAACCAAAATGAGAATTTCAGCCTGAATAGTTTGTGAAGAGGACAAACAGCTGCCTCCAGTGAAATGTGCTCTAGTTTGTAGATCTGTACCTGTCAGGTGAACATGACATACGATAAAACATAAATACGCTCAGTAAATTTTGAGCTTTCATATTTTAGGTCAAGATGACTTTTAGGGCTCTATTTTCGTGCCTCGCCGGAGACGTGCCGCAAGCGCAGCGTCAGTCAGATCCGCCGCGCTGACAAGGCGTTCCCAAGCACATTTTGGTATTTTGGTGAGCTGCGCAGCCCGGCGTAAGTATCCCCCCTCCATAACTCAGCTCCTCCCAGCAGCATAAGTAATAGACGGGGAGGAGAGAGGGCATGTAGTGGGTTTAACACAGCCGAGACCTGTTTTCACCAATCACATAAGCTCCTCTCCTTGCCTTTAAATCCGCCACAGGCGAGGCGTATTACTATTTTCATGAAGTAGTCAAAGAGATCAAGAGATGTCTTAAGACAGTAATGCCACGAGATGGTGACAGAGGGCAGCTCCTCAACAAGTGTCCTCCACACCCTCTCATATGAGCACAGATGGATTTGGTGTGTGTAATGTTGGACCCAGTGGTAAGACAAACACCCTTTTCCACAAATAAAGACACTCACATAAAGTTGCACATATTCAAACCTCATGTGACAAAGGTGGATTGAGCGCACAGATCACAACATAAACTCCAAAAATGGCATTAAAATCGGAACCATCTGTGCGTGAATGACGCATCGCACTCCGTGGCCTGGCTCTTTCTTTCATAGATGTTGGCATATAAAATAAATTTGGCCCACAAAACTGAATTTTATAATATCCGTATGCCGGCTTAAAGTAGGTAACGCATCTGAGCACTGAAACAAATCATCTGTTCAGCCGCAGCAGCAGCAAGACGGACAGAGGACACGGAGACGTGTCCAGGTCGAGCTGTGCGAGAAATAAGAGGAAGAGGAAGAAAGAAAAGGAGGGAGACGAATTACATATCTTGTTAACTTCATCATGTGTGTCTATTTACTAGATATTTAATTTAATTTGATGCGGTTTCAGCTGTGTTGATTCGGTCAGGTTGTGTGTCCAAACGCGTGCCAAACGCGCTCATCAGATCAGATATAGATCAGAATATATCGATAAAGATCTAAATATATGTGCTGTCTCAGATTAATAGTTGATGATGATTACTTATTGCACTGAAATGTGCCTGACACTGTGGAAACCTGCCGGTGAGGCATCAGTGACGTATGTCGATACACCGCCGGTCTACCAAAATACTACTAGACCAGCTGCGTTCCGCCTTGCGCTGAAAGCTGACCAGGTTTGAATCGGCGAGCTTTCAGCGCACTTTACACACCGGTGGCGAGCACGAAAATGTCACTGTGCCTGCTGATTCTGTCAACACCTCCCCCTGCCACGCCACCACGCCCAGCTTGGCGGATCTCGGCTCGCCTCCGTGCGGCTCAGTCCACGAAAATACCAAACTGGCCTTACGCCGGGCTCCGCCAGACGAAAATACAACTGCGCGGGGCTCGCCGCCCTCCGCCGCCTCACCGGCGCACACGAAAATAGAGCCCCTAGTCCATACAGGATTTGGATTTAAAGTCCACTGAACTCCTCTAAGAGTGTTGGTATATATATATATATATATATATATATATATATATATATATATATATATATATTGTTGTTGTTTTTTCTACAGAGCTGCTCTATAAAATTCTCCGGACTGAGGCAGGAGAGACAGTTTCAGGCCGTCTACAGTATTTGTTTGTTTGTGTGGGACACAATAACACACATACCAGCAGGTTAGGTCAGTCGGCTGGCAGCTTCATGTTCAGTGAGATAAAGTTCCTATTTTTATCAGCAGCTGTAAAGGGGCAGACGTAAAAACTGTTGATGGTTTATAAATATTTCCCTCTTTGACAGAAAACTCTCTCTGACTGAAATTCTGTCAGACTTGAAGGATAATAATGGTCCCAGAGCTAAGCTAGCTGTAGCCTCCTTATTCAGAGATTTAAAACCATGTCAGGGCATGTTCCTGTTTGGGTTTTTGACCCATCAGACTCTTTAAAGGTTATTTAACAGTTTTATTCAGTTCTGTAGCTCAGGATCTACAGGAAGTGGCCCAGACTTCAAAATAAAAGCAGATTTCACAATGTAGGACAAAGACTGTGTCCAGAACATAGACTGTATATAGAAGGGACAGAGTCTGCCTCCTCGCTGGGTGAAGCCACTCCGAGAACAGCACCCTCTGTTGATAGGCTGCAGTGTAGGTCATAAAACCCGCCTCCGCCAGCAAAGCTTATGGAGCTGTGGACAAACTTTAGAAATTTATTACGCAGAACATAAATTTTTCTCCCCCCTGCTTGTGATGTTGACATGTAGTTATTGTAAGACTGGTTTGTGCTCAAGTCCTTTTTTTTCTGTGAAGCTCCGTTTTTCAAAGTTATTAGGGGGTTCATGTTTTCTATGATTGACACCTGATAGAGCCTATGGACGTTCAGGGATTGCATAGTTCACCAGGGGGATACGCTGTTTGAACAGAGTGTCATCACAGCGACTCTCTGCGACTGTGTGGCCGAATGCGCTCATTGCTACTGTGCAGCGCTGGTTTCAGGAAATGAAGAAAAATCCCAGAATTCCCGAGAGCTTTTTGGCTTCAAATCCATATACAGGCGGTAGGTGGAACCAAGTTGTCCATAGTATATACAGTCTATGGTCCAGAATCAATCACTATTTGCCGAATAGTGCTCTTAAAAATGAATCTGGAGTTTCAAATGTAATCACTAACTGAACTATATATCCCAGGGTCCATGTCCATTCAATTATTCCATTCAATCCAGTAAACGAAAAATGAAAAAATGAGTCAATATTTTGTTTATTTGTTTTTCCATATAACCAAAAAATAAAAGATGAGTGTTTGTTTTCGCATTTTCAGTTCAAACAGAATATATGATAGAGAAGGAAACCAAAACAAAATAATAAATGTACTTTTTCGTTTTTCGGGTTATTGATGTCCCCATTTCCCACGGTGCCTTTCTACTGTTCGCACATGTGCATTGCACCACAAAGTAGCCAACAACGTGGACCAAAAACTCCAGGCAAAAGCACTAGAGAAAGGCTAACCTGCTGTCATGGAGATGGAAGCATCTTCCTACGTATTATTCAAAGCTGCCAGGAGGGTCACGCTGAAGAAGGAAGATATGACTGTAGAAAAAATTACAACCAGAGCTCTATTACAACGTAAGATTTTGGCGCTCGAACCGCTCTGTCACATCTTTCGCCATGGTCACTGTCGCTGAGGATCATGGGAATAATTGAATGGACGGATAATACATGGACTGTCCCATCATGCATTGCGCTGTCAGTGAAACTGACCATTTTTTTTCCAACTTTGAAATATTTAACAAATTATTTCATAAATCTGATTAAGACCAAACTAACCAGAAAATAATTAAACAGAAACGTTTTTATTGAGTTGAAATTAATCATAATAGAAGATATTAACCCTTTAATGCCTTTTATATCATATTTTATTCATACTTTTATATACTTCTATCAAATCAATATGATCAACAAATTACTAAAAAAACACCTGAATACAGTCCGATAAATGTAAATTAAAGTAAAGTAAAGTAAATTAAACATTTCAGCTCCAAAAAAATGGGAATTTTCTGGCCATAATTTGTGGCTTCAGGCATTAAAGAGCTACAGTTAGATCAATTAGATTAAATCATAATAGAAATCTGATTTTCAATTTAAAATAATTTTAACAAGAATGAGAAGAAACAGATGAGTTTAGGAGGAAATTTATTACAGAAATTAAGACATTTTAAAGTTTTAAAAGGCTTTTCTACGGCGAAATGTGAGTTTTTCCTCAGGGTGGTCAAACAGCAGTGTTTATAAGAGACATATCTCAGTATTAGACTAAAAACATGATTGATTAGTATCTTAATCTGTGAATATATCCTCAGTATAATATGAATTATTGCTTAATGAATGAACTTCTTTAAACTCACTTTGTATGGAGGAGAGAATAAAGGGTGAGTCCGTAATTTTGGATCCAACCATAAAACAACTTAAACATGTGACAGAAAAATGTCAAAATGATCCTGATGATCATGAGATGAAAATCTGACATCCTAATAACCTTATGAACCATTTCTAACAAGATCAAACTCAGATAAGGATTCAGGTCTTAAAGGGATATTCCAGCGTAAAATTAATTTAGGGTCAAACACACTGTCACACCGAGTTAAACACCCCCCTCCAGAGATTAATGTTGCCGACCACTTGCTTCTCTAGTTATATCAACTTAAGTAACAACCGCAGGATAGCAATACACAGCGGTCTGAGGAGCCATAAACAAACCTCAACCAAAACGCCACTCTATAGCCACGAATAATGCTCAGAACAGCACCTAACTTCATCAACAGTACATATAGGGTCACAGCCACAGTACTAGCCATCAAACATCTTTTTAACTTTGACTAATTTCTTTAGCAAAGAGACTAAACACAACTCACCTACTCTCTTCCAGCAGCCTTATGTTTGTAGCAAGACCTCAGGCCAGTCCATTGCGGACTACAACGGGGTGACGCAGCTCAAGGAAGAACATTTATGATCATTTCTTTATGGAAATACAATCAGACGGAGATGCTAAGGCAGAAGAAAATGCAGTGAAAATGATTAGTATGGTGATTATTACTTCAAGGAAATGATAAAGAAATGATAGATTACTAACTATTACTTACTGGTAATGATAGAGTGGCGTTTTGGTTGAGGTTTGCGTGTGGAGACGGAGACTGCTGTGTATTGCTATCTGCAGTCGTTACTAAAGTTGGTATAACTAGAGAATCAAGCGGTCGGCAACATTCATCTCTGGAGGGGGTGTCTAAGGCTATGTTCACACTGCAGGTCAATTCTGATTTTTTTAACCATATGTGACACATATCGGATTTTTTCATGTAAGTGTGAACAGTGCAATTCTGATCTTTTCAAATCTGACCCAGGCCTCTTTTGTATGTGGATATAAATTGGATATGTATCCAATGTGACTGCAGTGTGGACGTTCAGGTCACGTTCATCTGACCTATACATCATCAATATGCAAAAAACGTCACCATTGTTCGACAACACAAACAGGTGCGGAAAGCAATTTTTGCTTTGTGCGCATGAGGGTCACTTTACAGACGCATTCCGTTCACATTAGATGCCGCAATCGTTGTTGTAATGTGAACGACTGCACAAAAAGATCGGATTTAACAAAAAATCTGAATTGTGCATTATAACCTGCAGTGTGAATGTAGCCGAACTCGGTGTTACGGTGTGTTTGACCCTAAATTAATTTTATGCCGGAATATCCCTTTAAAGTGCAGATGTTTCTCTTTAATCTGAATTTATCTGGTTAAAACTCACAGGAGTGTAGCTGATGTGATGTGAGATTATATCTGAAAAACTGATTATATAGACAGAACCCTCCAGCAGATGGACCAGGAGGAGATGGTTTGGTAAAGACTGCAGACGCCTCAGTGGACTCAGAGTGTGTGTGAAACGGTGTGACGTCTGAGTGACGACTTCTTCTTCTTCTTCTCTTTTTAAGTCCAGATCCAGATCTGACACTTTCATTATCTTCACACCTGAAGTTTCACGTTCGTCTCTCTCTCTCTTTCTCTCTCTCTCTGTCCATGTTAGGTTGTCTCTGTATCTCTGTGCACACACACACACTGCCACTCTGACATCACATCTGGCCGATACCTGTGTGACCCCCCACCACCACCACCCCTGAACCCCCAGATCCATACCCCCTTTGTGCAACCATGGCGCTGTCCTCACGTTTAAAACTCTGGGAGCAGAAGGGAGGTGCAGAGAAGCCGCATGCTGCATGAACTGATCATCTGCACGTGTGTGTGTGTGTGTGTGTGTATTGATTACACGGTGAGTGGACTCTCTGTTCTGTCACTGTGAGTCCTCCTCCTGCTGTCATGTGTGTGTTCGTCATGCTGCATGTTTAGAGTACGACTCTGAGCTTTTTAAAGCCGCCTGCTGTCATTGATATCCGAGGTTAGAAACTGACCGGAGCTCGTCACAAACACTGAAAAAAACAAAACAACAGAGTGAAAGCCCCGATTTCAGAGTCCTCTAAGTCTGTGTTATTATCCCTGTCAGCACGGATCTACCACCTGATCCACGACCAGGACCCCAAAACAGCTGAGAGGCTTTTTAAAACAATGATAAAAACTGATTATAAATGATTTAAAGGCTGGATTTAACTGAAAATAGTCTAAAAACAACAAATCGAATGTTGTCCTAATGTTTCCTGATAGTGGACCTCTACAGGACTACATCAGACCAGTGTCTCAGCAGGACGCTTCTCCTACAGAGTCATAAGCTGTAGATAGCAGTGTCGTTCATGAACGTTTCGTTCAAAAGAACAGAACTACTGAGTGAACGATGTGAACAGAATCACTCCGAGACCTGATTCCTTCCTTCTCAGTTCAGTTGAACTCAGCCGCCAGCGTGGCGTGCTGGTCGAGAGTGGAACTGCTGTCTCTGACTGAACGACACACAGCCAGCCAGCAAGCGAGTGGGCGGAGTCTCGTGATTTGCTCACAGCCAATGAACAACATGTATCAGTCGGACTGTGAACGAAACGAACAACTTCTGAACGACTTGAGGCAGGGAGGGTTGTAGTGTCGTTCCTGAACTGCCGAGCAGTGGTTCATTCACTGAGGCTAAGATAAAACAGGTCATTATAGTGCCTTTACATAAACACACGTGTATAAACTTTCCTGCAAGAAGGATTTAATTTCAGCCGATTCAAAGAAATACGATATTTGATATCTTTAAAAGTATCCGAATTCCTGCTACAGCTGCGATGTTTATTTTTAATCTCTCCACTTTTCAGCCATATAAAAGAGCGATGAATCGCGCTTGTTTAGCGGCGTGCTACTCACTACTTGTTGTTTCCGCTGACAGCGACACACAGAGAGGTCAGTTTTTCAGGGCAGAGGAGTGATTCTTCCTTCAGGACTTGGCGAAGAACGACATGCATCACCCAGAGAATGATGCTGTGACTTCAGCAGCAGGGGAGGGGAGGGGCTCGTTCAATGAATGAACTTGCCACTGTGTCAGTCACTCGTGTACTGCAGCGGCAGGACGGGGCTCCAAAGCACTGACTGAGACACTGAACGAATCTTTTGAACAAATCATTTTAATGAACTGACTCTAAAGATTCAATACAATCAAAAGAACTGTTCTTCCCATCACCAGTAGATATTGTTCAGGAGAACGGGACTCTATGTTGGCGTCCACGATTTTGACTAATTCCCAAAGAAGTCTGGATCCTGTTTCTGTATGGTTTTCTCTACGCATGGTTCATTTGTGGATGCAGATGATGTTTTTTTACGCCCATGCAGTGATTTCCACGACAGAGCCACCGTAACCGTTTGGTTCTGTACCATCTATTTTAAAATGATGTTGCTTGTCTAAAAATGTGAAATTAGCTTGTATTTTTCAGTTTCAACATCAAGCAAAGAGTTTAAAAGTTTCAGGAATCGTCAAATTCTGTTCACACCAGCATTCAGGATCATCAAATTCAGAGTGTCTTTCTAAACTTGTGGGACTCGGTTTCACTCTGGATTAAAGCGTTAAACCCTCTGAAACAGTCAAAGTTCAGGACGTGTCGTACTTCACAGAAAACCTCCTCCACGCTTGTCAAAACATTTTCACTCCCACTCATCCACAGAGCAGCACCATAAAAACCTGTTCAGGTCCACTCTCCTTTGGATCCTGGTCTTAATCTGATATCTGGACCAGACTTTTCTGATCTGTGTGAGGACAATGAGGTTTTTGGTGATGATTTTAAACGATGTTCAGAACCATGAGTCTTAAAATTCATCACCTATTCGTTTCGTTCTCACAAAGTCAGAGGACAGGAAACAGCTGTCCCTCTGACCTTTATCATATCCTCATCACGTCAGCAGGTGATTCTCATCAGCTGAATGTCAGAGCGTGGACATCTCTCGCTCATGAAGCTTGTCATAGCTGCTGACTCAGTTTTACTCATTAAGTCCAGGACATGCTGGAAAACTTGAGAAAGGACAGCTGAGAGGGAAACCTGCAGAGGATTACAGTGAGAGGAGTTCAGGAGCTGACAGGTTTAAATCTGGGTTTCTTCTAAAGCAAAGTTTTAACCCTAGACTTCAGTCCACCTCTGCTCAGGTCCGAACAGGAATCTCACGGTAAACTGTAAGAGCCCCTTTTTGATCGGATATTTTACAAAGTTTGGTGTCTATCCTACATGTCTGCGAAGTTTCAAATCACGAGGTAAACAGATGTTGTCAGGATCTTAGAAAATAGACATAAACTGCTCAAAATGAGAGAAACTGCGAGACCCACTAAAATTGGAACTTATTGGTTCATCCGACCCCGAATTTCCACTGCACCTGGAACAACTCGGATCCGAAACGGCTGCAATGTTCACCATTCTCCAATTCCTCCAGGATCCATTTCAAGGCGAATTTCGTGGTGGATTACAGACAGCGGTAATCGCGAGAACTCACAAGAACCCACGGATTCACGTGCAATTGCGCGATAACAAGTTGTCTGTATAAAGACAGACACATAGATGTATAAGCAGTAGATTGTGTCCTTCCAGAGGAGGAAATCTACTTCTAGACTTGTAGAATCAGCATCTCCTCATCCATGGTGTCATCAGGATGAAATGACATCTAAAATCCTTTCACTTGTTCATCTCCGCCCGTTTTCATGGTGTGAAATGCGGCTGTTTAGCTCTTGTCCGGTCTACCTCCTTTTTAATTGCCCGTTATTCTGCCAGAGTCTCTTTCTGGTTGGTTTCTACTGTCTGATATTGTAGCATGTTGACTTTGTTTTTGCTGATGAACGACACGGGGGGAGCAGCGTCTGCCTCACAACCAATCAGGTCTGGAAGGCGGAGAACGGCTTTGTTTACAGTCAGAAAGAGCGGGCCACTCAAAAGATTTAAAATGTTGACTACACAGACAGAACACAGTGATATCATGATATTACCAAATGTCATCAATAACTAATAGCTATTGACTTATATTAAAAGCTTTTTTTGTAAATACGCCACAAAAAGATGCTTCTTTAACGGATTCCTGCCTAGCCCACCTTCAATATTTGGATTTTAAAAAAAAAAACAAACATATTTACAATGATTTTTATATTCTATCTAAACTACAATAAATAAGTTCACAATCTTAGCTCTACATGGGATCAAATAAAATTTTAAAACCATGTTAAATTTTTTAAAGTAAATTTCAAGATTCTGCTGTACGTATTCGCTTCGGTTATTTCTGGACTACCTCAGTTTGGTTGAGTCTGACATTAACATGAGCATGAACCGCTTTAACCTGCACATTTAAACTAACTGTTTCCTGGTTCTCTGGATCATGAACAACTTCATATCTGGACGTTTATTTCAACCTGCTGCTCTCCGTCCATCATGAACAGATAAAGGAGGAGAAAACCCCGGTGGTCACGGCCGTCCCTCCACCTCCTCTGTCAGCTGTGCCGGGCGGTTTCCTCAAACAGCTGGTCAGAGAGACGGAGAAGGAGACCAAACAGAAGGAGCCAGAGGTCAAAGACGAGAGAACAGTAAGAGGGTCATTTTTTAGGAAAGATCTGGAGGACATTTTTACCAGAAAATTAAAATTTCAAACTTCTTCCTTTTTTCTGTTTCCACAGCAGGTAAGCAAGTTAAGCGATAACCTGGTCCAACAGTTCCTCACCCCGGACCAGACTCCACCCATTCTGGAGGCTGAGATGGCACTCCGAGCCGAGCAGCTGATCAACACCACCAAACAAGGACGCAACTCGGCCCAGTCAGACAGATCCCCGACTCAGATGCTCATCGTCACCCCAGAACAGGAACCCAGACAGGTGACACCAGAGCCGCCAAAGAGGCAACAGTCTGACGTCACTCCAGAGAAAGGCCTGAGGAAGGGGACGGAGGACAAGCAGGAGAAGGAAAGGATAGAGAAGGTGAAGCAGGCAGAGAAGAAAGGGAAAGGGATGGAGGAGAGGCAGGAGCCAGAAGGACAGCAGGCAGACACCACGGTTACAGAGCCACTCAGAGAGGTATGTATGAAAAGGTGTCTGCTGGTGTTCCTCAGGGTTCTTCCTCAGTTCCTTTTCTGTTTACCATTGATCTACCTCCTCCTAGTTTCAGCGTCTGTAAATTAACATTTTCAGACTTTTGTGGATGACTCCCAGCTCTGCATGACCCCTCCTGTCCTCTGTCCTCTCTGCATGAAATCCAATCCTGTTTTCTTCTGGAACTTTCTCAAACTGAACAGAAATAAAATCAAAGTTTCCCTCATCAGAACCAAATCCACTCTTAGGAACACAAAAACTTTTTTTTCTCATTATTAAAACTCTGAAGTTTCTTAGTGAAGATTTTCAGATCCTGTCTGGAATCAGATCTTTTAAACTTGAGATTCATCGCTCTACCTCTTTCTGTTGATTTACACACTTTATTTTGACTTATTGATTTTATTTATTGATTTTTCTTTTTAAAATTCTGACTTGTTGGGTGACCATAGGTGTTAAACAATGACACACTTCCTGTCCTTTCTTTTCAATATTTCCTTTCCTGTTTCTTTCCATTGCTATCTTCCTCTCTTCTCCTTTCTTTTTCTATCTTCCTCTCCTTTTCTCTCATTTCCTTTCCTATCTTTCTTTCCTCACATTTCCTTTCCTACCTTCCTTTACTTACATTTCCTTTCCTATCTTTCTTTCCTCACATTTCCTTTCCTACCTTCCTTTACTTACATTTCCTTTCCTATCTTTCTTTCCTCACATTTCCTTTCCTATCTTCCTGTCCTTACATTTCCTTTCCTATCCTATTCTTTCTATAATCACATTCCTTTTCTTTCCTATCCTCTTTTTTTCTAATTTCCTTCCCTTTCCTTTCCTTCCTGTGCTCTCATTTCCTTTCCTTTCCTTTTCTCACATTTCCTTCCTACCCACTTTTCTCATATCTATTCCTATTTCCCTTTCTTCTCATTTCCCTTTCTTTCCTTTTCCTCTCTTTTCCTATTTCCTACTCCTCTTATTTCCTCTTCTCATTTAATTTCCCTACTCTTTCTTTTGCTGTCATATCCTTTTCTATCTTCCTTTTCTTTTCTCTCCTTTCCTAACTTCTTTTTCTTACATTTCCTTCCTTTCCTTTCTTTTCCCGTCTTCTTTTTTCCTTTTATTTCTTTTCTATCTTGCTTTTCTTTTTCTCTTGTTCCTTTCCTTTCCTATTTTCTTTTCTTACATTTCCTTTCCTTTCCTTGTTCCTTTCATATCATTCCATTCCTTTCCTTTCCTTTCTGTTTTTTTCTCTTATTTCTTTTTCTATCTCGCTTATCCTTTTCTCTTCTTTCCTTCTCTTTCCTACCTTCCTTTTCTTACATTTTCTTTCCTTTCCTTCTTATGTTCTCATTTGGTTTCGTTTCCTTTTCTCACATTTCCTTCCTACCCTTTATCTCATATCTATTTCTATTTTCCTTCCTTATTTTCCTATCTTCCTTTTTCTCCTTTCCTTACTTCTTTTTCTTAATTTTCCTTTCTTTTCCCCGTTCTTTTCCAATCTCTTCTTTCCTTTCCTTTCTGTTCCTTTCCTTTCCTCTTTCCCCCTCTTATTTCCTTTTCTATCTCACTTTTCTTTTTCTCTCTTTCCTTTCCCTTTTTCTTTTTTCTTACATTTCCTATCCTTTCCTTCCTATGCTCTCATCTCTTTTTCTTTCCTTTCTCTCAAATATCTTCCTTTTTTCTTTCTTCTCATTTCCCTTCCTTTCTATTTCCTTTCTTTTTCTATTTTCCTACTTCTTCTTATTTATTTTCCTTTCCTTTTCCTTTGCTCTCATTTCCTTTCCTATCTATTCACACCCTTTCTATCTTTTATATATCTTCATTTTTATTCTATACCTTGTCTTTAATCAAAATTTTATATTCAGAATTTGTTTTTTCATGAGTCGTTAAACCCTTGACTTCATCAGACGCTGAGATTTTATTCATTAAATGTGTTTTTCTTTGATTTTAAGAATATGCTCTGGCCTTTTTCACGACTTTTAATAAACTTAAACTTTTCTTCACCGTTTTGACTCTCACAGCTCCTCAGAGTTTCATTTCTGTCTCTCCTTCAGACTAGAGATGTGTGGTACGAGGCTGGAACGGTTTGGTACGTCCACAAGGACGGTTTCACTCCAGGTGAGTCATAAACACACAGAGGAGCTGTACTTTCTGACTTCATATTAACACGTTTGCTTCTTATATGAGTGCTTTATTTAATATTTTTGGTCTATTTATGGATATTTTTGACATTAATGATATTTCTATAGTTAAACTTTGAAGGTTTCTGAGTCTAATTTAATGATTATGTCTAAAAATAAGAAGAAAACTATGTTAAATTTAAAGAAGACCAACAAACACAAACTTTAAAAAGTCAGGTGTTCCTCTTTATGAATTTAAAAACATCAACCTCCAGGTGTGTCAGTGAAAATAGACAGATAAATCTATCTTTTGTGGTTAGTAGAAACATTAAAATAATCTCATGGTATGGAGGCCGTGGCGTGTGTGTGTGTGTGTGTGTGTGTGTGTGTGTGTGTGTGTGTGTGTGTGTGTGGATTAGTAAAGTCCTCTGATAATCTCTGGTAATCCTTCAGCCTGTTATTTCACCTCCACATCATGTTACACGTCAGTTACATCATGTTTCTCCTGAATCCAGCTGTTCTTTTGATCCAGCTGGTTATCACATCCATCATCCCATCCATCCGTCTAATTACTGCTCTTTCAAATCCCATCAGAGCTGACCCCTGACTCTGCTCCTTTACATGCAGGGATCAGAGAAAATGCAGGAAAGATCAGATTAAAATTCAACTATACACAGCAGAGAGGGAAAGTATACTGACTGAACTAACGAAACAAAACCACTGACTGCAGGTCCGAGGGAAACGGTGCCTGTTCTGGTTCTAGCAAAGACCCAATTTATTATTTTAGATCAACAAAAGATCTATGTTATAATCTTTCACATGCATAAATGGATGTTTGATTATTTCAGCCACACAGCTAAAACCAGACGAGGGCACACCTGAGCTCCCAGAAGGCCGAGTGAGAGTCCGACTGCAGACCGATGGATCTCTGCACGATGTCACCGAGTTTGAGATTGAAAAGGTACAAATTTGTCTTATCTGGTGATTTAAAGGTGGGGTTATCAGGATCTGAGGAAGTTCCAGTTTTTGGGAGAAATCTTGAATGTAAACTCTACCCCTCCCAACCAGTTTTCCCCTCAGCTCCTCCTCTCCCCTCCCTCTCTGCTCCAGCAAGCCCCGCCCACAAACAGACACTCCTACTCGATTGTATCTTTCCAATTAAATTCAGATATAATGCAGATAAATACTTTAGATTATTAAAAAATAGGGCCCAGTCAACATGAACGTAAAAAGCATTGGTGCTACTGTAGATGCCAACAGAGTACCAGCAAACACAATGTTTTCAGGACTTCTACAACTAGGATAAAGTGACATAGTCCAGGACCAGAGGTCAACAGTTAAACACGCAGCAGGTCCCGTTTGACAAGAAACACTTCTGTTACAGACACTTGGCTTACTTTGTTAAAGTGGTTTACCTGTCCAGCAGAAAGGTTACAGGGTCCATAAGCGTCCCGAAGCATCCCCCATCATTTATGTTGACCTGGCTTCTTAGCTCTTGTCCAGTCTACCTTCTTTTTAAGCGCCCATTATTCCGCCAGAGTCTCCGGTATTTATTTTGTTTTCTTGCTTGTGTTTTCTGTACTCACTGGTTGATTTCAACTAGGTTCATGCACGTTATTCAAGGACGTGGAGTGTGCCTCACAACATGAGAGAGCAGCGTCTACCCCACAACCAATCAGGTCGGGGAGGTGGAGAATGGCTTTGTTTACAGTCAGAAAGAGCGGACCGCTCAAAAAATGTAAAACTGTTGACTACACAGACATAATCCAGCGAGCATTTTGAGGTTGATTATACGTCTGATATACGTCTAAATTTAGACTAAACGTCTAGTCTAAATTTGGTATAACAGAGGTATAGAAATGAAAGTTTTTTCAACGTCGAAATTTAAACGTCGTTTAAACGTTTCGATTTATACGTTGTTTAAACATGTTTGTTCTACATTGTTCCGTCTATAACGTTGAAATGATGTCCAATAGACGTTTTCATTTAAACGTCTTTATGTTAGACGTTCATGCTTTTACCAAATATAAACCCAGGTATAGACATAGATGTTGATTAAACGTTTATTAGACATCTGGTCTAAATCCGGCAACCCAGCGGGGACTGGGCGAGCCTCCCCGCGCGCAGACGGTCCCGGCAGCGGCAGCCGCTGGAGCCCGCGGGTCCCCAGTCAGCCTACGGCGCTGACCAAATGAATCTATTGAACTTTCATTTCTATACCACTGTTAAACCATTTTTAGACTACAGGTCCAATGGACGTCTAAAGGCACAATCGTTTCTTGTAAATTTTTAATAAATTTACTAAATATCAACAATGCATATTACCATAAGCATCTGATATATGTAAATTGATGAAAATATTCACAGGAAACACCATCTGTAGAGCCAGATTCTCTACACCAAAAGTTACCTGCTGCTTACCTTGATACACGTTCTATTTCGGCAATGTTGCGTCACTTTCTGGACTTTTTTGAATATTTAGCTTCTACAGTCATGCTCATTCATAATTTAACACTGATCTTCATTTGGCAACCATCAGTCCACTGTAATTGAAATCACAGTACATTTTTTACTCAGAATATAACCATTACAGTCATGGAGTGGGAAAAACAATTTTTTAATCTCACATCCAGTAAAACGAACATTTAAAAAAGAAAAAAATCTATATATCTATATACAAACATAGGTACAAAGTACAAAGAACAAGAACAACAACATTAAGAAAAATTTAACTAATACTAATACCACAGTACATAAACAGAGAACACAAAAGTACTGAAATGAACTATAAATATTAACAATTTTAAGATATATTTTTTTAAAAATTAGCAGGGTGGTGTTTTGGTGGTGCCCCTCCCACCACATCGAGCTGGTGCCTGTTTCAAATGGTCCCCAATCGATGCTGCGACCAGTTCCTCTGTTGCCGTCGGGAAGTTAGTGCGAACAGACTCTGCAAAAAGAAAAAAAACAAAAGAAACTTGAATCATAGTAAGTGTAGAAATTATCTAGTATTGTCCGGAAGGATTCTTCACTTTTTTACAGCTTCAGGCTTTAAATGAGTCAGTAACATGACCAAGAATAAGTAATAACTTGCAGAGATATAATTCATTTACCAAGAACAACTGTGAAGAAAGCAGTTTTCTTTAAGCTTTTTTTCCCCTGGCGTCCTCTACCCAGGAGGTTGTAGTTCCTCTGCACGTCATTGTGTAAAATTCTGAAATGGATATCAAAGACAAATAGATCTCTTAAGGTGCGTTCACACCGGACAGGCAACACAACTTGTCCTGTCTTGTGTCCTTAGACGTGTCACTTTGCCACCGTCAATTTGCGTTGCGCATTACATCACGCCCGCTCTAGGTTTCCCCTCGATCTCGTCGGATACCGTGTCCAGCGCTGCTCTTTATTTGTGGAAAAAGTCACTAAAACGTCAGAGAAACCCTCGCCGCCGTTGTGCAAGTGCCTGTGTGAACGCACCTTAATACTGCTTACTCTTGCAATTCACTAGAAAGACTTGATAAACACCAACAATACATGATTATATTAATAACATTGTCTTGCTGTCATATTCATACCTGTCCAGGATCCTGCGTGTGCAGGTCTTAATGTCCTTCCCCCCAAGGTGTGACAGTTGTTTTATCTGTATGATATAATCAAATTATCAAGAGTGTCTAATGTATAGATTTCTATAATTTTTAGCATCTCTATTTGACTTACCAGTGAACGTTTTATGTTGGGGTGCCTACTGATTTCCAACGACATGCGCTGAGCCTCCTCCAAAGTCCTTAACGGCAACTGACGTATCTGCTCACCCTCATCTTCAATGTCCCCCTGCTGGTTCAGCGATTTCAATTAATCGCGGATTTCCAAAAGTGTTTCCATGACCACCTGCTGGAACTCTTAGTGAAAAGATATGATTTAGTAACATTCAATTCAATAATTACAATACATAACAACATTTTGTACTTTAGTTATGCCACTCTTACTTTTCTCAGGCATTGGGTAGGAATAAACCCTCTCCCTCGCTGCAAAATCCGAGAACAAGACAATAAATGGATGATGAGTGTGGTGCTTAACTTTGGCTGTTAAACACAAAATCTACCTGAAGTGGTTTCACGGTGGGTCACGTGAGCGTGCTCCACCTATAAGGTGGCTGGATTATTGTCACGGCGGCAGTCGGTGTTACCAAGACGGATACAACACATGAAATCTAATAATTAAATGGAATTTCAGCGACCAACTTTGTTGTCGAGTGCTCAGCAGGACCCAGGCTTTAAGATCTGAAGTTGTTTTTTTTGCCATATATGCGTTTTGACCGGATAAGGCGAAAACACTGGTCACGCTCCCATAGATTGAGATCAGTTCTGCAACGTTCAGTTATCATTTTAAATAATGAACTCTTGAATTGTGGATTAAAATCAATTGTCCAGATTCGGTCTATATGTAGACGTTGAAATGACGTACACATTTTTACGTCTAAATCACGTCTCAAAATAGACAGAATCCCGACGTTGAAATGAAGTATAAATTTATACGTGTAAATGACGTCTACATCCAACTATGCTGCATATCTCTCCACGGTATCATAAGTAATCTAATCCAGTATTTAGAGATCAGTTATGCACCCTACAGATGTCTATTTCATAAAAAATTATTGATAAATGAAGTTAAGGGCAAAGTATAAATCACGTCTTAAAATAGACCGATTCCCGACGTTAAAATGAAGTATAAATTTATACGTGTAAATGACGTCTACATCCAACTATGCTGCATATCTCTCCACGATATCATAATTAATGTAATCCAGTATTTAGAGGTCAGTTATGCACATTACAGTTGTTTATTGCATAAAAAGTTATCGAAAAATGAAGTTAAGGGCGAAGTATAAATCACGTCTTAAAATAGACTGAATCCTGACGTTGAAATGAAGTATAAACTTAGACTAGACGTCTAATATACGTCTTTTGCTCAGTGGGAAGAGAACACAGCGATATTGTTATATTACCAAATGTCATCAATAACTAATAACTATTGACTGATATTAAAAGCTTTTTTGTAAAAACACCACAAAAAAGATGCTTCTTTAACAGAATCTTGCCTACCGCACCTTTAACGTCAGGAATCAAGTTACTCAGATCCTCAGATGTAGGTTGTTATTTCAGCTCAGTCCCCTCTGTGCTCCATGATAACTCCCTCCTGAACCTGTATCACCCTCCCCACGACACACCCCCTCTGGCAAAGCAAGAAGCCGGCCGGCAGAAGATCCTACGGTAGCTTCAAATAGGATTCACCATGTTGGATTGTTAGTGACTAGAGGCAGTAAACGCCAGCTCTGCTAGCGAGCACCGTCTGCAGCTGCCCGGGCAGCTACCATGTTGACATTGCAGAGACTAATAAGAGTTATTTACAGTGAGTCCAAGAAGTATTTGATCCCTTGCTGATTTTCTTCGTTTGCCCACTAATAAAGATGTGATCATTCTGCACGTTTAATGGTAGATGTATTCTAACATGGAGAGACAGAATATCAAGACAAAAATCCAGAATATAACTTTAAAGAATATATTTTAATTAATTTGTATTTCATTGAGGGAAATAAGTATTTGATCCCTCTAGCCAAACACACTCAATACTTAGTGGCAAAGCCTTTATTAGCAAGCACAGCAGTGAGACGTTTGTTGTAGTTAACCACAAGTTTAGCACACACACCAGGGGGAATTTTGGCCCACTCTTCTTTGCAGATCCTCTCTAAATCAGGAAGGTTGGTGGGCTGTCGCTTGGCAACTCTGACCTTCAGCTCCCTCCATAGATTCTCAATCGGATTGAGGTCCGGAGACTGGCTGGGCCACTCCATGACCTTCATGTGATTTTTCTTGAGCCAATCCTTTGTTGCCTTTGCTGTGTGTTTCGGGTCGTTATCATGTTGGAAGACCCAACCACGGCCCATTTTCAGCTTCCTGGCAGAGGGGAGGAGGTTGTCCCTCAGGATTGTACGGTACATGGCTCCATCCATCTTCCCAGTGATGCGGTGAAGTAGCCCTGTACCCTTGGCAGAGAAACACCCCCAAAACATTATGCTTCCACCTCCATGCTTGACGGTGGGCACAGTGTTCTTGGGGTCATAGGCAGCAGTTTTCTTCCTCCACACATGGCGGGTAGAGTTGAGGCCAAAAAGTTCAATTTTGGTCTCGTCTGACCACAGAACCTTCTCCCAATAACTTGGTTCATCTTTCAGGTGATCATTGGCATACTTAAGGCGCGCCTCCACATGTGCCTTCTTGAGCAGGGGTACCTTTCGGGCACTGCAGGATGTTAATCCATTGTTGCGCAAAGTGTTGCCAATTGTTTCCTTGCAAACTGTGGTCCCAGCTGCCTTCAGGTCATTTACCAACTCCTGACGAGTGGTTGCAGGATGATTTCTGACCGTTCTCAGGAGCATTGTCACCCCACGAGGTGAAATCTTCTTTGGAGCACCGGGCCGAGGTCTGTTGATGGTCATGTTATACTCTTTAAATTTTCTAACAATTGCACCAATAGTTGTTACTTTCACATCCAACACCTTGCTAATCTTTTTGTAGCCCATTCCAGCTTTGTGGAGGTCAACAATCCTGACTCTGAGGTCCTGAGACAGCTCTTTGGTCTTACCCATGTTGGAGACTTGAAATCTGTCAGATTGTCTGATTCTGTGAACAGGTGTTTTTCACACAAGTGATTAGTGAGAACAGGTGGCTTCAGTTCAGGTAACAAGCTGATTGGGAGTGTCTAACTGGTCTGTGAAAGGCAGAACTCCTAATGCATACTGAGGGATCAAATACTTATTTCCCTCAATGAAATACAAATCAATTAATATATATTCCTTAGATTTTTTTCAGGATTTTCTTTTTGATATTCTGTCTCTCCATGTTAGAATGCATCTACCATTAAATGTGCAGAATGATCACATCTTTATTAGTGGGCAAACGAAGAAAATCAGCAAGGGATCAAATACTTCTTGGACTCACTGTATGTAACATGTGCCACGATAAAGGCGATAAAAATGACCTGTTCAACAAAAACTCTGCTGTCTCGGCTTCTGTTTTCAGGACCAAATCCTGGCGGAGCTTTCTCCACTGCTCGAAGGATGACTCGATGTGTATTCCAGTTAGATTCCTCGCTTGGTCACATTTCCTCTTCGACTCTGCCCTTTCTTCTGTCGGCTTGCGTTTTCTTCCCACTTTTGACGGTGGGGCAAGCAGAAGTGTTTTTTTTTTTTTTATGCGTCCTTCTCCATCGCAGCTCCTGTAACTAAGCTGCTACGCTACTTTTAACCGCTCAGAGCTCAGAGGAGGGCCGGGAGAGTGGGAGGGGACGAGTCAGAACTACAGGGAGGGGTGTGTCGAATACGGCGAGGTGATTGGATGGAGAGGCGGAGCAGGAGATTGACCAATAGGAGCTGTCCAGGACGGACGTCTCCTGTTGGTCAATGTTTTTGCAGCCCTGCACCTGCTAGGTCTGTTCTTTTTTCTCTTCACTTTGTAGAGATTGCACTATAGGACCATGATCGCCATAGAAACAAAGTTCATACTAATTACAAATCTTTACAATTGTCAACCACACCTTTAAGTGTTGTCTGCAAAAAGTGTAAAACTAACAAGCTTTCTGCAGAAAACTGTAGCCTATCATGCACACCACTCCTCTGAGCTGCATCAAACTCTTAAAGGGATACTCCAGAAATGTATCAGCCTACTTATAATAAGACAGTCAGTCAGAAGGTGTGAACCTAAAGCCACTTTCTGGTCTTCCTCAGTGTAACCCTTCAGACCTGGACCTGTGTGAGGACTTGAGTGACCTGCAGAGTGTGAATGAAAGTGGAGTGCTGCACACGCTCACCAGTCGAGCTAAAGCGAGCATGCCGCTAACACACGCCGGACCAAACCTGGTGAACTTCTGGCCTCCGTTACAGATGCACAGCAAGGTGAGTTAATGCCCTGAAGAAGACTCTGCTCAGGTTTGGTGTTCGTGTTGCTAATGTGATTTTTTTCTGTCAGACTCCAAAGTCTCGTCGGGGGGAGTGTGTGTGGGACGCTCCCCCGGCTCTCGCCGCTCTGGTCAAACGTGTCTACGTGTCCATGGTGGGGTCTAGGAGAGACCACAGCGTGTGTGCGGTGGGACGTAGTGGGACGGGAAAGACAACGGCGTGTCAGGCATTCATTCACACTCTGCTCAAACAGGCGGGGACCACCGGGGAGAAGATCAGCAGTGAGTGGGTCATCTGGAGGTCTTTTTGTCCTCTCTCTGTGGACTCTCTGTCATCCATCTTTGTTTCCTCCTCTCCTCAGCTGAGCGTGTGCAGGCCATGTTCACCATCCTCCGGTCTTTTGGCTGTGTGAGCTCCCAGCAAAGCGACGCCTCCTCTCGGTTCGCCATGGTCTTCTCTCTGGATTTTAACCACGCAGGACAAGCTGCTGCCGGACACCTACAGGTATGAGACACACAGAGTTCACAGAAACAGTCAGATGAAGCTGCAGACAGATCCACTCATGGTTCCTCTCTCCGCTCCTTATCAGACCATGATGTTGGACAAATGGAAAGTGTGTCAGAAAACTCCAGGAGAGAGTAACTTCCTGGTCTTCTCTCAGATGCTGGGAGGACTCAGCTCAGAGATGAGGTAAGACCCAAACATCAGGATTTCTTTGAATTTGCATCTCCAGTCAGAGATGTGATATCTCTACATACTTCTGCTCAATCATTTTCAAATTAAGCTGAAGTAAACAATCAAAGTTCAGATAATTCACTTTTGAAGGATTAACGAACATGTGCACAGGTCTGAATTTGTGTCCTTTAGTTTTGAGAGTGCGTAAACTTCTCTCCTGTGTGTTTCCTCTTCAGGACTGAGCTCCAACTTCATCAGCTCCCTGAGTCCAACTCTTTCGGGATCGTTCATCCCACCAAGGTCAGTAACCCCCGATTTCCACGGCATCCTGAACGGATACGAAAAGGCCGTATCCGCCGATCGTAGCTGATCGTAACCATTTAATGCGTCAATTTCCACCACCTTCTTTCCGTTCCTCTGCGGATCGTCGGACTCCACAGCTGATAGCAAGAGTTCTATTTTTTCTGGACGCTGGAGCATGCCGGATAAATTCAGCACAGATTAACCCGTGCTGGAAAGGAAGATGGGCACAGACACAAAATAAAACACTCCGTGTTTCAGGCAGATCGTATTTCACACCATGCAAACGGTTAGAGACGAACAAGTGAAAGGTTTTTAGACGTCATTTCTCCCCAATGACACCATGGATGAGGAGAGGTTGATTCTAGAAGTCTAGAAGTAGATTTCCCCCTCTGGAAGGACACAATCTACTGCTTATTTGTCTGTCTTACGTGTCTGTCTTTGTAGAGACAGCTCATTATCACGCGATCGCACTTGAATCCGTGGGTTCTTGTGAGCTCTCGTGATTCCTGCGGTCCGTAATCCGCCACCAAATTCACCCCACAAATGGATCCAGTAGGAATTGGCGTACGGCGAAAATTGCCACTGTCCCGGATCGGAGCTGTTCCGGATGCAGTGGAAATCCTGGCTTAGTCTTAGTCTGAACAACCTCCAGACCCCGGAGGTTTGCTTTTAAACAGAGATAATTTACCACTTTACCGTCCAAGGTCTGATAGATGAACTCTGAAAAAGAAAAAGAGAAAATTGTTTGACTTATTAAGGATCCTAGAATCTAAAATTTGGACCTGGAGACAAACTTAGGATTCTCTAAATGAAATGATGATAGTTTCTGCTTACGGGAGGCAAACTTTTATCCAAAGTCTCCTGCGCAGTGATTTGCAGTGATTGCTTCATTACAGAAACACATCTCTAGATCAGCATGAATTTCCATCAGACTAATTCAAAAACACATTTTGGATGTTTGGAGCTCTGCGCTTGTGTTTGAGTGAAAAAGACGAGGAATAAAAATAGAAAAAAAAATGAGCCAGAAAAGGTTTCTGAAGACAAGGACTCAGACTGTGACAGGAGATGAGACGTGACTCAGCTGTTCTTCCTCCTTATTAAGAGGCTGATTTTACAGTCTTCTCCTCTTCCTCCATGTCTGTCTGTGTGTGTTTGTGTGTGTGTGTGTGTGGTCAGGTGGAGGAAAAACAGCGAGCATCCGTCGCTTTCACGAAGCTGCTGACTGCCATGGAAACGCTGGGCTTCTCGTCCGGCGAGCAGAAGGCGATCTGGCATGTCCTGGCTGGTATTTACCATCTGGGAGCAGCCGGGGCCTGTAAAGGTAACACTGACTCATCATCATCTTCATCACTTACACTGTGTTAGATAACCCTACACTAACACAGTATTCATATACTTGAGAGGACTCTTATAAAACTTATGGAGTTCTTGGACGATAAGAAACACCGTACTGCACTTCAACACTGTGGACCTCTGTTGTTTCCGGTTTATATCAGTAGTATTAGATGAAATGTTCCTCATGCAGATTTACCGTCATATGCTGATGATACTGTCATATACCGCACAATTTAAACACAGTATAAGACTTTATACTTGATTTATTGCTTGATAGATGCTCACCTTTCATGAGTCAAAAATGAATGTTTAAAAACTCAAAGATTAAGCTGCTGAAGCTGCTGTCTGATACGACGACTCAAAGTGATGAGTCTGTATCTTCTTACAAAAACTGCAGATGCTGAATTGATGATTTTTATCCTTTAAACGTCATATAAAGACGCGCATGAAGAAGTTGAAGCTATGGACGAGCTTTTAGTTCATATTTAAGTCCTGTTTTTATTTCTGTTGCTTCTTTAATGCTCCTGATTGACAACAGTAATGTTTTATAGATTCCTGCATCGCCTCAAAACCTTCACTCCCTAGATACTGTTTCCTCTTTTTTGTGCGATTAATATATTTATTATTGTGTAACACTGAACAAAGTTGACAGTTTCTATTTCATGTGTTTGTAATTTTAAACCACCTCCTACAGGTACTCGGTTTCAAATCTTCTTTAGAAAACTGCGTGACCATTTATGGACTAATTATGGACCCTTAAACTGAGCAGTAATTGTCTTAAATTAGGTAATTATCTCATTGGCTGATGTCTGTGTGGAAGCACTTGATTGGATGTTTTTGATTTTTTTTCCAGTTTGAATCCTTCTTATTTAAACGTGGGGCGGCACAGTGGTGTAGTGGTTAGCACTGTCGCCTCACAGCAAGAAGATGCTGGGTTCGAATCCGGGTCAGGGTGTGTCTGTGTGGAGTTTGCATGTTCTTCCTGTGTCTGCGTTAGAGGATGACATCTTTCAGGAATTCCACGGGATGGGAATCATTTTTTAATTAATCCCGTGATTGGGACGGGAAAAAAGCAACGGGAGCGGGCAGGAGCGGGAACAATATAAATAGATGATCATTTTCAGCCGATCACGGGATTGATTAAAAAATGCCTCCCATCCCGTGGGATTCCTGCGGGAATCCCGTTACCCACAGGAATTCCAGAAAAATGTCATCCTCTAGTCTGCGTGGGTTTACTCCGGGTACTCCGGTTTCCTCCCACATCCAAAAACATGCCTGAGTGGGGTTAGGTTAATTGGCCACTTCCAAATTGCCCATAGGTGTGAATGTGAGAGTGGATGGTTGTTCGTCTCTATATGTCAGCCCTGCGATGAACTGGCGACATGTCCAGCGCGTCCCCTGCCTTCGCCCGAAGATGCTGGGATAGGCTCCAGCCCCTCCTGTGACCCCAGGAACGGGAATAAGCAGTAGAAAATGGATGGATGGATTATTTAAATGTCATTTATTTACTGTTTTAATGATCCTGATGAAAGCTTCAAGCTTCTCTCTTGTCTTTGGAGTGTTGACCTTGTTAGTCCGTTCCTCCTCCTCTTTCTTCATGCACCTTTGAAGCAGGTGAAGCTGTGGTAAACACGAACCACACACCGTCTATAAAGCATGAAACAATGAGCAAAAACATGATAAGATATGATGCTTACATGTCTGTAAATGAATTTATAATTAAGACTCATGTTGTTTCTGAGTTTAAAGGGTCTGATTTGACTTTGGATTCTTGCATATGTGACATTTTTACTGATTTTGCAAACTCAGACGGTTCTTTCTTCTTAACAGTGATTTATGTTGAGCCTCAGCAGTTAAATACTTCCCTTCTCTCAGCTTCTGTTGTAATCTCTGTCTTGTGTCTGCGGTCTCAGTGGGGAGGAGACAGTTTGTGAGCTTCGACAGTGCTCAGGTGGCCAGCGGCGTGCTGGGCTGTGAGGGAGAGGAGCTGCACACCGCTGTCTTCAAACATCACCTCCGACAGCTGCTGCAGAGAGCCACCGGGGGCAGCAGAGAGAGGAGCAACACTGCTGCTGAGGCGGAGGAGGGTGAGACACACACACACACACACACACACACTGAGAAAAAGAATTATATCAGGAAAAACAAACAATTTTTTCAATCTAAAATGTTCACATCACATTTTTCTTTCTGTTATATACATATGAATTAAAAAAATTTAAAGGGAAAAAAAAGAAATATTTGATTTAATGAAAAAAAAAAAAAGAATAATAAAGACTTAAGGTAGGAACCCAAAAATATTTGCAAAAAACAGTTAAATTCAAAGCAAAAACAACCTGTGAAATGCAAAAATATTGTGGGAAATCTAAAAAAAAATTCACTAAGGATCATATTTTAAAAATATTTTATCAAATCAATTTACATGTAACAAAACACAAGAATGTCAGAATCAAAAACATTTCATGAAGCACAAAAACTTTTTCTTGGTGAAACCTTTAACATTTGGATCTTTTAATTGTGCAAATGAGATGTTTTTGCATCATGACAGTTTGTTTATTTGACCTTCTGGGCCACAGTAGTTTTTCTCTATGCTAGTTAACACTGTTTGTTTTTTTTTAACTGATGCTGAAAGTTGAAACCCAGGTGTTGATTCTGGTTTTACTCTTATTTTCCTGTCATGTGCTGCATGATTTTACTCTACTCCTCCTTTTTTCAGATTTAATGTCTCCATAAGGTCTTAAAAAAATGATCTTTAAAATGTGATACAAACACGGTGGATGGCGGCTGATTGAGTCTGGTGTTTGTGGTTCCTGCAGGTCCGAGGCTGACAGCTGTTCAGTGTGTTGAAGGAATGGCTGCAGGACTCTATGAGGAACTCTTCACCTCCATTGTCTCCCTGATCAACAGGTGGGGCCGGGTCTTAGTTTATAAACGTCAACACTGTTTTCAGGTGGACTCTGACTCCTCAACAATGATCAATGTCTCCTTGTGTATGGATGAAGTTCTTCTCTGTTGGTTTGTAGGGCTCTGAGCAGCCAGCAGCTGACCCTGGCCTCGGTGATGGTCGTGGACACTCCGGGTCTGAGGAACCCCAGACACTCTGCGGAGGAGCGAGCAGCTGGCTGGTCCGAGCTCTGCCACAACTACCTGCAGGAGCGGCTGCTGGAGCAGTACCACACACACACCTTCACACACACGTTGGACCGATACTCACAGGTAAGACACCCTCTTAAACATCGACAGCTGTTTTAACATCCAAGTTCAAGAGATCAGTCAGTAGGGCTGGGCGATAAACGAAAAAATTACCGACATCATTTTGCTCATATAGGTATATTCATTGTCAAAAAAATAAGTAGATAAACGTTGGTTTTGGATGTGTGTAGGTAGGCTATGGTCTCATGTCCCTTTAAGATGTGACTCCACCCGATCCAGTCCATAACAAAGAGGGAAAGACAGGTGAGGAGATGGAGGATGGTTTAAAAGTTGTAGCAGCTGAAGTAGAAAAAGTTAATGTGGGAGGGGGTGAGCAGCTTATGGAATGGTTATCGTCCATTTATCTGTATCGAGGTGAACTGATCAATATATCGTGATATTAATTTGAGGCTAATCGCCCTGCCATATCAGTCAGTTTCATTTGTAGGCTGCAAACACTCAAATCTACGCAAGTGTTTTTGTCTTCTTGATAACATTTCGGTTCATTTAAAGCAAATTTGACCAGAAATAAGTCGACCAGTTTCTTCCTTTTTGAAGAAATTGATTAAAAGTTTATAATAAAGAGTAAAAACTGTATTTTTAAGATAGGACACCTCTATCTGTACCTGTGGGTGTTAAGTCCTCAATGTCAGTTTGTTCTCCAGGAGCACAAAAGCTTTTCCCTCTCTGACGGTGAAAGGATTAAAAAGTGAAAAAGGATTACAGAGTCCCTAAGAGACCTGACCAAGGACTTTTTCTGTCGGAGTTTGTGAGTCTGCTCGAAAGACACCGGACCAGAAAAAAAGCGTTTTATTATAAGAGAGAAATCACTTTTCTTTTTTCTGCTCACACATGTCAGACTTAAAGTGGAGGTTTAGATCTGGTTTGTTCGTCTGTGTAGGAGTGTTTGTCTGACGACAGATTCAGACTCAGGTGTCTCCATTTTTAGCGGGACAGTTTTTGTCTTCATGAGTCTTTTTTTTTGTGTTTCAGGAGAAAATCAAGGTGCAGTTGGAGAGTCCAGAAATCAGTCCAGCTGAGGTGGTCTCCACCATCGACCAGCCTCCTCCTCAGGTTCGAGCAAACTGCACCCAAAACACAGTTACCATGCAACCGTATCACCTGAACAGAACTAACCCTCGGATTTCTTAAAGGCACATTTCACTATTTATATCTATAAATTAAAAGATTGCAAATAAAAGGGAAAGAGCGGATGAAAATATACTTTTGGGAGGATCTTGTTTTGTTTTTAGCTAAACAATCTAGAGACCTTGACACTCCTACCATCAAGAAACCTTTTCGGTCGCCACAGAAAATACCAGTGAAGTCTGTTTTCAACTCTGATTGTGGCGTACCTCAAAGATCTATCCTCGGCCCACTAAGTTTTTCATTAATATAAACCATCACTCAGCCAGATCCTTCAGGACATGGAGTCTCTTTACACTCGTATGCAGATGACACGCAGATGAATATTGTTAAACAGTGAAGCTGACTTTGTGATTTAGTTTGCAGTTATTTTTGAAGCTCATACCCGGGTTTTAATGTCAGGTTGTTCTGAGATTTTGAGGTAGAAAACTCCTGGACTAGATCTCAACATTAAAGTTTTGACTTGTTTGCCTAAAACAAAGAATAAAAAATGCAAAGTTTAATTGTTTCAGATGAATTTTCAAAGTAAAAAATCTCCAAACCCAGAAAAACTGACCGTCCGGCTGCTGGAGGACAGATAAGAGAAAAGAGGAGCTAATAAAAATGTTAATATGCCAACAAACTTAAAGTATAGCTGTGTTTTCAGAGCTTTATGTACACAGGATGTGTGTGTGTGTGTGTGTGTGTGTGTAACCTGCTGTTTCCTCTGGAGAAGATAGTACGGGGAAATGTTTCCGCTTTTTCTTTCCCTCCATCTGACAGAGCCAGACTGTCTCAAAGCGCTGGAACAGTCTGTGCTTATTTTTCTCCTTTTATGGTAATTATAAACTCTGTGTGTGTGTGTGTGTGTGTGTGTGTGTGTGTGTGTGTGTGTGTGTGTGTGTGTGTGTGTGTGTGTGTGTGTGTGTGTGTGTTTAAGGTCCGGGCGGCAGATGGAGACCCCAGAGGTCTGTTATGGGTTCTGGATGAGGAGATGGTGACACCAGCCTCCAGTGAGAACAGCGCCTTGGAGAGAGTCTGCCAGTATTACAGCAACACTGGTACCAGACCTGCCACACACACACTCACACGTTTAGAGTCACTTCTAGTGTGTTTAGCCCACTGTGTTGATGATCCTGTGAATCCTCCTGCAGTGCGTCAGTGCGAGCAGCCGCTGCAGTGCGAGCTGAACCACCTCATGGGCTGCGACCCGGTCCGCTACGACATGACGGGCTGGTTCGGTCTGATGCAGAACAACCCGTCTGCTCTGAATGCCATCTGTGTCCTCCAGAACTCCACCATGTGAGTCCGCTGACAGGCCGGTACACGGAGATGCTGAGTCTGAGTAAACGTCTAATAATAGTCTGCTGCTGCTCTCTGATTGGTCAAAAGAGTTCAACCAGAAAAAACTGGACTACAAGTTAAATGACTGAATGAATGAATGAATTTATTTTGGTGTAATATGACTGAAAGGGTGTAGGCAGAAGCAATGCTTATAAAGACCTACCCTTATACCATACATCGATTACATTATAGAGATACACTCTCTGGTATCACTTTATAATAACCATAACTTATGAATGGTAAATAGATTATTTATAAAGATTATAGACCATTAATAAATTGTGAATTTTACAAGTTTAAAAACCAAACCCTAACTTCAACTTTACAATAATCATCTAAGTAATGTTTATAGATGGTTCAAAAACCAAATATTAACTATTTACACAGTGCTACTGACACACATTTTAATCTAGATGTTTTACAACCAATATTTAAACCCTATATAAACCTTTAATAAATAGTCCATTAATAATTAATGAAAATTATTAATCATAATTTCATTGCTTGTTAATGCTAAAGTAACTATTAACTTACATTAGTAAACTATCTATTTACCATTTATAAATTATGGTTATTGTAAAGTGTTACCCACTCTCTTTATACAAATATCAACACTTCAATAAATATTTACTCTTCAAATCCGATAGAGTAATGCACATGCTTTACACTTTCTCTTAAAGTTTATCTGAGTACTACATTTCCTCCTTTCTACCGGACAGTCGTTCCATATTTTCACCCCTTTTACAGACACACAAACATTTTTGACATTTATTTTTTGCTTTCGGTTTCTGAAATAATCCACAGCCTCTTAGGTTGTAATTAGAGTCCCTCAGTTTATACAGGCTCTGGACATGTTGCAGTAAGGCTAGGATTATTTATGAGAATAAAATCGTAAAGTAAATGAAGTCTTAAAGCTGCTTCATCAGTGGGTGTATCAGTGGGCCATTAAGAGAGATTTTGTGGTTTCTTAAGAAATAATCCAACTGATGATCAACATTTGTGATTCAGAGGGAGACGAGCTCTGACAAGCACCACGTCTGTCTCTGATGTCGACACAACACTGGCAGCAACCTACACCTGCAGAGGCACCAACACCTTATGGCATAGAGATTCATACGATAAACTAAAGCCATATGAAATTATTGTTATAAACGGCTGTATTGAGGGATTTAGCCTCTGCTCAGCCATTTCCAGCCATTTCCCCCTCCTCAAAAACGGCGATTCCCTACAAGTCCGCCTGGTTCTTTCTGCGGAAAAGATGTATTTCTTGCATATGTCCTGATACTTCTGATGATGTGATGCTGAAACGCAAAATGATTTAGTACCTCCTTGTTTGTGAAACCTAGCTACTGAAGTTCAATTCATCTAAATGCTCAACAGCTATTAGCTACGACTTTATTCTCCTAAGTAATGATTTTATTACTACTTTATTCTCATAAGAAATAATTTTATTATTACTTTATTCTCGTAAGTAATTCCGAGGTCTAAAATTTTTTCTTTTCTTAATGTGGCCCTAACGCTCCGTCGTAGGGATGAGTTGATTCACTGTAATGCTTATTGCAGATGACTCTTACGGCTTGCTTTTGTAGAAGACATAATGGGTTTGTATTTGTTTTGTAAGTATTTCCCCAAATCTCAATGCAATAAGTCATGTACGGAGTTATCAGGGCATAGTATAGAGTGGCTAACCCTTTTTGTGAAAATAAATGTTTGGCAATATACAGAATGGCGATAGATTTTGACATTTTTGATTTTATATGATTTATGTGTGATTTCCAACTAAGTTTGTTATCTACTATGATCCCAAGGATTTTGTTCTCAGTTACTACCTCGATTTCCTTATTGTCTATAGTTAGATTTCTACATTGAATTACTTGCTTATTTCCAAATATAAAACATTTAGTTTTGTCAAGATGGAGTGACAGTTTATTCGTGTCAAACCAAGTTTTTAATGTTTGCAACTCTTTCTCCACCGTGTCCAGAAGCTATTCCAGATAATCATTACTACAAAAACACAGTTGTGTCATCACAGAGAGGCCCAAAGTCTGAGGACCACAAACTTCCAGTTTACTGTTATTGTTGTCTTCTGTCTTCCTCAGAGGGGAGGTGAAGTCCATGTTTACCCCCAGGATCTCTCTGCCCCCTCTGTGTCGAGGTCTGGGGGGTCTGGAAGGGGCCAGCCAGCGCTCCCTGCAGAGGAATGGCACCATCAGGAAAACCTTCAGCGGGGGGATGGCGGCCATGCGCAGACACTCTCAGTGTATTGCGGTCAAACTCCAGGCGGTAAGTCCAACTGCTCGTGTGTTATGACCTCATCAGACCTGCAGAGGGTCAGTCTTTGGATTCAGGTCATGTCCCCGCCCCTCAGGACGCTCTGGTGAACCTGATTCGTCGAGCTCGGCCGGTGTTCCTGCAGTGCGTGAGCGCAAAGAGCGACGGTGGGAGTTTTGATGTCCCGGCGCTCCGAGTCCAGCTCCAGTCCACTCAGTTCCTGTCGGCCCTGCAGTTCCACCGCACAGGTCAGTCCGCTGTTCACCTGGAACAAAGACGTCATGTCGGCGCATTTCCTCCGTCTATCCAATCGGCTGTGATCAGATTAAAAAAATTCCAGGGCTTGTTTTAGTTCTTGAACCGAGCATCGACAGGTACCACGAACAAAAGTCTAAAAAGAGAACAAACACATAACAAAAGAAAGGAGGTGCAAATTAAGCTGCTAAAACAGGAGTCCTCCAGGTCTGCAGGGGGCGCTCAATGACTGTTAGTGTATAAAGTCTTAAGAAAGAGCAAACACACTGCACATAACAAAAGAAAGAAGCTGTCGCTACCTGATCTGTCCCGGACACCCAATTTGTTACTGCACATGTGCGAAACGTACGCCACTTCTTCTAAGATGAGATAAGATAAGATAACAACTTTATTAATCCCCGAAGGGAAATTTAATAACTACTAATATTGAATAACTAGTTATTTATAGTTATTATTATTCAATTATTAGTTATTATTCAATAACTGATAGTAACTACTATTCAATATCTACCAGCCAGCTTGGTGACAGCTCAGCGATTCTTTGCCCCTCGCTGTTTGTGACAGCTTCGACACTTGTTCGACAGCTTCAGCATCAGCGAGCTCGCTTCAGTCAGAATGGATGCTTTAGTTTATCACCAGCTTTTCTCTCAAACAGAGTGTTTCCCCCGACTGAAGCAGAGCGCCGGAAAGTCAAGAGAATGGCACCCAGTTACACGATTAAAGGTTCCCTACTCCAGCTTAATTGTAAAATTGCAGCATAGCTATAAAAGGCTTGAATGAATGTAAATATTTCAGTGTTGAAATTGTACACTGTATAAAACGCTGAAGTTCATTGTCCATAATGTGTAGGCTTCTTGCTAATGAATTAAAATTATAAAATAAATGAAATAAATCCCCCCTTGATACTTTAAAAAGTCAAAGAACTATGATTTTGACCAGGGTGTGGCGCACTCTGTGGCCTGGGGAGGGTGCACAATGGGTAGCCACACACCTCCAGAGCATTCCTCCTTGATACTTTGATAAGTCAGAGAACCATAATTTTGACCTGGTGGTGACGCTCTCTGTGGCCCAAAAGGTCTCACTGTGCTGGGCAGGAGCTCTGGCGAATACCTCAGCATTAGCCCTGGAGCCTTCTGCTAGCTAGCCTGTTACATCACTAGCTGGTTTCTGAATTTGATCGGTAGTTTAAATAAAGTTTTTAAGGTGAAGTAAATTTGCTGTTGCACAATACAGATTGAGTAGGTAGCAATAAAGGCATATATAAAAATATACTGCTATACATTATGTATGAATATATATATATATATATATATATATATATATATATATATATATACATACATATACATATATTTATTTATATTTATATATATATACATACATAGACATATATATATATTTATATTTATATGTATATATATATATATATATATATATATATATATATATATATATATATGGCAATACACTGCAAAAAGGAAGGTCTAAAAACAAGATAAAACCACTAAATCTGAGGGAAAAGTCACTAAAAACAAGTGAAATTATCTGTCCATGCAACAAGATAATTTCACTTGACAAGATTTCTTGAACTAAGATTGTAAAATCTAGAAATTAGCATGTCTTTGTCTGTATTTGGAAGGCTTAAAATAAGCCAAAAATGATGGTTTTAAGATCAGATTACTTAAAATTGAACTTTTACAGCCCTAAAATAACTAAAATGTACAAAATATAAGCATTAATTATGTATAAAATGCTGGTTATAAGATCACAGTACTTAACATTTAACTTTTACAGCCTCAAAATAAGTGATTTAAGCTTAATATAAGCAACTGCATATTTTCTTAATTTACGTTTAGCAAATTAAGATAGAGATTAGTTAAACAAAAAATAGAAATGTAGAGGAAAAATACCCAGTTTTAGTGAATGACTAAACTCTGTCTTAATCCAAGCAGGTTCATCTTGAAACAAGGCTTGCTTAATCTTAAAACAAGATTCCTTTTGATGAGACTTTGGGAGAGAGATGGAATAGAACTTACTTTAATAGTTATTTTTCTAATTTTAAGATTTCCTACCTATTTGAGAAAAAAAGATAAGGTTGTGCTTGATATAAGATTAAAGTGTAAAGTTAAACACTTAAAATAAGAAATTAAGTCTTAAAACAAGAGAAATTATCGCACTCTTCTAAATTTTTTTTCTAAAGTTTTTTTGTCTTGGTAAGAAACAAATCATTTGCAGTGTAGTAATGACCAACTGCCATAAAATGCACTGAAATATGAGGAGAGGAAGTGACATACGTTTTGCACATGCACAGTACAAATCTGATGTTCGGGATGGATCAGGTAGCAACAGGAACTGCAAACTGAGCCACAAAAACAGGAGTCCTCCAGGCCTGCAGGGGGCGCTCAGTGAATGTCGGTGTCCACATTTCTTTGGATTTGAAGGTTTTTAGTTTTCTTTATTTGCAGCATATTACGGACGCTATAATCAATTTAGACTGTTGTACACGCCTCTGAATTTTCAGCTTGTTTCTTACTGTGGAGATGGTTCTGGTGCTTGTAGCTCAGAATTACTACAGACTGTATATAGAATGGATGCCGTCTGCCTCCTCGCTGGGCAAAGCAACCGCAAGAACAGCACCCTCTGTTGATGGGCTGCAGTATAGGTCATGAATTGCGCCTCCGCCAGCAAAGCTTATGGAACTGTGGACAAACTTGAGAAATTTATGACACAGAATATAAATTTTTCTCCCCCTGGTTGTGATGTTGACATGTAGTTACTGTCAGACTGGTTTGTGCTCAAGTCCTCTTTTTTCTGTGCAGCTCCATTTTAAAAAGTTATTAGGGGTTCATGTTTTCTATAGATAGAATAGAATAGAATAGAATATTCCTTTATTGATCCCCCATCCCCCACAGCAGCATCACAGACAATAAGTGCAAAAATGCAGTTATAAAAATAAAGATCCTAATATTAAGAACTTAAATTAGTGTAATAATTAAGAAAAAAATTAGGAAAAGGAATAAGGGAGAATATATAAAACTATATACAATATACACAATTTAAATGCCAGAAAAAAAGTGGTGGTGTGAGTCCAGTTTTATTACAGTTCGTTGTAAAGTCTTATTGCAGGAAAGACCTGCGGTAGCGCTCATTCTTGCAAGGTGGGAGTCTCAGTCTGCTGCTGAAGGAGCTGCTTAAAGCCCCCACAGTCTGGTGCAGTGGGTGAGAGGGATTGTCCATGATGGATACAAGCTTTGCTAACATCCTCCTCTCACCCACCTCCTCCAGGGAGTCCAAAGAACAGTCCAGGACAGAACTGGCCCTCCTGACCAGTCTGTTCAGTCTCTTCCTGTCCCTCTCGGTGCTCCCTGCCCCCCAGCAGACCACCGCATAGAAAAGTGCAGATGCTACCACAGAGTCATAGAAGGTCCTGAGCAGAGTCCTGCACACTCCAAAGGACCTCAGTTTCCAAAGGACCTCAGTTTCCTCAGCAGGTGGAGACGACTTTGGGCCTTCTTGTACAGGACGTCTGTTTTGGTTGACCAGTCCAGTTTATTGTTGAGGTGGACACCCAGGCAGTGTTGTTTTCGTCAGGCAGGACGAAAACTTAAATGACGACGTCAGACCCCTTTTTTCCTTGACGAAAATGAGACTAAGACGAACGTCACCAAAGCTCTGTAAAGACTAAAATGTGACGAAAATTGTATTGATTTTCGTCAGACGAGACTAAATTGTTTTTTTGTCCGAACAGTCACGCCCCCATCACACACGCACCAAAAGCCTCGCTCGCGCACAGCTGCGCGCACACACTCATACACATGCACAGAGCAGCAGGTGGACGAGGCGCACACACACACACACACACACACCGTGGTGGCAGGCACAGCAGCGGTGCTCGGTGGCCGAAAAAAGAGGGATGATTTTGGTCCTACTTCAGATACAGTCCAAGTGACAATAAAACACAATGTCTTGTACGGGGACGGGGAGACAGACGACAGTTGTGGAGCCACAGCTTCCTCATGCTGCGGCTTCATACTGTCGGGAAAGAACACCACGAACTTCAAAACGCACCTTTTCGTCGACTAAAACTAGACTAAAACCTTTTGAGTTTTCGTCGGACTAAAACTAGACGAAAACTATCAAGGATAGAAATGACTAAAATGGGACTAAAACAAGGAAGCATTTCGTCAAAATGACTAAGACTAAAACTAAATCTGAAATGCCTGCCAAAAACAACAATGCACCCAGGAATCTGTAGGACTCCACCATCTCAATGTCCAGACCCTGGATGTTCACTGGAACAGCCTGAGGTGTCCTCCTCCTGCGGAAATCCACAACCATCTCCTTTGTCTTACTGGCATTTAGCTGGAGGTGGTTTGTGCCACACCAGTTGACAAAGTCAGTGATGACAGTCCTGTATTCCCGCTCATCCCCTGACGATACACATCTGTCGATGGCTGTGTCTTCAGAGAACTTCTGGAGGTGACAGCTCCCAGAGTTGTAGCTGAAGTCCGAGGTGTACAGGGTGAAGAGGAAGGGGGAGAGCACTGTTCCCTGTGGAGCCCCCGTGCTGCAGACCACCATGTCCGACACACAGTTCTGAAGCCTCACAAACTGTGGTCTGTCGGTGAGGTAGACCACGGTCCATGCAGCTAGGTGACAGCCCACTCCCGCCCTCTCGAGCTTCCCCCTGAGCAGTGAAGGCTGGATGGTGTTGAAAGCACTGGAGAAGTCAAAAAACATGACCCTCACAGTGCTGCCGGTGTTCTTCAAGTGGGCCATGGACCTCTGCAGCAGGTAGATGACTGCATCGTCCACCCCGATGTTTGGCTGGTACGCAAACTGCAGAGGATCCAGATGAGAGCTCACCAGGGGGCGGAGGTTCCTCAGCATGAGCCTCTCCAGAGTCTTCATCAGGTGAGAAGTGAGGGCCACAGGTCTGAAGTGGTTGGGCTCCCTGGGGTGGGCTGTCTTGGGGACAGGAATCACGCAGGAAGTCTTCCACAGTGTTGGGACCCTCTCCAGACTCAGGCTCAAGCTGAAGATGTGCAGTAGCACCTCACAGAGCTGGTCTGCACAGTCCTTCAGGAGTCTGGAGCTGATGCCGTCAGGACCTGTGGCCTTCCTTGGCTTCATCTTCCTCAGCTCACTTCTCACCTGGTCAGCTGTTATGGAGAGGCTGGGGGTGGTGCTAGAGGGGGTGGTGGAGGATGAGTGGAGGGGGGTTGATGATGCCGGTGCCATGGGACTGAGGTGGTGTGAAGAAGAAGCAGACAGGTTGTTGGTTTGATGAGTTGGGGGAGGAGTGGGAGCAGAGTCAAATCTACTGAAGAACAGATTCAGCTCGTTGGCCCACTCCCTGTCTTCAGGTCCCCTCTCGTGGCCCCTGCTATGACCTGAGATGGATTTCAGGCCTCTCCAGACCTCCCTCGCATTGTTCTGTTGAAGAAGGTTTTCCATCTTGGTCTTGTAGCTGGCCTTCCCCTCTCTGATCTTCTTCAGCTCCTTCTGCACCCTCCTCAGCTCCTTCTTGTCCCCAGATTTAAAGACCCTCCTCTTCTCCTTCAGTAGGACTTTAAGTTCCGGGGTCACCCAAGGTTTGCTGTTGGAGAAACACTGTACTTTCCTGGTGGGTACGGTGTTCTCAACAAAAAAGTTTATGTAGATTGACACTTAATACAGCCTGTGGGCGTACGGAAATTATGTAGCTGTTTGGGCGGAGCATCATCACAGCAACTCTCGGCGACTCTCCTGCCAAATGTGAACAATGCCGCCGCACATGTGGTGGTTCCAGGAAGTGGAGATAATCCTGGAAATACAGAGAGCAATTCAGCTTCGAATTCATATAATGACGGAAGACGGAACCAAGTTGTCCATAGTATATACAGTCTATGAGAATTACAGTTGATATGACGGTTAATCCTCCTGTTACTTTGGTATCCTGAGATCCTGCACAGGTGAATTTAAAAGCAGTATGTTTGTGTCTTCTTTGCTTTTGCCTCTTAATCTCAGATAAACTCGTGTACTCTTTAGCTAACTCGGTTTCCTGCCAGCGTCTCCTCTGCTGCAGAATCTCATTTGCATCCTTTTTACAAACTTTTAACTCAAACTTAAGAGCTCAGTTTGCAAAAAGAGTTGAGGTAATTTTGCTGTCTTCTTCTCTTCTTCAGGGTATCCGGAGCACATGACTCTGAGTGACTTCAGGTGTCATTTCCAGGCTTTGTGTCCTCCCATAATGAAACGTTACGCCTCCATGTTTGTCAGCCACGATGAGAGAAAGGTCAGCAGCTCTTCCTTTCCTCCTTACTCCATGTTTCTGATGTTCAGCTCAGAATTAATCATCTCCTTTCCTCTGTTTGGCTCAGGCAGTGGAGGAGCTTCTGGTGGAGCTGGATCTGGATAAGAAGAGCATCGTCGTGGGAGCCAGCAGGGTGAGATCATGTTTGAAATCCTCCGATCAAACGAACGATCACGAATCCTGCAGCAGCGGTGTGTCATGGATGTTCTCCCGCTGTGTCTCAGGTGTTCATGAAGCGAGGCGTGCTTCGATTCCTGGAGCAGCAGAGGGATCAGCAGGTCACCGGCTGGTTGGTCCACCTTCAAGCGGCCTGTCTGGGACACCTGGCCCGTCAAATGTACAGGAAACTCAAGGTTAGACTCTCTCATGAGAAAATTAAGATCTATAGCTGAGACTCTCCTCACACGTTTCGTGTGTGTGTGTGTGTGTGTGTGTGTGTGTGTGTGTGTGTGTGAGCAGGTGCAGCAGATGGCGGTCAGGTGTCTGCAGAGGAACATTCGGGCAATGAGAGTTGCAGCGAGGTGGAGCTGGTGGAAACTTTTCAGCAAGGTGCGTCCTCAGCTCAACGTCAACATGGACAACGAGCGGTTGAGGGCTAAAGAGGTACACACACACACACACACACACACACACCCTCGCACACACTGTGTCACTACCCTCATAGATTTAATCTCCCATCAGCGAACTTAAGTTCACGGTTCCCAAAAATGAACTAATTTAGTTCTTTTTCTCCGATACTTTGGTGTAAGCTATTATTTGTCAAGATTTTTAACAGAGCCCATATAGAACCACAGACAGCGATTATTTTAGCTGTTTTAACACTGAAACTACGTCTGATTAATCTTCATATCCATTTTTGAATCCTAATCCAACCAGGTTTACAATAACAGCCGTCAGAATACCGGCGTTTCCCTGTTTAGTTCAGTCCTCACTAGTAGGAACGTTCATCTCTAGAGTATATTTTCATAAACATGAGGAAAACCTGCTGCTTGAATGGTTTAAAGACTCTTTATTAGGATTACAACAACAGGACTGTAGTCCTTAAGTTTTATTTTCATTTCTATTCTTTCCCAAACTGACCTGGAAACAATTCACATCAAATTCCATTTCAGTCATACTAAAAAGGAACCAGAACAAATACTGGAAATAATAACAATTTACAATAATGATATGATATTGTGACATGATATGATATGTATTATATCCGTTTAAGGTTTGCTAAAGACGTCGTCGATGTTCGGACTTGCTTCGGTTTGATTGTTACCGTCTGTGTCTGGCACTGACTTTTACATCAAACTCTTTTAAATGCTCAGACGAGTCTGTGTGCTCCGGACAGCTAGTGCTACCTCCCTCGTTCACCGCTACTGAAGTAGTGTTGTGTCGTTCATAAACGTTTAGTTCAAAAGAATAGAACTGCTGAGTGAACGACGTGAATTGAATCACTCTGAGACCTGATTCGTTCCTTTCTCAGTTCAGTTGAGCTCAGCCGTGAGCCTGGTGTGTCGGTCAGGAGTGGAACTGCTGCCTTTGACAACACACAGCCAGCCAGCGGGCGGAGTCTTGTGATTTGCTCACAGCGAATGAACGATATGCATCAGCCAGTCAGTGAACGAAACGTCTGTGAACAACATGTTTCAGTCTGTGAACAAAATGTTGAACAAAACGAACTTCCGAACGACTTGAGACAGGCAGAGGAGGGAGGGGTGTAGCGTCGTTCACTTAGTGCTGCGCAGCGGTTCATTCACTGAGGCTAAGATGAAACAGGTCATTATAGTGTCTTTACATTAATACACGCGTATAAACTTTCCTGTAAGAAGGATTTAATTCCAGCCGATTAAAAGAAATACAATATTTCTTTAAAAGTATCCAAATCCCTGCTACAGATGCAATGTTTATTTTTAATCTCTCCACTTTTCTGCCATATAAAAGATCAATGACTCGTTTAGCAGGCATGCTGCTCACTACTTTGTTGTTTCCGCTGACAGTGATACACAGAGAGGTGAGTTTTTCAGAGCAAGGGAGTGATTCTTCATGTATCACCCAGTGGATGATGCAGTGACTTCAGCAGCAGGGGAGGGGAGGGGCTTGTTCAATGAACGAACTCACCGCTGTGTCACTCACTTGTGTACTGCGACGGTAGGACAGGGCTCCAAAGCACTGACTGATTCAGTGAACGAATCTTTTGAATGAATCGTTTTAATGAACGGATTCTAAAGATTCAGTACAGTCAAATAAACTGTTCTTCCCATCATGTACACTGAAGTTGTGACGACTGACGTATTTATTGGAGCGACAGACAGGCTGCTTGTGGTTGCCAGATTGGTTGGCTTTCCGCTAAATATGAAGGCCTGTTTACGGTGTGTTTTAGCTGGTGTTTCGCCTGGAAGACTCTGGACATCTGGCACACTTATGAACGGAGTTTAGAACGCCACTCACAGACGCCAGAACGAGCACATTCAAGATCAATGCGTTCATACACAAATAAAGCAAGATACGTTCACGTTCGCCCCAAATATGAATGAGTTCATGAACAATGGTTCATTGAGCGTGTTCAAGCACAACACACACACACACACACACACACACACACACACACACACACACACACACACACACACACACACACGCACACACACACACACACAGTTTGAAACTTTCATTTAAGATAAAGTTTAACATCTATGATTTCCAATTCTTCGTTGCAAGTGGTGATTCCCACTCCAGAGACCCAGTCATGTGACTAACCTGTTGGAGATTCACTTCATTAGTTTGGGAGATGTTCCTCCAACCCTTTGACAGGTTTCCCTTGGTCAGCCTCAGGTGGACTGACGCCATGAAAAAATAGCGGATCAGAAAATAAACGATCCCACTAAGAGTTCATAAAACAGACGCCTCAGTCGCCACTCTTTCTCTTCCTGTCAGGATGAACTATCGGCTCTGAGACGACGCCTGGAGAAATCGGAGAAGGAGAGGAACGAGCTGAGGCAGACTGCAGACGGCCTGGAGACCAAGGTTTGTCCTACAGCACACACACACACACACACACACACACACACACACACACACACACACACACACACACACACACACAAAAGGCTCATGCTGTTGTTCTTCTGTGTAGGTTACAGCTGTGACGTCAGAGCTGAGTGATGAGCGTTTCCGTGGCGACGCCGTGGGTCAGGCTCTGGATGTAGAGAGGGCCGAGAGACTACGACTCAGCAGGGAGAACAAAGACCTGCAGGTAGTCCGATTTGGGGGGGGGGGGGGGGTAGTAAAAGTAATAAGTGTCGTTTAGCCTCCAGGAACTGTAAAACTGTAAACTGGGATTAAATCTGTGAAACAGGAAATCAGTTTGGACCAGGTAGTCCAGGTGGTCCAGGTAGTCCAGGTGGTCCGGTTCTGGTTTTTATCTAGTGAAACTTCAAGTTTGTTTTGTTCACACTTCAGAGTAAGATTGAGGAAACTGTTTCAGGATTATTCTGATCCCAGAGGAGGGCTGGATTACAGGTTCAGGTTCAGATTCTTTAATTTGTACTTGTCGGTAGATTTGTTTTTCTTTGAGCTGATGAAGTTTCAGAACAAACAGAATAAAAAAAACATTAAAACAAACAACGGTTCAATAAAGACTTTCTTCAGCTTATTTAAGCAGAATTTAAATCTGAGAGAATAAAATCAGTAAATCAGGCACAAAGATAATTATCAACTAGATTAACAAAAATTATACACAACCTCTGGAATAAACCAAAATAAAATAAAAACCTGGTTAAAAATGACCTGGATTCATTTCAGGAACAGGTCTTCCAGATCCATTTGAAAAGAAATTGACCCTCCTCCTGTGTTGGGGTCTGCACCGACCCGTTTAAATGAACGTTTAAATTGCTTTTTTGCATCAAGACTTTTTGACTTTGTCAGGAAACTCAATTTCAACAAAATAAAAATAAAAAATTAAATTGACTAAATTATAAAATGTTCTTATTAAAATTATGGCACTTGTTGTGTTAGGGTCGCTGTCGACCTGGTTATATTAATATCATTTTCATGGATAATGAAGCCTAACAAGGTAACCTAGAGATGAGAACCAAATTGGATGATAAAGAATCGTTTTAGTGTAATTTACATCAGATTTAAGACATGGGTCAAAACTGACCATTAACATGGTGAGTGCCTAGTAAAAGCTAACACAGGAGGAATGTTAATAGTTTCTAATCTATCTGATGTAGATATGGACAAATCTAGAATCCAAGATCAATGTCACACCAGCTTTGTGGAGGTCCAAACTTGAGTTTATAATCTGAGACAAAGTTTATGCTCCACTTTCATTTTCGGTTGTTGTTTTAATTCTCTTTCCTCGAACCTCAGGCTCGTCTGGATCAGTGTAAGGTCAGCACAGAAACTCTGGAGAAGCAGCTGGAGGAGGAGAAGCAGAGAGTCCAGATCCTGGAGGGTCAGAGAGGAGCAGGGACAGGTAATCCTCAGACTACTCTGTGTTTGTGCAGCAGGTGTCACAAATGTTGGTGTTTTATTCCTGAAAATGTCAAGTTTTAGTAAAAGTCTGTGATGGCGCTCAGCTGAATAAACACATTCAAAACTGACAGAAACTGTCAACATTTGCTCGTTTCAGCCTCGTAAATGTCAGGATTCGGTTCTTTGGCATTTTCAGTGGAAACTCTGAAATCTGAAAACATTAATTTGGCTGAGGAAAAAAAGAAACTGAGGGGAAAAAAACATGTTTCTGAGGATGAAAGGTTGTTTTTCTGGCTGATAGATCCTCCTGAAAGGAATAAGAGTTTGATCTTCCCATGAGACATAAGTGAATTGTTTCAGCATTTAAAAGGTGATTCTGTCATTTTTTTAAAGTCCCCTTCATGACTTTATTTGAATTTAAGACCTCAGAGTTTAGACAAAGGATCCAGGAGGTCCCCAGTCCAGGTTTTAAGTGACCCTCCCCGTCACCTCAGACAAAGTCACGTCCCTCTCCCTGCTCCTTACACAGACAGCGAGCTGGCCATGCAGCTGGAGTGCTGCCAGACGGAGGTGGAGTTTGTCCGCCGACGACTGAAGCAGACGGAAGAAAAACTGGAGACGGAGAGACAGACGCGACAACAGCTCGATGCCAAGGTGAGACAGGACGCCGTGACGTGCACCGCCACGCTGATGGGCGATTAAATCTATGAGGGTAATGACACAGTGTGTGTGTGTGTATGTGTGTGTGTGTGTGTGTGTGTGTGGGGGGGGGGGGGTTAGGTGGCGTCTCTGCAGGCCCAGCTGGAGCAGTCCCGGCGGAGCGCAACAGAGCTTAAACGTCACTGCCGCCGAGTGACCTCCGACCTCCAGGATGCCCGAGTGCTCACTGACAGCTTGCAGAGCCGCATGCATGAGCTGGACCGCAAACAGAGACGGTTTGTGTTTTCATGTTTACTCTTCCGACTGGTGACTTATTTCACTCTTTATATCAGGTCTGTTAAAACTTAATCTGCTGCTTATAAAATACGGAGTTTAAACAACATCGAGGTTCGAAAACTGACTGTTTCTCAAAGTTCCTACCAGCCGTACAGACAGAAAAAGACCATTTCATTCAGAAGAAGAAGATTTTTCAAACCAGAAACAATATTTTACAAAATCGCCAAACTCCTCTGACAGAAACAGGAACTTTATCTTTAAGTTTATTTGCTGCGTCACAGTAAAAGCACAAAAACAGATTGACATCTCTCTACTCTATCAGGATAATCAATCATAGTGCCAGTGTAGGCAGGCTACAAAGTCAAGCTCAGTTAGCTTCTATACATCCAACTGACTAATACAAAAAAGGCTTTTGTTTATGTAAAGGTGAGGTAGGCAGTCAATAGCTATTAGTTATTGATGACGTTTGGTAATATCACTGTGTTCTCTTATTTCTGTGTAGTCAACCGTTCTCCGCCTCCCCCATCCTGATTGGTTGTGAGGCGGACGCTGCTTCCTCATGTTGTGAGGCATGCTCCGCATCCTTGAATAACGTTCATGACATGGTTCACGAGCCCAAACAAAGTTAGCGTGCTACAATATCAGACAGAAGAAACCAACCAGAAAGTTCAGAAAATTGTCTGAATCCTCCTTTGGCCACGACTGCCAACACATGCAAGAAAACGAAGTAAATACCGGAGACTCTGGAGGAATAACGGGCATTTAAAACAGAGGTAGACCGGACAAGAGCTAATAAGCCGGGTCAACATCAGCATGAATGTTTCAGGGACGCTTCGGGATCTTGGTGACCCTGTAACCTTTCTGCTGGACAGGTAAACCGCTTTAACAAAGTAAGCCAAGTGTCTGTAACAGAAGTGTTTCTTGTCAAACAGGACCTGCTGCGTGTTGTAGTGCCGCTAAACTGTTGACCTCTGGTCCTGGACTATGTCACTTTATCCTAGTTGTAGAAGTCCTGCGAACATTGTGTTGCTGGTAGTCTGTTGGCATCTACAGTAGAACCAATGCTTTTTACTTTCACATTGACTGGGCCCCATTTGTAATTATCTGAAGTATTTATCTGCATTATATCTGAGTTTAATCGGAAAGATACGAGCGAGCAGGAGTGTCTGTTTGTGGGCGGGACTTGCTGGAGCAGAGAGGGAGAGAGGAGGAGCTGAGGGGAAAACTGGACCTTCCTGACACTTCCATAGATCCTGACTACCCCACCTTTAACAGGCAGTTTTTTTTTTTGTCAGCTCTGATTGGCTCTAAAAGAACCGCCTAAACATCTAAGTCACATAAAACAACCTGAGAGTGGAGGCATGGGTAGACCAGCTCCTGTACGCTGTGGGGCAGACGACTGATTTTCTCCTGGAGTTTGGCGTCTTTGTAGAGAGAGATGAATTGGCTGTTTCTGGTTGAAAACAAACATCTTTCTCTTTTTATGAATAAAGTTTTTATCAGTGAAGTTTCAGACAATCAGAGTTAAAAAGGATGGTGTCTGAGGAGGATTAACACCAAAACTTTCAGCATCTGTGAATCATTTAAAAAGAAAGTTAATGAATATCTGACTCAAATCTGTGTTTTGTTGCGACTCATTAATTACTACAAAAATAACATCAGCCAAATGAAAGAGCGAGTTATCGACTTCAGAAAGAGGAAATACGCTGCGTCACAAAGTCTCATTAAAAATCAGCAGCATAAAATTGTTTCCGTCCTCAAATATCTGGAGGTACAAATTGATATGAAATTAAACTTTCCAAATGGCATTAACGCTGTGATTAAAAATGAAAAACAGAGGAAAACTCTTGAAGTCCTCTGAGGTCAGCTGGAAGATCCTGAATGTTTTCCATCAGATTGGGCTAACGTCATTACCGCCCCGGATAGAAACAGGATTAATGAGTGTATTCGAAGGCTGCAGCTGTAATTGGTTTGACTTTTAGAGAAGAGTTCAAAGGAGAGAAGGAGCAGGAGGTTTGGAGTGAAGGTCGTCTCCAGGATGGTGTGTGCAGGTCTGGATAACAGACGATATTACCTGTGAAACATTTTAATGACGGGACACTCTTTATTCTTTCTTTATTCTTAATTCAGAGCCCCATTAGCTCCTGCTGCCGCGGTCACTGATCTTCCTGGGGTCCACATAAAACATAAAACATTACAACATAAACAACATACTATTCAAACAAACAACTGACACACGTCAGGTCAGTCTAAATCTAAATGACACAAAACAATGATGAGAAATTAAAATAGGGTGAATTACATGAATAGGTTGTGCATCATGTACAGAATATTTATGTATCAATCAACTATTAATTATTCCAGTTGTGTGACCTCCATCAGTAGTATAATAGCTTATAGCTTTTTTTGAATAAGTACTTGCTTTTAATTTGTTTAGTATTTGCAGATAAAGAGTTCCATTTTTGGGTGGCTCTATGAATAACAGATTTCTTGAGTATGTCTGAATTTGGTTTTGGAAGACCCAAACACCCTGAACTTACCATTCTGGTTTGATGATTATGCTTCCGACCTGCATTGAGTAGTTGATCTCTGAAGAGGTCTGGCTTCCCCTCAATGATTGCATTTCTAGAAAACTGAACAAGACTAGAGGTTAACTTAGCCTCAACAGTTAACCATGCCAAACGTTGGGGCATCCATAACACATTTGTTCTAAAAGAGCAGTTAAGTGCTAATCTAGCTGCTTTATCTTGTGCCAGCTGGAGTTTCCTTATCTCCGTTTTGGCCACAGAGGACCACACAACCATATAGTACTCCATATGGAAGAGAACTAATGCCTCTGTTACTGCCTTTCTTATTGATTCTGTAACGTAGGGAGAACATCTACGAAACCTCTGAGAGGTTTCTGCTCTTGGTCATGTGACGTAGAGCTTAGAGGGATGAACTACGGAAATCTATGAACAGGAAACTGACAGTTGATCTGCTAAAGGAAACAGTTATTTTCCTGTTCACAAACAATAAACTTATGCTAAAAAATGATTTTTTATTATTACTCTGATTTATTAGAAAAAACAGCAGACATAAACATGGCTTAGATTGATATAATTAGGATAATAAAATGATAATAAAACTATATAAACAGTTTAAAAATGCTGCAAAGACCTTGGATAGATATTATAAAGTTACAAAGATGGTTTATAATCCTATATTACATGCTAATTGCTACATAAAAGGTTATAGAGCATTTGTATTTGGATGGGTAGTTTAAGGTGGCAGTTCAGGTCTAAACTCCCTTTAAACGATTGATCTACAGTATACTGTATAAAGCAAACACTGATACTGATGAAATGGTTATTTTTAGGTTCAAACTAGGGCTGCACAATTTTGGCCAAAAATAAAATCCTTTTTTTTCTTCTCTGAAAACTCAACTTTCCATTTTGATTTTTTATCCAGTGACAATTTCACCAAACTTCACTTTAATAAAAAGTTTTTCTATCCTCTCTCAAAACCAAACCACTGAAAACAATGTAGTGCATATGCCAAGCCAGTAAGTGGCGCTGTAAAACTGCACAGGAAATGCACAAAAGACAGAAGAAGAGTACAGATCATGTGTAGAATAAGGGTGTGGAAAATAATCTTAATTAATCGATGCATCGATGCGCATGTGCGCGATGCAACTGCGTCGGCTCATTCACTGGGTATCGATGCAATTGACGGGTTAAATCTAGATTCATCTAGATGGTGGGTATCGGTAAAATCCGATGCAAGCACCGTTTTATTCATGTTAAACTTCACCCCATCTGCTGTCCCCCAGGCGCATTGAATGCACCATCATTATTTCACGTTTTGTATTGAATACGGACGGAAGCCGTGAGGGACATACAATGCACTACTAGTAAAACAGCATGGACCGCATTCAAGTGAGCAGCAGCGAGGAACAGTTTATATGTAATGCACCCGCTACGTTTAAATCATATGTTTGGAAACACTACGGATTTGCAAAGAAAGACGAAAAGCTCGACAAAACGTCCGTCATTTGCAAAGAATGCCGCGTTAAGAAGCCGTACAACGGCAGCACGACAAACATGCAGACCCACTTAAAAAGAGTACACCACATCACCGACAAGTCTAACGCCACCTCCCCTCCCTTAACATTGATTGCACTGTTGAAAGTGTCACTTTAGGTTACTCATTGAGAGTGTTTTGTTGTTGCTGTTTACTGTACTTTTTACAGAAGTAATTATTGTGTAATTGTTTTACTCTTTTATTATTGCAGAACTCACTCAAATCACTGATTTTGTGGCCAGTTAGAAAGTCAACTCTAGCACATTGGTTTGGCAGACAGTAGTATGGCCATTGAATGGTTTATTTGCACCATGTTAGGCAGTGCATTAGTTGTTTAATAATGTGTACTGTAATATTACCCAACAAGTAAAGAGCACTTGTGTGATGTAGGGTTGGGATTGGAATCCTTTTTTTTTTTTTTTTTATTGTATTTTATTGATTCAGATTCCTTAACAGTTGCAGGAGGTCTGTCTAATCTGTGTAACTGTACAAAATGGAACCCAAAGAAGCATAGAAAAAAGACAAACAGCACTTTTGTTGAATTAACTGCCAAGTGCCTTTAAGGAATAAAGCCAAATCCTTTTTGTAGTACCATACTGAATTCCATCTTTTATTTTTATTTCTTTTTTTTCTTTGCTTATTTGCATCATGTTGAATTGCATCATATCGCAACAAATTGCATCATATCGTATCGGATCGCATTGATTTGAACTAAATGATTATCGTATCGTATCGCATCATGAAGAGGGTGAATCGTATTGCATCGTATCGCCAGAAAATTCCATGTATCGTTAAAGTATCGTATCGCTGGCAGTGCATCGAGATGCGTATCGAATCGTCCTCAGTGCTGAGATTCACACCCCTAGTGTAGAAAGGTTGTTTTGGCCGAAACGCACCGGCGCCATAAAAGAGTTACGCTGTGTGTCACATGATCGTTTTCAGAGATGCAGATAGACATCCACACGGAGATGAAATGGTAGTTGTTTACGGATTTATGCGCTCTCTGACCCGTTTTCAAAAAGTAACATTTACAGTCACCTGAAACGCAGTTTCCGTGTGGATGAAACACAGATACAACAAAACAACTTAAGCATTTCCTCCTGAATTTGTTTCCGTGTGGACGGGTTGATAGCGCTTTCAGACAGACTTTACAGCGGGGAGTGGTTTGTTGAAACTGTGAAGCCGTACCAATTCGACAAAACTGACTTACTCTTGTCCTATTTAACCACAAAATTATCGCCATCTTTTGAAAACGCCATGTTTGTTTACATTGGTGTGTGTGGGAACTGGGGAGCACCAACGGTGGCCTGGAGGCGCGAGACATGATAGAGAGGAAAATCGATTTGAGGATTTTTTTTTAACATCGTTATAATAAATAAACCGATTACGATTTAAAATTGATTAATCGTGCAGCCCTAGATCAAACCCGTCCATTTATTACCTAATAAACTGTTTTCTGTTAAAAATATATTATAACTAAGTCCTAACTAAGGTTTATTATACTTTACTAATGAATCATAATCATAAACTGTTGTTACAGCCTGGTATCCATTACACCGCTGAGTCATGATAAAATCTTTTTGCATATTTTAGCTGACTTTTCTACCTCCTTAAAGTAAACTTTATTGTAGAAGCCAAAATATATTTGTTTAGGATATGATCTATAGGTACGTCACTTCCGGGATCGTCACTGAGGGGTGTGGTTTTGGGATGTTTGGCGGGTTATTTAAATCTCATCAGTGCAGTCAGACAATGGTTTTTTGGTAAGCTCTGATAATTTCATCACCATTTCATTCATCCTGTTTTAACGTCATTTCAGCATATCACTTTTTCATTTGAACGCAACGGTTTTGCAGCTGGATCAACGTGTTTTCTTTCCTTTTTGGAACAATAAACCACTTTTTTAACACTCAAACCAGACTGATAATTGAATGAGTCACGGATGCAAGTGAACCTAAACCCCAGTGGCCTTTGAAAGCAGTCACTACATTTATCATAAGTTTTTTTTTTATTTTTTTTAATTGTACAGGGTAAGTAAGTTAAAGTAAGATTACAGGTACGAACACCTGAATGTGCCACCAAATTTCTGTTTCCTTGTTTGCATTAAAGTCATAAAATATTCTTATCCTGTTTAGTCGAGTAAAAAACACTTTCCTGTTATTTCCCCTGTGTGTGTGTGTGTGTGGGCGTGGGTGTGTGTGTGTGTGCAGGTTTGACGGCGAGTTGACTCAGGCTCTGGAGGAAGCCGACAGCGAGAGAGAGCAGAAGGACAAAGCCTGTCAGGAAAACGCCGCTCTGGGTACAGAGATATACACTCTGCGCCGCAACCTGCAGGTTCGGATTTATCTGTTGACTGAACGTGAACGTTTATGCAAACGAAGACGACAAACCGACAGACAAACGGTTGAAAACGTCTCACACTGTTCAGCCCTGCAGTGGAAACTTCAGCTAAAGTATTTCAGAGTTTAATTTTAAGCTCTGCGCTCAGCTGCAGTTTGGCGAGTTTAAAAATGTACAAACAGAATTTTCTCCAAGTCAATAATCCGACTCTTACCTTGTTCATAAAAACTAGGACAAAGACAGTGGTCCAGTTAAATTGCCTAATTGAGCTTTAACTGACTACACTGTGCATAAAAACACACTGAGTGGGAACTTTGGGCATGGATCGTAAAAGGTTGTAAATAAGGATGCTAAATTAAATTATTCTTCGTGATATTTCTCTGGAATAATTAACAAACAATTAGTAAAAACTCATTTAGAAAAAATGTAAAATTTTCCCACAAAAAAGAAACTAAATGCTTTTTTTTTCTGAATCATAAATTGAGGCATTTCTCTGTATTTTTTAAGTTTCATCACAATATAGTGTAGTGGTTTTTTTATATCATTTTTGCAAAGCCTCGTTTTTTTTCTGGTTGTCAAGAATGCTTTGACTTTTTAGTTTGAACATATTCCCATTTCTACAGACTGTGCCTTTAAGAAATTTTTAAGAGTTTAATCTACTCAACAACTGCAACTGGGATCGAAAAGACTGAAGGTCCACAAGAACTGAAGCTAAACTCCTATAGGACAGTTATCTATTTTAAAAGTGAACTTTCAGACCAGATCCATGTTGATGCCTCTCTGTGAAATCTAAAAGCAAACAAGATTTTTTATTTTTGTGTTGTAATTTTTGATGTCTGAAACGGAAACAAAAAGGGGGCATAGGTGTCAACTGAAAAAACTGTCCTGAATGACACATTTGACTGTCAGAAGTCCATGGGATCAAACTCAGGCATGTAGAGGACAAGATCTTAAAAGACCGCTTTGACCACAGGGGGCACCAAAGTTGACAAAAACAAAAAAGTTCCTCACTGGAGTTTTAAAGAATTATCCCGGCGTAAAATTAATTAAGGGTCAAACACACCGTAACATAGAGTTAGACACCCCCTCTAGAGATCAGTGTTGCCGACCGTTTGCTTCTTTAGTTATACCGACTTTAGTAACAACCGCAGGATAGCAATACACAGCGGTCTGAGGAGCCATAAACTTTTCAACTTTGACTAATTTCTTTAGCAAAGAGATTAAACACAGCTCACCCACTCTCTTCCAGCAGCCGCTTGTTTGTAGCGAGACCTCAGGCCAGTCCATTACGGACTACAGCAGGGTGACGCAGCTCAAGGAAGAACATTTATGATAATTCCTTTATCATTTCCTTGAAGTAATATTAATCATTTTTCACCGCAGACGTGGTAGTTCTTCTGCCTTAGCGTCTCGGTCTGATTGCATTTCCATGAAGAAATGAGCGGCAACATTCATCTCTAGAGGGGGTGTCCAACTCGGTGTTACGGTGTGTTTTACCATAAATTAATTTTATGCCGGAATATCTCAAACAGTCAAAGATCGTTACATTCACAGCACAGAAAGAAGATGAAACTAAAAAGTCTAAAAATCAAACATTTAAAATGATTAAACTGAAGTGAAGTTTCATAAAGTTTTCTTGTTTTTATCATTTCCTTAGTTTTATTCTTAGTATGGGCGTTGGGTGATATAACAGCTTCTGAAACTTGAACTCTTTCTTTGTTTCCTGTCTGTTTTCTGACTCTCCTCTCCCATGAGGCCCAACCATCCAAAGTATCCTCCGGTCAGATTAGACTGTTTAACCCCGAGTGGCCCTGGAGACTCTGCAGTAACCCGAGAACAAACCGAGTCAGTCTGAGCTGGAGGATGACGAGCCGAGTGTATCATACAGATCTGTGTGGGTGTGTGTGTGTACGCAGGAGAGCCAGTCGGAGGTCAGCCGTCTGCAGAAGCAGAAGGAGGAGCTGTGCGCTCAGATCCGTGACCTCAGCCTGCCCGTCGATCTCGCCTCCGAGTCGCTGCCTGATCTCAAGAAGCAGCTCCGCCTCCTGGAGAGTCAGGCCAGCGAGAGGGCGCAGGAAATCAGCACGCTCACTGCCAGGATCCAGCAGCAGCAACAGGTGATCTCATCCCCACGTTTCTGGACACCTTCAGGTGAACTCTTTCTCTCTCTTTCTGTCTGTCGTCTGTCTCACCTGGTTTCTCCTCCTTGACGCAGATCCACATGCGCTTTGAGATGGAGATGGAGCGGATGAAGCAGATCCATCAGAAGGAGCTGGAGGATAAAGAGGAGGAGTTGGAGGACGTGCACAAGTCCTCTCAGAGACGGGTATGTCATCACATTAGAACTAACAGATTAAACAGAGGTAGAAAGACTCAGCTGCAGAGCTCCTCACACATTTAGTTTTCACATCAAGTTTTCTCAGAACTCGGACTGTCAGCTGAAACTTTGATCCTGGCTCAGACTTAGATCTGTGTTTGGATTTCATGGACAACAGTTTATGATTAAGAAAATCTGCTTGCTAAAATACGTTGATCCAAAGATGGACGAGTCTGTTTTCAGCAGCTCCGTTTGTGGGTGTATGGGAGCATTGGCGCTCTAACCAGCATCATTCTTTAGATGTTTTGGTGTGAAATATGAGGATATTTTAGCCGAAGGAAACTGAAACATACTGATAATGATTTGGTGTCTGCAGTTTTGTTACAGGCAGATGGTGTTAAATTACCACACAAAACTGATAGATAAAAACAGGGAGCTGTTGAAGAGAGGCAGCACTAAACAGTGATTTTAATTTGGATGCCATTTTTAACATACGAAAAAGGATAAGGGCCACAAGAAGAAAAAAAAAGAAATACAGGAGGGAGATTTTTTTTATTTCCATTTCAAGATTAAAGTCCAAATTTTAAAAAAGTCAAAATTTCGACTTTATTCTCAAAATTTAGATTTTTTTAATCTCGAAATTTTTACATTATTTACGCTATTTTGTAATCATGAAATTTCGACCCTGATCTTAAAATTTAAAAATTTAATCATGAAATTTCATCTTTGTTGATATATTTTCGATTTTTTAATCTTGAAATTTTAATTTAATCTTGAAATTTCGTCTTTAATCTCAACACTTCAATTTTTGATCACGAAATTTTGACTTTATTAACATAATTACTGTAATCTCAAAATTTTGATCTTGAAATTTTGACTTCATTGACATAATTTAGATTTTTTCAACTCGAAATTTTGACTTTAATCAAATTTTGACTTTGATCTTGAAATTTTATCTCCTTCCTTGAATTATTTTTTTTTTCTCTTCATGTGGCCCTTATCCTCTTTCGAATTGACAGGAGATAAAAATGACAGCTGAGTCACCAGAGTGTGACTCAAACACTACAAGGACATGTGAAGGTGATTTAAGTCGACTCAGATGAGCTGACAAATTTTTTTCAGGTTTTCAGGGATGAACACAAAAACTTGATTCTCTGTTTTATAATTCAGACCCACAACAGCGGCCAGTGATGTTGAGTCTCTCCTGCCGACTCTAACCTTAAGTTGTTGTGAGGTAACAAGTAAAACCGAACGAGTGTCCAATAAAACAGCCGTGATTTTACAGAACAGAGGGTCACTCTGCATATCGAGACCATAAAGTGTTTATTAGAGGACCGGACCAACAGAGCAGGAGGCGGTTTTATTTAGAAACTCTTCTGCACATGCACACGAGCTTGGTACCGGTCCAAAATTACTCGTACATACGCGTTCTTCAGACTGTGAGGTCTTCTCTGTCAGACGGGAGCAGACGAGGGGATGGATCTTGCTGAATCCATGTTTCCATCATGTTACGCACAGACTCAAACACAGACTCCACCTAAAAGAGATTCATCAAAGTGACTTCAGAAAGACGGACATCCAAGACCAATCAACAAAGTGCTTGACGTGTTTCAGGTCATAAAGGTGGCTCTATAGAGGTGCACGGGCTACGTTAATTCAGGAAGTTCTCATCTGTGAGCACAACTTCAGACCATAAAACTGGATCACTTTAAGACACAAATCCAGATTTAAGAACTCGTGGAGCCCCACCAGAGGCTGTTGTTAAAGTTTTAGTTTTAGCACCACTTTAGTCGACTGAACAGGAAGAACATTCGTCTGACTGACCTCCAGGAAACCACTACATTTAATCACCACCACAAATCAAGAGTTTCTCCTAAGTTTGGCCGAACCAACAAGGACACAGAGAAGATAAAAGAAAAGGCCAAGTCTCTCCAAACTGGTCCAAACTTTCTTTCCTCTGGTCCATCAGTCAGAGAAATCCTGCCGAGCAGAGATCCAGGCTGTGCAGCAGTGAAAACTAAGAGCGGGCGTTGTGTAAGAGAGCAGTATTGTGTTGTCTGCGTACAGATGGCTCTTTCTGAAATGTCCTTCCTCAGCTGAAAGAATCCTTTTCTTTTCTCTGAATCCTTTTCTTTTTTCCTCTAACTTCATGATGTTACACAACCAGACAGGCAGACAGCAGTTACATCATCACCTCTCTGCAGTTAATACACAACCAAGTATCTGACAACAGGTGCTACAGTGACACCATTACACAATCAGATCTGTGACACTTCCTGTGCATCAGATTCACACGTGATTAGGAGTTTAACCCAAGAACTGTAAGTCATCAGGCCAAAACAGAATCGGACCTGACCTGATGAGACCCAGGTTCTCTCTGAGTTTTTAGGTTTGGAGGTTTGGGCCCCTGGGGTTCAGACTTGGTGGTCTGGCACATCTCACAGGTGCTGGATCGGATTGAATCCAGAACTGAGTTTGGCCTTTACCCCTATGAAAGACTCCACAGCTGATCGCAAGAGTTCTATTTTTCCAGGCGCTGCAGCATGCCAGATAAATTCAGCACAGATTAACCCGTGCTGGAAAGGAAGTCTGGCACAGACACAAAATAAAACAACTGGTTTATTTTCAAAATAAAACACTCTGTGTTTCAGGCGGATCGTATTTCACACCTTGCAAACAAGCGGGGACCCCAATGACACCATGGATGAGGAGATGCTTATTCTAGAAGTCTAGAAGTGGATTTCCTTCTCTGGAAGGACACAATCTACTGCTGATATGGTTAGCCTATGTGGTTAAAGACAACTTGTTCTTGTGCGATTGCACATGAATCCGCAGTTCTTGTGAGTTCTTGCAATTCCTGCTGTCCGTAATCCGCCAAAAAATTCGCCTCACAAATGGATCCGGTAGGAATTGGTGTATGGCGAAAATCAGAGCTGTTCTGTATCTGAGCCGTTCCGTATGCGGTGGAAATACCGGATAAGATCCAGGCAACCCGAGGACAACTATGGTGTCCATACTTTTCCACCTGGGTGATAGCAGACCCATCCATCAGTAAACCCCGCCTACAGTCAACCTTACAACAACCATGGTTCTGCAGATGTGGCACCTGAATGAAGGGAGCTCCCTCTTCACCACAAGGCCCACCGTCAGCCTCCTATGAGAACCAGGCGAGATGATTGGTCCATAAGAGCTTCTCTTCCCTCCTGTGGTCACTTGGCTCATCATAACAGGCCAACACCCTGAATATGTTCAACATTATCCACATGACATGACACATTCCTCCGGGTCACTTTCTGATGCTCACGTCTCCATTAGAGGAGCTTTCAGCAGTGGAGAGGGGTCTGAATGGACCCCTGGGCCAGTCTGCAGCTGCACAGACCCAGACCCAGTAAACTGACTCTTCTCTGTACGAACTGGCATTGACTCCTCCAGCTGGAAAAACTCTTGGAGCTTCTCTACTGGATCAGACATCAATAAGCCTTGACTCTAGTGTTGTGTCGTTCATAAACGTTTCGTTCAAAAGAACAGAACTGCTGAGTGAACGACGTAAATGGAATCACTCTGAGACCTGATTTGTTCCTTTCTCAGTTCAGTTGAGCTCAGCCACGAACCTGGTGTGCCAATCAGGAGTGGAACTGCCGCCTTTGACTCTTTGGTGAAGCAGGCTGGCTGGCTGGCGGAGTCTCGTGATTTGCTCACAGCGAATGAACGACATGTATCAGTTAGACTGTGAACGAAACAAACGACTTCCGAACGACTTGATGCAGGCAGAGGAGGGAGGGGTGTAGCGTTGATCACAAACTGCCGAGCAGCGGTTTGTTCAATGAGGCTAAGATAAAACGGGTCATTATAGTGCCTTTACATTAATGCAGGTGTATAAACTTTCCTGTAAGAAGGATTTAATTTCAGCCGATTTAAAGAAATACGATATTTGCTATATATCTTTAAAAGTATCCAAATACCCACTACAGTGATGTTTTAATTTATTTTTATATATATTTATATTTATTTTTAATCTCTCTACTTTTCCGCCATATAAAAAAAACGACTCGCGCTCCTTTAGCAGGCGTACCACTTGCTGCTTTGTTGTTTCCTCCGACAGCGATGCACAGAGAGGTGAGTTTTTCAGGGAAGGGGAGTGATTCTTCCTTCAGGACTTGGCAAATGAACGACATGTGTCACCCAGTAAATGATGCTGTGACTTCAGCAGCAGAGGAGGGGAGGGGCTTCTACAATGAAAGAACTCGCCGCTGTTTCACTTACTCGTGTACTGCACCGGCAGGACAGGGCTCCGAAGCACTGACTGATTCAGTGAACGAATCATTTAAATGAACAGATTCTAAGGATTCAGTCAAAAGAACTGTTCTTCATGTCACTACTTTACTCTGGTTAATTCTCCTTGGACCCTTTTTGGTAGATACTAACCCCTACAGGTTAGGAACAGTCCAAAACATCAATCTAATCAAAGAACTCATTAGGAGTCATCAAATCCAGCCCCTCTTGATATCGTAACATGGATCGTGATGGTCAGTCGAGTACCGCCGGTCTGCCTCTTTGTTCTGGTCTAATCTGGCTCCCTCTCCACTCTGGAGTGCCTTTGAATCTCTGCGTTAATTAAAGTTTCTTTCCTCTGCAGACTCTTGTTGGTTTATTGAGTTCATGGTTCGAAGGTTTCTGTTTGTTAAGTTAGTTTTTTATGTTCGATGATGTTTTCATGCATCCTGCTGCAGCAGGAAATCTGCTGTCAGGGGCAATAAAAGCTTGTTCCTGCTGGTCGTTCATCACTCTCCTGTTTCCTCTGTGTGTGTGTGTGTGTGTGTGTGTGTGTGTGTGTGTGTGTGTGTGTGTGTGTGTGTGTGTGTGTGTGTGTGTGTGTGTGTGCAGCTGAGGCAGTTGGAAATGCAGTTGGAGCAGGAGTACGAGGAGAAACAGATGGTGATTCACGAGAAACACGACTTGGAAGGACTCATCGCAACTCTGTGCGATCAGGTACAACACAACACAACACAACAGACACATACACACAGACAGGAACACAGGTCTGTTGTTGAAGGACCGTCTCACATTTGTTCCCGACCACACATCCAGCCAAGTCTCCCGCGACATAGATCATTCTTATTGCAGGTTAATGTTCTCCGGCTGATGAATGTGTCATTTCGCCATTACGAGCGCCACAAAACAAGCATATGCAGCGAGGCGTCGGCGGCTGATTTAGCGCTCTGTCTCCATCACTCTGAGGTGGTAAATGGACTCCTGATGGCTGGGAGGACCTGGTCCAGAGCCAAACTGTCAAGTTTGAGTCTATTTAAAGGGGCGTTCCACTATTTTAAACCTGTTGCGATGACAGGCGAATGTGCCCAATTCTGAGACAGAGTAAAATGTTCATAACTATTGATTTTGAAATGTTTTAGGCCCCTCATTTAGATGAAAATAGTAAAATGAGGACAAATCAAAATTAGAAAATGAAATATATTCTTGTTTAGCAAAATTTTGTTGCTTATTTTAAGTTTTTATACCAGTAACAGGTTAAAAGTTTGCACGGAATCGACAAAACAAAATAAACAAAATTTGACATTTATTTTTGGAAATTATGGATCCATTTTAGGGCATCTGAGGGGTCTTAAAACCCCACTCCAATCGTTTTTTTTTTTTACTACTTAAAGTGTTCTCAGTGGTCTTTAAATTATGATTATAAAGTTTTTAGCCAAAATCATGTTACCTGCGTCATTTTAAAGGGTTTTCTTCTGCAGCACTCCAGTAGCTCATTAACAATTCGCCTCTGAGTCGTGGGCAGAGACAGCGCTGCACACTCCTCTTTATGCTAGCTTGCAGCCTAACATTGTTGATGTAGTAGAAGTGGCAGGTAACATAGAAGCTGTTCAGCTCTCAGACTCTAATGTCTTTGGAGACATGATGAAAGTTAGTATCATAATTAGCTTTCTTATGAGCATTTCAATCCGCTAACGCACACGCTTGTTCCATGATTGTCCTCTCTACTTCTCTGAGTCTCGCCTGCATAGCAAGGCTCCGGGGGCGGAGCTTCGATTTGTGACTTAGGAAATCTCGCTGTATCTGAACCTGCTGTTTGGGTCTGCTAGAGATTCAAAGCAATTTGAATGCAGAAAAACTCAGAAATTTAGGACATATCATATTTTTCTCATGATATGTCCTATAGCATCAGAAAAATACAAAAGAGGATTAAGGAAACTAGAACAGAACAAAATAATTACAGTAGGGAATTTTTTTTAAATTTCCATTTCAAGGTTAAAGTCAAAATTTCTGGATTAAAGTTCAAATTTAGAAAAGTTGAAATTTCTACTATATTCATATAGACTTTAATCTCAAATTTTTAATTTCTATATCAAAATTTTCCCAGTATTCATGATATTTTAACATTTTGTAATCTCGAAAATTTGAACTTTAATCTTGATATTTCAATTTTCAATCTCATAATTTCGACTTTATTGACATAATTTTTAGTTTTTTTTATCTCATAATTTCGACTTTAATCTTCCCTGTAATTATTTTTTTTTCTCTTCATGTGGCTCTAATCCTCTTTTGTAGAAAAATGCCATATGAACATGTAGACAACAAGAAAAACATGATTTTGATCAGATTGGGTCTTTGACTTGTTGAAACCTGCGGAGACCCTGATTATCCATGCAAAGAGGAACCGCGTGTAAACATTACCCAGAAACTCCCTGAGCCCAGCGAAGGTGGACTGAGGTGAAGTGGAAAACTGTCCCATAGTCTGCTGAAAAAATATTCAATACTGTGGTTTCAACTTTTAAAAGGAGAATAAGAAAAACAAAGAAAGAAAAATAAACTTTTTAACCCCAGAAAAATTTGGTTTACCTGCTCCCGATCAATGAACGCATCATTTTCTTCACCCCTTACATCTCATATTTAAACCTTAAAGCCATGTTTTCTCTTAAATTTCGGGTTTAAATTATTTGCAAACCATTAGCAGCTGTTTTCATTCAGATTTAGAGTTCCTGTTCCTGCTCACAGTTCTTGTTTTTGGTCTCTGATTATAATGGAGGATCCTTTTAACGGATACTGTGAGGTTGTTATATAACTCTCTTCAAAGCAGAAACAGTCGTTCCTCTGAAGGTCAGGCTGCTGTTTTGGTAAATGGAGTCTGGTGGTTTTCATGTTGTGTCCTCAGATCCTCAGAATAAGGCTGTCGTGCTCATCTTACAGGTCGGCCACAGAGACTTCGACGTGGAGAAGAAGCTGAGGAGAGACCTAAAGAGGACAAACGCCCTGCTGGCCGACGCCAAGCTGCTCCTCTCCACTGTGGACAACCCGGGACAGAACTTCCCCAACGGTAGCAGGGAGCAGATCGAGCGCCTGCACTGTCAGGTACCGTCATCACCTCACCTGTACGGTAATGTGACTCTCCTTCAGGCTGTCAGAGACATTCACTCATGCACTCTCTTTCTTTGTGTTTCATCTCTTAGTTTGAGGAGAGCGAAGCGAGGCGTCTGGAGGCGGAGAGCATTCAGACGACGCTCTCTCAGGAGCTGGAGAACACTCAGATCGAGCTGGAGAATATCTGCAAACAAAAGAGTGTGGTGAGTGTGCAGACGGGCCAAGGTCTGAAACCTGAAACACAATCATGAAGAGACGGAACGACCGAGAGAGATTCTGAGCATGATCATAAAATAAACCGGTTATTTTTTTTTTAAACTTATACAAGTCAGGACCGCATCAGTCCAGGTTTTCAGCAGGACTCCTCTCCATATTGTTGTAATCCCTGTTTGGGATCATATGAAGGTCTTCCCTGAAAATGGATGGTAGCAGATATTGCTCCTAAACATGGAGATATTGTTTAAAACTGAGGATGCAGTTGTCCTTTCCAAAAGAGGGTCAGATTGTGATCCATCAGACCAGAAGACAGTTCTCCTCGTTCCCTCAGTCCACCTAGGGCTGGGCGATAAAACAATAACGATATATATCGAAAATTTCCCTCAATATCAATATAAAACATGGTCAATATCCTTTTCAATAGTCAGCATTCTGCCATATTTTGGTAGACTATATGAATAGCCAATGAAAAGAAGAGTTGTTCTGGGTCCACTTCATGCTAAACCAACCATGTGCTGAATTAGAACCAAGTATCAAACAACTGCGTCGTAGCAGACAGCAGCTACATGCAACTATAGCACTTTAACAGGTGAAGCCGACAGCACTGTTTGTGAGAAAAAAAGAACATGAGTGCTACCCCCGACAGAAATGACGATGAAGGATGACGACATCGTCGAGAACACTGACACGAAAACGTCGGTGATGTGGAGGTATTTTGATTTTTTGAGGTCGGACATGAAGCAGAGTAATGTGTACTAAAAATTATGTTGAGTACACGTTCTCACAAAGTCGGGGAATACCTCAAATCTTTTTCACCACTTAAAGCAGCACCACGCCGCAGAGCACGCGCAACTCAAAAGGTTACAAACCCCGAGGGGAGCAAGGAGCCCATGACGCCTGTGCAGCCGAAACAGCCGACCATTCAGTCCACTTTCTCAAGAGCAATGCCTTACGACAAAACGTCAAAGAGACACAAAGACCTCACAGATGCAGTAGATTATTGTATTGCAAGAGAAATGCTACTAATTAAAACTATTGAATTTCATTTTTATATTGTGATATATATGAATATTGACTGATGTGAAAAAAATATATCCTGATAAACTTTTTCCCATATCGCCCAGCCCTAAGTCCACCTTAAATAGACTCAGGTCCAGAGAAGTCTCTGGTGTTTCTGGATCCTGGTTCTATCTGGTCTCCTCTTTCCTAGTTCAGTCTGATCCTCATTAGTAGATGCAGTAATGAACTAGTTTGAAGTGGTGTGCATTAAACCATATCATTATTTATATTCAACACATGTAAATGTGACTCATGAACATATCTTTTTCTTTTTTCGTAACTTTTTTCAAATCTGTGTTTCTTCATACTTTCATTTCTCTTTGTATGTCTGTATGCTGTAAATTTGGAAGTTCACCCTGTGGGACTATTAAAGGAACATCTCATCTTATCTTATTATGTTCTGTGTCCTTGTTTCTCAGGTGGATGAACAGTTTGCTCTGCTGCAGCACGAGAAGGTGGACCTCCTGAAGAGGCTCGAGGAGGACCAGGAGGACCTCAATGAACTGATGAAGAAGCACAAAGCTCTCATCGCTCAGGTACGGCTCTGGATTCGATTTAGGGTTTGGACTTTTGGTGATCGGAAACTCACGCAGAACTCAAATGTGCATCTCTCTTCATCTTCTTCTTCCTCTTGGTTCAGTCCTCGAGTGATATCTCTCAGATCAGAGAGCTTCAAGCGGAGCTGGAGGAGGTGAAGAAACAGAGGCACTCTCTGCAGGAGGAGGTAAAGCGGCTCTGAGAGGAGGTTCATGAAGGAAATGTCTCAATGTAGAAACAGTCTAATCTGAGATTTTAATGGATTTCTGGATCATTTCACCTCTTCGTTACAGATCTCAGTGTGATCAACTCTCATTCGAGGGCGTGATGGTGCATTAATTTGGCTCTCCAAATGTTTTCTCTCTCTCTCCCCCTCCTTCTTCTCCTCCTTGTCCTTCTATTGCAGCTCCAGCAAAGTGTGTCCAGGGTGCAGTTCTTGGAGTCGTCCACAGTGGGGCGCAGCATCGTCAGTAAACAGGAGGCTCGTGTATGTGACCTGGAGAATAAGCTGGAGTTTCAGAGAGGGCAGGTCAAGAGGTTTGAGGTGAGGAAACTTCATGAATCTGGACTTTAAGGCTGTTTGATCCTCTGCTGGGTTTTTGTTTTAGCCCCGCTATGTTCTGTTCAGGTGCTGGTGCTGCGTTTAAGAGACAGCGTGGTTCGTCTGGGGGAGGAGCTGGAGCAGAGCGCCCAGGCTGAGGCTCGGGAGAAGGAGAACGCACGGTACTACCAGCAGCGGGTGCAGGACATGAGGCTGGAGATGGAGGATATGATCCAGAGGGAGCAGGACAGTAGCCGCAGACGCATGGAGCTGGTAACTGAACTGAGAGACTGACTGTAAATATCTGCTGGTTCTACCCGGTAACTGAATATGTGAGAGCAGCCAAGACAGAAACACTAAACAAACCCCTTAACATCAACTTTTCACTCTTTACAAAATCACTGCAATGTAGATTTTATCTTCCTTCTGCACATTAGGCACAAATACACATTTCTGCTCCATTAAGTAACACTAATAATCTGCAGGCTGTGCACGTGCAGCAGTAAAACAACTTCTGTTAAAAAAGCAATTTCCAAAGTTATACAGGGAAATAAAAACTCATTAAGAACAGAAATAAAGAAACATCAAACTAACTTTCATTTAAAAAGCAATAAAAACAAAAGCAGCAGCAGGAAAATGGATCGAAGGGACAATTTCAAACGACAGCAAATGTAAGAGCGAAACAGACTAAAAAGGACGAATGCGTGTAATTTAGTGTAAAACTGCTCTCTAAGGTTGTTGTCTTAAATAGTTTGAGCACAGATCATGTATTCAGAGAGCAAGTTCAGCCTGAGCGGCTATGAGTAAACGGATGAAATCAGGAAATACAGAAACAGGACTTTGAGGAAAACAGGGTCACCTGAGCGGGTCTGGTTCTGACCCAGTCTATGAGTCACATGAATGATGTTTTTGCTCGTTTACATCGACCAGCTGATCACTGTCCAATCAGCTGGTTAGATTAATTTCTTGCACGTCAGAAACTTATTTTATAATTCAAAGTTTATTATTTTTTCAATGTTGCCACAGAAAAACAAACATCAAACAAGACAGATGTAATGGAGGTCAAAAATAGTACTAATAATAAAACAAATAAATAAGTTAATAAATAAAAGAAAATAAAAATAAGTTAGGCAGGTGAGTTGGCAAGGCAAGAAAGTTAATACATCTGTCTACCAAAACTATCCCATTTTTCTTTTATCATATCATCTCCCAAACATCTTCTTGCATGCTACAGTCCCTATCATCTGTGTTCTCCACATACTCAGTGTGGGAGCTTGGGGTTCCCTCCAACACCTCAGAATAGTCCGTGCACATGTCATTAGACCAGTTTTTAATATTCTAAAACTGTATTTATACAACAGGGGCACCATAGTTCTGTCTCCAAGGAGACATAATCTTGGTGATCTGGGAAGTTTGTAATTTAATGATTTACTCATATAGTCTAAAGGTCCTTACACACTGGAAACGACACAAATATATGACGCGAAATTATGAAATATTCGGAAGCGAATTTTGACGGGCCTGACTATATACATCAAGCCCGATGCGATTTTGCAACTTTCCGGGGGGGAAAAGACGCATCCTGGGTGAAAGCAAGAAGACTGACACAACAGCAGACTGAGTGTTTTTCAGTTCTGATTAGACACTTGTGTTGAGATGGCTGTCTGTCATAATAGCATGTACTGAGTCGGGGCCATTTCTAGATAAGCACATTAAACTATAATCCATAAACGTAAGGTAACAACTGAGACCTAATGGTGCTGTGACAGCAACGCTGTGATTGAGTTTGAGACAATGAAAATACATATGGTATGTTGTATCTGAACAGGTTAGCTTATGAGCTAAAGTTACTTAGCACAGATGAAAGTTAAAACAAAGACGTTTAGCAAACTGTTAAAACACACAAACCATCGTCATATGAGAAATCTGACACTATGGGCTCTATTTTCGTGCGTCCCCTTTATATCGATCTATTCTGATCTATGTCTTATCTGATGAGTGCATTTGGCACGCGTTTGGACACTCCATCTGACCGAATTCACACAGCTGAAACCGCATTAAAATAAATATCCAGTAAACAGTCACACATGATGAAGTTAACAAGATATTTAATTCGTCTCCCTGCTTATCATTCTTCTTCCTCACGCAGCTCGATAGGTGTTGTGCCGTAGAATGCACCCCTGCCGTAGAATGCACCCCTGCATCCCATCCACATAAGTGGAAGAAAATGATCTCATATTTAAAAAAAACACGAGTATTGGATCATGACAACATGTCAAATGGAGCAGCAAACTTTTGTTCTGTTTTTAGGTATGTAAAAAATGCACATACAGAGGTGTACTTGGGTATTTAAACTGTACAGTAAGCTGTTAAGGTAGAGAACATTATATTTTCGGGGCACCAAATATTCCGAATCAGAGGGCTATTGTTTTCGGCTTATCTGAATAGCCTGAATGAAATCATTAAAGGCACACGCTTTTGAATCCATCCAACAGTAAGAAAAAATTGGATTATTTCGCCTTGTTGTGTTCTTTCAACCGTCAGGGGGTGCATTCTACGGCAGGGGTGCATTCTATGGCACAACACGTGACATGTATCCATGTCCTCGCTCCGTCCTGCTGCTGCTGCGGTGGCACGGCTGACCGCATGATTTATTTTAGTGATCAGATGAGTTATTTACTTCAAAAGTTTGAACAAAAAAATAATTAAATAAATAAGAATATAAAATCAAAGAAACTTTGAATCGGATAAACAACTTTCACCTGTTTATCCGATTTTCTCACATCATTAAGATTCTGTAAATATTCAATCCGGAGTTAGGCCCACATACGAATATTATAATAATCAGTTTTGTGAGCCAAATTTATTTTATATGCCAACATCTATGAAAGAAAGAGCCAGGCCACGGAGCGCGATGCGTCATTTACGCACAGGTGGTTACGATTTTAATGCTATTATTGGAATTTATATTGTGATCTCTGTGCACAACCTATCTTTGTCACGTGGGGTTTAGATATATGCAACTTGATGTGAGTGTCTTTATTTGTGGAAAAGGGTGTTTGTCTTACCAGTGGGTCCAACATTACACACACGAAATCCATCTGTGCTTATTTGAGAGAGTGTGAAGTACGCCCTCTGCAGTACTTACAGCGACAATTGTTGAGGGGCTGCCTTCCGTCGCTATTGTGTGGCATTGCTGTCTTCAGACATCTCTTAATCTCTTAGACTACTGCACGAAAATTGTAATACGCCTCGCCGGTGGTGGATTTAAAGGCAAGGAAAGGGGCTCATGTTATTGGTCAATACAGGTCTCAGCTGTGTTAAACCCACTCCACGCCTTCTCTCTTCCCTTCCAACGACTTACGCCGCAGGGAGGAGCTGAGTTAGGGAGGGGGGATACTTATGCCGGGCTGCGCCGCTCACCAAAATACCAAATTGTGCTTGGGAACGCCTTGTCGGAGCGGCGGACCTGACTTACGCCGCGCCTGCAGCACGGCACTGGCGAGGCACGAAAATAGAACCCTATGACTCTCCACAAGTTGTCCTTCAGGTCGTTATCTTTGTAATATTTGTGTTTTTTATCAAAGAGCACTCTGTTCTCTGACATGTAAAAAATCAACCAGTCGACCATGTTGGATAGACCGGTGAATCTGACGTCACAACAACACAAAATCTGATTGGTCAGAAGTGGACACACAGTATGCGAAACTTTAAAAATTCGACCGTGATATAAAAAAAATAAATGCTGCAATATCTCAGGAAGGGAAAACTTCGCTGATGTGAACACTTGTATTGGCAGGATACGGGTTTGAAAAAAAATATCGACATCTGAAATGCAGCTGGGGATGCCTTTGTGTCCTGAGCTCTGGGTGTCTTTGCTGCTTTGCTACTTTGCTGTCTCTGCTGCAGAAACGTGACTCGACTCCATCCCTTCCGTAACAAAGAGGGAAGGATAGGTGAGGAGATGGAGGATGGTTCAAAAGTTGGAGCGGCTGGAGCGGCAACTGAAGTAAACAAAGTTAATGTGGGAGGGGGTGAGCAGCTTATGGAGTAGTTATCGTCCATTTATCGTTATCGAGGTGAACTGATCAGTACCTTGTAAGGTACTGATAGATAGATAGATAGATAGATAGATAGATAGACTTATTGTAGGCAGATAGATAGATAGATAGATATGACTTATTGTAGGCAAATAATAAAACCTGACTGGACTTTGGTCGGCTGTCTGGAGCTCAGTGAAAGCAGATACAGTTTTCATATAAACCTGAACCCGGTGTAGGGGCGTGAAGTCACAGATTTGTACTTGGGAAGTAGGTTTTAATGTGGAGATGATAGCTGCTGTTCTCTAAAATAGAGAAAGGAAGGAAATGTAGAGAAAGAAATAAAAAAGTCTCTGAGAAAAAACAAACCAAACAACGAGTGAGTAAAACTGTGGAGAGAGGTAGAGCATTTAATTTTAGAGGAGAAGAGTCCTGGAAAAACAGAGACACTGCAGACTGTTGAACTGATCTGAACCCGGCATCGGTCAAAAATAAACTGAAGACTCAACAACAGGAGACACCAACAGAGAGTAAATACTGTAGAAATGTTCTGAATTAGATCAAATTGGAATGATTGGACTCTTTAAATCGACTGGAGGCTTTTTCACTACTGTTGACGAGAGAGCGAGCGAGTCCAGCGGCAGGATCAGCACCTTGGAGAGCGCAAAAACCTTCTGCAGGGCTTAATTTTTGCCCCAGCAGGGTTCAGACTAATCCTGCCCCGCTGTGCTGGGATTAGCTCATGCTCACTGTCTGGAAGTTTTCTCCGGGGTTTTCCGCTGGGAGATTTTTCCACCGAGGCCTCTGAGTCAGAGAGTACGGCTCCAACTTGACTCCATTTAGATTTATAACCTTCTCCAAGACCGGCTCAGCAGAGTCTGACCTTTTCACTCTGGCCAAGTTCACAACACATCCCTGAAGTTTAGGTGAAGTTGTTTCCTGGTTTAAAAGATCAACCTGCTTCTCCAGCCATCGTAACGCAGCAAAGAGGAGTATTGAGGAAAACTAGGGGTAGTGAGAAAGAAGACAATACCTGTGACAAAATCGATTCAAAATTAGACTTTTTAAAATATTTTAAGTAGTAGAAGTTAGGGCTGGGCGATATGGCCTCAAATCAACATCACAGTGAATTGATCAGTTCACCTCAATAATGATAAATGGACGCTAACTTCTCCACAAGCTGCTCACTGCCTCCCACATTAACTTCGTCTACTTCAGCCTCTGTCAATCAATCAATCAAATTTTATTTATATAGCGCCAATTCACAACAGTCGTCATCTCAAGACGCTTTTCAAAGAACAAGAGCAGGTCTAGACCACGCTCATTGTTTGATGATCAAGACCCAACCTTAGATGGGTTTTGGCCCATCTCAACTAACATGAGTAGCAGTGGCAAGGAAAAACTTCCTTTTAACAGGCAGAAACCTTGGGCAGGACCAGCCTCATGTTTGACAGCCACCATGCCTCTGCTCCAGCCGCTACAACTTTTGAACCGTCCTCACCTGTCTTTCCCTCTTTGTTACGGACTGGATCGGGTGGAGTCACGTTTCTGACGTAGGACAGCGTCTTAAAGGGACAGGAGACCATAGCCTACCTACACGCATCCGAAAACTATTTATTTTCTTGACACAGAATATACTGACATGGGCAAAATGACGTCGGTTGTTGTCGTAAATTTCGATATTGGTGAATTTTCGGTTTATCGCCCAGCCCTAGTAGAAGTTATCAGATTGGTGGAGGTAGTTGCAGCTGTTGCAGCAGTAGTTGTAAATGTGGTGTTAAAAGTAGTAAAAGTATTGGCAGTACGAGTCAAAGTAGAAACGGTTGCAGGAGAGGTTGTAGTTGCAGTAAAAAAAGCAGCAGTAGCAGAAGCTGTGATAGTTTAGGTCATGATATAAATAGTAGCAGTTAGAGTAGATGTGGTAGCACTAGAAGCTGTATTAAAGTAGTTTTAGGAGCAGCTGTGAGTTGCAAAAGCAGGAGAAGTAGGAATCGCGGTGAAACTTTTAGTCGTAGTAGAAGTAGAAGAAGTAGTGGTAATAGTTTAGGCAGCAGTAGAACTATTGTTGAAGTAGTTGTCAGACTTTCAGGGATTTGTTCAAAGACTTGCTAAGCAGTAGAAGAATATTTGAAGTTAAACTAGAAGAAGTATAAGTACTAGAAAAAGAAGAAGTAATTCTATAGGTAGAAATATAAATGGTGGATGGTGTTAGCAGTCAAAGCAAACTTAAAGGTGGGGTAACTAAAGATGCTTCTTGAACAGAATCCGTTAAAGAAGCATATTTTTTTGTGGTTTTTATACAAAAATAGCTTTTAATATCAGTCAGTATCTTTTAGTTATTGATGACATTTGGGAATATCACGATATCACCGTGTTCAAAGCCGTTCTCCACCTCCCCAACCTGATTGGTTGAGAGGCCGGCTATGTGACAACAAAATGCGTGCACGAGCGGACCCAAAACAATCTTGTGACGATGGCGGACAGTGGAAAGCAGCTGGAGAAGTCGGAGAAAAAGTCGTTTCCTCTTTTGGTCACCACTTCCTACACTCTAAAGAAAAAGATCAAAATACCGAGGAGGACTGTAGTTAAAAAACAGCAACTCAAGAAGAAGAGAGGCCAGTAAACATTGGCTTAGTGTTTGAACGATGGAGAACTGTGATTTAATGTGATTTAAGAAATTTTAGATCAGATGCGAACTGTGATTTAAAGTCTTCTTACCTCAGAAGGTCAAATCGTCTGTTGATGAATTGCCAGTAAATTGGAGCAATGTGAGCGAGCGCAGGCGTTAGGTTGTGGGCGGGGCTTTCTGGAGCAGAGAGGGAAGGGAAAGGAGGAGCTGAGGGGAAAACCGGAGGGGAGGGGTTGTGTTTACATTCAAGTTCTCTACCAAAAACTGGTGTTTATTCATATCCTGCCTACCCTACCTTTAAGGAGAAGAGGTTAAATGAGGTATTAGGAGTAGAATAACAAAAGTAGTGGCAGTACTAATAGAGGTAGTAACAGATGCAATACAGCTCACAGTAGACATGGTATTGTCATAGTTGTAAGAGTAGCTGTAGTTCACACAGGAACAGTTACAAAAGCTAATGTCAAAGTCATGGATTTAAAGAAAAGGTGGTCTTCTCCAAAATCAGGGTTTGGTTTTATTAAAAAAGACTGTTAAATTAAAGACGAAGGACTCTCTGAACGCCGTGGTAAAAGTCTTGAGGTTTTACCCGATTTGTATTTTCTTCTTTTATTTCCTCTCCGGTCCCGTTTTTAGTTCAAACTCTCGTTTCATAAAACCCCAAACAGCAGCATCAGAAGAAAACCTTTAAGACACATAAAAACCTCTCAGACCAGAGAGGTGGATATTTGCGGCTCACTTCCTCCCTGCCCACAGATCACCAGCGCTCCACTTCGGCCCCGGCTCAGGCTGCTAAATATAAACCCCAAAAAGTATTACTCATATCCGAGCTGGAGCTGAGAGACAACATTTTAAGCAAGGCCGGTACTTAAAAAAAACCCTGGCAGGAAACAACTTCCTCCAGGCGATGATGATTGAAAGCACACCCTCCCTCCTCTCTCTCTCTCTGCTCTGCTCTCATAAACAGAAGCAACAGCTGGTGGTTTATCTGGATCGTTCCTGCTCAGGTTTGACGATGGCAGCAGGGGGGAGGGTCCCTGAACACACTCACACACACCTGAACACTCATCCGTCATAATTACTGCTTTGTTCTCATAATCGGATTGAACAAACAGGAGGTGATCTTGGTGGGGCGGTTTGACATCATCGCTTCAGACTGATCAGAAGATTTCAGCAAATTTACTCACAATGCTCACTGATTTAGAGAGTAAACAGGAGCTGAGCTTTTTACCACAGTGTCAACAGGAAGAGGGGAGGAGTCAGGGTTACCCCCAATTTCCACCGAATCTGGAAAGGCTATGAAAAGGCCGTATCCTCCGATCGTAGCTGATTGTAACCATTCAAGTTAATGTGTCAATTTCCACCGGCTTCTTTCTGTTCAGCTGCGGCTCGTCGGACTCCACAGCTGATCACAAGAGTTCTACTTTTTTTCGGACGCCGGAGCGTGCCGGATAAATTCAGCACAGATTAACCCGTGCTGGGAAGGAAGCCAGGCACAGACACAGAATAAAACATCCGGCTTCTTCTCAAAATAAAACACTCCGTGTTTCAGGGGGATCGTATTTCACACCATGCAAACAGATGGGGACAAAAAAGTGAGAGGTTTTACAGGTCATTTCACCCCGATGACACCATGGATGAGGAGATGATGATTCTAGAAGTCTAGAAGTAGAAGGACACAATCTACTGCTTATATGGTTAACCTATGTCTGGCTTTATTTGTCAACCAGAGATGGTGTAACCCTTCACACATAACTGTCAAGGAGAAGTTGTGTTGTCCAGATATTGAACTGTTGGCAGTTGCTCTTCGGCCATATTATGTTCCCAGAGAATTTAGTCAAATCATAACAGTAGTTTGATATGTAGTCAGGTAATCACAGATTACCTGACAGGAAGGCCACAGTTTGTCAGATTGGGGAGCTGTGTTTCTGGGACATTAATGAGCAGTACAAGGGCTCCACAAGGGACAGTGCTGGCACCATTCCTGTTCACACTGTATACGTCAGACTTCAAATACAGCACTGAGTCCTGCCACATCCAGAAATGATGAAACCGCTATTGTGGCATGTATCAGAAACGGACAAGAAGCTGAATACAGAGATCTAATAAGAGCCTTCAGTGACTGGAGTCACAAAAACTGTCTCCTCCTCAACACCTCAAAGACAAAGGAGATGGTCATAGACTTCCGTAGATCCAAACCCCCTCTTCAGCCAGTGAAAACCTGTGGAGTGGACATCGAAGTGGTGACATCATATAAATACCTAGGCGTACATCTGGATAATAAGTTGGATTGGTCTAAGAATAGAGACTTCATCTACAGAAAGGGGCAGAGCCGCCTCTTTTGCCTGAGAAGACTCCGATCAATAGACATCTGTAGTAAGACGCTGCAGATGTTTTATCAGTCTGTGGTGGCAAGTGTTCTGTTCTACGTTGCAGTCTGCTGGGGAGGAAGCATCAAACACAAAGAGGCAAAATGTCTTAACAAACTGTTGAAGAAGGCTGGCTCTGTGGTTGGACTCAAGCTGGACTCAGTGGAGGATGTGGTGAAGAGATCTACACTGAGGAAGGTGGAGACTATTCTCAAAACATGGATCCCCCACTTCACAACACCTTGATGGACCAAAGGGCAAATGGTGGTGGACGGCTCCTCTCTCTTCGCTGCAGGACAGAAAGATTTAGAAGATCTTTTGTACCGACAGCCATCAGGCTTTATAACTCTTATGGATCCCAACCCCCTCTATCGGCTGCGCTGATACATGAGCTCCAGCCCGACAGCTAGCCATGAGCTAACAAGCATCTAGCACTGTATTTTCATTTTGCCACCAAATTTCAACCTTTAAACAAACACAGAGCTGGGGAGGATATCGTTTGAGTTTCTGGGATTAAATAAACACCCCCGGTCACATCGGCCATGGCTGGAACGCCGTAAGAGAGACTTACCTGAGATTTCCACCAACAGCGGGCCCTCTTCCGGGGCTCTTGCCGGTAAGTCTCCTCCCGTGTTGTCTGATCTGCTACCTCACCGCTGCGGGCTCCAGGACGGAGCCCTGGCATGTAAGTGTCCTTCTCGGCACAGTCCAATTCCTGATCCAGACTGTCCTCTGTCAGATCCTGCCTTGTGTCGTTGGCTGCCTGCTGGCTGTTGCTCTTTCTGTTTCAGCCATGGCTCCATGCTCCTCTCCATCTGGCTGTGCCAGCTGCGCCTGTCTGGCGGAAAAGATCCAGGAGCTGGAGAGAAGGATCTCCACCCTCTACCAGATCCAGGGAGCCGAGAAACTCATGGACACCATCATATTCAGAACACCACATCCCGACTCCACCGGCTCATCGTATCCAGACCCTGCCACTCCCAACACCTCTCCTCTGGCTGCTGCAACCACCTCTCCTCCGCCTGCTCATCCATCCCTCTCCCCCGATGTCTCCTCGACAAGGCTGGGAGCAAAACCCAAGGCTAAACCAGAGCCTCCGGCTAGCTCCACTCCATCCCTGCAGGAGCACTGGTCCCACATCACCGCCCACACCGGGAAAACAAGGCTCCCACCTCAGGCTCCCCTCTTCCACCTCCACCTGGAGAACAGGTTCGACACCCTGGACCTCCATGACTTCCCCCCACTGCCCGTGGGATCCCAGACGATGTCCACCCGGCTGTCTCACGGGTCCTCCAGCTCTCCGCCGTCCCTGTCCCATCCCGTCCGCCCCCCGTGCTCAACCATCCGCACGCCGGATCCCTCTGGCGGTGCTCGATGCCGTGCTTCACACCTGCACCGCGGCTGGCCCGTGTCCCGTCTCGTCTCCGATGTCCTCCTCGGCAAGTTCCCCCCCTCCTCCGACATATTCCTCTCCGGTCACGCAGTCTCCACGTCCACTTTTCCCTCTGACGACTTTCATTGTGGGCGACTCCATCGTGAGAAACATCCGCTTTTTTAACGCTGTCACGCAGTGTTTCTGCGGTGCGAGGGTCCTTGACATTTTAACACTCCTCCCCACTCTGTTAAAATCTCTCCTAACTTCCATCCAGAGAATCATAATCCATGTCGGTACAAATGACACGTCCCTCCACCAGACCGAGCTCACGAAGGACCATTTTACCCAACTTTTTAACTTCCTGTAGAACTGTGAACTGTCTGTTTTTATCAGTGGTCCCATTCCCACTTCTGGTCGTGGGTGCGGGCGCTTCAGCAGAGTGTTCAGCTTGCACACCTGGCTCCAATCAGCCTGCCAAGCCCATAGCTTTGCCTTTGTGGACAATTTTAATCTTTTTTGGAACCGTTCGTCCCTTTTTAAAGTGGATGGTATCCACCCGAACACTACATGTTAGCGGCTTACCTGCAGCACACCGTACACTGTTCACCATGTGACTGACTATTTACCCCCCCCCCCCACACACACACACACACACACACACACACACACCCCTCTCCCTCTGTGATGCACCCACTCACCCACTGTTGACAGGTCCTCTCCAGAGCTCCCCCTGCTGGCAAATTCTGTCACCGACTCCCTCTGCCACAGGTCTTCCCGTCGTCCTTTTCCCACTCCCAAATAATCACAGTAGCATCCAACTCCTCCCTATTCCTGTCCATATCACCAACAGTCACCACTCTGATAGAAACACCACCCGGACTGTCAATCACTCTGTTTTAGCAAGCCCATACATGCTGGCTCCCATCTTCACCAAACATGACAATACCTCTGTCAGCTTCGGACTTCTCAACATCCGCTCACTCACCAACAAGGGACACATCATCCACGATCTCCTCACTGACCGCAAGCTGGACTTCCTCTGCATCACTGAAACATGGCAACAACCAAATGACTTCTCATCACTCAACGATTCCACCCCCCCGGACTTCACCTACCTCTCCCACCCCCGCAGCCACGGCCGTGGTGGAGGTATCGCCGTCATCCACCACAAGAAGTGGAAGGTTCTACCGCTGTCCCTGCCTCTCTTCTCCTCATTCGAACTTCTTACACTCCCTGGACCCACTCCCACCATCATCGCCACCATCTACCGCCCCCCCAAGCCCCACACCGACTTCTTAAATGACTTCTCTGTTCTACTCACCCATCTATGCACACTCTCACCAAACACAATAACACTGGGGGACTTCAATATCCACATTAACAACACCAACCTGCCACTCATCAGAGACTTCTCATCATGCCTGAACAGTTTTGTACTCCATCAGTTCATCAACTTCCCGACACACACTAAAGGACACACTCTGGATCTACTCTGCTGCTCTAGCCTCATCCCATCCAACTGCACAACCGATGATCTCTATGTAAGTGACCACCTCCTCATCTCCTTCAGTATTCCTCTCTGCCTCTCTAGAATTAAGTCACCATGTCTCATTTCATTCCGCAATCTTAAGAACATAAACACTGACACTCTGCGCTCTAACATCAACAATATTTTGATCCCGGACTGTTCCGCTACCCCTGATGAAATAACATCCCATTACAACACTTGTTTAAATAACATCCTCAACTCCCTTGCTCCAGTCAAAACACGCTCTGTTTCCTTCTCCACAACTGCTCCCTGGTACACCCCCCATCTCCTCTCCATGAAAACCAAAGGCCGCCAACTGGAAAGACTCTACAAGAAAACTGGACTCCCCATTCACAAAGAAATGTACACTAACGACATCCGCCGCTACAAGGACTCAATTTCTTAAGCCAAGACAGACCACTACTCCGCCCAGATCATCTCCAACAAAGGAAACACCAGATCACTATTCACTGTCCTCAACAAGTCTCTCCAGCCACCGGACTCCCCCCCCACCTGTAATCAACCGACACCTGCAACACCCTAATGCAGTTTTTTAATGACAAAATCTCCAACATCCACCAACAACTGTACTCAGGCTCCCTCCCCCCTGCACCCCCTCCGACCCCACCAACTCCCCTGCCACACCGTCAGTACTTCTCCAGCTTTCTTCTCCCCGTCGACTCTGAAATCCACGATCTCATCCGGAAATCCAAACCCTCAACCTGTCAGCTGGATCCCCTTCCCACCACACTGGTCAAATCATGCCTCCCGTCTGTGCTTCCTCTCATATCTGCCATCATTCACTTCTCACTCACCACTGGAACTGTTCCCGCATCCCTCAAGACAGCAGCCATCACCCCTATCCTGAAAAAACCTGGCTCTGACCCCAATAACTTCAACAACCTCCGCCCCATCTCCAATCTACCGTTCACAGCCAAAATACTGGAAAAGGTCGTCGCCAGCCAACTACACACCCACCTAACCCAGAACTCCCTCTACGACCCCTTCCAATCTGGTTTCCGCCCCCGCCACAGCACCGAAACCGCACTGCTAAAAATCACCAACGACCTTCTCACTGCAGCTGACTCAGGTTCACTTTCCATCCTCATCCTCCTCGACCTTAGTGCAGCCTTCGACACTATCTCCCATCCCATCCTCCTTCATAGACTCTCCTCCATCGGCATCACCCACACTCCCCTCCGCTGGTTCCACTCTTACCTCTCAGACCACACACAGTTCATCCAGCTCAAATCCGTCAAGTCCGACCCCTCCCCAGTCAGTTCAGGTGTGCCCCAGGGCTCTGTCCTGGGGCCCCTGCTGTTTATCACCTACCTCCTCCTCCTTGGTTCCATCTTCCGTAAATTCAACATTCAATATCACTGCTACGCGGACGACACCCAGCTCTACCTCTCCAGCTCACCAAACTCCACCCTCCCACCCACCTCCCTCATCACCTGCCTATCCGAAATTAAATCCTGGTTCACCTCCAACTTTCTCCAACTAAACAGTCAGAAAACAGAAATTCTTCTAGTAGGTTCCAAATTCACCCTATCCAAAGTTGACAGTCTCTCCCTTCCCATCGACAGTTCCTCAGTTTCCCCCTCCCCTCAGGTCAAGAGTCTGGGTGTCGTCCTTGACAGTTCTCTTTCCTTCAAATCCCACATCAGCCTTACCACTCGGACTGCCTACTTCCATCTCCGCCACATCAATCGGCTCCGTCCCTCCCTCTCCCCCAACACCACCTCCATCCTCGTCCACAGTCTCGTCACCTCCCGTCTGGACTACTGCAACTCCCTCCTCTTCAGTCTCCCTCACACGTCTCTCCATAAACTTCAACTGGTCCACAACTCCGCTGCCCGGATCATCACCAAAACCCCTTCGTCCCACCACATCACCCCCATACTGCAGCAGCTCCACTGGCTCCCGGTCCCTCTACGAATCCAGTTCAAAATCCTCCTGTATACCTTTAAAGTCATCCACAACCTTGCCCCTCCTTACCTGTCTGACCTCCTCCACATCGCCACTCCATCACGCCGCCTCCGATCCTCTTCCTCTCTCCACCTCACATTTAATTTTAATTGGTATTATTTATTTCTTTATTTATTCATTTGCTATTGTTTATGTTGCTTTGTTGATTTAACTGTTTTGATGATTGATGATTTTAATTGTTAATAGTGTTTTGTTATTATTTTATATGTTCTGTAAAGTGTCCTTGAGTGACATGAAAGGCGCTCCAAATAAAATGTATTATTATTATTATGTAAATAATAGATAACTTTTATAAACATATTATGTGAGACGACAGACAATTGAATTTCCCTTCGGGGATCAATAAAGTTCTTCTTATTCTTATTCTAATTCTTATGTGGCTGCGGGTTCTTGTAAGTTCTAGTGATCCCTGCTGTCGGATTCCTACGAATCCGGTAGGAATTGGCAGATGGCGAATATTGCCGCCGTTCTGGATCAGCGCTATTCCGGATGCGGTGGAAATCCCGGGTTACTCCATGAACCGTAACCTTATATGGTTATGTGGCTGTCTTCATCGAAACAACTGGTTATCGCGCAATTGCACCTTAATCCGCGGGTTCTTGTGAGTTCTCGCGATTCCTGCAGTCAGCAATCCGCCACGAAATTCACCTCACAAACAGATCTGGTAGGAATTGGCAGATGGCAAATATTGCAGCCGTTCCGGATCGGAGCCGTTCTGGATGTGGTGAAAATTGGGGGTTAGGGGTGGGAGGATATTGGTGAAAGAGGGAATGGGTCATATCTACCTTCTGCAGATCTAGACAGATCATAGCTTCAGCAAACTTCATCATCAGAGTGTGTAATTAGTGACTTGGTTAAAGGGATATTTTGGCGTAAAATTAATTTAGGGTCAAACACACCGCAACACCGAGTTAGACACCCCCTGGAGAGATGAATGTTGCTGACCACTTGCTTCTCTAGTTATACCAACTGTAGTAATGACTGCAGGATAGCAATACACAGCAGACTGAGGAGCCATAAACAAACCTCAACCAAAAGGCCACTCTATAGCCACAAATAATGCTCAGAACAGCACCTAACTTCATCAACAGGACATATAGGGTCCCAGCCATAGTACTAGCCACCAAACATCTTTTTAACTTTGACTAATTTCTTTAGCAAAGAGACTAAACACAATTTACCAACTCTCCTCCAGCAGCTGCTTGTTTGTGGGGGAGCCCTGACGAGTCGATCACCAAGTGCAGTAGATCATTTCCTTGAAGTAATAATCATTTTGTACTGCAAATGCGGTGGTTCTTCTGACTTAGCGTCTTGGTTCTGATTGCAATTCCATGAAGAAATGATCATAAATTTTCCAGATGCAGAAGCGCTGAAAACCTGCAGTAATTCGAGTGTCCATTTGGAGCTGTCTGCAGACGCAACAGGAACCACACACTCACTCAGACAAAAAACAAGCCAATTTTTACAGCAACATTTACGCACTAAAACTTAGATGTAGAATAGGGTTTGGTCTTCAACTTTATGAGGTTAAAGATTGGCCAATCAGAGGATGGCTGATTTGACTGACAGGAAGCTACACAAATTTACTACACAGGAAGCTCAGTGATTGTCTCTCTGCGTTTAAACTCTGACGCCGACACATTGATAAAAATTAAATTTCCTCTGAACTCCCCTTTGATTAAAGTTGTACTGGGTGTGTTTTTATGTTGTAACATGTCAGTGTTTCAGAGTGTGTGTTTGTGTTTAGAGACGCCGTCTGCTCCCCCCTTTGCTCGTCTGTTCACTCGCTCGCTTGCTGCAGATTTTCTCAGTGACCTCTGAGCCAAGAGAAAGAAAACAGGGCTTCAATAATTATTCACATATTAGCACAAAGCAGGCGGCACACACAAGGATGCCCTTTAACAACCCACTGACTACACACATGCACGCAACATCACACACACACACACACACACACACACACACACACACACACACACACACACACACACACACACACACACACACACACACACACACACACACACACACATGCTCACACACTCATCCTCTTCCTCCTCTTCCTCCTCTTCCTCCTTCACCAACGTTCTTCGTCATCTCTCCCTCATCCTGCTTCTTTCTCTCTGACTGTGATTAATCCACATTGTCTCCTCAAGGTTATGGGCACACACACACACGCACACACACACACAGAAATACACACATTCATACATGGTTATGCGTCTCTATGACAACTGCTGCACCCATACTGTCTCCTCAAAGCCAACAGAGCCAATAACTTTGAGAGCCTAGAAGCTGCTATACCTGTGTGTGTGTGTGTGTGTGTGTGTGTGTGTGTGTGTGTGTGTGTGTGTGTGTGTGTGTGTGTGAAAAGAAAAACACAAACAGACGGGGATGAATTAATAAATCACTCTTTTCTCTGTGTGTCGGCGTGCACATGTGATGATTTCTCCTTTGAGCACAGCGACTCGGAGGTCACATGACCGTGCGCGTGAGAGAGAGAGGACATGCCATTGGATGTTGTGTGTTTGACTGATGAGGTAATATGGCAGCGAGCGGAGGTAATTGCTGTGGCGTGCGGGCCTCGGGGGGGTTTCACAGGTTGCAGAGCGAGGGCGTCGGTGTTGAAGGTGAGCGTGTTCCTCGCCTCAAACAAACATCCTCTAATCGGTGGCGTCTGTTTGAACAGGAGATGCAGGTGGAGGAGCTGAGTGCCGTCAGACAGGCGCTGCAGGCTGACCTGGAGACATCCATCCGGCGCATCGTGGACCTGCAGGCGGCGCTGGAGGAGGTGGAGTCGAGCGATGAGAGCGACTCAGAGAGGTAAGTGTTTTCACGGAGGGAGGAGGTCAAAGGTCTTCAAATGATCGTGTTTGTATCTGTAAATTCACACTGTTCACCATTTTGCTCTTCACTCCAGTGTTCAAACTGCTGTGGAGTCCCTGACTCGAAAGAAAGACCTGTGAGAGAACCAGGAATGTGTGTGAGAGTGGGTCTGCGTATGTTTGGTGTGACCCAGAAACAGAAATATTCTGACCCGGGACTGATTTCTGTGTATTCAGGGGTCCAAATGGGCTTGACACTAACTTTTTTTCAACTTAGGAGCACATGTGCCATTAAGTTGAAAAGTAAGGAGCACACAAAGAACTTTAGGGTCACATTAATAAAGAGGCGTGTCCCATTTTCTGACCTTAGTACTATTATATAAAATCAATTTTAGGTCAATTGGTCACGTGACATGGAAGCGATTGAAGGAAAACAGCCTTTTCTGAGAACATCAACCGGTAATTTATCTATGGTCCCTTATTCGATACCCGATGTTGACAGCGAGGGTGCCGAGTAGATTTAACCGCGCTGCTGTTGCTATTCCCGGTTATGGAGAGTGAGAAGACACCGGTAGATCCACAGTGAATGTCCGTCGAATATCAAACCTAAAACTAACCTGGCCGTGGTATTTACATGAAAGAAAAACATTTGTTGCCTCGGCTGATTTTTTTTAAGGCGCACATGTGACACTAAATATATTTTACAATTTGCACACATCTATTTTTAGTCGCGAATACAAGTTAAACAGTCACACTGTGGAGCCTTGTAACCTGATTAAACTGTGAGTGGATCAAACACAGACATCACAGTCTGCTCACCATCACAACCATTTTACCTCCACATGACAAACATCTACGGATAAGACACTGGCTTTGCTCATCACGCTTTTATTTTGACATTTTTCTGTCTTGCCCTACATTTGCGTTACAAAACCATGCTTTTATTTTGAAGTACATGACTCCTGCAAGATCTGCAGACACAGAACTGAATGAAAACAGTCAAAAAAAGGTTTGAAAATGTTTCATTTATTAGTATTTCTAATATTTCTGGGCGATTTTAGCTTTTATTGACAGGACCGGGTAAAATGTGGGGAGACAGAGAGAGAGGGGGGAGGACATGCAGCACATGGTCAGGGACGGACTCAAAACCACGACCGCTGTCACCATATACAGGGCATGCAAATGGCAGAGCGGACTAGCGCGCCACATAATCTCAGCATGTTGTAATCTTTAGTTTTTAAAAGTGTTGAATCATTTCTCGGAGGGATGCCGCAGCTAGCACACTAACACCTGCTTCTTCTTCTTCTTCTTTTTCTTCATCCCTCTTTTATTATGATATGTTTCTAAGGTTTCCAAATTCTGACTTTGCAAAAAAAGTCACGACTACGCAGGGGCGGAGTTACACAAATTTAGTTTTGAGAGTTTTTCGGGTCGGATCGAGTGTCTTTTACGTGCTTTTAACTCAGTAAATCCGCGTGACACAAACTCGATGCACAAAACTGCAGACATTTGAAGGATTTTATGAACTTCCCCAGCCAAAAGCTGGACAGCTCCCAAAAAAAGAGGACATATGGTTGGTCACCCAATATGTAGCAGCCATCATAACGGATCAGGACTTTTAAATAGATGTTTGACTGGGATTAGATTGCAGACATCGCAGCATGTTTCACAGGAATAATCCAGGCCGTTCATTCATTTGGACCCCAGAATATGTCAAAATCTGACCCTGGGTCAGTTTCTTCATTGAAAATAAAATTTAAGTTTATGATCAACTCAACCTGATGAAGGATAATTCCTGTCCACTTTTTAATCTGAAACTTCATTAAAAGAAGTCAAAAAAGAATTAAGTCAAACCTGAAACTGGAATTATCCTTGAAGGTGTCTCTGGTGAAAATGGCTAAATGCACGGCTACTAACAGTCAATGAGCCACTTAGTCCTTGATTGCCCACCCCTGCTCTATAGGATAAGCCCCAATTTCCACCGCATCTGGAACGACAGCAATTTTTGCCGTCCGCCAATTCCTACTGGATCCATTTGTGAGGCGAATTTCGTGGCAGATTATAGACAGCAGGAATCATGAGAACTCACAAAAACCCATGGATTCACGTGCAATTAGCGCAATAACGAGTTGTCTTTAGCCACAAAGGCTAACCATATAAGCAGTAGATCGTGTCCTTCCAGAGGAGGAAATCTACTTCTAGATTTCTAGAATCATCATCTCCTCATCCATGGTGTCATCAGGGTTAAATAACGTCTAAAAACCGTTAACTTGTTCGTCTCCGCCCATTTGCACAATGTGAAATACGATCTGCCTGAAACAGGAGTGTTTTATTTTGAAAAGAAGCCGGATGTTTTATTTTGTGTCTGTGCCGGACTTCCTTTCCAGCACGGGTTAATCTGTGCTGAATTTATCTGGCATGCTCCGGCGTCCAAAAAGAACCTAACTCTCACGATCAGCTGCAGAGTCCAGCGATCAACAACGGAAAGGAAGGAAGCCGATGGAAATTGACACATTAACTTGAATGGTTACGATCAGCTACAATCGGTGGATACGGCCTTTTTCGCAGCTGTTCTGGATGCAGTGGAAATTTGGGGTAAGAGTCCTGGACTGATGCAATCCTGACTTGTCCCCCATTAAAGACTATCTGAGGTTCATACATCCTGGTTTCTTAGAGTAGCTCTGAGTTCTAAAGTGTGTGTGCAGCTGCGCTCAGACCGAGTCCGCATGCTTGTTGCAGTCATGTGATGGGAGGAAACGTCTCCGCTCTGACTGTTCCACTTTGTCCCGCAGTGACTCTGTGTCCAGTGTTGGTTCCATTGGGACCGAGGATGTCGGTGAGGGGATCCGTCATTGGTTAGGAGTCCCCAGAGGAGGGTCCAGAGGTGGAGGGTCTCCGTACGGAGGAAGTCAAGGAGGGCGTCAGTCTGTGGCCGACACTATGAGCACGTACAGTTTCCGGTAAACAGCCAATCAAAAAAGGACAAGCTGCTAACCTGTGTTTGTTTTTGTCCACATGATGATTTGTGTCTTTGCTCTCTCCTCAGTTCCTGTATGGACCCTGATGAGGAGGGCTCTGAGGCTGGAGGGTCCAGAGGTCTGGGTCGAGCCCCATCCTCGTCCGCTCTGTCTGAGCTGCTGGATGGTCTTCGTAAACGCAGAGCGGGCGGAGACCCAGGAGACGGGGCAGGGAGCGCTGTCTCTCTGCCGATTTATCAAACAACGGCGGCCTCCACCCTCAGACGGAGAGCCTCCACCCTCTCTCTGGGACCAGAAGACCTCCAGGAACCCCGGCCCGGCCCCAGCATCCTCAAACCCTCTTCCCCGCTCCTGCCCCGGGCTGCCAGCTCTCGCTCCGTCAGCGACACCCCCACATCTGTATCCACGTCAACATCAGGAGCCAAACTCTCTCGCTTCAACTCCACCGAATCAGTCTCCTCTCTCCCTTCGCTGCCCCGCCTCTCCTCTTTGGCGTCCTCCCTTGCTTCTCGCCATCATCCCCCCTCCCTCTCCATCCCGGAGGAGGACCCAGAGGAACCTCACCGATCTGTGGTGAGCCCCATCCAACGCTCTCCTCAGCCTTTAAGGCGTTGTATGCTGGGTAATCTCATCACAGAGGATGGAGGTGAAGCGCCTCTGGGATCAGAACCTCTCGTCTTCCAAAACCGCCGCCTTAATGAGGACAATGACGCCGCCTCTGACATCCTGCCCGCCATCCGCAGAGCTCAGTCCACCAGCAGCCTGGCCAGCTCGGTCCGCGGGGGCAGGAGGGCGCTGAGCGTCCACTTCGGAGACCTGCCGCCCTCCACCCGCAGCAAGAGGAGCTCTGAGACTGAGTCCTCCAGCTCAGGGGGGTCTGGGGGGAGTTCTCAGAGCGGAGGGGTGAGACGGCGGTACGAGCGGCCACAGGGCGAGAGACTGGAGGCCGAGGGAAGTGAAGGGGAAGACGTGGCTTCAGTCATGAAGAAGTATCTGAAGAAGGAGGTGGACTGAAGCGGCCGAGGTGGGGAGGTGAGACAACCAAGGTTTTATTTTGACCAAAATTCAGGATTTAAATCAGACCTGAAATCCACTTTCATCTAAAATCTGGTCCACTTTGAAAACCTGCAGAGGGGGGTCTTCGTAAAACTCAAGTACAGGAAGAAAACACCTAAAGCAAACAATCCGACCTCAGCTCATTTAAAGATCTGATCTAAATAAAAATGTAAATGAGACAACGAGGTGAGATCTGAACTCTGACTCTGATGTGGAGCTGTACTCCTGCTGCTGCTGCTGAGGTTTATATATATCTGTGTGTCTGTGGTCGAGCATAAACGATCTGTAGGAACAATAATAACAATAATTTCATCTGTAAAGACGTTTTCAAGCAGCGACCACAAGGTCTTCCCAGAAATAGCAGAGAAGAAAGAACAAAGAAAACAGGCATGAGGGAAAATTCAGAGAAGCTGTAAAACAAAGTCTGTAAATTCAGGAGAAGTGACGTAGAAACGATTGAATATCAAAGTTTCGCTAAATTGCCGGTGTAATCCCAACAATTAAAGCCTGATTTAAGGACAGACGTTAACTCTAACCTAGCCTGCTGATGTTCACATCTTCATCAGGCTGTCTCAGTCCGCAAAAAACTTTAAGACAAACGTCTGAAATGAAGGAAGATGCTTTAAATCGGCCCATAATTGTTTATCTCTGAAGGATCCAAAGGTTTCACAGCAGCAGATTTACGATCCAGAGCACTTCTTCCTGTAGACACCTAAACTTCAGTCTGTGAGCCTAGCACAGGTCAGGTAGGTAGGTGGAGGTTTGACCCCCAATTTCCACTGCATCCTGAACGGCTACGAAAAGGCCGTATCCGCCGATCGTAGCTGATTGTAACCTTTCAAGTTAATGGGCTCTATTTTCGTGTACGCCAGTGAGGCGGCGGAGGGTGGCGGACCCCACGCAGTTGTATTTTTGTCTGGCGGAGCCCGGCGTACAGCCAGTTTGGTATTTTTGTGGACTGAGGCACACCGAGATCCGCCAAGCTGGGCGTGGTGGCGTGGCAGGGGGAGGTGTCGACAGAATCAGCGGGCGCAGTGACATTTTCATGCTCGCCACTGTCGTATAATGTGCGCTAAAAGCTTGCCGATTCAAACCTGGTCAGCTTTCAGCGCAGGCGAAACACAGCTGGTCTAGTGGTATTTTGGTAGACCGGCGGCATATCGACATACGTCACCGATGCCTCACCGGCAGGTTTCCACAGTGTCAGGCACATTTCAGTGCAATAAATAATCATCAACAACTAATAATCTGAGTCAGCACATACATTTAGATCTATATCGATATATTCTGATCTATATCTGATCTGATGAGCGCGTTTGGACACACAACCTGACCGAATCAACACAGCTGAAACCAAATTAAATTAAATTAAATATCTAGTAAATAGACACACATGATGAAGTTAACTAGATATTTAATTCGTCTCCCTCCTTTTCTTTCTTCCTCTTCCTCTTATTTCTCGCAGCCGGACCTGGACATGTCTTCGTGTCCTCTCCCCGTCCTGCTGCAGCAGCGGCTGAACAGATGATTTGTTTCAGTGCTCAGATGAGTTATTTACTTTAAGCCTACATACGAATATAATAATATTTAGTCTTGTGAGCCAAATTTATTTTATATGTCAACATCTATGAAAGAAAGAGCCAGGTCACGGAGCGCGATGCGTCATTTACGCACAGATGGTTCCGATTTTAATGCCATTATTGCAATTTATGTTGTGCTCTGTGCGCTCAACCCACCTTTGTCACGTGAGGTTTGAATATATGCAACTTTATGTGAGTGTCTTTATTTGTGTAAAAGGGTGTTTGTCTTACCAGTGGGTCCAACATTACACACAGCAAATGTGGAGGACGCCCAATGCAGCGCTTACAGTGACACTTGTTGAGGAGCTGCCTTCTGTCGCCATCTTGTGGCATTACTGTCTTCAGACATCTCTTGATCTCTCTGACTACTTCACGAAAATAGTAATACGCCTCCCCGGTGGCGGATTTAAAGGCGAGGAGAGGAGCTTATGTGATTGGTGAAAACATGTCTCGGCTGTGTTAAACTCCCTCGCTATGACTTACGCCGCTGGGAGGAGCTGAGTTAGGGAGGGGGGATACTTACACCGGGCTACGCCGCTCACCAAAATACCAAATTGTGCTTGGGAACGCCTTGTTGGCGCGGCTGACCTGACTTATGCTGCGCCTGCGGCACGTCTCCTGCAAGGCACGAAAATAGAGCCCAGAGTGTCAGTTTCCACCGGTTTCTTTCCATTCAGCTGTGGATCGCCGGACTCCTCAGCTGATCGCAAGAGTTCTATTTTTTTCGGATGCCAGAGCAAATTCAGCACAGATTAACCCGTGCTGGGAAGGAAGTCGGGCACAAACACAAAATAAAACATCCGTCTTCTTTTCAAAATAAAACACTCAGTGTTTCAGTTGGATCATATTTCTCACCATGCAAACAGGTGGAGACGAACAAGTGAAAGGTTTTAAGATGTCATTTCACCCCGATGACACCATGGAGGAGGAGATACTGATTCTAAAATTCTAAAAGTAGATTTCTTCCTCTGGAAGGACACAATCTACATGGTTAGCCTATGTGGCTAAGAGACAACTTGTTCTCGCGCTATTGCATGTGCATCCGTGGGTTCTTGTGCTTTCTCGCAATTCCAGCTGTCCGTAATGCGCACGAAATTCACCTCACAAACAGATCTGTTAGGACTTGGCGGACGGCAAAAATTGCAGCCGTTCTGGATTGGACCTGTTCCAGACTACGTTTACACGGCTATTTTCATAAACGGACATTTCACGTTTTCACGTTTACAAAAAAAAAAAAAACTGCGTGCACACCACTGTGTTTTTAGAAAAGTTTTTGTTTACACCAACCCATGTATATATGCCATCAAGAGCATGCAAAACCTGTAGGTGGCAGTGTGGCGAGAAGCTCAAGCCCACGTTAGCCAATCAGAACCCCACATAGCAGCAACAATAACAACAACGTCACTTCCTTCTTTCTTGCGCACAATCTGCCTTCAGCTACCCAAGTCTCCTTTCTTCTCTGTGTACATGCAAACGTGCAAACGAAATTTTCCAAAATCTCCACTCTGGTCAGCGGTTTTAAAAAGCATTGTTTTCAGAAGCGAGTTCTCTGTTTGCGTCAAATGAAGGGTTAATAGCTCTGTTTTTAAAAATAACCGGGTACTTATAAACATGGGCAAAAGAAGCAGCACTCCCGACTGCAGTGAAAGTTCAGAACACTTTAAGAGAAACTGCCTGAAGTGCTGCACGCTCTTTTACAGTGTTTTTGAGTTTCACTGAAAATACATGCAGCTTCGACAATGATAAAGACTAAAATATTACAACAACTACAAACCAGATGAGTGTGAAACCTAAATGTTACCCTGAAGATAAATCCAGAACTTTTCTTCATGACCTATTACTTTAAAAAAACTAACATCAGTCCCTCGAGCCTCTGCTGTACTTTAGCTCGGCACTAATTAACAAATGTTTGCTCTTAATTGCTGCTTTGGGGAACTTAATTTCAATCGATTGCTATCAGAAGCAAGTGTGGAAATTTTTCATTAAAACCTGAAAGAAGCTTCATTAAACTCCTCCTGTGGTTGTAAAACTGAGAGTTTTCCCCCCTGATGAAAACGTGCTCTCCCTGCAGACAGCAGCTTCAACATGATTCTTGAGAGTCTCTGAAGGAAGGAGGTATTTTTAGTGGCTGTTTCTCGCAGTGATTTGGAGGTGTTTGATAAAAACAGGCTAGGACCTGCACACCACTCTGCGCTCTGACCGTCCTGTCTTTGTTTTTTTCTTTTTTCCCCATCAGCCTCTTTGAGCGTCCACGTCCAGCTGAGAGCTTCACACACAGGCAAGAGTCGGTAAAGATGATTCAGTGCTGCTCCAAAGTCCGCTGGAAATCCAACACGAGCACTCAGTCAGCTGTGTTTGCAGATTTAAACTGTTTGTACATGAATAAAAAACATAAAAGAGACTTCTGTCTGTAATTTATTTCATGCACTTAGTTATGATCATAAAATTCTTCATGACTGCACAGAGTCAAGGCTTTAGGAAGTGATTTCAGGTCATATTTCTGTGCATTATGGGTAACATGACATTAAATAAGTGCAACACCTTTAATACATCTGGACTAATTTAATGGAAACAACAAACTGTGTAAAGATACAACTTTACAACATGTGCAAATAGGGCTGAACGATTTTAGCCAAAAATAAAATCCAAATTTTTTCTTCTGAAAACTTGGTTTTTCGATTTTTTATTCAGTGACAACTTCACCAAACTTCACTTTAATAAATAAAAAGTTGTTCTATCGTCTCTTAAAACAAAACCACTGAAAAATTAGTGCATATGCCAAGCCAGTAAGTGGCGCTGTAACGCTGCACAGGAAATGAAGAAAGACAGAAGAAGAGTACAGAGCGTGTGTATAAAAGGTTGTTTTAGGTGCCATAAAAGAGTTACGCTGTGTGTCACATGATCGTTCCCAGAGACGCAGATAGACATCTGCACAGAGGTGAAATGGTAGTCGTTTACGGATTTATGCACTCTCTGATCCGTTTTCAAAAAGTACCATTTACAGTCATCTGAAACACTGTTTTCGTGTGGATGAAATGCTAATACAACAAAAAACTTGAATTTGTTTCCGTGTGGACGGGTTGATACCGCCTTCAGACAGACTTTGCAGCAGGGAGTGGTTTGCTCTTAATCTGAAACTGTGAAGCTGTACCAATTCCACACGACTGACTTACTCTTGTCCTATTTAACCACAAAACTATTGCCTTCTTTAGCAAACGCCATATTTGTTTACACTGGTGTGTGTGGGAACTGGGGAGTGCTTACACAGGAAGGGGAAGCCTATGGTGGCCTGGAGGCGCGAGACGTGATAGAGAGGAAAACCGATCTGAAGATTTTAATTTTTTTTAACATCGTCATAATCAAATAATCCGATAATTGATTAACCGTGTAGCCCTATGTTCTTACATTCACACCTGCATCATTAATTCTCTGGTCTTGGTGACATTAGAGAATGCTTAACAGGGAAATCTTTTCTGATTAAATTCGATAAAAGTCAATACATCTTAAACTCTTCACGGCCGCCAAAGGTTATTGATGAACGCCTCTTTAAGTGTATTGTCTCTGTTTACTGACAGATTAGAGACTTAAGAGGCTGGGTTTGAGAGATTGACTCGACTTCATTTTCAATTTTTACAGGTTGGAGACAGAAATTTGGTTTTGAATTGAGAGTTTAAACATACGCCAGAAAACTCAAGATAGAAAAGGAGACAAATTAAAAACACTACAATGTTCGCTCTGTATGATCAGGAGGCGTGTTTCTGCGCACACGAATATATATGACTTTCACGAAAACCCAGAGCAATATGGTGGCAAAGTCGACAAATCAGTTAATGTGGCTTCAAGGCATGTACATCTATGGTGGAAACACCCTCAGTAAAAACCCCAAAGATGGAAGTCACTACACTGCAAACGCTGCCTTCAACCAAACTTTCATTAAGCAGTCTGCCTCTTGGTTTAGTTTGCCTCTTTAAACCCCCTTCATTTAATTTAACATTTTGAAACTCTATTTTCACTTTGAGCTCCCCCTAGAGGACTGGAGGCTCTCACTGCAATCAATCCACCTGCAGATTTTCCTCCTTGTTTTCTTCAGTTTTGTGTGTTTGCTGTTTGTCCATTTCTTTTTGCTTTCTTGAATGCATTTTATTTTTGTTTCTGAACCTGCGATCGCCCTTCCTTACCCGTCCTCTTTCAGCTGTTTGATTTTAGGTCACATCTGAAACTCTGTGTCACCATCTGTTAGTCGGAGTGAGCTGATGACGGTGTAACTTGGCGGTAATATTTCCCGCTCTTCGCTCCTCTTCAGACGGTCTGGAGCAGCTGATCAGTCTGAGAGGAGCAGATGTAGGTCTGCTGAAAACAGGTGAATTCCTGATCTCTGATTCTTCCTCTTCGCTTCGGCACATCTACAGAGGAGCTGAGTCAAATATTTAAGAGCTTATTTTAGACTCTGATGATCACTTTTTAAACAGCTATTAAAATTAAATGTTTCCTCTCTGAAGGCCTGGGAGGATTTCGGAATTATTTCCACTTTATTCTCATCTCTGAGCTCCTTCAGCTGTTTTTAAAGAGTCTTAAGGAACTCGTGTCCTTCAGTGATGAAGGGTGTCAGACAGAAGAGCTCCCTGATTGGCCCAATGTTCCTGCCTTGGCCTAATTATCCTAAGAGGCTTCACTAAACTGCAGATCCCTCGACGGCTTGGTGTGAGCGGTTTGCGACTTTAACAGCACGGCTTCAGCTCGCAGCATCTCTGAGGAATTTATTGATCCAGAGCAAACATGAAGCTGAGATAAAGTCACTGTCGCTGTCATTTCTCCATGGCAGCACCGAGGATCAGATGACTCATTGGTCTATAAGGGAACGCCGCTCATGTAATTTAGCTTCCCTACAGGAACATTTATTTCTGTCCACTTTCTCAGCTCCTCATCTTTCTGCACATCTCAGGCAGAAAAAAACATAATTATACTCTGCAGCTCCTTCTCACCTTCCTGAAGACATCTGCATTCACAAACTAAAGAAATAAAACGTGTTTTCAGTAAAGGTCAGACTGAAACTCAACTTTATCTAAGGAGTGAAAAAAGGGGAGGACAATATTCTGGTTTTATTGAACCTTTTAGAGGAACAAATCAATGATTTAGTGAAGCACGGACTCGACAAAGTGCCAAGTCCTTCGATGTTGAAACAAAGAGGACAGAAACAGCCGCCCACACAGTCAAATGTGGGATTTTTTTTTTTTTTGTTGTTGTTTTTTTTTTGCAGATGATTTTTTAAGTTTTCTCTAAGGATGCTCAGAAGTATTGAGTATTTTCTTACAACATTAATGAGCTCTAATTTAAGAGAAAACACCGGTATTCTCTGTGCCTTTCATCGCTGAGAAGTGACAGCTTTGTTTTTTGTGTTATTTGCATATTTCTGAAGCAGCAGAGGCGAAAACATCCTTCATTTTAAGTCATGGGTGAAGCTGCAGAAACAGAGTCTATTGATGAGAGACCAGTAGAGCTTTAAAGATCCCTGCTTCATTCCTTAGAAAACTGAATCACTCCACCGTGTTTCCTCTGGATGCTAAGAAGGACTCTCGCCTACTTGGAAACCTACCAAGGAAGCATCCCTGACTTTGAGAAACACCCTGCCTCTCTGCCAACCTCGCTGAGTCCCTGGAGTCTCCCTGGAAGCCTGAAAACTGCAGAGAGCGAAGAAACAGGCCTGCAAATCCGGATTTACACACTAGATTCAGTGTGGGTGAAACCGATGAAATTGGAGTTTGGTAGAGTCTGTTTCCTTTAAATTTCATAGAGTCTCAAACTTTGTGTGTGTTTGTGTGTGTTTTCTTTCATAAAGCAGCGCCAGTCTTTGTGTTGAAAAAGGATCGGCCTCACGACCGCACAAAGAAACAGGTGATGAAGATTAACCTTCAAGCTGTGAAATCCAATGATTTATCCTCCTGCAAACAGACGTGACCAACCTCCTGTACCTGCAGCCAGTCTCTCTGTCTGCAGCAGGTGTGTGTGTTTGTGTGTGTTTGTGTTGCTGCTGTCGTCTTTAATCTATGTTTTGTTTCTCAGGAATCGCAGGATGACTCATTTCTCCATCTTCATCTGTTGTTATTCGATCATTTCGGATCCTTCATTAGTCTAATGGCTTCACAAAGTCTCAAACACATTAGTGTCTTTAAAACAATCAGCTGAAAATGAAACTCCTGATGTTTTTAGATGAAATTATAAACCGTACTGTATCTGATGAACTTCTCAAACTTATCAGCAGAAACATGACTGTAGATTCACTTCAACAAGTACAAAGAAATTTTAAAGCTGTGAAGAGATGACAGGAAAAAAACTGAGTTTGTGGTAATTAAGTTCATTTTTATCCATGTTTTGTTTTGTACTTTTAATATTGCTGATCAATAAAAGTCGCTCCTCCTGCATTTCTATTTAGTCCTCGCTGTTTCCTGTTTAATTTTGTAGTCCTGTTCCTTGTGTGTCCGGTCTAGTTTCACTTCCTGTGTTTTCTCTGATTGGTCTCACCTGCCTCTTGTTTCACACCTATGTTTAATCAGTCCAGTCTCTGGGTTTCGTCCATAGACATTATATACGTAGATGCCTCAAACCCTGATGCTGCCTACTGGAGCTCTCGTATCAGCGCGGCCGCCATCTTGGATGGGTCCCCTGTGCGCATCCAGTGCATTAAGGTAAGTAGGAATGCCCAACCATATGAATAATAACTCTCTGAATCTTTGCCCAATTTTCACACTGTTTGGTTTGTTAAAACGGCAGGGATGTAGCCATAATACAGGACAATATCACACATTAAAAACAACAACACATTATGAAATTATAACATATAGATAAATAGAAACATAAAATTATAGATGTATGAATATAGAGATGCAGAAGTATGGAAATATAGACATAGATCGACTTAAAATTAGAACTGAAGATGTATAAAGAGTTGTAGGACTATGGAATTATAGATGTGTGAATATAGATGTGCAATAGTATAGAAATATAGATGTATGGACATAGATGTACAGAAAGTTAGAACCAAAGATGTACAGGTGAAGATGTGTAGACATGTAAAATTACAAATCTATGAATAAAGATGTGCAGAAGTATGAAAATATAGATGTATGGACATAGATGTACAGAAAGTTAGAACCATAGATGTACAGGTGAATATGTGTAGACATGTAAAATTGCAAAGCTGTGAATATAGATGTGAAAAAGTAGGAAAATATCGATGTGCGGACATAGATATACAGAAAATTAGAACAAAGATGTACGGATCAAAATGTGTTGAAATATAAAATTATAGACAAAAAGAAGATGAAATTATAGATGTATGAATATAGATGAGCAGAAGTATAAAAATATAGATGTGTGGTTACAGATGTATCAAAGTTTAGAAAT